CAAGTCAGAGATTTCAGGGAGAAGTCAGGGAAAGTAGAATTGGTCATAAACTGAGGAAATTATCACGAATGCTGGTACAAAACATTCAATTTTTTTCTATTTTTACCAAAAATTTCTTTTTAACTCACTTCATTCTTGAAGAACCATCATAAAATTATTACTTAGAAATATAAATTATTTAATGAATAATTTTACTTAAAAATTTCAAAAATAATTGAATTTTATAAGAATTACATTTACATTTTTCACAAATAAATGAATTTCAAATGTTTTCAATCTCAATAAAATTCTTCAAAAAAATTCAATTATTTTCAAAAATTTTATTAAAATTCTAGGAACAATTCAATTTTTTTTAAAACAACAAAATTTCTGCGTCTAAAATTCAATTACTTTCAAAAATTTAATAAAAATTCTAGCAAAATTCAATTATTTTCAAAAATTTTAATAAAATTCTAGTCAAAATTCAATTATTTTTAAAAATAACATTATTTTTGCGTCTAAATTCAATTATATTTTCAAAAACAACATTATTTCTGCCTCTAAATTCAATTATTTTCAAAAATTTTAATAAAATTCTAGTCAAAATTAAATTACTTTAAAAATAACATTATTTCTGCGTCTCAATTCAATTATTTTCAAAAACAACATTATTTTTGCCTCTAAATTCAATTATTTTCAAAAATTTTATTAAAATTCTAGGAAAAATTCGATTATTTTCAAAACTTTTAATAAAATTCTAGTCAAAATTCAATTATTTTTAAAAATAACATTATTTCTGCGTCTCAATTCAATTATTTTCAAAAACAACATTATTTTTGCCTCTAAATTCAATTATTTTCAAAACTTTTAATAAAATTCTAGTCAAAATTCAATTATTTTTAAAAATAACATTATTTCTGCGTCTCAATTCAATTATTTTCAAAAACAACATTATTTTTGCCTCTAAATTCAATTATTTTCAAAAATTTTATTAAAATTCTAGGAAAAATTCGATTATTTTCAAAACTTTTAATAAAATTCTAGTCAAAATTCAATTATTTTTAAAAATAACATTATTTCTGCGTCTCAATTCAATTATTTTCAAAAACAACATTATTTTTGCCTCTAAATTCAATTATTTTCAAAACTTTTAATAAAATTCTAGTCAAAATTCAATTATTTTTAAAAATAACATTATTTCTGCGTCTCAATTCAATTATTTTCAAAAACAACATTATTTTTGCCTCTAAATTCAATTATTTTCAAAACTTTTAATAAAATTCTAGTCAAAATTCAATTATTTTTAAAAATAACATTATTTCTGCGTCTCAATTCAATTATTTTCAAAAACAACATTATTTTTGCCTCTAAATTCAATTATTTTCAAAAATTTTATTAAAATTCTAGGAAAAATTCGATTATTTTCAAAACTTTTAATAAAATTCTAGTCAAAATTCAATTATTTTCAAAAAATTTATTAAAATTCTAGGAACAATTCAATTATTTTTAAAAACAACCAAATTTCTGCGTCTAAAATTTAATTACTTTTAAAAATTTAATAAAAATTCTAGCAAAATTCAATCATTTTTCTAAATTCTTTGCTAATATTTAATTATTTTCAATACAATTTTAATAAAATTTTTCGAAAGAATTCAATTATTTTAGAAAATTTGAAATTTCTTCCAAAAGAATTCAATTATTTTCAATACAATTTTAATTAAATTCCTTCCTTCTAAAATCATTTTTAATGCAATTCTTTGTAGAAATTCAATTATTTTAAAAATTTTTCGCAAAATTTTAATTATTTTCAAAAATCTTGTTAAAATTCTTCGCGAGAATTCAATAATTTTTTATAAGTAATAAAATTCTTCGATGAATTCGATTATTTTCATAAATAATAAAATTCTTTATTTATTTATTCTTTATTTCACTGAAATTCAATTATTTTAAAATTTTTTTTTAAAATTCAAAGAAAAATTCAATTACTTTCATAACTAACAATATTTCTGCTTCTAAATTCAATTATTTTTAAAAATATGATAGTTAAATTTTTTAATATTTACTCAAATATTAATAATAATGGATTTATAGAAGAGTTTTAGTTAAAAACACTAAAAAAATTGAATTTTGGAAAAATTGCAAATGAATTGCAGAAATTCAATTATTTTCAAAAGTAATAAAATTCTTCACTAAAATTTAATTATTTTCATAAATAATAAAATTCTTCGTTAAAATTCAATTATTTTCAGTACAATTTTAATTGAATTTCTTCCTTCTGAAATCATTTTTAATAAAACTCTTCGGAGAAAATCAATTATGTTTCAATTTTGTTAATGAAACTTCAAAAAAATTCAATTATTTTTCAAAATTGTAATAAAATTCTTCGCAAGAATTCAATTATTTTTATTAAATAAAAAAATTCTTCGCTGAAATTTAATTATTTTCATAAATAATAAAATTTTTCGCTTAAATTAAATTAGTTTCAATGCAATTTTTATAAAATTTTTGAAAGAATTCAATTATTTTAGAAAATTTTAAATATCTTTTATTTCGATTATTTTCAATGCAATTTTAATTAAATTCCTTGCTTTTGAAATTAATTTTAATAAAATACTTAAGAGAAATTCAATTATTTTTAAAGCTTAATGAAACTCTTCAAAAAAATTCAATTATTTTCAAAAGTAATAGAATTCTTTGCAAAAATTGATTTAAAGAAGAATTTTAGTTAAAAAATTCTAGAAAATAATAATTGAATTGAAATGATGAAAAATAATTTTAATAAAAGTTACAATAACAATATTTTATTAAAATTTTTTTGACAATAATTGAATTTCTAAGAAGAATTTTACTATTTTTAAAAATAATTAAATTCTTGTTAAGAATGTTATTACAATTTTTTTTATAATTTAATTATTTCGAAAAATTTTTTTAAAATTCTTATTAATATTTGAATTCCTGCGAAGAATTGAAATCTTGACAGAAATGTTTTTATAATTTTTAAAAATACTTGAATTTCAATAGGTTTCAATTTGATTTTTTAGAAAATTTGTATTTGATAATTAAAAATAATTGATTTAGAGAAGAACTTTCGTTAAAAATTCCCGAAAATAATTGAATTTTGAAGGAGTTACAAATCCTTGCAATTTTTAAGAAATAACTGATTTTTAAAACGGCTTCATTAAATTGAAATCTTTAAAAGTATTAATTTTATTACTTTTAATTAACAATTCAGTCAAACTAATTTTTTTTTTTTGAATAATTTTATTGAAATGATGAAAATATTTTTGAAGAAAGTTTAGTGACAATATTCCTATAAAATATAAAATAATAATTTTGTCGCTTCTGTCATCTTTAATTATTATAAGTTATTGAGTTTTAAGAGGTTTGAATTTGAAATTTTTGAAAACCTTGATTCTTATGGAAGAAGAATATTAATTAAATGTTTATTTAAAAATGAAGTTAATGATGTTTTTGAATAATTTTACATTTAAAGAAATTCGTAAATAAATGTAAAAGAACTTTTTTTGAGTACCTAATAAATTTTTGAGTGAATCAGAATATTCTTTTGGGTCAGAGAAAAAGTCAAAATTTTATCTGGAAATCAGGGAAAAGTTGAGGAAAAACAAAATTAAATTTTTTTGGCAACTCTGCAATTGTTATTGTGTTCTTGTTATATTGTGTTCTTTTTCCCTACTCTTGAAATGAATTTGTGTTCAAGTTAAAATGTACAAATTATCAAATGGTACAGAAACCTCCGCTTGATAAAAATTTATATAAATGCAAACAGGTGTATAAATAAATAAAAGAAATATCATTCGTTCTCCTAGCAATGTTTCTGATGAACGTCTGAAAGATCCTCGTCAGAGTTAAAAACACACGATCCCCTTTCACCGAAAATAATATATATTCACATTCGAAGGAAAGAAATCAACTGTAGTATAGAGACGCGTATTGGGAACCTTTGTGTTTTAAAGCACACAGTCGCCTCCCTTTGTAGCATTGGGCTTTCCCACTTTTTATTTTACTTGGTCTGCAGGCGAAACGACGCCACCTGACTCCTGACTAAACACTGATAACGCGCCCCGAGAATTTCTTTGCATGTTATAAACATACGTAATCGTACACAAATAAGATTAGCATACGACTGAGCGTACAGGATTCGCAAAAGACACATGGGGCTTTTACACCAATGGGTCTTTCTCCTTTCTCCATACCTTTTTCCCCAAAGCCCCGCACTGCCAGAGAATCTCCAAGTCTCTTGTATATTAAATACTCTACCAAAAAAAAAATACTCTACCAAAAAAAATGGTTTATTTAAACTATACGAAAAAGAAAAATTGTTTATTTAAACGAAATGAAAAGCTCTTTTCATAAAGCAAACAAAAACTCTTCTGCCATTGACTAAAATTGAAAGAATTTTCCAAATGAGAATATGTGTTTATAATATGGTTTACGTTTTCCGAATGTAACTCATTTGACGTGAGCGCCGCGCTTCCTTCGGGCAAAGAGGCGGATAAAGAGTCAAGAAACGAAGGGTGCGGGTTTATTCCGTATTTCGCTTATACACTCCACAATCTGGTTGATGATAGAACTTAATAAAACAAATCCCGCCATGTAAACACTCGGAGAGACGAGTCGACGTCATTCAGACAACAGGGAGAGAGTTTTCCTCTCTTCAATTTTAGAGCGAAAGCTGCCAAACTTGAAATAGAGACGAGAACGTATTGCCAACCTTCTTGAATACCATTAGATAACATCAATATTGTTCGAAAGTACAACTCTGATTTTCAAAAATATACCCCAAACATAGACAACTATGTGCAAAAAACTTAATTTTTCTTTTCACGAAACTTTTTTCAAAACAAATTTGTTTTCTAAACAAGAGAAAACAAACTCGAAAAATATAGTAAAGATAACAATTGATTGTTTTTGTGCGGCTGAAAAATAATAGTTCGATAAGAGACAGAGAGAGAGAAAGAGAGAGATTTTACAGAGAATTTTCTTCTTTTTCTGATTTACAGGCGAATTCACTATTCGCGGCACTAAAACAGCAACAGTCTAGAGAAGCAGCGAGGGAGAGTCGAGAAAGAGAGAGACCACCTCGGAGTAGAGAGAGAGGACCAAGTGGACCAGAAAGTGATCAGCAAGACCTCACCATCGAGTATCAAAGCAATGGAAAGCTCAGTCCTGCTGGGCACACAGTAACAACAGCACCCATGACCCAACAAAAGCAACCGATCATCACACAGCAGCCGCAACAACCAAGTTCGGGAGCTCTGGGGTCCCAACCCAGTCCACATCAGAGTCCTCAAGCCCCGCAGAGGGGTTCACCACCGAACCCCACTCAGGGTCCACCGCCAGGTAAATTTCAACAATTTCCAACCAAATTTTTAATAAGAAATTTTTTCCAAAATTCCCTAAGGGATTAAAAAAAATTAAAAAATGAAATGTTAAGGTACCCTCACAACTCTACTGCCTACTCAGAGGCAGGCAGTATTGCTGTGAGATTACCTATTAAGGTCATGTTATGCATATGTTACCACCACGTGACCACTGAATAGCATAATTTTAGGGGACCATTCATTAATTACGTAAAACATTTTTTTTTAAATTTTAACCTCCCTCTCGCCCCTGATTAGAAATTTTTACCTACTTCTTCTTCTTCTTCTTTGTTTTTTAATGGCCCCGACTAGACTAAATACTACATTTTTAATTTAGAATAGCATTTTAAAAAAATTTCGAAAAAATCAATTATTTAACAAAATGTTTATACGATTCTTCACAATAATTCAATTACTTTCACTAATAATAACATTTTTCATGCGGAAAATTATTTAAAAAAATTTTTTTTTTGATAAATGCCAAAATTCTAAGCAAAAATTCAATTATTTTCATGAATAATGAAATTCATCGAAGAATTTCAATTATTTTTAACACTATTTTAAATTAATTAATCGAAAAATTCAATTATTTTTTAAAATTACAAAATTTTTCACAAAAATTTAATTCTTTTTAAAATTTTCAATAAAAGTTTAAGCAATAATTTAATTATTTTTATAAATAATAAAATTCTTCACAGGAATTCAATTACTTTTGAAAAATTCAATAGCATTCTTCGAAACAAATCAAGTTCTTTAATAAATAATAATATTCCTCACAAGAATTCAATTAAATAATAAAATTCTTCTCAAAAATTCAATTATTTTTGAAAATTTGAATAACATTATTCGAAACAAATCAAATTCTATAATAAATATTAAAATTCATCACAAGAATTCAATTATTTTTTAAGGTAATAAATTTTTTCTTGTAAATTCAATTATTTTTAAAAATTCTAATAAAATTCTTCGAAACAATTCAATTATTTTCATAAATAGAAAAAATTCATCACAAGAATTCAATTATTTTTGAAAATTACAAAATTTTTCACAGAAATTCAATTCTTTTTAAACATTTCAATAAAATTTTTCGCAATAATTCAATTATTTTCCTAAACAACAATATTTATCACAAGAATTCAATTATTTTCAAAAATAATAAAAGTCTTAATATAAATTCAATTATCAAACAATTTTTTTTAAATTCCTCGTCAAGATTTCAATTATCTTTCGGAATAAAAAAATTCTAAGAGTAAATTCAATTATTTTCAAAAAATTTATCAAAATTCTAGGCAAAATTTTCATAAACAACAGTATTTCTGCGTCTAAATTCAATTATTTTCAAGAATTTCATAAAAATTCTAAGCAAAATTCAATTATTATATATTTTCAAAAATTTTATTAAAATTCTAGGAAAAATTCAATTATTTTCATAACTAACAGTATTTCTGCGTCAAAATTCAATTATTTTCAACCATTTTATTAAAATTCTAGGCAAAATTCAATTATTTTCAAAAATTTTATTAAAATGCTAGGCAAAATTTAATTATTTTTAAAAATAACAATACTTCTGCGTCTAAATTCAATTATTTTCAAAAAATTTATTAGAATTCTAGGCAAAATTTAATTATTTTTAAAAATAACAATACTTCTGCGTCTAAATTCAATTATTTTCAAAAAATTTATTAGAATTCTAGGAAAAATTCAATTATTTTTAAAAATAACAAAATTTCTGCGTCTAAAATTCAATTATTTTCAAAAATTTAATAAAAATCCTAGCAAAATTCAATTATTTTTAAAAGTAATAAATTTCTTCTTGGAAATTCAATTATTTAAAAAAATTTGAATAAAATCGTTCGCAAGAATTCAATTATATATATTTTCATTAATAATAAATTACAATTTTAGGCATTCAATAAAATTTAATAAAATATCACACAGACATTCAATATTATAGTCAAAAATTGTATTTCAATTCTTTGTAAAATTTAATTATTTTTAAGAATTCTTCGCAATTTAATAATTTTCAATATCTACTATTTTCATAAAATTTCTAAACAGAATTTAATTATTTAAAAATTTTGTTGTAAAAATCTTCGTAAGAATTTAATTCTTTTTATAAATAATAAAAATTTTTCAGTAATTCAATTTTATAAATTAGAATTTGTATAAAATTAGTCGAAAGAAATTAATTATTCAAACAATTTTACAAAAGTCTTCGCAAGAATTGAATTATTTTTATTTTTATAAATTTTTAAATTCTTTGATGAACAATAAAATTCGTTTACAAAAATTTTCAACAGAGAGCGACTCAGAGTACAAGAAATTCCAATAAAAAAAAGTGATGAAGAAGAAGAAGACCACCCTCCTCTTTAAATTCTTACGTAATTTATGAATGAACCCTGATCCTATGGGCAAAAAACCATTTTCGTTTCATAAACGTTCTTAAAACGTTTTTATAACGTTTTATATCCGCCAAATAATGTTCTACAACATTATTTGAAAATTTTTTTTTTTAATGTTTTAGAAAATTATTTAGCGGACATGAAATGTTCTAAAAACGTTTTAAGAACATTTTTTGGAACGAAAATGTTTTTCTGCCCATAGGGAAGTATAGTTGACTTTTGAATTCTCGAATAACATCATGGAATATTTAATGAACTTTAGGAGGCCCGCTGGGGGGACCACCACCCTCACAAACACCATCACAGATGATGCTAAATCCTGCGAGTGGTCTGCATCAAATGCAACAACTTCTTCAACAACACATTTTTAGTCCCACACAATTGCAATCATTTATGCAGCAACACACGCTTTACCTTCAACAACAGCAAAATCATCAGGTGACCAATTTGCTTTTCAAATTAAATTTTAAGTGACGCGGGCTGAAGAGTAAATTTTACTATTTTTACAAAGTATTTTTTGCTTCAAAAAAAGCTAAAAATCGGTTAAGAATTTGTCCCACCTGTTACCGTATATTTGTCCGGGCGGAAATTCATCTCTGGGCCACTACTTTCTATGATAAAAATATAGTAATTTCAATTTAAATAATAAAAATAATGACAATAAAATAAAAATATGCCAATAAAATTTATTGTCAATAAAATAAAAATATGTCAAAAAAAACACTGAAAATTGAAAGATTTGTAAAAAAAAATGTTTGTGTCATAAAATATTAAAAAGATAGCTATATTTTATATTTTCACTCTTTTATCTGAATCAAAACAGTATATCATAAATGTTGACTTTTGTTTCGATAACGAATCAAAAATAAAATTCAAATGAACTTCTGTTTCTATAAGAAAACCGAAAATAAAAAAGCGAACTTTCATTCCCTGGCCGAATCGGAATATTAAAATATTAATTCGTAATTTTGTGTTTTACAATATCGAAGAAAAAAGAATTTGACCTTTGTGAAGAATAATTGAAAATCTTGAATTGAAATTTGAAGGTAACTATCGTTTTGAGATGTAAACCCCTCTGATTAATTTTCATCCTTTTTATGAACTTCAACCACAGACATATTCCCCTTTTCCTTATCAGTTTGTATTTTCACCCCTTTTTATACGCGTATTCTGTAAAATAAAAATTAAATTCTCCCTGTAACAAATTTAAATATCACTTGTCCTGAAAAAGTCTCGAAAAAAATAAAAATACAAATCTGATAATCCATTTTTACAGGACTCCCCAACCGAGCATGTATCAAATCAGGAACGTTTTGGTTACTTTTCATCTTTAAAAAACGTGAGTTTTTAAATATTTTTTTATTTTTTTTCTGTGAAAATGTTTAACTTTTAATTTCTTTGTATACATATACAATGTCCATTAATTATATATGCGAGCGGGATTTAATTTTATAAAAGGAAACTTTTATAAGAGTTAAAACACTGCTTTGGAAGAGAGCTCCTAAATTCAACATTCACCCTTGACAACACAGTCGTCCTTTCTCCCCGGACCAATCAGTAATTCTAATTATAAAAGGTACGATCATAACGAGTCCTCTTTCCGCAGACTCTAAAGAACAGAAAAGAGAGAGGAAAAATATTTGGGGAGCGGCGGCAAAAGAAATTAATTGAACCATTATTTAAGAAAGCTGAGCAATTGTTAATTTGAGAATCATGTCGAATCGCTCGGAATTATACAAAACGCTCCTCGGCAATATAAATCTTGATTGATATTTTCCCTGTAAAACTTTCTTTAAGTTGCTGATGAAATTATGAAATATTTGCTTATTCTTTTTTGAATTTACTAATATTTATTAATATTAATGATAATAATATTTATTAATAATTTATTTAATTTACTAATTGTTAATTATAACGCTCTCGCAAGATAAAAAACCTAAGAAGCAATAAAAAATTCAGGATATGTTTGTAGTTTTTACAATTTTCATAAATAAATAAATTTCAAGTTTTCAATTTTAAAAAAATTTTTTGTTAAATTCAATTATTTTCATAAATAACAATATTTATCAAAAAAAATTCAATTATTTTCATGAGTAATAAAAGTATTAGCAGAAATTCAATTATTATCGAAACATTTTTTTTAAATTCTCGTCAAGATTCCAATTATCTTTATAAATAAATAAATAAATAAATAAATAAATAGCAAAACTCTTCTACGAATTTAAATTATTTTCAAAAATTTCATTAAAATTCTAAGCAAAATTCCATTATTTTCGTAAATAACAATATTGCTGCGTCTTCATTCAATTATTTTAAAGAATTTTATTAAAATTCTAGAAAAAATTCAATTATTTTTATAAATAATAATATTCAACGTCAGAACTGCATTATTTCCAAAATTAATATAATTATTTGCAAAAATTCAATTATTTGCAAACATAATATTATTTTTGCGTCTAAATTCAATTATTTTCAAAAATATTTTCATAAATAACAATATTTATCAAAACAATTCAATTATTTTCGAAAGTAATATAATTCTTTTCAAGATTTCAATTATCTTTATAAATAGCAAAATTCTTCGACGAATATCAATTGTTTCCAAAAATTTCATTAAAATTCTAAGCAAAATTCAATTATTTTCAAAAAATTTATTAAAAATCTTGTCAAAATTCAATTATTTTCATAAATAACAGTATTTCTGCGTCTTAATTCAATTATTTTAAAAAAATTTTATTTTAGGACAAATTCAATTATTTTCATAAATAATAATATTCAATGACAGAATTGCATTATTTTCAAAAGTAATAACATTCTTTATTGCAGAAATTCAATTATATTCAGAAATTTTTATAAAATTTATTACAAAATTCAATTATTTTTATGAATATTTTCATAAATAACAATATTTATCAAAACAATTCAATTATTTTCAAAAGTAATATAATTCTTTTCAAGATTTTAATTAGGTTTATGAATAGCAAAATTCTTCGACGAAATTCAATTATTTTCAAAAATAATATAATTCTTTTCAAGATTTTAATTAGGTTTATAAATAGCAAAATTCTTCGATGAAATTCAATTATTTTCAAAAATTTCATTAAAATTCTAGGCAAAATTCGATTATTTTCAAAAATTTTATTAAAATTCTAGTCAAAATTCAATTATTTTCAAAAATTTCACTAAAATTCAAACCAAAATTCAATTATTTTCATAAATAACAATATTTCTGCTTCTAAATTCAATTATTTTTAAAAATTTTATTAAAATTCTAGACAAAATTCAATTATTTTCATAAGTAATAATATTCATTGGCAGAATTGCATAAGTTTTTAAAGTTATAAAATTCTTTGCAGAAATTCAATTATTTTCATAAATAATAAAACTCATCAAATTTTTCGAAAAATTTAATTATTCTTAAAAATTTTATTAAAATTTTTGTTTAAATTTGAGATAATAATTGAATATTTAAAGGGTAAATTTTTAGATATAATTGAATTTTGTAAGGATTTCAAAATAAAATCTTTGAAAATCTGAATTTTTCCCAAATAATCAAAATTTCGTAAAATTGAATTTTTAACAAATGGATTTGAAAATTCTCAAAGAACTTTTTCAAAAAATGTTTAAAAATTAATAATTTAAAGAAAAATTTTGGTTAAAAATTCTAAAAAATAATAATTGAATTGAAATGATGGAAATAATTTTAAATTTTGACACAATTCTTCGTTAGATCCAAAATTTTCAATAAAAATATTGATTTCAATCTTTTTAAATTTACATGATTAAAAGAAACTTGTGATCAAGAAAAATCGGATACAAACATAATTTATAACTCGTTTTTTTCTTACCTTTCTTCGCAGTGCGTCACAATTATAATATTCCCTTATTTATTAATTAACTAAATTTATTAATTACATAAATTATTAAAAAATTTTATTAACTTAATTTATTAATTAAATTATTAATAAGTAAATTGATAAATCTAAATATCAATTGTAATGAAAAATTCTATTGCGAACTGAGAAGTTGAATAATATTTATAGAAACAATTGTGTAACCGAGAAAAAATATAACAATTTAACAATCACTTTATATATATATCATACATTTAATCCTTATTTATATTTACAAAATTTAACTCTTCAATTGTTTTTATTTATTTTTTTCACAAGCAGAAAAAAATTGCGCCATTTGATTATCATTTGTTTAAAAAATTTAAATCAACATAATTCTTTTGTTTGTTATTTTGTTTATTCGGGTGAAAGTAAATATTTTGACAGATCACAAATCGTCTCGCTAAATTTTCACAATCAACTTGTCGCGCTATATTACATTACGAGAATTTAATTTAAGAAAATCCTAAAATAGGAACAGGTAATATACCAATTTATTCTTATCAAATTTTATTGTTTCGTAAATATTGTCTTTGTGAGACTTCAAAAAAAAAAAAAAAGAAAAGAAAAAGATCAAAGATAAATACCAAGTTCATTATTTACAAAAATATATGTAGTATTTTTACACATTGTCGACATTGAATTTTACTTCGAACTTTTTTTATTTAGAAAATAAAATTGACGTGGCCGATCAAGTTTTATTTAATACTTAGCACTGCGAGTTTTTGATTGTTACGGTATTTGGAAAAATTGGATTTTTATTTCGATTTTCATTTTGATTTTAATTTTCAATTTCCTATTTTTAATTTTCGTTTGATTTTTTTTCAAATTCCCAATTTGTTTATTAATATAATATTAAGTATTATAATTAATATTGTATTAATTAATTAATATAATTGATAATTATTTCTTGAATTTAATTTTCGATTTTGTTTACGATTTTTTATTTTGATTTTAATTTTCAATTCACAGTTTTTCTGCAGATATCAAATTGAGACGAAAAACGAATCAAAATGTTGCTTCGCAACACTTTTGATTCGTTTTTTGTCTCAATTTGATATCTGCAGAAAAACTGTGTTTGATTTTTTTTTCTAATTCTACATTTATTAATTAATTAATATAATATTAAGTATAATTAATATAATTAATAATTTTTTCTTTCGTTTCGTAAAATTTTTAATTAAACAGAACAGTCATCTAAACGAATTTTTTATGAAAATAAAAAATAATAGAAATAATTCTTTCTTAGCCAAATTTTTCTTTCACTGAAATATTATTTGACATAAATTCTATTTCACTAATTAAATATATTATTTATTACTTTAAACAAATTTTCAAAATTCTAATAAAATTCTTCCCTAGAATTCAATTATTTCTATTTATTACAAAAATTCTCCGATGCAATTCAATTATTTTCATTAAATAAAAAATTCTTAGCTAAAGTTCAATTGATTTCATAAATAATAAAATTCTTCATTGAAATTCAATTATTTTTAAAGTTCTATTAAAATTCAATGCAAAATTCAATTATTTTCATAACTAACAATATCTCTGCTTCTAAATTCAATTATTTTCAAAAATTTTATTTAAATTCTAGTCAAAATTCAATTAATTTTAAATAAGATTATTTCTGCGTCTAAATTCAATTATTTTCAAAAATTTTATTAAAGTTCTAAGAAAAATTCAATTATTTTCAAAGATTTTATTAAAATTCTAGACAAACTTGAATTATTTCCATTTAATAAAAAAAAATTCTTCGCTGGAATTCAATTATTTTCATAATTAATAAAATTTTTCGCAGAAATTCAATTATTTTCATAAATAATAAAATTCTGCACTGAAATTCAATTATTTATAAAATTTTATTAAAATTCTAGTCAAAATTCAATTATTTTCATGATTTCTGATTCTAAATTTAATTATTTTCAAAAATTCTATTAAACTTCTGTAAAAGATTAAAAAAAATTAAAATTAAAAGAAAAATTAAAAAATTAAAAGTAGAAATTCAATTATTTTCAAAAATAACATTATTTCCGTGTCTAAATTCAATTATTTTTAAAAATTTTATAAAAATTGTAGAAAAAATTTAATTATTTTCAAAGATTTTATTAAAATTCTAAACAAAATTCAATTATTTTCATAAAGAACAATATTTCTGATTCTAAATTCAATAAATTATTTTCAAAAATGTTATTAAAATTCTAGTCAAAATTCAATTATTTTTGTAAATAATAAAATTCTTCTTTGAAATTTAATTATTTTCAATACAATTTTAATAAAATTCTTGGAAATTTGATTATTTTAAAAAATTCTTCGAAACAATTCAATTATTTTCATAAATAAAAAAATTCATCACAAGAATTCAATTATTTTTGAAAATTACAAAATTTTTCAGAGAAATTCAATTTTTTTTAAAAGTTTTCAATAAAATTTTTCGCCTTAATTTAATTATTTTTATAAATAATAAAATTCTTCTCACGAAAAACTGTGTTTGATTTTTTTGTTAAATATCACATTTGTTAATTAATTAATATAATTAATAATTATTTCTTTAGTTTAATTTTTGATCTTCTGTTCTATCGCTGAATTTTATTTGAAATTTTCGTCATTGTTTCCAAAAATGTAGCAACAGCATCAACTAGAATTAGGTCGGAAGCATTTGGAGCAGACGATGCAGCAATTGCAGGAGCAGTTGCAATTAAATCTCATTCAACAAACGCATTTACTGCAAAATGCAGACAAGAAAAAATCGTCGGGACCTCTTCAGCAGCTTGCTCTGCAGCAACAGCAACTCATACAGCAACTTCAAATGGCGCAGAGGCAATATCTTCTTCTCCAAGGTCACAATCATTCTTCGGGTCAGTACTTTCTCCAACACTAAAATTTTATTTTTTTTTTAAACATTAACTTTTTCACTCAAAAAAAAAAAAAAGTAGAAAAAGAAAGCACCAAACTAGGCTTTTTGTGGAAACGTATTTTTTTGCAGTATTGCAGACAATAAATAAAATGGAAACAGCGCGATTTAAGGAGGCGTATGCAACAGAAAACCAAAGGTGAGTTGATGTTGGAGGCATCCTTTGATTCATATACATAAAAAAATTAACCTTGTGCACCTTTTCTAAGTTTATCCAGCCACCTTTTTTTCTCACTTCCTATCTCATATAACCTGGGCAAAATTTTCCACGTAGAAATATTTCGGTACGGTGCGATGTAAAAAAAAAAAAGAGCTTTCCTTTCGACGGCGTTGAGCGCAGAATGCGACAGAGGAGGAAAGAGTAAACGCACTGGTTCAATTCAAAGTCGGAAATTCACGTGTGAAACAAACTTGCCCATTTTGTATCCTTTATATCCTTCTCTATCCTACTATATCTTCTATTGTTTCTCTTTGCACATCCAATGACTATTTTTCAATGACTCTTAGTTTTGTTTTCTCCGTAAAAGCCTCCTCATCAACACACAAAAAAAAACCTTTGGATTTCTTCCACGCATGTTTGCTTCACACGTGACGGTTTCAAATTTACATTTTTTTTCTCACACACTATATATACACACTCTTAGTCGGAAGAAACTATTTTTTTCGGAATGCTTGATGATTTCATAAAGATGATTGTCTACATTTTTTGAAAGATTTTTCTTTAACCGAATTTTTACTTCTACGAATTTTTAATTACTACTATTTTATTTACTATTACAAAATTAAAAATTTTTTTTAAGAGCATTTAAAACAATATGACGTCATAGTTTATGCAAATCATTTGTTCTAAAGCCGTGACGTCATAATGGTTCAAATGCCCTTAAATTAAACGAATTTCTGGAATACATAACTATTTTTTTAAAATCAAATTTTCCTTTGACAAAATTTAAATTTACATTTTACACTGCATTACATTTAAGTTTGCATTAGAACGAATTTATAGAAATATTCATTTACTAGAATTTATCATTTTGTAAAATTTTTATTAAGTAGAATTGTCATTCAAACCAATTTTTTATGAAAAAAAAAATTATTGAAAGAATTATTTCTGAGCCAAATTTTTAATTTAACTGAAATATTATTTGACAAAAATCTTATTTCACTAATTAAACATTATTATTTAATGTCTTTTTATTATTTAATTTAACATTATTATTTCTTATTTTAAACAAATTTTCAAAATTCCAATAAAATTCTTCGCAAGAATTTAATTCTTTCAATTTGATAAAAAAATTCTTCGCTGAAATTCAATTATTTTAAAAAATAAGAAAATTCCTTGCAAGAATTCAATTATTTCCATTTAATAAAAAAAATACTTGGCTGGAATTCAATTATTTTCATGGTTAATAAAACTTTTCGCAGAAATTCAATTATTTTCATAAATACTAAAATTCTCCACTGAAATTCAATTATTTATAAAATTTTATTAGAATTCTAGTCAAAATTCAATTATTTTCTTAAATAACAATATTTCTGATTCTAAATTCAATTATTTTCAAAAATTTTATTAAAATTCTAGTCAAAATTCAATTATTTTTAAAAATTTTATTAAAATTCTAGGAAAAAAACTTTATTAAAATTCTAGGAAAAATTCAATTATTTTCAAAAATTTTAATACAATTCTAGTCAAAATTCAATTATTTTCAAAAACAACATTATTTCTGCCTCTAAATTCAATTATTTTCAAAAATTTTATTAAAATCCTAGTAAAAATTCAATTATTTTCAAAAGTTTTAATAAAATTCTAGTCAAAATTCAATTATTTTCAAAAATTTTATTAAAATCCTAGGAAAAATTCAATTATTTTCAAAACTTTTAATAAAATTCTAGTCAAAATTCAATTATTTTTAAAAATTTTATTAAAATTCTAGCAAAATTCAATTATTTTTCTAAATTCTTTGCTAATATTTAATTATTTTCAATACAATTTGAATCAAATTTTTCGAAAGAATTCAATTATTTTAGAAAATTTGAAATTTCTTCCAAAAGAATTCAATTATTTTCAATACAATTTTAATTAAATTCCTTCTTTCTGAAATCATTTTTAATGCAATTCTTTTTAGCAATTCAATTATTTCTAAAAAATTTTATGAAATTTTTCAAAATATTTTAATTATTTTCAAAAATTTTGTTAAAATTCTTCGCGAGAATTCAACAATTTTCATAAATAATAAAATTATTCGATGAAATCAATTATTTTCATAAATAATAAAATTCTTTATTTATTTATTTAACTGAATTTATTTATTCCTTATTTCACTAAAATTCAATTATTTATAAAATTTTATTAAAATTCTAGGCAAAATTCAATTATTTTCATAACTAACCATATTTCTGCTTCTAAATTCAATTATTTTCAAAAATTTTCATAAAATTCTAGTCAAAATTCAATTATTTTAAAAAATAACATTATTTTTGCGTCTGTATTAAATTATTTTTTAAAATTTTATTAAAATTTTAGGAAAAATTCAATTATTTTTAAAAATAATAATATTTCTTCGTCTAAATCAATTATTTTCAAAAATTTCATAAAAACTGCAACTAACAGGAATCATAGTAAATAAAAAATTCGTAGAATCGAAATTTCTATGATAAAAAATTTCAGAAAACTTCTATTTTTCAAAAATTGTAGACAATCATCTTTATAGAATAATCACGCGACCCAAATTTTTTCAAAAACACCAAAATTCTCACTCTCGAATCTGCACCTTCTTTTAGGCAAGTTTCAGACAATTTCGCTAATTATAATAAAAGAAGTTTCAAGACGTTTCTAAACGAGTGCGTATACTTAATTAACAACAAATTTTACCATTTGAGGAATTTTTTTTTTTTTTTTTTTTTGAACAACAAAAGGGAGTATTGCACAAATAATAAGGAGTTTTGAAGAACGGCGAGAAAAGAGAGAGAAATTATTTTTGTGAAAAACAAAGAGCAAAAGTTGAAAACTGTGTCAACAGGCTTGCAGCAAAATGAGGGAATGCCAACGTGGAAGACCGAATCTCCAGATGGAACAGAGTCACATCAAAACAGTGCAGTTTCGAAATCAAATTCCGGGCTGAATGGTAAACAAAGTGTTTAAAATTTCTATTTATTTTCTATAATAAAAGCGCAAATCGAACATGGATTTGTGAATGTTAACTTTTGCACTGTGTGTGGATCGTCGCAGGACTTCTACATTCGACACTTTCGAGTCGGCGTTCGGAAGTTAATGGAACAACTCCTTTAGATGAAAAACCACTCGACATCTCCTGTAACGAGAAAGCCCACCCTCTCTACGGCCATGGGGTTTGTAAGTGGCCTGGCTGTGAAGCAATTTGTGAAGACTATCAAGCATTCCTTAAGTAAGTTCAATAACCTGAAATTATAACTTTTATACGCGGAGAAAATTTATTTTCCAAATTTTACTGAATTTAGATCGGTAAAATTGGGATGAACCGTCGAAACAGTAATTTTTCAAGAACTAGACTGTAAAAGCTGTTGCATTAAATAATAATGTAAAAAGCATAAACCTTACGATATTTGTATTAGCGCTTCACTTACAGTTCAGTAAATCGTAAGATAAGTGTTCCCTGTACTTATTTTTACTGAATAGTTCGGTAAAACGTAAGATAAGTGTTCGGTAAAATTCGTCAGTTTCAATTTACTGAATAGTTCGGCAAAACTTGAAGAACAAAAATAAAAAATAGTTTGAAACAATTCAATTATTTTTAAAATAGTAAAATTTTTCCGAACTTTTCAAAAAAAAATTCAATTTTTTCAAAAATTTTAATAAAATTCTTTCTAAAAATTCAATTATATTTAATACAATCACAATGAAATTCATCCAAAGAATTTAAATTTTCATCGAAACAATTATATTATTTTTCAAAACTCTCGTCAAAATTTTAATTTCTTTCATAAATAACAACATTTTTCAAATGATTTCAATTACTTTAAAATTTTTTAATAAAATTCTTTCTAAAAATGCAATTATATTTAATATAATCTCAATTAAATTCCTGCAAAGAATTTAAACTTTTATCGAAACAATTATATGATTTTTCAAAAATTATAATGAAAATCTTAGCAAGATTCCAATTATTTTCATAAAAAACAACATTTTTCAAAGGATTTCAATTATTTTCAAAAATTTTAATAAAATTCTTTCTAAAAATTCAATTATACTCAATGAAATCTCAATTAAATTCCCCCAAAAGAATTTAAATTTTCACCGAAACAAGTATATTATTTGAAGATTTCAATTATTTTCAAATATTTAAAAAAAATTCTTCTTAAAAATTCAATTATCTTCATGAAAAGAAAATTTCTTTTGAAGATTTCAATTATTGTCTCAAATAATACAATTTTTTCAGAGGATTTTGATTAATTTAAAAAATAATAAAATTCTAGGCAAAATTTAATTATATTTTCATAAATAACAATATTTCTACTTCTAAATTCAATTATTTTCAAAAATTTTATGGAAATTCTAGTCAAAATTTAATTATTTTCAAAATAACAATATTTCTGCGTCTAAAATCGATTATTTTGGAAAATTTTGTTAAAATTCTAGGAAAAATTCAATTATTTCCAAAAATACAATTTTTGAATACAATTTAAATAAAATATCTCGAAAGAATTTAATTATTTTAAAAAATTTTAAATAGAATTCTTGCAAAAAAAATTTTGATTATTTTCAATACGATTTTAATTGAACCTTTTCTTTTAAAATCAATTTTAATAAAATTCTTCAGAGAATTTCAAGTATTTTTAAACATTTTAATGACAATATTCCAAAAAATCTAATTATTTTTAAAAATTTTACTACAATTTTTGGCAAGAATTAAATTATTTTCATTGAATAAAAAAATTCTTCGCTGAAATTCATTTATTTTCATAAATAATAAAATTCTTCGCTAAAATTCAAATATTTTTAATGCAATTTTAATAAAATTTATCGAAAGAATACAATTATTTAAAAAAAAAATTTTAATAGAATTCTTGCAAAAATAATTGGATTATTTTCAATACAAGTTTAATTGAATTCTCTCCTTTTGAAATTAATTTAAATAAAATTCTTCCGAGAAATTCAATTATTTTCAGTACAATTCTAATTTAATTTCTCTAAATAATTTTATTTTAATAATTTACTTATTTATTCAATTATTTTTAAAAATTTTAATAAAATTCTACTTAAAAATTCAATTATCTTCATAAAAAATAAGATTCTTTCGAAGAATTCAATTATTATCTCAGATAATAAAATTCTTCCGAGTATTTCAATTATTTTCAAAAGTTTTAATAAAATTCTTCTTAAAAATTCAATTATCATCATAAAAAGAAAAATTCTTTTGAAGATTTCAATTATTGTCTCAAATAATAAAATTCTTTTTAGGATTTTAATTATTTTCAAAAATTTTAATAAAATTCTTCTTATAAATTTAATTATCTTCTTAAAAGAATAAAATTCTTTTGAAGATTTCAATTATTTTCATTCATAGAAAAATTCTTCGAGGAATTTAAATTATTTTCAAAAATTTGAAACATATTTTTGCCAAGAAATTCTTTCGAAGTAAGATTAATAGCAAAAATTAAATTACTTTTTATAAATAATAAAATTCTCCTGAGGAATTCAATTATTTTCAATACAATTTCAATAAACTTCAAAAATCAAATATTTCATTATAATTATTAACAGTTACGATTCTTTTTAAAAAGTTGAAAAAATTCTTTCTTTAATTCAATTATTTTCAAAACTTTGAATTAAAAGTATTTAAAATACATACAAAGAAATTCTTTAAAAGAACTTAATTATTATTTACAAAAACTCTAATAAAATTGTTTAAAAGAGTTTAATTTTCCATATCAATAATTTTAACAAAATTCAATAATTAGATATTTAATTTCAATTATTAAGAAACACGATTATTTTAAAAAAACTTGAAAGAAATTGTTCATAAAATTCTATTACTTTTAATAATTTAATAATTTAATAGATTAATTTTAAAATTGAAAATATTTAATAAGAAAAATTATTAAAAACGTTTAGGAAACAAAAAAGCAAACAGCAACTAACTTCAAACTGCGAACAGATTTTACCGGAATAAAACGATTATTAATATAGATTACGATTATGCCACTATATCCCAACTTTACTGAAAAATTCGGTAAACTATAAGGACAAAATTTTCTCCGTGTACTGTTACAAATTCCCCATGACAAAAATCGAAAAAACCAACCGGAATATCAATCGGTTCTTATTTATTTATTTTTTTTTTTTGAAACTTCAAATTCGAATATCGAAGTATACTTGAAATCCAGTGTATTTACTCTATTCCTACATAATAATCTCGATTAGTGCTGTAGAGAAGAGATTTTCAATTTTTGAAATCGAGGAAAAGCGAGTAATAAGAAAATAGAAACATTTTTTTTTTCTCGAGAGAGAGAGAGAGAGAGAAAGTTCGGAGAAATTGTTCGTCATCGTGTCTCATTGATATCCAGTGCCTTCGTCTTTTGTATTCCATCTTCCATCTCCCTTGGTTTTCGTCTTACAATTCCTAGTAATCACGTAGCCCGTCGCCGCCAACTCCCTCAAACAAGTCGTTACTTTAAAAAAACGCTAATTACCTTTGTCTCATTAATATTCACGACATTCGACCGCATCGTTATGCCTCCCGGTCTAATCCCACCTCCGCGTCCGCTCTGAAGCCCGACCTTCTTCCCGCATCTTCGGTTTTAACCATCCCCCCGAACCATATTCCCTTAGCTCCCAGCAAGACGTTGGTCCACTACGCAAAGGATTATGGTAATCAAAATTAAAATGCCGCTGATTTTTAGGATGTCATTCCTCTCCCCACCCCCACCCCTCAGTCCTTTTTGCTATGTACACTTTAAAATTAAAAGTTCATTCTCAATTTAACCATTCCTTGCAAATTTTTAATAAACTTTTTTCAGTTGAAATTTTTTTCCCATTTTTCCATTGCTTTTCTTATTGTTTTTTTTTTGATAAAATTTTTAATGTTGTTTTTGAATTTAATAATTGGTAAAATTAAAACAAGATTGACATTTAAATTTTGATTACATCACAATTTTAATGGCAATCAAAATTTTAATGTCAATCTTGTTTTAATTTTACTAATGTTGTAGTATCTGAAGAAGAAAGTGTGGAGTAATGTTGATTTAATTAAACATTTTTGGCTTTATAGGCACTTAAATACAGAACACACGTTGGACGACAGGTCGACAGCTCAAGCCAGAGTTCAAATGCAAGTGGTTTCACAGCTGGAGATTCAGCTGCAGAAGGAACGCGATCGGTTAACCGCCATGATGCATCATCTGCACGTGGCAAAACAAATGGCTTCGCCGGAACCACCAAAGTCATCTGAGTCGTCCGTAAGTTTCATGAAAAAAAACAGTCCTGCCTATTCACAATAAAGGCTATTGTTTATTAGAAAAATATTCCAGTATTATCAGAAAATAATAATAAAGAATTTTAGATCTTATACTTTAATGCAAAATAATAATAATAATAATAATAATAATAATAATAATAATAATAATAATAATAATAATAATAATAATAATAATAATAATAATAATAATAATAATAATAATAATAATAATATAAAAATAATAATTATTGTCAGATCAATTTTACGAGGCCTTTAAAAGCCTCATAAAATTGATCTGACAAAATATTTAATAAGGACGTAAAATTATTTGAACAAATAATAATAATTATTATTATTTGAATAATTTTAAATTCACAATTTGAAAATATCTCACTAATTAATTATTATTATTTATTATTTTTAACAAATTTTCAAAATTCTGTAATAAAATTCTTCTCAAAAATTATTCAATTATTTTCAAAAATTTTATTAAAATTCTAGACAAAATTCAATTATTTTCATAAATAACATTATTTCTGCCTCTAAATTCAATTATTTAAAAATTTTTTATTAAAATTCTAAGCAAAATCCAATTATTTTCAAAAATAATAAAATTCTTCGATCAATTCAATTATTTTCATAAATAATAAAATTCTTCATTGAAATTCAATTATTTTTAAAATTTTATTAAAATTCAATGCAAAATTTAATTATTTTCATAACTTACAATATTTCTGCTTCTAAATTAAATTATTTTCAAAAAATTTACTAAAATTTTAGTCAAAATTCAATTATTTGCAAACATAATATTATTTCTGCGTCTAAATTCAATTATTTTCAAAATTTTTATTAAAATTCTTGGAAAAATTCAATTATTTTCAAAAATAACAATATTTCTGCGTCTAAATTTAATTAATTCCAAAAATTTCATTAAAATTCAATTATTTCAATAAATAATAATATTTTTTATAAGAATTCAATTATTTTTAAAAATTTTATTTTATTCTACGGAGAAATTCAATTATTTTTCAAAATTTTAATAAAAATATTTTTAAAAATTCAAATATTTTGATACATTTTGCCAAAATGTTTCTCAAGAATTCAATTATTTTTATTGAATGAAAATAATCTTCGTTGAAATTCAATTATTTTTATTGAATGAAAAAATCTTTGTTGAAATTCAATTATTTTCATTAATAAAAAATTCTGAGCTGGAATTCAATTATTTTCATGAATAATAAAATTCTTCACTAAAATTCAATTATTTACAATACAATTTTAATCAAATTTCTCAAAAGACTTCAATTATTTATTTATTTTAGAAAATTTTAAATAGAATTCTTTCAAAAAGAAATGGATGATTTTCAATACAATTTTAATTGAATTTTTTCTATGGAAATCAAATTTAATAAAATTCTTCAGATAAATTCAAGTATTTTTTAAAAATTTTAGTAAAATATTTTAAAAAGTTTAATTATTTTTAAAAATTTTTCTACAATTTTTCACAAGAATTCCATTATTTTCATTAAATGAAAAAATTCTTCGCTGAAATTCAATTATTTTCATAAATAATAAAATTATTCGGAGAAATTCAATTATTTTAGAAAATTTTTAATTTCTTCCAAAAGAATTTGATTTTTTTTAATACAATTTTAATTGAACCTTTTGAAAACAATTTTAATAAAATTCGTCCGTGAAATTGAATTACTTTTTAAATTTTCATTGAAACTTCAAAAAAATTAAATTATTTTTCAAAATTGTAATAAAATTCTTCTCAAGAATTCAATTACTTTTATTAAATAAAAAAAATTTTCTTCGAAATTTAATTATTTTCATAAAAAATAAAATTCTTCTCTGAAATTCAATTATTTTCATAAATAATAAAATTCTTTGCTGAAATTCAATTTTATATTCAATACAATTTTAATAAAATTTTCGAAAGAATTATTCCAGAAAATTAAAATTTTTTCTTGTCAAGATTCTTATTAAAATTCTTTAAAATAATTGAATTGTTTTAAAGAATTTATTTCAATTTTCTCAAAAAATAATGGAGTTTTTTAAAATAATTTTTACTGAAAATTTTGCAAGTAATTGAATTTTTTGAAGACTTTCTCTTTTGAGTTTTTAAAATAATCGTGTTTATTATTAATTTCTTTCCACTATTATTTAATTCCTTTCTTTTTAAATCAATTTTAATAAAATTCTTCGGAAAAATTTAATTATTTTTTTAATTTTTAATGAAACTCTTCAAAAACATTCAATTATTTTTAAAAATTTAAATAGAATTCTTCATAAGAATTCAATTATTTTCAGTTCAATTTTAATTCAATTCCTAGAAAAAATTTAATTATTTTCAACAATTTTAATAAATAATTTTCCAAACATTTGGATTTTATAATTTGTCAAAGAATTTTATTATAGAATTTTTATTTAATAATTTTGCCTAAAAATCAGGAAAAATCAAAATTAAATTTTTGTGGCCTTTCTTAACATTTGTTTCTATATAAAATTTGGCCAAATAAAAATTCAAATCTAAAAATTCGACTATATAAACTTCGAACCAACAATTCAATGGAGAATATTTATGCGCCTCTTAATAGAGGCGTATTTTTATTTGTTTCCTCGTATACATCGCATTTCCTGTTTTGCTAGTTTGAGCCAAAAAGAAATCGGAGATCAAAGAATCTCGAGAGAAAATAAAATAGAAAAAAGAAACCGAAACGAGAAACTCGGGGGAAAAAACGACAGTGTAATGATAGTTCCGGGAACGTCTGTTCAAGTTCCGGGCAAAGTATAATATTATGTTGGTGAAATCGTAAAGTGGCCCTTTTCCAGAGAGAGAGAGTGACGAGCCGATGCTGCGGATTTTACGAGCTTTGTGGCTTCAATTGGCAAACAACGCTAGTTTCAGTTTTAACGTGCCACGGACCCGAGTGCTAATTTATACATGAAGTTGATATTAATAATTCATCGCCCCGGCGATTTATATCGCCTTAATTAAAACCCCTAACAAGTTAGACAGTCAGAGAATACCCAATATCGCAGTTGCTCTCAGCAATATCTTTTCTCAAGCACGAAATAATTACTGTGGCGCGCGATGCTCAAAATTTTCAACCTCCTCGATTATTTACCCAGAAATATGTCCTAACTTTTACAAGAGGCCGTTTGTAATTTTTATAATTTCCTTTTTTAATTTCTCATTTCGTTTTCTACTCTAATTTCTCTTTTACTCCACTTCTACATTACGGAAAAAAATAAATTGTATTTACAAAAATCCGAGTTCTTTACTCGGAGTGATTCTTGACTTCATTTTTTTACTATTCTGCGACAACCGAGGGAAAATAATTTTTTTTTTACAAAAAATAAATATTAATAGTTTTAAATTCGATTTTTTTATAAATATTAGATCTAAAATGATAAAGGTTTCTTTTTCATCTTTCAGACGAGTTCGAGTTTACCAAAGTTAAGTTTATCGTCCGCGCTGATGAGTCAACCACCGCCAACTTTTGGTGTGTCGCAAGTGTCTCCGGTGTCCATGTCCGCATTGGTGTCGGCCGTGAGGTCTCCTGGTGGACAATTGCCCCCTTCGGCGGGCGGCAATCCGTTGCCACCACTTCCCAATATGGCGAATATGACCGGACTACCACCGATGCCCAGTCTGCCCGGTTCCATGCCCAGCATGGCTGGACCCATCAGAAGAAGGATCAGCGACAAATCTGCTCTTTCCTTAACCGGAGGTAAGTTTCTAATTTCAAATATTTTTTCTACACGCATTTTCTTTATCGAAAACAAGAGTTGATACAATTTTTCCCAAAAATCAGGGTGTCTATTAACCGGAAAATAGCCGGAAATTTAATTTAACCGGGAAAAACCGGAAATAAGCCAGAAATTTTATGCCAAACCAGGAATTTTTTCACCAAATTTACGAAAATTTTATTATTTTAATTTGTTTTTAAAGAATCGATTTTTATTTCAATTTTTGTAGATACTAAATAGTATATATTTATATACGACTGAGTGATAGAATCATCTCTACTCTTTTGTAGATACTGTTCTCTAAATTTGAATTAGTTAAAAATAATTAATTTGATAGTAAAAATCAGTCAGTAAAAAAAAATTTTTTAATTAAAAAAAATTATCGAAATAATAGAAATTTTGTGAAATACACTAAAAATAATTAAATTTGTTAAAGAATTTCATTAAAAATTGTTTAACAAATCGAATTTTCAAAGTATTTTAATTTAATAATTGATAAAGAATTTTGAATTTTATGAAGAGTCACATTCTAATGTATTCAAGTTTCTTGGTGCGAAGATTAATAATTACAATTTTTATTAGTTAAATTAAAAAAATACACACTTAAAACTTGTTAATAAAATTAAATTTTCGCAAAGTTTTTTTTGAAAATTCTGAAAAATACGATTTTTGAAATTTTTCAATTCTGACAATTTTTGAAATAATTAAAATTTGTTTACATTCTATTGAAAATAATTATATTCTTTTAAAGATTTTATATAAATTTTTCGAAAATAATAAGTTAGTCACCGTAATTATAATTTTATTTTTAAAAATTTCTGCGCAATACATTCAATTATTTTCATAAACAGTAAAAATCATTACAGAATTTCAATTATTTTTAATACAATTTTAATCGAATTCCTCGAAAAATATAATTATTCTTAAAAATTTTATTAAAATTCGTCGAAAGAATTCAATTATTTGTAGAAACTGTAAATAAAATTCTTCTCATGAATTAAATTATTTCCATAAATTGCAAAATTCTTCAGATTTAATAAATTCTTTTGAATATTATTTAAAAAAAAAATTCTTCACAAGAATTCAATTATTTTCATAAATTTCCATAAAATTCTAAAAAAACAATTCAATTGAGGGCTCGGATCAAAGAACCGACGCTTGTAAACGCACATAACATTGCGAAGCGTCGGTTCTTCGATCCGAGCCCTCAATTATATTCAAAAGCAATAAAATCCTTCGCAGAAATTAAATTATGTTTCAAAAATTTTTTTAAATTCTCCTCAAAATTTCAATTCTCTTTATAAATAATTAAATTGTTCTCTACAATTCAATTATTTTCAAAAATTTCATTAAAATTCAAAGAAAAATTCACTTATTTTTATAAATAATAATATTCATCATAAGAATACAATTATTTTCAAAAGTAATAAAATTCTTCGCAGAAATTCAATTATTTTCAAAAATTTCATTAAAATTCTGAGCAAAAGTCAATTATTTTCATAAATAATAATATTTATCATGAGAATTGAATTATTTTCAAAAGTAATAAAATTCTTCGCAGAAATTCAATTATTTTCAAAAATTTTATTAAAATTCTAGACAAAATTCAATTATTTTCATAAATAACAATATTTCTGCCTCTAAATTCAATTATTTAAAATTTTTTTATTAAAATTCTAAGCAAAATCCAATTATTTTCAAAAATAATAAAATTCTTCGATCAATTCAATTATTTTCATAAATAATAAAATTCTTCATTGAAATTCAATTATTTCTAAAATTTTATTAAAATTCAATGCAAAATTTAATTATTTTCATAACTAATAATATTTTTGCTTCTAAATTAAATTATTTTCAAAAAATTTATTAAAATTTTAGTCGAAATTCAATTATTTTCAATCATTTTATTAAAATTCTAATCAAAATTCAATTATTTTCGTAAATAATAGTATTCATGGTAAGAATTCAATTATTTTTAAAAATAACAATATTTATGCTTCTAAATTAAATTATTTTCAAAAAATTTATTAAAATTTTAGTCGAAATTCAATTATTTTCAATCATTTTATTAAAATTCTAATCAAAATTCAATTATTTTCGTAAATAATAGTATTCATGGTAAGAATTCAATTATTTTCAAAAATAACAATATTTGTGCTTCTAAATTAAATTATTTTCAAAAAATTTATTAAAATTTTAGTCAAAATTCAATTATTTGCAAACATAATATTATTTCTGCGTCTAAATTCAATAATTTTCAAAAATTTTATTAAAATTCTTGGAAAAATTCAATTATTTTCAAAAATAACAATATTTCTGCGTCTAAATTTAATTAATTACAAAAATTTCATTAAAATTCAATTATTTCAATAAATAATAATATTTTTTATAAAAATTCTATTATTTTCAAAAATTTTATTAAAATTCTAGGCAAAATTCAATTATTTTCATAAATAACAATATTTCTGCCTCTAAATTCAATTATTTTTCCAAATTTTATTAAAATTCCCAAGCAAAATTCAATTATTTTCATAAATAATAATATTCAATGTCAGAATTGCATTATTTTCCAAATTTTTAATTAAAATTATTAAAAATAACATTATTTTAAAAATATTTAAAGAAACTTGTCAAAAGAATTTAATTATTCATAAAAAATCTAATAAAAATTTTGGAAGCTATTTGTAGATTTATTTCTGTTCGAAATCAAATAAATTTAAATTTGATGAAAAAAAACTGGGAAAAAGTAAGACAAAGCCGGGAATTTTGTTGAACGAAAATAGTAGACACCCTGAAAAACTAACATAATTTCTTTTATTATTTCCAACTAAATTTCTAACTAAATTCTCACTAAATTTAGAAATTTTCAAAATTTCTTTCATGTTTTTTTTTTCAATTTCGATCGTATCGAAATTTTCTAAAATCGGAAACAATTTTTATTTATTTAAATTTCCTCTAGCTCGACAATATTTTATTCAATTTAAAAAATTTTATTTCCTTGAATTTTTTACACACTGAATTTCTATATTAATTTATCTAAATAAAAAATTCAATCTACTAAATTGAAACTAATTTAGGAAATATTGATTAATCTCTTCTCTTTTCTATATAATTTAAAAATCATAATTTTCGAAACAGGTATACCTTTATAATAAATTAATATTGCTTTCTAAATTTAACAAAATGTCTAACAAATTTTTTGGCACCGCTTTGGTAACGTATAGTTTCCAAATCCAATTCTGGCTTTTAATATTAAAAATTAAAAATTTACAAAAACACTTGAAAATATAATTCTAATAAATTTAAATTCTTTCTTGAGATTTTTTTTTCATTTTATATTGTACTATTACCAATATTAGAAAATTATGTCTCGTTCGCGTCGACAAGATGAAAAATGATCAAATTGAGAATTGAATGCTATTCGTAGGACTGTTTGAGGAGGGAACTGTAAGGCGCAGAGTATCCGTCGATAGATCTGGATTAGATATTAACGAAGGTAACGATATTCATTGAAAAAAAAAATCAGGGTGATGCTCGGTTCATGAAATGCCTCTAAATTTCCTTCTTTTTTTGATTTTGCTAAAACTTTCATTTAATTTTATCAATATTACATCTGCTTTAGTTTCCTTAGTAAACTTAAATTTTATTTTATTTTCTCTTAAAGTTTGTTAATTATTTTTCCGTTTTGATTATTTTCAAACTTAAATACTTGGCATTTCATGACAGGATGTCGTCTCTTTTTTTTAAGAAATAAAAAAAAGCCATTAACCCTGACCAGATTTCCCATATTAGTAATATTTGCACTTTACGGTCCTCTCTTGGTCTTATTTATCCCGTCGTTATAATTATGCGTGCACATATTTGTATAAATATTATAATCACTCGGTTTTTCACGTAAATTTTTGCAAAAAAAAATTGGCATTCGACACCTTGTTGGCGACGTAAACGAACAATTAATTTGTCAAATAATAATTAATTTACGCTTTTTGAGCGTTTATATTATTTTTTTTTGTCACATCACAAGAAATTGAAATTTTTTCTTACCGATGGTTCTCTTGTTTCTTCATTTCTTGTGCTGCCCGCCCTCCCCACCGTGTAGGGCTGCCCTACATGCTGGAGCGTGCTGGCCTAGACGTCCAACAAGGTACTGTCAAACTTACCTTCGTGTAGCTTCAAGAGAATCGTTGTAAATTGTTTTTTGCATGTCCAATAAAGCAGATTGCGATAATTGAATGAACAAAATCTGTTGAATATTTTTCTTCTATCGAGAGATTTTATTTGAAAAAAATTGCAAATAAAGTTATATTAAAGGATTTTTCAGAGTAAAAAGAAAATTTGAATTTAAAAGCAGTTTTAACTAATTTTCAACTTGACTGCATATTCTCAGGGTTGCCAGAAAAATTTAATTTTGATTTTTTCGTTTAAAATGAATATTTAATCATTATTATATTTAAATATAAATTAACATTTCACAACTTTTTGAAATTCAACAACTTCTAAGAATATTATTATAAAAAATGAAAATAAAAATAAAATGAAAAAAAATGAAATGAAAATAAAATGAAGAAAAAAAAAGAAAAAAGAAAATGAAAAAGAAAATAAAAAAAAATGAAAAAATCGATCACTCCGAGTCTTTGACTCGGTACGATCAATTTCTTCATTTTTTATAATAATAATAATTAAAGAAGACACAAGTGACAAAATAATTATTTTTTATTATACTATAAAAAATATTGTTACAGTTCAAAATTATTTTTATCATTTCAATTTAATTATTATTTCTACAATTTTTAACTAAAATTCTTTTTTTAAATTTAAATCAATTATTTTTTATAATTTGTGACAAAGTTTTTTGAGAATTTTCAAATCTATTTGTTTACTATTCAATTTTCCCGCAAAAATTTCGATTATTCGGAAATTCTTCAATTAAATCTAAATTAGAAAGTAAAAAATTCAAATAAATTTCCAAAAAGTTCAATTAAACCTTTTAAAAAAAATTAATTCTACAGAATTGTTATTTAAAAGTATGAAAAATACAAATTTTCAAAGATTTCAATTTAAAAACTTTTCAAAATTCAGTTATTTCTAAAAATTGCAAGTTTGTGTAACTTTTCCAAAATTCAATTGTTTTCTGCCATTTTTAACTAAAATTCATCTGGAAATCAATTATTCTTAATAATTCAATAAAAATTGTCTAAAATTTAAAATTAAAACTTATTGCAATTCAATTATTTTCAAAAAATTATTTTAACGTTTTTGGCAAGAATTTAAAAATCCCAATAAATTCTTCGTAAGAATTCAATTATTTTCAAAAAATTATAATAAAATTATTCACTAGAATTCAATCAGGGATTCAATTATCTTTAAAAATAGTAAAATTCTTCTCAGAGATTAAATTATTGTAAAAAAATGTTAATAAAATATTGTTACTGCAAATTTTTTATAATAATTTTCATATTTTCAATTCATTTATTATTTTATTGAATTTTTAACTAAAACTCTTTTTTAAATCAATTATTTTTAATAATTTTTCGAAAAAGTTCTTTAAGAGTTATAAAATCCATTTTGTTTTCTATTCAATTTTACCGCAAAAATTTCGATTATTCGGAAATTCTTCAATTAAATCTATATTAGGGGTCAAACCATTTTATTTCGCCTAATGTATTTTTGACCTTTATAAAAAATTTCAATACTCAGGGAAAATATTCTGACATGTTCTGGGATGACGAAATGAACAATGATTTGTAAAAAATAATTACATTTCGTATAAAAAAAGATGTTATAAATTGAGAGTACATGAAAAAAGGTTACATTGACAGACATTACAAAATATTTAAAAAGGAGTAATCACTTTAAGAAATATAAAAAAAGCGATTGATATTTATTTTTAAAGACTGAATTTGTGTTTTGAACTTGATAAAAGTATTAAATAATTTATAATAATCTGTAAAATATGTTATTTAAGTTTCTGTATGAAATGTCAAATATCGATCATATTTAACAATTTTTTTTGGCAAAGTAATTTAATTTTAGTAAATCAGAATTATTTAAATAATAAGTATTTTAAATACACTTTAATATTATTTAAATACTTTTTTGATTATCAACTGAGAAATATAACAAAATTTACCTTAAAAATTAACCATTCTTCATTTTCTCGGGATTTTGAATGTTTGTAACTTCGTTGGAGAAAAACCGATTTATGTCAAATTTTCGGAGCATGTAGATTGAAGCAATATCTTCCTACTGCTAAAATTTCGCGATGGGTTTTGCACTAGTCTTCAAAAAAAAAATGATTTAAAAAAATTGTTTATTTTGAAGGTTACAGACAAGTATTATAACATAACTTGAAGTTGGTTTGCTACTTGCGATAAAAGTCAAATTCAAAATAAAACGATTTTTTTAAAGTCAGTTTAAAACAAACCAACTTTAAGTCAGCTATAATACTTGTCAATAACCTTCAAAATTAACACTTTTTTTAAATCAATTTCTTTTGAAGACTAGTGCAAAACCCATCGCGAAATTTTAGGAGTAGGAAGATATTGCTTCAATCTACATGCTCCAAAAATTTGACATAAATCGGTTTTTCTCCAACGAAGTTACAAACATTCAAAATCCCGAGAAAATGAAGAATGGTTAATTTTTAAGGTAAATTTTGTTATTTTTCTCAGTTGATAATCAAAAAAGTATTTAAATAATATTAAAGTGTATTTAAAATACTTATTATTTAATTAATTCTGATTTACTAAAATTAAATTACTTTGCCAAAAAAAATTGTTAAATATGATCGATATTTGACATTTCATACAGAAACTTAAATAACATATTTTACAGATTATTATAAATTATTTAATACTTTTATCAAGTTCAAAACACAAATTCAGTCTTTAAAAATAAATATCAATCGCTTTTTTTATATTTCTTAAAGTGATTACTCCTTTTTAAATATTTTGTAATGTCTGTCAATGTAACCTTTTTTCATGTACTCTCAATTTATAACATCTTTTTTTATACTTAATGTAATTATTTTTTACAAATCATTGTTCATTTCGTCCTCCCAGAACATGTCAGAATATTTTTCCTGAGTATTGAAATTTTTTATAAAGGTCAAAAATACATTAGGCGAAATAAAATGGTTTGACCCTTAGAAAATAAAAACTTCAAATAATTTAAAAAAAAAAAAATTCGATTAAACTTTTTCAAAAAAAAATTAATTCTACAGAATTGTGTTAGTTAAAAGTATGAAAAATTTAGATATTCAAGGATTTTAATTTAAAACCTTTTCAAAATTTCAATTATTTCTAAAAATTTTATTAAAATTTTAGGCAAAATTCAATTATTTTGATAAATATCAATATTTCTGCGTTTAAATTCAATTATTTCCAAAAATTTCATTAAAATTCTAAGCAAAATTCAATTATTTTCATAAATAATAATAATATTCATCATAAGAATTCAATTATTTTCAAAAGTAATAAAATTGTTCTCAGATATTCAATTATTTTCAAAAATTTTATTAAAATTCTAGAAAAAATTCAATTATTTTCATAAATAATTTTTCAATATTTTATTCAAATTCTTGCTATAATACTTTTAATTTTCAAATATTATCTAAAATTTTAACTAAAATTCAATTTTAAATCAAATTTTATTAAAAAAATGCTACGAGAATTCAATTATTTAAATACAAAAATAAATAATTTATTGAATAATTCAACATTTCTTAAAATTGAATTCTCATAAGGAATTTTATCAACAAATTTTTAAATAATTAAATTCTTTTGACGAATTCTAATTTAAAATTTTAAATAATAATTCACTTTTTCGAGGAATTCAATTAAAATTGTACTAAAAATAATTGAAAATTGTATTGAAAATAATCAATTCTTTTGAAAGACTTGTATTTAAAATTTTCTAAAATAATTGAATTTTTCTGAAAGAATTCTATTTAAAATTTTCTAAAATAATTGAATTCTTTTTTGAAATTTTATTGAAAAAAATAGATATTGAAAATCATTTAATACAGAAAAATTTATTCGAAAATAATTGACATTTTTCTAAGAATTTTATAAAAAATTTTGAAAATAATTTAATTTCAGAGCAGAGTTTTATTATTTTTTTAAAGATAATTGAAATTTTGACGAGAATTTAAAAAAATTTTTTAGCATAATTGAATTTCTGTGATGAATTTTGTTAATTATAAGAATAATCGAATTCTTATTTAGAATCTATTATTAAAGTTTTTGAAAATAATTGAATTTCTGTAAAGAATTTTTTCATTCATGAATATAAATAATTGAATTCTTGCAAAGACTTTAATAAAACTTTTGTAAATAATTGAAATTTTTGTACAAAATTGTATTATTTATCAAAATTATTGAATTTTTGCACAGAATGCTATTAAAATGTTTGTAAATAATTAATTCATTTACAGAATGAATTTAATATTTGAATTCGAAAAATTTAACTAAAATTGTATTGAAAATAAGTGAATTCTTATAAAGAATATCATTAAAATATTTCAAATAATTGAATTTCGGACAGGAATTTTATCATATTTATGAAGAAAATTGATTTCTTGCAAAGAATTCAATAAAATTTTTGAAAGTAATTGAATTTTTGAGAATAATTTTATTAAAGATTTTGAAAATAATTGTATTTCTGTGGCAACCCTCATTCTACTTGACTAGCGTCATATATATTCTATTTTATTTTTTTTATAAATTTATTCTGCATGAGAAATTGCAAAATTGGGTTAAAAATAAGAAAATAAAAGTTTAAGAGAAGAAAAATAATATTTGAGTCCGCTTTCTTATATTGAAAAGATTTATTTGCAATTTTTGTTTTACATAGCTGGAAAATTTTCCTTAAGAATAAAAAAAATTTTTTTAAATATTTTTGTTTCTAATATTTCTTCTATTTACTGCCTGTGTATTTTGAATAGAGTAAATTTCAATAATGCAATTTTTGAAGTAAAAATTTAATTTTTTTTTTTAAAATGTACAAAATGTTCAGTTATAAAGCTTATACAAAACCTATCTCCTGCGTGCATTTAGAAAGTCTGCTTGTTTACACCGCAATTATAAACATGCAAAAAGACAGCGAGTCTTACAATTCATTGCGTTAAAGGCCATTAGCACATATTGGCATTATTTACTTTGAATTTATACCAAGAAAGTTTCATTATTTTTACAGAAATTCAACGTAATAGGGAATTTTACAAAAATGCCGATATAAGACCGCCATTCACGTACGCTTCCTTAATTCGACAGGTGAGTGAATGTAATTTAATAGAAATTCATCTTGGCACAGTAATGAGAAAATGCGACAAAAAAAAAACAAAATTTTTGTAATATATCTTTGTCTGTAGCCAAAATTGACTGGAAGGTATATAGGTTTTATACTTATATTTTATACTGATTTAGAAAAAAAGAAAATTATATTTTTTATTTAATTCAAAATTGTTTTAAAAAATAACAAATTTTTTTTTTTCATTTAAAATGAGAGAAAATAATTTTTTTTATTTTTTTTTATATTGATCTTCATTATTTTCATTACAGTCGATAATCGAATCTCCGGAAAAGCAGCTGACATTGAACGAAATTTACAACTGGTTTCAAAATACGTTCTGCTATTTCCGACGCAACGCAGCTACATGGAAGGTATATCTTAATATCCTAATTAATTAAAAATTAGGACTTAAAAAAAAAAAAAATTAAGCTTGCAATTTTCGCTTCAATAGCAAAAGTTTATCTCATCGCTCATGATTGGCTTTGACCGAAAAACTTTGCTATTTAAATGAAAATGATAATTTTTTGCTTTTCTAGGGAATTAATTTCGTTAGAGAAGCAAAAGTAATTTTCTTCGCTTTTCATATTTTTTGATATTAAAAATATAAAAAGCGAATTTATTTCTTTCCGTGAGACATCGCTGCGTTAAAATTAGTTCAAGAAAGGTAATCTGAAAGCAGGATAGGGAACGCTGCTCTTTCACTTGTTGGTAAAGTCCTTAGCCAAAGTTTCCTTTGAAAATGTTACTATAAATAATAATTAATAATTTATTGAAAATTGATTTTAAAAGAACCAAAAAACAATTTTTACCTTTTTTATTTTTTAAAGCGAAAAAAGAATACAATTTTCGGAGGAGATTTTGTTCTAAAGTGATTTTGTCAGGAAGAGAAAGCAGTTTTCCCGCAGGATGGAATAAAAACAAAAAATTTGTTCTAGAAATATTTTCATATAATATAGGAATCGAGGATGTTTATATGGCATTCGTAGAAAGCGTCATTATTAGGATTTATTTTGAGACTATAATTCGTTTATTTCGCGGGAAAAAAATAGATTTTTTATTTGAGTGCGGGATTCAATTATTTACAGAAATAAAAATTAATTGAAAATGCTGTTTTCAATTAACAGGATCCAGAATTCAAATGGATAAAGAAAGCTGAATTTATTGAAGCTAAACTAACGTTCTTCCATTGTAGGAAAGGATCGGTAAATCGTAGTGCATTCAATTCTGCTGTTGCTTAAACATTTTTATTTTTCATCAGTCAATCAAAACAAAATTTTTTTTTATTTATTTTTATTTATTTTATTTAATTTTATAAAATTTTTTACTTGCTTTTTAATATGAAGAAAGATGCAAATTAAAAAAATTTGAGAAAGAAAATAGCAAAAGTTATTCTGATATGATAAAAGAAATCGTCTCACGCGAATGTGTGAAGAAAAGAGGGTGCTCGTTGACAAATTATATGTGTGCGCGAAAGAGTGAGAGAGAGTGTGAGAAATTGACGTATGCTAAAAAAAGCTTTGCCTCGCATGAATCTGTGTTGATGAAAATATATGATATAAAAAACAAAAAAACAGGTTTCCTTGAGCAGCAGCCGGGCACACATTAGCAGAAAGAAAAATGGATCATCGAGAGTAGTCAATCAACTTTTAGGTTCTGACATGTTCAGCCCTGCGGCATGAATTGTTGTATAGTTTTAGTTAATTAGTTGTGCATTAACAATACGAGAATGCCTCAAATCGTGCCTCTTTCAATTAATCGTTTTAGTTATTTTATTTATTCTTTTTGCCTCATTTTTACAATATTACTATACTAGAACTACACTATATTATTAACGCCGCGATTAATATTTATCCTCACCAATATTTTTGAGTATTTATTAATTCCATCCTTCGCACCGCATTCGCAACCTTACTTGATTTGGAAATGCCACACAAAAAATGCCAGACTGAAGAAATACAAGGTCACACGTCGTGAAGAAAGGGAAGGAAGCAAAAGTTTATAGGTTAGGTTTGTTACTACCTTTCTTCGTTTCTAATTTTGTAAAATGAAAAAACAATTTCTATTGAATATTGAGACTTTCGCTTAGTAACGAACATAACCTGTAAGATTTTACTTCTTGTCCCTTTTTTGCGACGCGTCACAAATTTCAAATTTTACTCTTTTTTCAAAATATTTCTTTTGCAAATATGAAGAAAACAGTTTTTAAAGATTAAAGTGAGAATATTTTTTTATTTTCATAACTGTCGTGCGAAATAAAAACTTAGTTGGTACTTTGTCGCTAAAGGGACATTACCCCCCAACTGGACAGGCGGAAATCTACCTTACCGACAATGTGACCTAACCAACTTTTTGTTTCATACACGACAGTAGAGTAGAGTAAATATTCCAAATGTGGCTAGTGAATAGTGGCAGTGCCAATAGAAAAAAAACACGGTAATATTTATCAAAAAAAAAAAAAAAAGAAAAAACCTGCGAAACTCCTTCCTGGCTCCTGAAGAGGATGCTTCTGATTAATGAGTATCAAAAATCCTGATGACACAAACATTGCTGGTGCGGTGTAAATCCATCGTCCGATCTCTCCGAGTCGTGATTGAGTTGGCTTCATTAGTTTTTTGCGTTGCTTATTTAGTCTGTGTATTATTTTGTATAGAACGCAGTACGACACAACCTGTCTCTCCACAAATGTTTCATGCGAGTCGAAAATGTGAAAGGGGCCGTTTGGACGGTGGACGAAGTGGAGTTTTACAAGAGACGTCCTCAACGCGCTTGCAGCACTACTGGGTACGTTAGCCCCACACGCGCGATTTTTTTTCTTTTTTCCTCTTTTTTATTCTCCTTCATCTTTTTTAATATCTCTTTTTTATTAAAAAGAATTATCAATCCAAATCGTTCAACAAATTTTCAATAATACACAATAATACATAATAATACATATTAATACACAATAATACCTATTATATTCATATATATATTCGCTACAGTCACACACAAACAATATCGCTTATCATATATTCTTCCCACTTTTCCCGTTCCTTTCATTCAAATCATTATTTCTCTTTTTCTCTCTTTCTATTTCTCTTTCTCTTTCATTTTCTACTTTCTCCTATTTACACTAAAATTTTTACTCTTGACAATCTATTTTGCTTACAAATTTTCTATACAAAATTATACAAATTTTATATATTCTACTTATAATTCTATTTATCATTCTATTTATATATTCTATTTTTGACTATTTTTAACTATTTTTGAACAACTAGTTTTCATGTTCTATTTTAATAAGTATTTTTTAGTATTCTTAATAAGTATTTTTTTAGTATTCTTAATAAGTATTTTTTAGTATTCTTAATAAGAATTTTTTTAGTATTCTTATTAAGTACTTTTAATATTCTACTTTAATGAGTATTTTTAATATTCTATTTTTACTGTTTATATTAGTCGGTATTTATGTGTGTATATATTTATATTTATGTCTAAATAATTTTCGCTCTTTATATTTATATATATGCTCCTCTAGGTATATAATTATTATAAACGCTCAGGTGATCGTGTCACCTATTGTGCGATTTTGATCTTTTCGCTTTTTTAGATCTTTCTTTCTCTCTTTTATCTCTCGTTATTCAATAGTGTGTGATTTTTAATTATTCAATTTCTATTTTTATATTAAATAGTTGATAAGATATTTATATTTATGTATTTGTCAACACAATCACGCCATTTTTTATCTTTAATTGTCGCTTATGTATTTTCATGTCCGTCTGTTTGTACGTCCACGTTTTGTTTCTTTTCTTAATTTATTCACGTCATGTTCGGTGAAGAAAACGGTAAATGTTTTTTGAGACTTGATTTGTAGAGGGAAAAAGTTTCATTTAATGAGTTATTTTATGGGAAATCTGATGGTGAAGAAAGGTGTGGCACTGAAGAAAGGTATATCACTGAAGAAAGGTTTACACCTTTCTTCAGTGCTACACCTTTCTTCAGTGCTTTACCTTTCTTCAGTGCCACACCTTTCTTCAGTGTTTCACCTTTCTTTAGTGATTTACCTTTCTACCATGAACTGAAGAAAAGTGTGGCACTGAAGAAAGATTTACACCTTTCTTCAGTGCTTTACCTTTCTACTATGAACTGAAGAAAGGTAAAGCACTGAAGAAAGGTGTAAGTCTTTCTTCAGTGCCACACCTTTCTTCAGTTCATGGTAGAAAGTTAAAGTACTGAAGAAAGGTAAAGCACTGAAGAAAGGTGTAAACCTTTCTTTAGTGATATACCTTTCTTCAGTGCCACACCTTTCTTCAGTTCATAGTAGAAAGGTAAAGCACTGAAGAAAGGTGAAGCACTGAAAAAAAGTATAGCAATGAAAAAAGGTATAGCACTGAAGAAAGGTGTATACCTTTCTTCAGTGATATACCTTTTTTCAGTGCCACACTTTAATTTTTTTTCACAGAAAATGTAAGGACGAAAATAATTACCATTTTTCCCACGAACGTGACATGATTCAGGCTAGAATTGTTTTCGAAAATTTACAAGAATTGAATTAAAAATAAATTCTACAAAGTTAGAGAAACTATTGTTTTTGAATTATTGAAATTTTCGAGAGCAATTGTTGCCGCAATAGATGTGTTGAACTGAACGTGTGTGAATTTAAAAATAAGTATAACGTCATGTGAAGACTCTGCGTTAAAGAGGGGATGTGTGTTGTGTGTGCGAGAGAGGGTTTATATGATTGTGATGAAACAGTAAATATATAAAGTAGAAAAGGAGTGTGCTTAACCAGCATGTGAGCTTTGCAGCGATTAACAGCAAGACTTTTTTGGGAAAAGGGGCGCAGTCTTGAGCGGCAGTAGTAGCCGTGCGCCGAGATCATGCAGATTATCCCGGAGCTGAAAATCGTCACGAGAATTTAAGAATAATTTTTTTTTTAAAAAAGCATTTAGACTTGAAAAAAAGAAACAGAACAATCTGTTGTTGCACGTCTCAAGGTAGTTGAAGGAGTCGCTATAATTCACACTATTTTCTCCCTGCCTTCTTTTATTACAAATTCTCTAGCTGTTCTACCTATTTTTTCTATATATAAATTTTTTAAACAATTGCCGTTTAAGTGCACGTATGCGAGCAATTTATATATATATCAAGGTGCATTCTTAAGCGACAATGACGATAATTTTTACGCGGCATGATATAATATTTTAAAAAGAAAGAATTTTTTGACTTAAAAAAAAAGAACGAAATTTTTTCGTATTTTTTCGAAAAGCGAAAAATCGAACGAGAGTGGATGAGCGAGATGAGCCCGATGCCTGTAACCAGAAACCAACCAACAATCTTGTCTTTTTTTACTCTCTTTTCTCTATTTCTTGGTGGTCTTGTCTGTGTATACAGAACGCGATCCGCACCAATCTATCATTGCACAAGTGTTTTGTGCGCTATGAGGACGACTTCGGGTCATTCTGGATGGTGGACGACGCCGAGTTCGTAAAGCGGCGGCATCTGTCCCGCGGCCGTCCCAGGAAATATGACCCAACCCCATCACCCACTCCACCCCACCTCTCCGCACAGTAAGCACTACCACTTTTTAGAATTCTGCTGCTGGCTGCCAAGACGTTCTGACAGTCCGTCTTATATTATCTTTCTGTCTCTGTATTTCTCTTCTCCTCCTGCCTTCCTTCCATATATATTAATATATCGCATTTTCTTTTGTTTTTTGGCGGACAAAAAAAATTTGACTCTTTCCATAGAATCTTTCTTTTCATTCATTCATTTTGAAAAAAAAAATTGTGTGATAATAAATGCCAAATGAAACCAAAGCTCTCGGATTTCACGCGATTAAACGATTTCGAATTAATTTCAATTTGCACTTGTCATCACAATGATTATAAATACAAATGATCGTCATATTTCATCAAATGATCACTATGATCTTGATTTTTTTAAATTTATTATAAATTTAAAATATTTTTCGAATACATTTAGTTTGGTTCATTTCACTTCATTTGCAAACAATTATTTATTAATTGTACAGATATAATTCTGGAACATATCGCGAAAAAAATTTAAGGTTATGTTCACTGCCACCTTCGGAATCTTTAGTCCAGAAGCTCATGAAACTCGAAATAAATCTTTAAATATCCGCAGTTTTTCCATCTTGCGCGCAAAAGTTGACTAAAAATTGGAAAATAGTGTTAAAAAACTTAGGAATTTCTTTAAAATTATAAAACGTAAAAAACAAAATATGTAATTTGTGATTTATTTAAGATTTTTTTTTTTTTGCCTCTTTATCATGGATTTCTTCTGAAACTTATGAGAAAACCAGTTTTCCATTACTGAGAAAAATAAATTAATAAAAATAACTCATTTAATTAAAAATTATTGAATTAATATAATTTATTACTTATAAATATAATTAAGGTTCCCCCCCCCCCATAAATAGATATTTATTTTCTATCTTTCTTACATATAAAAATTAGCATTTAAAAAAAAATGATGCAAATTTTTTTTTAATTTTTAATAATATTTTTTGAAAAATTCAATTATTTTTAATAGAATTTTAATAAAATTTCATGAAAGAATTTAATTTTTTTTTAATTTTTAATAACATTTTATGAAAAAATTCAATTAATTTATAAAATTTTTATAAATCCTTCGAAACAATTCAATTATATTTATGTAAAATTCTTTTTAAAAATTCAATTATATTTAAAAAAATTTCTCGAAAGAATTCAATTTTTTTCCTAATTCATTAAAAAAAATTGCAATAGAATTCAATTATTTGCTAAAACTTTAATAAATTCTTGGAAAAAATTCAATTATATTTATAAATAGTAAAATTCTTTGCAAAAATTTAATTATTTTTAATACAATTTTAATAAAATTTCATGAAAGAATTCATTTTTTTTAATTTTTAATATTTTTCCAAAAAAAATTCAATATTGTTTTCAAAATTTTTAATTAAAATTAATAAAGAATCTCCATTATTTAAAAAAAAGTTTATTTCAAGTTTTATTAGCTACGGGACTAAAGATTCCGAAGGTGGCAGTCCAGTTAATTTCAACTTTCAGAAAATTTTCTGTAATCTGTAATTACTGTAATCAAAATTTTACTTGAAGAAGAAAATACAAATTTCGTTCACATCGAGTGTTGAGAACTTTATTTTTCGAAAAACTCAATGAACCAAAGTATGAGAACAATCTTTTTTTTTTTGTTTCATGCGCAGATTATTATCATCCTCTCGTTAAGAGGCGAAAGTTTTGGTTTCTCAAGAAAAATGTCTTAAGGTTAATAAAGAAAAACTTGTATCAAATATTCATTAATTCAAACTTTAAAACTCTCAGAGAGAGACCCTTTTATACAGAAGTTTTTCTCTTTTTTCTAAACGTACAAAAAAGAAAAAGTTAAATTTTCACCGCGGATGATATTATTTTCCCCGCGTGTTCGAAAAATATGCAAGGGGATTAAAACATAAATAATTAATGAAATGCAAATAAAATGAATTCTGAAAATTCTTTAAGAGAAAAAGAGGGACAAATATTGAAACTATGGAAAAAGCAAGTAACGCTCTCTCAGAGCTAAAATGACATGTAGAATAATGTAAATTTTATAATATACTAAAATCTTGTGTATTAGTTTTGTGAACAAAAAATTAAAAAAAATTAAAATTAAAAAAAGGAGCGAAGGCAGCGGGAAGTAGCTCTCTACAGTTTCCACCAATCCATTGAACGTGACATCCCGCATCGTGCCTGTCTCAACGGACATTTCCCTGAGAAATGTCTGTGTAGTAGTTATAGGATCCTTTGCTTGCACCACTCAATAAAATATCCTAGCAATGTTCTCCTTAAAATAGCACACTAACTGTAAGTACTTTTACTGGAAAAAAAAGTAGACCATATGAAACCAGATGGTCTCAGCATTAAAAGATACGAATCTTTTGAATAATCCTGCAAAAAATTCCAGCCACGTGACGATTGGTCAAAAGTCTGCAGATTATTCAAATTGTCTTCCAGTATAGTTGACAGCATGAAAATATCCTTAAAGTTTAAAAAAAAAATAAAGCAAAATTCCAAAACAAAAAAAACCCTCGCTAACCTTGGAATGCAGCGAGCTTCAATCGTGCTTCAAGTAAAGCTTTTTTAATGTGTCGGCTTTAAGGAAATGAGTGCCTTTGAGTGAATGACAATTATTTTTCTTCTGTTTTTTATTTTCCCTAATTCATATTCAATATTATTTTCAAAAATGAATTTAAAAATTTGGTTTTTTTTGAAAATCTTACTGCAAGTAGGAAAATGATGACATTTTTTATGATGACATTTTCCTACTTGCAGCAAGCTTGCACTGCTCAAACTTCTTCGTAGAATATTTTTTTCCACTTGTTTCGGAGTTTTTACGGTTTCTTTTCAAGATTATAATTATTTTTTTGCACTTTTCTTTTTCTAATGAAAAATGTATAAAAAGATTTCAGAATAGAAATTTATTTTAGAAAGGAAAATTATAAACATTTTTCATCAAAAAAAGGAAAAGTACAAAAGAAATCAAAAATTTTCAAATTCTTTGAAAAGAATCAAAATTGAAAAGAAACTGTAAAGAGTTCGAAAAATAAAGACAATGAATCAAAAATAACTGTATTTAAGCCTTTTTATCACAAAAGAATGAAAAAATTATTAATTATTTTAAATAGTTTCATATCTTTTTTTTCTTTAGATTAGTTTTTTTTTATTTGCTCAAAAACAGAGAATAGAAAATATAAAAAAAGAAATGTGACGCGCACTGAAGAAAGGTACATAAGAAGCAAAACATTTTTAGGTTATGTTTGCTTTTATCTTAATTAAAAGTTTCGGAGTTTAATTTAAAACTAAAATCAGTTTTTAGTAATTATTTTAAATGTAATGAAGAATTAAACATTAGTTTTACGATTTTTTTAATTCAGAGTTGATCTCCTTTGTGTATTTTTATTCCAAAAACATTGCAAACATAACCTACAATTTTTTGCTTCTTACCTTTCTTCAGTGGGCGGGGCGTTACAAATATTTCTTAAATTCATAAATATCAATTTTGATTCTAAGTGTTAATTTTGATTTTAATTTTCAATTTTTTAGCAAACTAGCATTTAACACAATTTTCTGATTCCTCAAAATATGATTTTTGTTCAATTAAAAAAGTAAAAAATTTTTGTTTTAAAAAAGAAACAGATGTTTAATTAAAAAAGAAAAACTTTTTTGTTTAAAGAAAGAAAAACTTTTTTATTTAAAAAAAGAAAAAGATGTTCATAATTAAAAAAGAAAAACTTTTCTGTTTAAAAAAAGGAAAAGATGTTCAATTAAAAAAGAAAAACTTTTTTGTTTAAAAAAATAAAAAGATGTTCAATTAAAAAAGGAAATTTTCTGTTTAAAGAAAGGAAAAGATTTTCAGTAAAAAAAGAAAAACTTTTTTGTTTAAAAAAAGATGTTCAATTAAAAAAGTGGATTTTTTGTTTAAAAAAAGAAAAAGACGTTCAATTTAAAAAATAAAGTTTTTTTGTTTAAAAAGAGAAAAGTAAACTTTTTTAATTGAAGAGAAATCACATATTCTGAAGAATCAGGATCAAAAAATAATTTTTTTTTACTCATTGTAAAAAAATTAATTTTTTTTGAAATATAATTTTGTTGAGTATGAGTTAAAAAAAAAATTTCGTATGAGAGAAAATTGTGTGCCAGAGCTACAAGCGCATGTGTAAATTGTGTAAATTGGTTGTATCACGACTACAAACTCGGACAATGCGGAACTTACCAACAATTTAAAATTTCGGCGTATTTACACTCAAGGTATCAAAAAAAAAAAATTCTTTACTAATGATCGATTTTTCTCTATATTATTACTAATTTTTTTCATATTTATATATTCTAGAATTATAATTATAAATTTTTAATATTTTTCAAATATTTTTACACTCTTCAACAATTTTTAAATTTTATATATATATTCTTCCTCTTCTCTATCTTTTTTCTCTTTATACACTATTTTTAACAAACGCTCCAATATCGTTATTTCATAAATAGCCTATGGGAAAATTTAATTTTTTTTGGCATGCATTTGTTTTATATAGAGACTGAAAATTATTTTTTAGTCCTTTTTTTTAATATATTTTCGCATTTTTATGCGCAAATATAAAAATTTAAAAAGTGGACCATAATAATTTACAGGAATTGAACGTTAAATTGATATTTATTCAAATTCTTTATTTATGTACTGATGTACTGAAAAAAAAGTAAATTAAAAAAAAATTATGAATTGGGATGGGATATTTATTCAATTTAACGGACAATATTTTGCTCAGTCGAATCAAGGAGCCAGGAATTTGAAAGTACAGGTAAACCCCATGGCTATTTATAAATAATTATGGCTTTTAAATTCAAAGTGATTTTACTTAAAAAAAAAAAAAAATTTTGAATAATAATATTAATAAAATATTAATAAGAAAAATAGTAAAAAGACATCTTTTCTCTATTAATAAAAAATATTAATAAAAATAATAATAAAAAATATTAAATATAACAATATTCTTACTAAATTACTGTAATAGGGCAATATTTATAAAATTTATTACATTGGTCAAGATCTATAAAAAAATTGTATAAATAATGTACCACAGTATAAAAAAATAAATTATTTTGTAATAATATATTTAATATAAATTGTCTTTGTACGTAAGCCAGAGCGTTTTATTTTCGATTTTTTATATCTCTTTTTCAATCTAAACTCACTCTTTATCACCGCACGGGTTGAGAAGATTCAGAAAAAATTATTCGGTATATTAGGTAAGATTTTTTCCAACTCTTTTTTAATTATATATCTTTGTATTTTTATATAAATTTTATATATATATTTATAATTCATATTTTCTCTTTACATTTTTCTCTCACTTTTTTCTCTCTATTTTTCTCTATTCTTCGTTCTTTATTCTCTTCTTTAATATACACATAATTTATATAACTTAATATATATTATATATATAAGAAACATAAACATTTTTTCCCCCACACACATATTCTTTTGTTCCCATATAATTTTTTTTTCTCTTCAAATTCTCAAAAAAAAAAAAAAAAAATTTACTAACAGTTTCCTTGCTCAAAACACTTACACAATAATTTTCAGGTTTTTAATTTTTTAAAAATTTATTGAAATAAATGTAAAAAATGTTTAACCATGGACTTTTTTCTTTGTTAATTATTAGGGGTGTGCCATCTAAAAGTCCAACGCTGACTCACAGTCCAACCATGTATGGCGATGCGCTAAATGCAAACCTACAGGTAATTATTAATGATTGTTGAATTTTTTTAGAATAATTTTAGAATAATTTCAGATTCAAAATTTAAAAAAATTCAATTATTAACTAATTTACAAATTAATTATTATTATTTGTTTTCAAAAACTGTAATAAAATTCTTCGAAGGAATTCAATTATTTTCAATACAATTTTTGAATAAAATTTCTCAAAAGAATTCAATTATTTTTGAAAACTTGATAAAATTCTTCGCAAAAACTCAAATTAGTTTGAAAAATTTTGAATAAATTCTTCGACAATTGAAATATTGTCAATACAATTTTAATTAATTCCTCGAAAAAATTCCATTATTTATAAAATTCTTTGCAAAATTTCAATTATTTTCATAATTTATAAAAATTTTCGGAGGAATTTAATTATATTTTAACGAATATTAATAAAATTCTTTGCGGCTGCATCTACAATAGAAAAAAATAATGTGTAGAAAAATGTGTAATTTGTAGTGTAATGTGTATTGTTTTTAGCACTGCCAACTGTCAGGGTCAATTACACTATACATTACACAATTTTCTACACATTATTTTTTCTGTTGTAGACGCAGCCTGCAGGAATTTAATACAATTTTAATAAAATTTCTCCAAAAGAATTCAATTGTTTTTGAACACTTGCTAAAATTCTTTGCAAAAATTCAAATTATTTTGAAAAATTTTGATTACAATCATTGACAATTGAAATATTGTCAATATACAATTTTAATTAATTCCTCGAAAAAATTCCATTATTTATAAAATTCTTGGCAAGATTTCAATTATTTTCATAATTTATAAAAAATTTCTGAGGAATTTAATTATATTTTAATGAATATTAATAAAATTCTTCGCAGGAATTTAATTATTTTAAAGAATTGTAATAAAATTTTTTGCAAAAATTTTATTATTTTGAAAAATTTAATTAAAATTTTTGTAGAAAAAACTTTGATGAAATATTTTGAAAAAATGTAATTCTTTTCCTGAATAATAAAATTCTTCATAATTCAAAATTTAATTACTTTTGAAAAATTTATGTTAAATTCTTTATAAGAATTCACTTATTTTTAATACAATTTTAATAAAATTCTTACCAAGATTTCAATTATTTTCATAATTAATAACATTTTTCAAAAAAATTCTATTATTTTTTTCAAGAATTTTGATAGAACTCTTAATATTATTTTAATTAAATTTTTCGCAAGCATTAACTAACTTTTAAAGATTTTGATTCAATTTTCCGCAAGAAATTTCATTATTTTGAAAAATTTGGATAAATTTCCTTTTAAGAATGCAATTATTTACAGATTTAAAAATTATATAAAAAAAAAATAATAAGTATAAAAAAATGTTTTTAATTGGAAACATTTTGGTTAAATTAATTTTTAGTATTTTTTAATCTTCAAAAGAATAAATTAAAATTTTATTAAAAATAAAAATTAAAAACATGACAATTTTTTTATATTTTGAATCAAAATTTTTGTTTGTACGCTACTTTTGATTATAAATTCTCTATGAATTTTGCAATATTCAAAATCAATTTCAGGAAAAATTAGTAAAATTTACTTAGTACTTGCTAAAATTTTTTCTAAAAATACTAAAATTTCGAAATCAATTTTAGTAAAAATTTTAGTAAAATTTACTTCAGATTTAGTAAAATTTTCTCTAAAAATATTAAAATGTAGAAATTAATACATTTTATTTACAGAAAAAGAAAAATTTACTTAGAAGTAGTAAAATTTATTCTGCAAATAAAAAAAAAATTGAAATTTTATTCTTCAACATAACTAAAAAAATGTTCTAATTTACAAAAAATGCCAATTTTCATAAGTTTTTCTTAAAAATAAGGGAAAAAGGGGTGAAAATATATTATTTAAGGTGTTTTAGAATTTTATATTAATTTAAGAAAACTAACTGTGATTCCTATAATTAAAATTAAAGAAAAAATACTTTTTTTCAAGAGACATAAAAAATTCATATATATGCAGATCTCTTGTGTGCAGGAATTGGCAAAAAAAATTGGAGCCAGACTTGATATTCAATGATTTATATAGAATAATTTTTACATATGGATTAATTTTTAGAGGGAAATTATTTATTATTTCTAAAATTATTTCAGTTCTCAGAAGAATAATGAAAAATTTAAATTAATATAAAATTGATCTTACCAAAATTCTTTTTATTTTTACGAATTGGAATTATTTTTTAAAATTAAAAATATTGAAAATCGAATTTTTTTAATAGTTTCTGATGAAAGTGGTAGAATATTATGCTATTGGCATTAAATTTTTAATTAAAATTTAACCCATTGACACGGAGAAATCGTTATGTTTATTAAAAATTTATTATTGACTGTGCGCCATTTTTACTTTATCGTTAAATATTTAATTTAATCAGAATTCAGAGGAATACATTATAAAAAAGACGTTTTCCATATTATTTTCTATCGTTTCCGTTGACTTTGTTAAAATTAAAATACTACGACGTTCTTATTTTTGTTTTCCGTTTTATTTTATGTTATTTTCTTTTGTTAATTTTCGATAAATCTGTTGATTTATCAATGCATATGTCACAACTCACAACAATTTATTTCATTTATTAACTAGTTTTTAATATTCTTTAATTAATTTATTTATTTATTTACTTGGATATACAAATATAGATATTATTACGAATATAGACAACTACAAATAGAGAAACAGATAAATTGTTAACTAGTTTTAAATATTCTTTTATTTATTTATAAATATAGATATTATGGCGATAAACAAATAATTTATTAACTAGTTTGAAATATTGTTTAATTTCGTTTAATATGGACTGTAATTCGAGCAGTAACTAACTATCTGATGCAATTTGAGTATTTCCAGGCTGCCCTGGGGGAGTCTAATATGGGCTTTCTGAACAACTCAATGTGTACATCAACAACAACAAGCCCTGACAAGGAACACGTGATGCCCCACAGTGATTTAATGTAAGTTTCGCTACAATACAGCAAAACATATTACACAATTATATTTTTAGATTAATTAATATTCTTTTGTCTTGTAAGTCATTTTTTTATATAGACATTTATTGCATATTATTATTTGTATTCTATTATTTATTTTTATTATTAAATTATTCTAAACTTATGAAATATTATATTTTTGATATTTAGTGCATTAGATAGATTTGAAAAAATTACATTTATATTTTATAGTGCTTTAAATAATTATACAGTAATGTTTGTACAGGCCCCGGATCGACTTTAAAGCCCAAAAAATAGTCGTTTTAGTCAAATTCAAAATTGAAAAAAAGTGGAAAAAGTCATTTATTTCAACCAAAAGTTGTTACAAAAATTTGGTTTTTTATTTCCCTGGCCATTTCTATTTTCTCTGATTTTTAGAAAATTTTTAAACTTTTTCTTTCGTTTTTGAAAAATTAAAATTTATTTCTACATGATTTTTTAATATTTCTTCTATAACTCTTCCAAATTGCAACTATTTTCTAGAATTCTTAATTAAAATTTTATTTCTTCTGTAAATTATCAGAAAGTTATTCGAAAATTTAATACTTTTAGACACAAAAATTCAATTTATTTAAAATTTGTGTACTGTAACTCTCTTTAAAAAAAGTTTTCAAGGTAAAAACAATTCAAAGTTTTCAGTATTTTCTAAAAATACCAAAAATTCGAATTTGTGTAGCATTTTTAGAAATTTAATGATTTTTTCCATTAAGTATTTTGAATAAAATAAAACAAATAAAGGTTTAGTACCCAAAATTGAATTAAAATTAATACCGATTGCTGTAATTTCACAATTATTTTCTAGAATTTTTAACTAAAATAATTCGAAAGTTTAACAATTTCTAAAAATAATATTTGAATACAGACTGTAACAAAAATGTTCTTTAAGAATTCAATCATTCAGAAAAAAAAATTCACTTAAACACTACGTTTAAAATTCAATTGTTATTCATTGAATTTTACGAAATTTCGTTTATTTAAAATTTTTTAATTGAATAGGTATAAATTCAAAAATAACAAAAAAAATTATTAATAATTAGTTAATTGAAAAAAAATTTAAATTAAAATTTTTCAAAGAACTAAATTGTTCAGAAATTTTAATTTAAATTACTCAAAATTGAAACCTTAAAAAATTTTATTTTAAAACTTTCTAAAATTTAATTGTTTCCAAAAATTTCTTGTGTAGCTCTTCCAATATTCAACTATTTTCTAGAATTTTTAACTCATTCTTTTCTAAATTTAAAATAAAATTCTTCGCAAAAATTCAATTATGTTCAAAAATTTTTAAAAATTCTCGTAAAAATTTCAATTATTTTCAAAAGTAATAAAATTCTTCTTCGAAATTCAATTATTTTCAAAAATTTTCCTCAATCCAATAATTTTCAATATCTACTATTTTAATCAAATTTCCCAAAGGAATTGAATTATTTTTAAAAAAAATTTAATACACAAAGAGTTTATAACAATTTTGAAGAAAAATATAGAAACATAGACTGTAGGTAACTTCTCTAAAATTCAATTATTTTCTAGGATTTTTAATTGAAATTTCTTTCTAAATCAATTATATTTTAATAATTTTAAAAAAGTTCTTTAAAAATTCAGTTATTCAAAAAAAAGCCAAGTTCAATTAAAATACGTCTAAAATTCAAGGGTTTTTAATTGAATTTTACGAAATTTCATTTATTTGAAATTTTTTAATTGAATATAAAATTACAAAATTACAAAAAATTATTAATAATTATTTAATTAAGAAAAAATTTGAAATAAAATTTTTCAAAGAACTAAATTGTTCAGAACTTTTAATTTAAATTACTCAAAATTGAAAACTTTAAAAATTTTTATTTAAAACCTTCTGAAATTTAATTCTTTCAAAAATTTCTACTGTAGCTTTTCCAATATTTAATTATTTTGTAGAATTTTTAACTCATTCTTTTCTAAATTTTAAATAAAATTCTTATCACTCGGTTATCTTTAATTAAATAAATAAATAAAATAAATTTAATTAAATAAATAAAAAACTAGAAGAAATCGATAACTCCGAGTCGAAGACTCGGAGTCATCGATTTCTTCATGTTTTATAGTAATATTCTTATAAGTGATATTTTGTTGCAATATATGAAAGAAAATTCAAAATAATGACATTTTTTCGAAAATCAGACGAAAACTGTCCCTTTTTTTTGAAAATAGTCGATCCGAAAAAAAATCCGAGGCCTGTAATGTACTTTTGAAAATATTTCACCGCCAGATAAAAATTATACATTTATTTGAAATTAAACTTTGATAGGTCACCGCTGGATGAACCAGTTGTGCATATAAAACAAGAAGGTCTGTGTCCCGAGGGTGGAAAACTGTCGAGATTGATAAAACGTGAACTTGAAGCGCCAACGGAACATGAACAGGAGCAGGATCATGAGCACGAGGAGGACACAGTCGACGACAGGGAGTATCCCGAGAGTCATGGTCACGACTCAGGACAAGACGAGGACATGGCCGAAGATTTGTCCATGGCTCCTGACATAATGACATCTGACGATCACATCGAGGCGTAGTATATCCGCTCCAAAAACTAGATAATTTTCTTTCAACGCTTCGTTAACGAGAGATATTTCTTTTTTCAAAAAGAAGTTAATCTCTTTCTCCAAACAAACTCATCATATCCAAAAAAAAAAACAAATGCCGCGCTCCCAGGCGCACGAAACAATTAAATTAACAAAAAAAAAAAAAAAATAAAGAAGAAGAAGAAGAAAAAGAAGAAGAAGACTTTGTCAACCCTTTAAGACGATAATTATTATAAGAAAGTAATGTCACGAAGTGTCGAGTGTCAAGGGAATTGACTCTCGACGTGATCTAATGATTCATATCTTTATTCAAAGCAATTACGAAACAACGATGCATATTACAAGTACGCCTCGGTCGCATGTATATTCTGTAGTGTAGCTCATTACGACAATTTGCTTTTCACCGTAACCAATTCTCAAAAAAATCAATTTGGAATTGTAATTCGTTTATTATAATAATATTTACGGTGTCGCAGCGATGTCAAAAAAAAAAGCGATAATCTTATCGACGCACTTGTCTTTATTCGTGTTTTGAGAGTTGGAAATTGCTTCTCGTTCGCGACAGAAGATGTCAATAGTCACAGCAAAAATATTTGTAAATATAAAAAAAGCTGCATTTGGCACAATCGTCAAAAAAAAAGCAACACAAATTCAGTTGCTTCATCTTCTCGAACGATTAGCAAACCATTTCCATCTCAATTCTCTCGGCTGTTTTACTCTTGTGTACACCCCGTGTACACAAAACGTTTGTAGATAAATATAAAAAAAAAATTATTTAGTCATTATAACGCGTAGTTTCGACCGAAGTCAATCTGTTGGCGTATTCTAGAAACCAATTTGTATGAATGATGTGTCGATGGGTACGTTCGGGAGTACAATGACTGATCAAGGTAGAATTTAAGAGAGGCCGCTTTAAATTAATTTAATGCCTCGAAAGAAATATCGTCATCTCATGGCTGTCAAGTTAAATTGACTAGAGAAATAAAAAAATTGCTATGCGACATTTAATTAGGTGTAATAAAAAAAAAAAAAAAAAAAAAAAGACAAATATGCGTCGACAACGGTTCAGCCCGACGTACCCGTCCGCAGTGTATAGAATTCATAAGTAGTTTCATATTACCGAGTATCGATTTAGAATTTGTAAATGAAATAATTGTCAGTTAATTAATTAATAAAATGAGACAAGACACGAGGAACGCCATAGCATGCATTTTTAGCTACAAAAAAGTTATTATAACTTGAGTATCAAAGACAAAAAAAAAAAAGAGCAAACAGAAACCGTTCATTAAAGCGGTGGATATAAACAGTATAAATAAACTTATACTATGTATGCATATACATAATATATACGTATACGTATTGGGATATAAAAATTAGCCGTCGACCCCCCGTCCACACTCCAAATACTCTTTTCTCTTCTCGTATAAGTGTACTTTCAGATCTTTCGCAAACTCGTTAAAAAACAACAACGAGTTCAACCAAAAGATTTGATTGTAAAATTCCCGATATTCCGTTATGAAAAAAAAAAAATTTTTAACCACATTTTACGAAAACTGAGATTAATTCAAGACTTTATATATTCTTTATGTTATTAGAAATTTCCATTCACCTATATTATAACTCGTTAATTGTTTCCTGTGATTCAGAAAAATGTATGTGCGTTACTTTAAAGATTTCAATAAAAATTGAATTAAAAATAAAAAAAATAAACATTGTTTTTAAATATGATAAAATTAAATGCGATTTACAGGTCTCGGATCGACTTTAACGAGCAAAAAAAATCGATTCAAAATAGAAAAAAAGTCGAAAAAGTCATTTATTTAATTTAGTGTTGTCACGAAAATTTTATTTCGTATTTCCCTGATTTCTAAATTCAATTAATCAAAACTTGAATAATTTTTCTAAATAAATATTTAAATACTTGTTTCTTTTTTTTCAGGAAATAAAATTAAATGAAAAAATTAATAAAATTTAATAATATTTTAAAAATTAAAACTTTAACCCTTTCAAAAAAATTCAATTATTTTCTACAATTTTTAACTAAACTTTATCTCTAAATTAATTATCTACATTAATTTTTAATAATTAATTTAATTTTCGAAAGTTCGTCGAAAATTCAATTATTTAAATACAAAAATATTCACTTTACAACAACATTTTTATTTTTAAAGATATTAAAAATAGAATATTTTCAAAAATTTTAATAAAGAAACTCTTAAAATTAATTTTTCAAAATATTATTAAATAATTTTTGAAAATAGTTTTACAATTACATACAATTAAAAAATGTCAAAAAAAATTGAAATTTGGTAAAATCTTTTAAAAACTAATTTAAATTTAGTAAAATCTTTTAAATATAATTGAAATTTTGATAAAATTTTTTAAAAATAAATGAGTTTTTTAAAAATACAAAAAAATTTTAATTTAATATGTTTAAAGGTAATTGAATTGAAAGTTCTTCGAGAATTCAATTATTTAAGTACAAAAATTCAATTTTTTATTAATAATTGAATTCGTATGTTTTTCTTTTTAAAGATTAATATATATATTTAACGTTATTTAACGTTATTAATATATATATATATATATTTAACGTTGAATATTTTCAAAAATTATAATAAAGAAATTCGTATAAAATTAACTTTTTAAAAATATTTATAAATACTTTTTGAAAGCCAGTTTTTGACATACAATTAAAAAATGTTCAAAAAATTGAAATTTGGTAAAATTTTTTAAAAACTGATTTAAAGTTAGTAAAATCTTTTTAAAAATAATTGAAATTTGATAAAATTTTTTTATTTAGTTTTTAAAAATATTTCTAAATAATTTTTAAAAGAGAATTTTTGACATACAATTAAAAAATGTCCAAAAAAACTGAAATTTGGAAAAATCTTTTAAAAAATAATTTAAATTTATTAAAATCTATTTAAAAATAATTAAAATTTTTAAACAAAATTTTTAAATAATTGAGTTTTTGAAAGAATACAAAAAAATGTTTTTAAATTTTAATTTACTTTGTTCAAAGGTAAATGAATATTATTAAAAAATTCTGATAAAACAATTCTAAGAATATATTAGTTTTTTATAAATATTATAAAATAATTTTTCGAAAATAATTAAAGAATTTTTATATATAATTAAAAAGAAGCTAATTTTTTGAAGAATTTTAATTAAAAATTTTGATTTTTCTCCAAAAATGTTAAAAATAATTCTAAAAATTTGTAATGTTGAATATTATTTTTAGAACTTAATTTTCATTAATTTTTTAAATGTTTATTTATATTAAATTTGCACTTGAAGATTATATATTAAAATTTTTAAAAATTCAATATTATTTCCAAAATTTTCAATTAAAATTCTTTAAAAGTTAATTTTCAAAAATTGTTATAAAATACTTGAAAAAATGATTTATTTTCAATTAAATTTTACAAAATTACCAATTATTAAAAATCTTTTTAATTCTATATTTCAAAAATTTAATTAGAAAAATTATTCAATATTCAAAAATTAATTTTCAAAGATTTGCCTGCAGTTATGCTTTTTATGCTATAAAAATCGAAATAAGTTGCATTTTATACTAAAAAATATGTTATTTTGTCGCAAAATTTGGAAGAAAAGTCGAAATAGTAGCATTTTTCGAAAATCAGACAAAAACGGTCCCTTTTTTTGAAAATAGTCGAAAAAAGTCGAAAAAATCACAATATCCGAGGCCTGGACCTATTAAATCAAAATTAATTAAAAAAACAACCTACATTCTAAAAATTGTGTGTTTAAGAGATCGACAATCGATTACAATTTTTTCCTCGATTTTGAAATGTTGCAATCCCAAAATTATGTAGTTTTAACTTATCTAGAAAAAAAAAAACCTTAAAGAAAATTAAATATTTGTGAATTTATTAAAAAAATCTATTGGTAAAAAGTGGAACGATAAGATTCGTTACATATTTTTTAATGAAATTGACTTTCTCATTAGTATAAAGTCAAATATATATTTTTATAAAGTTTCATTATAACACCAATAATTGTGTACAATTAATTGATTTTTACTTTTGTACATTTTTAACTTGTTGATACCTAAATTATAATAAATTTCCCCTTTTTAAATGTTGAGTCTAAGATCACATTTTAAAAAAAAATATATATATATATATATATGCGTATATTGTTTGAGAACCTGTTATAAAAAAAAAATAAACGTCTTTAGGAAAATTGGGAGTTTTACAAGTTGTTCCACAAAAAAAAACTAAATTAATAATGATGACTAGTGAATTTAAACACTGATTTTTTCACGTGAAAAATTATAGTCGAACCCAAAGGAGTATAAACACACTAGTTAATTATCAATTTTAATTAAATTATTATTTTACGTAAAGATCGAAATTTTCTTGCAATTCCAATATTTGTGTCTTTAGTTGCGAAGCTATTAAAAATTAAATTATCCGAAAGAAAGAAAAAGGAAAAATTGACTAAGTATAGTGAAAAAATGGAAAAAATCTTCAAAACACTAAAGTGTCTCGAATTTTTTTTCCATTTTTTCGATTAATTTTTTCCATTTTATTTTATTCTTTAAATAAAAGAATAAAACTAAATAATTGAAAAATATTAAAAATTTATTACAAAAGAGACTCTTGATCATAATATTTATAATAAAAAACAAAAAACAATTAAGAGTTTATTTTTTACAATTTAACTTATTTGCTAAAAGAAAAAAAATGCTAATAGAAAAAAATAATTTTTTTATTTACTACTAGTGTGTTTATTCCCACATTTTTCTTTTCGCAAAAAAAAGAAAATGAAAGAATAACCATTGAAAACGATAATTCAAAAGAACTTGTGTAGAAAAAAATTCCCTCACAAGTTGGTGGAACTCGTAACAAGAATAAATGCGAAAAATGGAGCGACAAAAAAGAAACACGCTTACTCCACAATGTAACCAAAATCGAACAGCTTTCGAGCCTGTTCATGTTTATATTAATCAGATGTAATCCACTGCACATAATCGACCCGCACAAAAAAAAAAAAAAAAAAAAACACGCGAGCGAACAGTGCTTGAACGCGGGAATCTCGTAAGATTCGACGAATAAAAATTAGAATTTCCAAATATTAGACAACTTTATTAAATTAAATTGTATGAAATTAAAAATTAAAATTGCTGTGTATTAAATAAAAATTCCTCTGTATTAAATTAAAATTCAGTGTATTAAAAAGAAAGAAAAAAATTCACAATTCGCAAATCGTACAAAAAACCCGCGCTCGCGCACCGCCGCTATTAATCGCCTTTCATTCATCTCTTAGCTACTATAATAATTAATAATAATAATAATAGTAATATTAATAACAAAATAATAATATCAAGATATGGTGGACATTTACACTCTCGATAAACGTTACCGTGACAAGGATGATGACTCCCGGATGGCACTTGGGTCGTGTGCTTATTCTTATTCTCTTCTTTTGTATTTAAATTATTATTATGAATTTTGCGCTCTTCCAAAAATTTCCGGAAATGCGAGATTCATTTCTTATTTAAACACTGTCCTGAGAATAATACAATAATGCAAATAAATTGCGAATCGTAAAATTATTTTATTGCTTTATTTATTCTTCTTACACTATTTCTGTATTTCACTATAAATACCTGCAATATTTAGACAAATTAGTTGTATAATATTAATTTAATTTTACTGAAAATTGTAATAATTTACAGAAAGTTGTAATAATTTACATAAAATTGTAAAATAATTAAAACATAATAATTTATTTTTAGTAATAAGCTTACGAAAAAGCAAATATTTTCACAGCAACTAAATTTTTATGTAAATTTAAATCTAATTAAATTAAATTAACTCAACTTTCTTAAGTAGGAGGAACAAAAATATAATTTTAGAAAATTTTCATTTACTAAAAGTGTAATTTAATCAAATTGCAAATTAATTTACGTTTACATTATATAAGAAAATTAATATATCTCATCGTTAAAATTTTGTTTAATATATTTCTTTTTTTATTTTTTAAATACATTTTTTTTAATTTTTTAAATATATTTGTTTTTTATTTTTTTTAATATTTCTTTTTTTATTTTTTAAATATATGTACTTCTTTTTTTAAATTTTTTAAATAGATTTTTTTTTAAATATATATGTAATTGTTAAAACTTTAAAAATACGAGTATAGAATTATTGTATAATAGTAAATATCGTGCATATAATTATTAATCTCAGGACAGTGGGAATAAATTATTTTTGTCTTTTTCTGATGAAGTGAATATAATTATTTATTATAATAACGACATCAGCGACAAATCTTTTGTAATTATATATCTTAACACTATATCTTTACTTGTGACCATGAAAAAAATACATGTGTCAATTTAGATGATCATAAAATGAAAAAAGTGTTAAACACGGGACATAATCGACATTTTGTGTTCACCGATCGAACAGTGAATCGTATAAGACTATGTATTGTGTATAATGAATTTAAGGACTTGATAATATAGAAGACTCTCCTGTAAATAGATAAAAAAAATACATGTTTATTCCAATGTGTGGTCTACTTTTATTGTCCATGTAATTTTTTATTCATTTCATTTAATTATTTTTTATGAACTATTATTATCATTTCGCTTTTGGAAAATTCTTTTTATTTATTTATAAAATTTCGAATTTGATGAAAATATTTTATTTTTAAATAAAAATTCATTTTCGAACATTTCTTTCCAAAAATTAAATTCCTCGAAAAAATCAATTATTTAAAAAAAGTTTTTTTTTTAATTCTTTGGAAGAAATTTACAAAAATGTTAGAATTTTTCACAAGAATTAATTTATTTATTAATTGTTCCAAAGAAATCAATTATTTTAAATATACAATTTTAATTAAATTTTTTTGAAATAATTCAATTATTCTTTTAGATTTTAATAAAATTCTTCTTCCCAAGAATTCAATTATTTACATAAATAATACTTTGAAAGAATTCAATTATTTTTATAAATGACAAAATTCTCCTCAGGAATTCAATTTTTTTTTAAATTTTAATAATAATCGTTACAAGAATTCAATTATTTTTAAAAATATTAAAACTCATCGCAGGATTTCAATTATTTTTAATACAATTTTAAATAAATTCCGTGAAAAATACAACTATAGTTAAAAATTTTGAATAAAATTCTTTGAAAGAATTCAATTATTTTAAAAAATTTTAATCAAATTCTTTATAATAATTGAATTGTTTTCAATATAATTTTAATAAAATTTTTCAAAAAAATTCAATTATTTTCATAAATAATACACAATTTTCAAAGAATTTCAATTATTTATAATACAATTTTCATACAATTTAAAAAAAATCTATCTTTAAAAGTGTTTTTTTTTAATTCTTCTCAAGAATGCAATTTTTTAAAAAACTATTAAATTTCGGTGACAAAAATTCAATTATTTTTATAATAAAATTCATCGCAGGATTTCAATTATTTTTAATATAGTTTTAAATTAATTCCGCTAAAAACGCAATTATTCTTAAAAATTTGAAAAACAATAATATTTAAAAATAATTATTTTATCACTCGATTGTCATTAACTATTATTTTCAAATTTAATTAATTTTTGTTTAATAAATATTTGAATACTTATTATTTATTTATTTATTCACTGAAAATGAAAAAAAAACATTTTTTATTAAAATTTATATAAATTCAAATAAGAAAATATTTTTTTTCTCTACAATTGACTTTTTATTAAAATTATAAATAATTTATTATTCTAATACTAAAAATGTTTGTTTTTACAGAATTTACATTTTGAATTTTTTTTTTTTTCAAAATCAGTATAAGAATTAAAAGAAATTAAATTTAGTTTTGCTACAAAAAATGTTTAAACAGTTTAAACAATTTTTTGTATCTTTTTTTCTTTAATTTAAAATGTACCATTGAACAGTAAAAGTGAATTTCAAATTTGCAAGAACAAAATTTTTATTTTCGCCTTAAGAGGGAACCACCTGCTGGACTACCGACCGTAATCGATTAATTTCTACACGAGAATATTTTTAATTAATAACACTGAACAGCATAATAATAATCAAAATAATATAAAACAAGTATATATTTTATACTATGAATAAATTTTATTTTATTCAATAAATATTGTTCTTGGCAATACTTTTTGATAAGTACTTTGAATACAATCAATAAAATAACCTCGAATTTTATTTTCTAAATAATAATTGTCTTATATTTCTTAATAATAATTTTTTTCTATCTTAAAATTCATATAATGTAAAGTAATTATTAATCTTAATAATTTTATTTTATATAAAAAATATTTTTATTAAATTTTTCATTTTATAGTAAATATTTTTATTAAATTTTTTATTTTATAATAAAAATTATTTACTATTAATTTAATTTTAATTATTTACTCCATCGATATTAATCAATTTATTTATTCAAACATGCAGATAATTATTTTCTAGTATTATAAAGTCAAATAGTTTCTGCAAAACAGTTAATTGCTCAAAATACAATTTTTCTTTTGTGAAAAAAGTAAAACAAAACTTAAATTTATGCAAAAAAAACTATGATAAAATAAACAACTATTTACTGTAATTGCATATGGAAATAATTGTCAATACCAATTAATATTTGATAAAGAAGAACTTTTAATTCTGGTATTTAATTAATTATTTTTGGAATTTAGTATTTGAGAGCTGGATACTCATTAGATATTTACCGCGCATCTCAAGAGAACGATACACTACGATTGCGCAACTAGAGGCGCTCTTTAGAAAGAAAGAAAAAAAGTTCCAACTCTCAAACGAAAATACTCAGCATAGCTGAGATACCTACCAGTTAAATTCCCTAACAAAGATCTAACAAGATCTAACTATATACTGACTGAACGTAGGGCAGCCACATCCTTATATAAAGGCAGCAAAACAACTCACTTGCGGTTCGACAATCCTCTATCCATCTGTCGGCTTTCTCTTTCACTAATATATTGCTCGCAGGAGCGTAATATGTCAAAGCGGTGCCCACGAACGTTCGTTTGTTTTTTTCAAATTACATGGGATTTGAATTATTTTCTATTTTGCTATAATATTATTTTTTTTATTGACTTAATTACTTTTTTTATTACAGAAAATTATTATTATTATTATTACCATTATATTCACTATTAAATATAAATTTTTTTATGATTTTTAATTCAAAACTTATAATATTTCCTTATTAACTAATTAATTTTTTACTTATGGTTTATTATTTTCAAAAACTTTAATAAAATTCTTCGGAAATTTAATTATTATACCTACATTAAAAAATTCATTGATTTTAAATAAAAATATTAAATATTTAAAAAAATCAAAAGAGAAGTAATAAAAATAAGTAAGTAAAATTTATTTAAAATTCAATATTACTTCTAAAGAAAATTTGATAAAATTTTTCGAAACAATATTCAATTATTTTCATAAATAAGAAAATTCTTCGTAGAAATTCAATTATTTTTATTTTTTTCAATGCAATTTTAGTAAAATTTCTGGAAAAAATTCAATTATTTCTATAAATATTAATAAATATTATTCGCAAAAATTAAATTATCAATTTTCATAAATAATAAAATTCTTTGTAAAGAAATTTAATTACTTTCAATACCTACAATTTCCATATAATTCTTGAAAAAATTCGAGTTTTTTTTTTAATTTTCATAAAACTCTACGAAACATTTCAATTATTTTCATAAATAATAAAATTCTTCGTAAAAATTTAATTCTTTTCATAGATAATAAAATTCTTTGCAGTAATTCAATTAATTTGAAAAATTTTAATAAAGTTCTTCGAAAAAATTCAATTATTTTAATAAAATTCTTCGAATATTTATCAATATATTTACAATATAATTGTAATAAAATTTCTTGAAAAAATTCAATTATTTAAAAAAAAAAACTTGATGAAATTTCTGGATAAAAATTTTTTGAAAAATTTTAATAAAATTCTTCGTAGAATTCAATTATTTTCAAAAGTTTTAATAAAATTCTTTCTCAGAATTCAATTATTTTCCAAAAAAAATTTTTAAATTCTTCGAAATTATTTTTATTAAATTGATTAAATTTAATTTAAAAATCAATCATTTTCAATTATTTTAATAAAATTCTATGCAAGATTTAAATTATTTTCATAAACGCAATAAAATTATTTTCAAAAGCAATAAAATTCTTGTCAAGAATTCAATTATTTTCAATGCAATTATTCTAATAAAATTTCTCAATAGAATTCAATTATTTCTAGTAATCTTGGATAAAATTTTTTACAAGAATTCAATTACTTTCAATGCTATTTCAATGTTAATTTTAATTTCAATTTAATTTAATTTTAATTAAAATATTTAAAATCCACGAAAGAATTCATAATTAACTTCTAGAAAGAATTCAATTATTTTTTTAAATTTCGATAAAATTTTTCGAAAAGATTCAATTCTTTTCAAAAATTAAGAAAAAAATCCTATGCAAAAATTTAATTATTTTAGATTCAACATTATAAAATAAAAACATGTGATTTACGATTATGTTTATTTTTTCAACTTCTATTTTAAAATTAACAAATATTTAAAATCCACAAAAGAATTCAATTATTTTTTAAAATTTCGATAAAATTTACTTAAAAAAAAATTTTTTTTTAAATTTTTAAATTTACTTACAAACGCAAAATTATTGTAAAATAAATTATTTTCTAAATTTTTCTTGCAAAAATATTATCATAAAATTTATTCTCTTAATCTAAAAGTGAATTCGTTAAAATTTGAACTAATTAGAACAAGAAAAATAAAATTTCTAAAGATTAATGTTTAACTCTATTAAAATGCAGATTTTCTTAAAAAATAATTAACACATTATTTTGCTAGAATAACATTTTTTTTCTACAATAATAAATTTGTATTTTTGTGTTTTAGAATTTAGCAGTCGCTAAAAATCTTGACTTAGTTATTTGGATAAATTTAAATATAAATTGGAAAAAAAGAAAGAAATCGTAAAATTAAAAAGTCAAAATTAAAATTAAATTTAAAAAATTAAAATGCACTGTATAAATTTTGTATTGTGTTAATAAATATTTGATCAAATTGACATTGAAATTTCAATAATATTTTCTCCGAGTGTAAGTAAGTACAATAAAGGCAGACGAGGCAGACTATTATTTCTTAATATTCAAATGTTGCGCAGTCGTACAAGGATTTTGAGATTTTTAATTTGAGTGGCACGCGCTGGCGCCAAACAGCCCTTAGATTCTCTATACATACAACTCTCCATCAGAATATAGTGTTTTTTCCATTGATCATTCCCGACGTTTCCACAGCTTCAACAAATCAGTAAAGCAATGTTGTCCTGTCTTGTAATCCGCTAAACCCGAAACTCAACATTTTTTAATTAATGTCTATAATGGATAGTGAACTTGGAAAATTGTTTATAAACGTAAGTTCTCTTTTTAAATAAATTTTTTATATTCAAATTATTTCATTGATAAATTTCTCTCTGTATTTAAATTATTATTTAATTTTTTTAACGTTCTATTATTTTTGTTAAATTAATTTTAATTTTTGATAATCTAAATTCTGTAGTTTTATGATTATACTGTAGGATTTTTTATTATTTTGTATTAATAAATTTTTTTTATTTTAAAAACTGTGATTTAGTTTTAAAAATTACTTTCGAGAAGAAAAATTGATTTCATTGTTAAAAAAAAATATTTTTAATTTTTAATTTCTTATTTCTAATTTTTTATTTTTCATTTTTTTTTTTTATAATTTTTTCTACAATTTGTTTATTATTTTCAAATAAGTGAAATATATTTTCAGGATGGATATCAGTTCCCTGGTACCAGCGGCTCTAACGAATAAGGATTCAAGTACAATAGAAGCAGGATACAATAAATTATCTGAAAATTTACGAAGATTCACACCATTGGCCATACAATGTGCCGTTTTTTGCGGTTCTCGATGCAAATACGAAAATTCAAAGTCATGGCCACCGGTACACATGGCCATAAAAAACATCTTTTCCCACTGGTAAATATTCTCTAAATTATTATTAATTATTATTTTCATTAACTGTCGAACAAAATTCTTCTCTATTAAATTTTAAAACTCGCTATTAAGGAAAATTGTTTCTATTCTAAACTAATTCAGAAAAAACAGAAAAATTTACACTGAAAAAAAATTTATTTCATTCGAATACACGACAACTTGTCTATTATCAAACGAATATTTATTTGAATCAATTAAATTTTATTTTAATCGAAAAAAATTATACTCGAGTTAGTTAAATTTAATTTAAGTCAAAAAAATAATTATATTCGAGTTAATTAAATTTAATTTAAAAAAAATTATATTCGAGTCAGTTAAATTTTTTTTTAATCAAAATAATTATATTTCTGCCAATTAAATTTTATTTCAGTCAATTAAATTCTATTTAAGTCAAAAACTCGATTATTTGATTCAAATAATTTTTTTTACAGTGTAAAAAAATATCTTAATTTTTTAAAAGTTCAATTAATTTTCCGGAGTTTTTTTAAATACAATAATAAGAGTAGAGCAATGAAAGTAAATATTTTATTTTCAATTTTTTTAGCAGTTTTGAAATAAAATATAATAAATAAAGTCAAGTCAAATTGAGTCGGAAGGAACAAAAATTAATAATTAATAAACTTTAATCTATTTGCCTTGAAAATTATTTTCATTCAAAATCAATTGATTGTAATTCTATGAAATATTAAAATTTGAAGGGAATTTAATATTAAAGAGCATAATCATTATAATGAATTGGAATACAAAAAACAATAGCAACACTAAATTATTAAACCATGCGTGTTTGCATGACACTCAAGTAGACAATAATTGTGATTTCCTGAATTGATACTACTCACTGTCATCAAACGTAATAACAAAAGATAATAAAAATCTATAAATTACTTATTATCCTGTACTGAATACCATCATGTCATGGTTTCGTTTTTATAAAATAAAATAAACACATTAATGCACTTATTTTATTAACAGGTGAAAAATATTTTCTTTTCCTTAAAACCGTTTTTTTAAACTAATAATAGAAAAGGCCTAAATATTATTAAAAGAAATAATTTTTCCTTTTCGATTAAAACTGTTTTTTAAATTATTAACAAAAAAGTCCTAAATATTATTTAAAAAAATAATTTTCACTTTTTGTTTAAAACTGTTTTTTAAATTAATAATAAAAAAGGCCTAAATATTATTAAAAGACAATAATTTTCACTTTTCGTTAAAAACATTTTTTAAATTAATAATAAAAAAGTCCTAAATATTATTAAAAAAAAATAATTTTCAATTTTCGTTAAAAAAAGTTTTTTAAATTAATAATAAAAAAGTCTAAATATTATTAAAAAAAAAAATTTTTTTTTGCTTTTCGTTAAAACACTTTTTTTACATATTAATAACAAAACAGGTCTGAATATTATTATTAGAAAATAATAATATTATAAATTTTTTTCTTTCATTTTATTCCTTTCCTGCAAAAATCGAATAAAAATTACCATTAATAATATCTAAATAAAATAATCCAAAAAAGGGTCAATTTAGTTATTTTTATCCCATGGTGAGAAATATTTAATGAACACGTGACTTTTCAAAAATTATTTTCAATACTATTATTATTATTATTATTGAAATAATTCTATTTTAATTAGGGTAACGGACGATGTTCTCGCAATGGCAAGGCCAAATACAGAGCAAATTTTAAAAAATCACATAATCGCACAATTTCAAGGGTGGAGTATAAAAACATTAATAAATTTGCAAACACCAGGAGAACACGCAAGTTGTGGACCTCGACTCGAAAAAAGCGGTTTTACATACAACCCTGGCGATTTTATGAAAAATGGCAGTAAGTTCATTAAAACATTATATTTACATTCGTGATACATAAAAATAATTATTTCATAGCAAAAAAAAAAAAAAAAAAAATATTAATTTCAAAAGAAGAAAAAAACGACAACAACTATTGCTAAGAAATATTTATTTGCTTTCTAAAGTATAACTAATTTGGTTCAGTTATTTTTTTTTTGCGGCCCCTCCATTCGTATTTGTTGTATAACAAAAATAAACAACTGAAGTAAATGTAAAAATAAATATTTGTTGTTTAATTATTTTTAAATAATTAAATAACAAATATTTATTTTTAATAAAAAATTTTTTTAATTTTTTTTAAAAAGATTATTTAAAAAATATTTTTCAGTATAATTATTATAAACAAACAGTTTGTTGCGATGCAACAATTTTGATTCGTTTTTTTGTCTCAATTTTATATCCGCAGAAAAACTGAAAAAAAATTAAAATTCAGCCCATATTTAGATAAATAAAAATAAATAAATAAAAAAGAAATTCTGGTTGCAAAAAAAAAAATTTGATGGATATTTAAATTTTTTTCTAAAATGAAAGTAGCAGAACTATTTTCAATTTGTTTTTTTAAATATGTAAACTAATTGCAGCCCTTGAACAAATAAGAGACAAGATTCATTGTAATATGACTTTGCACAGAAATATACAGATCGAAGTTGAAACATGCAATGCAGCAAATGTATTATACATATGTATAGACAAATGGACTTACTTAGTTTGCAACTCGACAGACATTAAATCAGATTGAGCTCATTTGCATTTAAGATAATCCCCACTAAACTAATTTGTTTTTCAAACAAAATTTATTGAAACTTTTATTCAGACTATTAATTTGTCATAATGAGCTTATGATTGTTCGCTAAACTAAAAGAGAGAGAGAGAGAGGGGCAAAATTTACTTTAAACAAAAATTATAGACAATTATACGTCTAATACACGAACTTTATAATTCTTTAATAAATACTTTATCGGGTTTCGTATTAAATATTTATAATTAAGCACAGACAGAGATTTATTTAGTTATACCAGTGAAAGAAATTTTATTTTACAAAATGTGAATTCTAATGCAAAATAACTTTCAATTTTTTCTATATCTGCGTCAATAATTTCTTTTTAAATAACTTAATTCTTCAAGAACTATCATAAAACTATTAAAAAATTCTAATTTCAATTATATTTAATTCATTATTAAAAATAATGGATTTATAGCAGAATTTTAGTTAAAAACACTAAAAAAAATTTAATTTTGCAGAAGTTACAAATTATTGCAGAATATTGCCGAAATTCAATTATTTTCAAAAGTAATAAAATTCTTCGCCGAAATTCAATTATGTTCAAAAATTTAAAACAATTCTCGCCAAAATTTCAATTATCTTTATGAATAATAAAATTTTTTTCGCAGAAATTCAATTATTTTTCAACATTTAAATAAAATTCTTAGGCAAAATTTCAATTATTTCCAAACAATTTTCCTCAATTCTAATAATTTTCAATATCTACTATTTTAATAAAATTTTCCAAAAGAATTCAATTATTTAAAAAAAAATTCTACCCAAGCATTTAATTAGTTTCATAAATAATAAAATTTTCACAACAATTGAATTATTTACCGAATTTTTTATAAATTTCTTCGCAATAATTCAATTATTTTCATAAATATTAAAACTCATCGCAGAATTTTCAATTATTTTTAGTACAATTTCAATCAGGTTTCTCGAAAAATGTAATTTTTTAAAAAATTTTATTAAAATTCGTCAAAAAAATTCAATTATTAAAAAATTTGTTGATAAAATTCTTTTCAGTTATTTTCAACACAATTTCAATAAAATTTCTCGAAAGAATTCAATTATTTTCGCAAATTTTAAAAAAGAATTCTTCTAAAAAAAATTCGATTATTTTCAATACAATTTTAAATGAATTTTTTTTCCTTTTGAAATTAATTTTAATAAAATTCTTCGGAGAAATTCAATTATTTTTTTAATTTTTAATGAAACTCTTCAAAAAAATTCAATTATTTTTAAAAGTATTAAAATTTTTTGCGCAAAAATTCAATTATGTTCGAAAAATTTAAAAAATTCTCGTCAAAAATTTTCAATTATCTTCATAATTAATAATATTATTCTTCTTCGAAATTCAATTATTTTTAAACATTTTAATAAAAATCTTCTGCAAAATTCAATTATTTTAGAAAATTTTAATAAAATTCTTCTCCGAAATTCAATTATTTTCAATGAAACATTTTAATAAAATTCTTCTGTAAAATTCAATTATTTTAGAAAATTTTAATAAAATTCTTCTCTGAAATTCAATTATTTTCAAACATTTTAATAAAATTTTTCTGTAAAATTCAATTATTTTAGAAAATTTTATTAAAATTCTTCTCCGAAATTCAATTATTTTCAAACATTTTAATAAAATTCTTGGCAAAATTTCAATTATTTTCAAAAATTTTCCTGAATTCAATGATTTTGATTTCCTACTATTTTAATATTTTCCAAAAGAAATCAATTATTAAAAAAAATTTTTATTAATAAAATTCTAAGCTAACATTTTTTGTCATAACTAATAAATTTTTTTACAGTAGGGATTCAATTATTTTCATTAATAGTAAATTTTTTTTTAGAAATTCAATTATTTTCATATCTATTAAAACTCATCACAGAATTTCAATTATTTTTACTACAATTTTAATCGAATTCCTCAAAAAACATAATTATTCTTAAAATTTTTAATTAAAATCCTTTAAAAAAATTCAATTATTTAAAAATTTAGGTATTGATAAAATTCTTTATGAGAATTCAATTTTAAGAAATATTCAATTATTCAAGAAATTTATTTTTCTATATAAATAATTGAATTCTCGTAGAATTTTCTAATACAAATTTTAAAAAATTTTCTAATAAAAATGATTTTCATTTAAAATTTTAGATAATAATAATAATTAAAAAGTAAACGAACGTAGACCTTATTTTTTAGAAATAATTGAATTTTGAAAAGGTTTCAAATTAAAAACTTTGAAAATCTGAATTTTTCAAATTTTTACTAACAATTCTGTAAAAAGTTTATTTGAATTTTTTTTTCAAATTTACTATTTTAAGTTTTTATTTTTCAATGCATATTTAATTATTGAAGTCGGAGACTCGGAGTGATCGGTATCTTCATGTTTTATTATACCAAATATATTAATTAGTAAAAATTTGGTAAAAATTCACAAATTTCGTTGTTGCCTAAACTAAAATCCTTTACACTTCCAAATTTTCCATCAGTTTCTTTCAATTAAAAATTTTAATTTAACTTTAACAGAATTACTTTAGTTTTAATTTTTAATTATTAAATTTTGTCATTCAGTAGATAAATTTTGTGATTGAAACGAAAAAATTTCTTTTTTCAGTTTACTGCTACAATTTTGCGTGGAAGGATTATGGAGCAGCTACCATGGAAAAACTTCTAGACATGGTCAAGGTCGTGACCTTTTCTGTGCAAGAAGGAAGAGTTGCGATTCACTGTCATGCAGGTAAATCAATGATTAAACACGCTATTTCGAAACCCATTTGCATTTCGAGCTCAATTAATTATCCCTCAAATCGATATGTGGATATTAAATTGACATTAGAAATATTAGTGCGATTCGAAATTTATTATTCACACAAATTAATAATATATTTCCAGTCGCACGATTTTCATTTTCAAGAGAATTTTTTTCTTACATTATTATTATTAAATATTAATATTAATACTAAATATTAATATTAATATTAATTTTACAATATATTAATGTTACGATAAAAAATAATTAAATAATTGCATTCGAAATAGAAAAATGCGACGATTGCAATATTTTCATACAATTTGTCGTTTGTATTTTAATTGCAAACTGTTTTTATGAGCATAAATTTTAAATTTTAAATTAGAAATTATTTTTAAGGAAATCAAGATAAATAATATTAATACTTTAATAAGTGAAGAAAAATGGAATTTTCAACAAGTCCTTAAAGTCTATTTTTAAAAAAATGTAGATAAAAAAATCCACATTAAAATATTATATATTTTTAAAAAAGAATTTTTAAAAATGAGTTTTAAAAATGCTTTTTAAAAATGTATAATAAGTATATGGTGTGATAAACGATAAACATAATTCAAGAGTTAAACACTGTTTAAGAGAGAAGGAAACAAATTTAAAAACAAACATATCTATACAGAGAATTGTTAGTTCGAAAGCAAATATTTCCATATTGATCCACATGACTTAATATCTTCTCTCCACATAAACTTAACTATTTCGATTCTTATCAGAATTTTTGGCTATATTTAGCCATAGGGCATATTTAAGTCAATCGATTTTTCTTATCATCAGTCTAAAAGGGTTACTACTAATGACTCATCTTCATCGTTTACTTTTTCCAATTTTGTATCAAATTCCTATCACTTTAATTCAAAACAAAAATTGTTTTCTAGAAAATGTCTTATTTTTACTCTCTGTATAACATTCTTTGAAAGAATTCGTTTATTCTTATAAATAGTAAATTTTTTTGCAAAAATTCAATTATTTTTAACAAAATTTTGCTAAAATTTCAGAAAAGAATTCAAATATTTTCTAAAATTTTAATAAATGCTTCTAGCTAATTCATTTATTTTTTCAATAAAATTTCTCGAAAGAAATTAATTTCTTTCTTAATTCGTTATAAAATGTTTTAAAAGAATTCAATTATTTTCTAATATTAAAAATAAATCCTTTGAAAAAATTCAATTATTTTTATAAATAGTAAAACTCTTTGCAGGAATTCAATTATTTTCAAAATAATTTTAATTGAATTCCTCAGAAGAATTCAACTTTTAAAAAAGATTTTAACATATTTCGAATAAAGATATAAATTAAATTATTTCCTAAAATCTTTAATAAATCCTTCGAAACAATTCAATTATTTTTATAAATAGTAAAATTTTTCGTAAAATTTCAAATATTTTTATAAATTTTAGTAAAATTTTTTGTAGGAATTCAATTATTTTCAATAAAATTTTAATTAAAATCCTCGGAAGAATTAAAATATTTCCATAAAATCCAATTATTTCCTAAAATTTTAATAAATTCTTCGAAACAATTAAACAAATTTTGTAGGAATTAAATTATTTTTAATCCAATGTAAGTAAATGTAAATGTAAATTCAAGTTCAACAAGAATTTAAAATTCTCTAAAAATAATTTAATTATTTTCAAAATATCAAAAAAAAATTCTAATATATGAAAATTAAATTTCTTTCAATGCAATTTTTAAATATATTCGTCAAAAAAATTGAAAGAATTCAATTACTTTCAAAAACTAATAAAATTATTCTTATGAATTCAATTATTTTGAATATTAATTTTTATTTAATTTTTTACAGAAATTCAATTATTTTCGAAACAACTGTAATTGAATTTCTCGAAAGAATTTAATTATTTTCAACTATTTCTATAAAATTCTTCAAAAAAAATCCAATTATTTCCTAAAATTTTAATAAATCTTTGGAAACATTTCAATTATTTTTATAAATATAGTAAAATTTTTCGCAATAATTCAATTATTTTTATAAATAGTAGTAAAATTTTTCGCAAGATTTCAAATATTTTTATAAATAGTAGAATTTTTTTTATAGGAATTCATTTATTTCCAAACTAATTTTAATTGAATTCCTAGGAAGAATTCAAATATTTACAAATGTTTCCATAAAAATCAATTATTTCCTAAAATTTTAATAAATTCTTTGAAAAAATTCAACAATTTTTATAAATACTAAAATTCTTTGTAAGAATTAAATTATTTTTAATCCAATGTAATTAAAATTACACGAAAGAATTTAATTATTTTCAAAAGTTTCCATAAAATTCAAGTTCAACAAGAATGTAAAATTCTCTAAAAATAATTTTTATTCTCAAAATATCAAAAATAAAAATTCTATATGAAAATTAAATTACTTTCAATGAAATTACTTTTCATTATTTTTAAGTATATTTGTCAAAAAAATTGAAAGAATTCAATTATTTTTAAAAACTAATAAAATTCTTCTGATGAATTCAATTATTTTGAATATATATATACTTAATTTTAATAAAATTTTTTACAGAAATTCAATTATTTTCGAAACAACTGTAATTGAATTTCTCGAAAGAATTTAATTATTTTCAGATATTTCTATAAAATTCTTTAAAACATTTAAATTATTTTTATAAATAGTAGTAAAATTTTTCGCAAGATTTCAAATATTTTTATAAATACTAAAATTCTTTGTAGGAATTAAATTATTTTGAATCCAATGTAATTAAAATTACATAAAATAATTTAATTTTTTTTTTAAATCTCCATAAAATTCAAGTAAAACAAGAAATTTAAAATTCTCTAAAAATAATCAAATTTATTCTCAAAATATAAAAAAAAAATTCTATATATGAGAATTAAATTACTTTCAATGAAATTTTGAAATATATTCGTCAAAAAAATAGAGAGAATTCAATAATTTTTATGAATAATAAAATTCTTCTCAGGAATTCAATTATTATTCAATTTTTATAATTCAATTTTTATAAATAATGAAATTCTTCTTAGGAATTCAATTATTTTCATAAATAAAAAAATTCTTCGAAGCTTTAAATTTTTTGTTAATATTATTAATATACCTAGATTAAAATTTGGAAGAAAATTTATGATTTTTTTTTCTTTTCCAGGACTAGGAAGGACAGGAGTGCTTATTGCATGCTACCTAATTTATACATTAAGGGTTAGAGCGAGTGACGCAATAAGATTCGTTCGAATAAAGAGGCCAAACGCAATTCAAACGAGAGGTCAAATCTTGTGCATTCAAGAATTTCAGAACTACGTTCTTCCACAAATGATCGTATTCCCAAGGAGTAATCATATGAGCAATTTTAGATATTGTAGTCTCCATTCTTATCTCAACAGACAGTATAATATTTTACATGGCTATGAACAAAGAACTTTTAAACATATACCAAAGGTACATTTAATTTCTTTAAATAATTTCAAAAATTAATTGTCAATAATTTTTGTAAAAAAATCCCTTTCTTCATTTTGAAATAATTATTTTTCAACGAAATAATTGTTTTTAGATTATTTTTATAATTTGCGAGCGGATTTTACATTTATGCGACTGTCAAGAAGACAATTCACCAGCGGAAATTGAATTTAAAGTCTCCGCATCTCCATTTACGCAGCGTTTTATTTCACAATTTTTGGAAAAACTTAAGCAACAAGAAGTGAAACTGAAACATTCTTGGACAGATTCATCACTGGATTTATCGTATTTAAGTGAGAATTTCAATAATTTATTGCAAAAAATACCACTTTTTGGTATAAAATGCTACTTAAATTTTTATATTGTAGTATTTTGGAATCTATTAAATTTCAAAATTCTGAACAATTAAATTATTCAAAAAGTTTTAAAATGAAATATTTTTGAAATTACCTAGTTGAATTTTTTAATATAAAATTATTGAAAAATCTTCAAATAATTAAAATTTTATAAGAATTGAATTGATGAACAATTGAAATTTAAATTGCATTTCTAATGAATTTTTTTTTTTATTTTTTCAATATTTCAATTTTTAAAGAATTTTCTGAAAATTATAAAAATAATTGATTAAAAAAAGGATTTTGTGTTAAAAATGCTAGAAAATAATTTATAATATTGATAGAGTTGTAGTAAAAATTTTGGAATCGATTAAATTTTTAAAATTCTGAACAATTCAGTTTTTCAAAAAGTTTTTAATGAATTTTTTTTTCAAAACCAGTTGAATTTTTTAATATAAAGTTAATTGAAAAATTTTCAAATAATTAAAATTTTGTAAATATGAATTGAAAACAATTGAATTTTAAATGATATTTAAAGTAAGATTTTTTATTATTTTTTTCTATTATTCAATTCTCGAAGAACTTTCTAAAAATTATTAAAAATAATTGATTTAAAAAAGATTTACATTTTGAAAATTAAAGACAATGTTTGAAAACTGAAGCAGTTTTAGTAGAAATTTTTAGAAAAAATTAAATTTCAGAAGGTATCAAATTGAAATTTTTTTCAATTTTGAATACATAATAATTTAAATATAAATTCTAAGTTGAGTTCTTGAAAAAATTTTGTTCAAATTTTTCTAAAATTAATTATTTATTAGTAATTTTTTAGAATTTTCAAACAGAAATATTCAATTCAAAAAATTTTTAATAGTCGAAATTTCTTGAAATTAAGTTAAAAAAATAAAATGTTAGACGTAAACTTTCTCTTTTTGTTTAAATAATTAAAATTTTTAAAAGAACTTTCTCAAAATTATAAAAAATTATTGATTTAGAAAATAATTTTAGTAAAAAATGCCAGAAAGTAATAAAGTTTTGGAAAATTTACAGTAGCAATTTTTAGAAATAATTAAATTACACAGAAGGTTTCAACTTAGAATTTTTTGAGAATTTAATGTAGAAGTTTAATTCAATTAAATTAAATTTCATTAATGCATTACTTTTGAGTAATTTTAGTTAAAAATTCTAGAAAATAATTAAATTTTGAAATTAGAGAATTTTGCTAAAATTTTTAATAATTGTTTTCTAGAATTTTTTTGAAATTGAAGAATTTTATTACAATTTTAAAAAATAATCGTGTTTTTGAAGAAAAATGTTAAAAGCTTTAAAAACACGTTTCGAAAATAATTGAATTGATTCAATCCTAATTATCATAATCATTTTCAGATACTTCGAAAAGTGATAATAATTCTAATACTCAGATATCTCAGGTATCATCTAGTGAAACTTTAAACGACGTAGCAGATAGTGTATTTTGTATTTCACCAGACGCCCCTTCATGTTCTTCCGTATTTCCTGGTAAAAAAAACCCACTTTAAAAAGCAAAAAATTCCCACATTCATACTGTAATTTATAATTGACAGACAATTTTTTAAGCACTAGATGACAATTGCATTGATGACGTCCTAACCGATGGTATATGGGGACAGGAACTTTTTGACAATAATTGTTACAAGGAGATTCAAACTCACATAAACTTGAAAAATGCCGTTCATACGCAGAGTTTCAAAACAATTTCCACAGACGAGGCCATTAAATTATTACTCTGCAATAACGAAAACCTGTCTGACGAGAAGAAGCGAAAAATACACCACTATCAGGTAAATTATCAATTTAGTTTTCGACAAAAATTGCGGCAAATTTCTACAAACGAAAATTCAAAAATTTCTCCAATGAAAATTGTACTACCTAACGAAATTGCACAAAAAAATATTCTACAAAAAAATTGTTTCATAAAAAATAATATTGATAATATTATTGATAATAATATTTAATTACCGAATGATAAATTAATTTCCTTTAATTAATATTGAAAATAATTGATAAGTAAATATTTACATGTAGGTTGATTTAAACATACGTTCTACCGCTTGGCAACGCTTGCAATTAGAAACAGATATTGAAATTCTATCAAGTCTTTTGTACGAATGGCTGGAATCGTTAAGAAGACCCATTTTGGACACGGAGGCATTGAGTCAAATAGTGATACAAAGTTCCAATCCCAGACAGTGCCTTCAAAAATTAAATCCCTGGATTAGATACGTAATTGAATATCTCATGAGATTCGTGTCACGATTGAGACCACTATCGAGGAGCACACAAAATCTTCTGGTAAAAAGATTGATGGCTGCTATTACTCAGCAAAAAGTTACCATCAATAAAACTCTCTATCCAGCAAGTGAGTTATAAAAAATTAACTATTTAGAATATTTATAATACTATTTAGAATTTAAACTATTTAGACAACTAAATAGTAATTCTATTCAAAATTAGAAATTTTATTCAACAGAACAAAAATAAAATGATTTTCCTTCATTTCAGCAAAAAACTTCCAAAAATTAAGATCAGGTACAACTGAAAAGTTAACCGAATTTCTCGTTCGACTATTGAGTCTAATCGAGGAAATAAACACAAAAACTATGAATAATATGTGGCCAACTTCAAAATGGGAAATTTGTAGACAAATGCATGAGAGCAAACTAAAAACAAGCTCAACAACATTCTTTCCAAGTACAATGAACTAATTTATATTTTTTAATAATAAATATTTATATTATTAATATAATAATAATATATTTATATAAGCAAAAAATTTGTTTCCCATGCGAAAGAATTTAAATAATATTATAATTAACTTATTGTAAAAATAAAGAATAGATATTTAATTAAAAGAAGAGCATTGTCAATTTGTCACATTATTTTTTAGTTTATTATTTAATAAAATTAACTTATTAATTATTTTTTTTTTTATCATAATTATTGAGGAATGATAAATTCTTGCGGCAAACTTGTCTATTGTCAATATTTTTCAGTAAAAATTGAAAATTCATGTATTAAAAGTTTAATTTTTAAATGTAAATTAAATGCAAATGAATATTAAATTCATTAAATGATAATAACTCTCACTATCAATATTGTCTGAGACCTCCGCGTCGCATTCCTGGTTGGATCATTCTATTTGGCGGAGTGATGGAAATATCGAGGTAATCGCCTATTGTAAACCTGGAAGACGAAATTTCGTGTTAATATTTTTTTGTAGCTGGCGAAATTGAAACAAGGTTTTTTTAAAGAAAAAAGTAAAATGTATCAATTTTTACAATTAATATATAATATATATAAAATTATCTGCAGAATATTTTTCTATTTCCCTTCAAATAAACGAAATAATTTTTGTTACTTTTTTATAAAATTAATATAGACTGAAATATTTTATATTATTTTTTGTAATATTTATTTTGGAATAAAGTTCAAATTAAATTTTTCTTCTTGAATATTTGAATTCTTAACGAACTTTCTCAAATTTATAAAAAATTAGAAAAGAAAGAATTTAGGAAACTAAATTCTTTCTTTTCTAATTTTTTATAAATTTAAGAAAGTTCTTTGAGAATTCTATTATTCAAAAAGAAATATTTTATTTTACTTATTTCAGTAAAAAATTCTAGAAATTCTATACAAACTTTTTTTTGAAATTTAATGAAAAATAAACATTTTTTAAAAAATATAATTTTTCGAAATATAATTCTTCAAAATTATGATTATTTTATTTCAAAACAATTTTTAAAAGTAATAAAAATAAATTCTTTCAAATGTCAAATTTATTTCGACGAAACTTGACAAAACTTTTAAACATTTTTTTAAAAACTTCTTTTATTTAAAAAATTTTTTAATAACAATTTTTATATTAAACAAATATTTAAAACTTATTATTTATTTTAATTCAAATTTTAAATAATTTTATTGTAAAACCTTTCGAAATTGAATTATTTCTAAAAATTACAAAGCTGCAATTTTTCCAAAAGTAAATTATTTTTTAGAATTTTCGAATAAAATTATTCAAAGCTTTAATAATTTTTAAAGGAAAATAAAATATTAATAATTTTGTTAAATAAACATTTAATTATTATACTTTTACGGCGATTAAAATTTTAAAAATATTTTAAGTTAAAAACTTTTCAAAATTTAATTATTTCTTAATATTTTTGTCATTCACTTCAAATATTCAATTATTTTTCAAAATTTTAACTGAAATTTTTTTTTAAATCAATTCTTATTAGAATTCAACGATAATTGAATTATTTAAATACAAAATTTTGTAAAATTTAATTATTTTCCAAATAGTTGCAATTCTTTAACAAATACAATAATTTTTTAAAATGAGAAAATAAAATTCTTTGAAATACAAAATTTATTTTACTGAAATTTGAATATTTCAATTGTTGTAGCAGTTGAATTAAATTTTTAATTAAATATTTAAATAATTATTCAATAAAAAAGTGATTTAACATTAAATTAAAAATTTAAAATAATTAAATTTAATAAATATTAAATCTAATATGGTTATCTGCAGAATATTTCCTTAAATATTTGAACTTTCAAATGAACAAAACATTTTTTCTAGTATTTCAAAAAATTAATATAGATTTAAATGATAAATATTTACAATTGAAAACTTAGTAAAAATTAATCTTTAAGTAATAAAAGAATTATATTTTGTAGTAAAATCGAAATTAAAAAGAAGAATTAAAATATTTTCATTCATTTGAACGTTCAAAACTTCAGAAACATTGCAGAATGTATTTTTCGTAAATTTGCGATTTTTTATCGTTAAAAACGATAAAGATTACACCGAGAAAAAAGAAATATTTGACTCAGAACTTACTAAAATTTTTATTTGTTTAAAAAAAAATTGTATTTTGCTCAAAGTAGAATTTACTTTGTGCTAAAAAAATATACTATTATTTAACTCAAATAATTGCATTTGAGTTCAAATAAATTTTTTCTCTATTCGTATGTTTATTTTTGTTTAAATAGCTTTATTACCTAGCTTGTGCGAGAGTTTTATTGTCATCGGCTCCTTTCTGTCCAGAGCAAGTAACTCCAATTTCCTTCATTCGATAACCAGGCGTTCTCTGTTCTGGAGTAACTAACGAAAAATCAAAATAAGTTCCTTTGCTTCTGGCATCTGGATTTACTTCCTTGACTAGTCCGGTGATTTCTCGTAAGGTCGCGTCCATCCTAAATTCAAATATTTCTTATCAATACGAATTAAAATTAACCAATTAAATTAAGAATACAAAAACTGTAAATATAAAAAGTGAAATAAAAATATTTCACGTAAACTGAAAATTAAACAAGAATTCAAAAATTAAATCAAATTTCCAATTAACGAATTTTCACAAAAAAAAAATAGTAGATATAAATACTATTTTATTAAAATTATTACCATGTGTATATTTGTAATTCGTTGGACGGAACATTTCCCCTACTGTATTCCATCATATTATGATGCCTTCCTGTGTTGCAAAAAACTCGTAACAAAAGTGGACATGTCTAAAATACAAAAAAGGAAATCAAATTTAAAAAAAAATAATAACAATTGAATCTAATATCGAATAAAAATGTAGAATGAAAAAGAAACAAAACAAACTCTACAAAATATTTAAGGTTAGGTCTCATTGTTTTATCCCTAATTGTAATAATTTCAACCGAATAAAAAATTTTAAAAAACCCTCAAAGAAAGCATAAATATTAAACTAGAAATAGTACCTTTTCCCTGTCTACTGGTTTATCTGGAAGCTGTTTTTCATCGACGACCATAGATTCAACTGCAGACGCCATTTTTCCGTCATTTACCATCTTTTGACAGCAGACGACTTATTTGCGCATGTCACAAATTTGTGTTCAACGGTCTTTTGCAGGAGAGCCTTTTTTTAATTTCTTCTTCAATTGTTCTCAAGCGATGTTATCTTTGTCAATCTTTTGAAAGATAATATCATTATAAAAGGCTTTTGATAGTGAAAAAGTAGTGTCGCAGTATTTTTTTATTCATGTATAGTTTCACTGGTTGAAGAACAAGTTCGGCTTCACCATGGAATCGGAACCCATGGAGATAGAAAATGAAAATCCCAACGTAAATAAAGGACTAATCGTTCGTGTTTATATGGAAAACTTTGTGTAAGTATTCTTTTAAACTGTATGTTTGAACGTTATTTTATTATTTCTGTAAGGCTGCGTCTACAACAGAAAAAATAATGTGTAGAAAATTGTGTAATGTATAGTGTAATTGACCCTGACAGTTGGCAGTGCTAAAAACAATACACATTACACTACAAATTACACATTTTTCTACACATTATTTTTTTCTATTGTAGACGCAGCCTAAACAATTTCCTACTTTTGTGAAATTTCGTGTTTTATTTCTCTTCCGGAAAAAATATCATTTTGAGGTTAGAATTTTCAAATTTTTATTTGTGTGCCTTGTGAGCACGCATGTATACTTATTATTTATTATTATTATTATTATTATTATTAGATATTCTCAAAGGTTTTTGTATTAATCACAGTTTTTGGAATATTTATAAAATATTTAAAAATAAAGATTGGAGAAATTTTTTGAAAAACTTGTTTAATTTTAAGGCTTTCCTTATTTTAATCTAAAAAAAATACACAAATTAATTGTTTTATTTACTGATATTATTAAAGCACTTACGACAAAGCAGTTTTCATACCGGGGAGAAATTTAAACTTAATAATCGGTCCCAATGGCACTGGAAAATCGACAATTGTTTGTGCGATAGTTTTGGGTTTAGCCGGAAAACCAAAAGTAATCGGTCGAGCTGAAAAAGTTGCAGATTATGTGAAGGCAGGTTGCCAGGAGGCAAAACTCGAAATCGAGTTGTATGAATCCGAGGACAAGACGACTTTAATAACTCGAAAATTTACTTCGCACAACACGACTACTTGGTACATTAACAAAAAACAAGTGTTGATAAAAGATGTCATAGCTCTCACGAAGGAACTGAACATCCAGGTTTGATAGAATTTCTCTTTCCCCTCCTCCTGATACTATTTTTCTGTTGTAAAAATAATACAATTTTTTTCTCCAGGTTGACAATCTCTGTCAATTCCTTCCACAGGATAAGGTTCAAAGTTTTTCAGAGATGGATTCAAAAACATTATTACTGGAGACTGAACGTTCTGTTGGAGATCCACTATTGTTGGAACGTCACGAACAATTGATAGAGAATCGAAAAATACACAAGGAACTAGAGGCTGAAGTTGCCAATAAAAATCGTTCATTAACAAATAAAATACAAAGATATGACGGCCTTAAGGATATCGTCGGTAGTATTAAAGAGAAAAAGACTATTAAGAATAAAATCGTTAGTCTAAAGCAAAAGAAAAAGTGGATGTTGTACGATCAATTGAGACAACAATTCAAAGACGTAATTATCTCTTTTTAATTTCACTACTAAAAGTTTAAACTACTTTTAAACTAAAACTCAATAAATCAATTTTATTAATTTAATTCTATTTATATAAATTTATTTTTTTATTTGCAACAGCAAATAAAAAACTAAATTTATATAAATAGAATTAAATGAATAAAGTGAATAAAATTTATTATGTTTATACAATTTCAGTCGAAGAAACAAAGAGACGATGCAGCGGCGGAAATGAAAGTGCTAGACGAACAATTAAAACCGATGAATGCAAAAATAGAGCAATTCAAAAAGCGCATTAATCTGATACAAAATTCGGTTAGAGAAAAGGTATCTTCATTTGTCAAAAAACAGTAATTAGAATTTATAAAATTGGTATACAATTTTTAGTAGAATTTTTCTAATAAATCGTTTTTGCCACAGACTAGCCAATCTTCAGCAAGAATTGGAAAAGTAAATAGAGCCACGGAGGAAATTCAAGGTTGTGAAGATAGTATAAAGGAAATTGAAGCTACTCGAGATCGTAAAATCGAGCAAGAACAGGCTTGTGATCAAACAATTAATAATCTTCAGCAACAAAAGAGTAAACTCGACAATGATTTGCTTTCAATACTTCAAGAATTTGGTTCAGGTAAATATGAATTCTTTTCATGTAATTTGCAATTACTGATATTTTTTTTAATTTAAGAATTAAATTTTTTTGAAAAATAGAAGAAAATGTGTTAGAAAAATATATTTTTAAACAATTTATTTCAGAGGAGGCTTTGGCGCAACAACAAACGAATGCTTTGCAACAAGTCGATATGCAGAGAAGAATTATCGATAATTTGAACAAGAATATGACAAATTTAAGATACAAAGACGATGTTTTCAGTCGTGACCTAAGAAGTAAGTAAATAATAAAAACCGCGTTGCCACAGGTCAGGGAATTCGGGGAAAAGTCAAGGAATTTTATTTAAAAAAACTGAAAAATAATTCGATTTTTAGAATTCATAAAAAAATACTGAAATTTTATCACAATTATTGGAAAAAATTGAATTGTTTCCCAGATTTTTATTAAAATCAGGTGTTGAAAATTACTTTTTTTCTCTTTTTTTTAGGAAAGGGAAATTAAATAATAACATAAATAGTAAAAAATAATTGAATTCTTATAAAGAATTTCATCCGAATTTTCGAAAAAATTGAAGTCTTTCAAATACTTTCATTAAAATTTTTAAAAATAATTGAATTCTTTAGAGAAATTTAATTAAACTCGTATGAAATTGAATTTATTTAAAATAATTTAATTCTTGAAGAACTATCATAAAATTATTACTTATAAATTAAATTCATAATTTATTTTACTTGAAAATTCCAAAAATAATTTAATTTTAGTAAAGTTGCTTTTGCAATTTTTATACATAATTGAATTTTAAACGGTTTCAAATTTAAATTTTAAATAACTTAAATTGGAAATTTTGAAGTAGTTTTTTAATTCTCTTCTTCTTTGAATAATTAAATCACAAAGAACTTTCTTCAAAAATTATTAAAAATAATTTACTTAGAGAAGAATTGTAGTTAAAAATTTCTAGAAAATAATTGAATTTCGAAAGGTTTCGAATGGAAATTTTAGAAAATTTAAATTTTTAATAATTTTGATTAAAAATTCTAAAGAGCTTAGTTTTTTTGAAAAATTGCTGTTGAAGTTTTCTTGAAATTAGCTGAATTTTCAAATATTTTATATAATTAACTGAAAAATTTTGTAATAATCGAAATTTCGTAAAATTGAATTGTGGACAATTTGATTTTTTTAATTATACAAAAATTCTTCGCAAGAATTCAATTATTTTTATAAATATTAAAATTCTTTACAGGAATTCAATTATTTTCAAGACATATTTAATTGAATTTCTCGGAAGAATTTAAATATTTTCAAATATTTCCATAAAATTCAATTATTTCCTAAAATTTTTAATAATTTCTTCGAAACAATTAAACTATTTTTATAAATTACTTGATAAATTTTCAAAATTTACAATAAAAAAGAGTTTCAATAATTGAAATTTTCTAAAATTTAATTGAAAATAATTGATTTTTTTCAAAGTGTTTGATAAAAATTTTTGAAAAATAAACTTTAAAAGACATTTAATTGCAAATTTTGAAAATAACTGATTTCTCAAAAATTTTAATGAAAAATCTTCAAAAATGTAAATTTAAAAATGGTAATTAATGAAAATTAGCTCTACAAAAAAATTATATTAAAATATTTTTGATAATTATTTTTAATATTTTAACAACATATGACTTTTTTAGATTTATTAAAATTTTAAAGAAATCGCGTTTATATTAATAATTAAAATTCTTTAAAAATTCAATTATTTTTTGAATAGAATTTACCAAATGTCAATTGTTTAGAAATTTTTCAATTCTATATAATTGAAAAACTATTATCTTTCATAAATTATTTTAAAAATATTTTTGGAAAATTAATTTTAAGAATTTTTTTATTATAATTTTTTGAAAATTAATAACTTAAAAAACATTTTTGTATTTAAATAATAAATCTGTTTATATTGTAGCCTTGAGTCCTTTGGACCCAAGGTCACAATTTAAACAGATTTATTTGACAAAAATTAAGATCCTGAAAATATTCTAAGTTGTATTTAAATAATTGAATTCTCTAAGAACTCTTGGAAAATTATTAAAAATAATTGATTTCCAGAAGAAGTTTGATTAAAAATTGTAGAAAATAATTGAATTTTAAGAGAATTAAAGTTGTAATTTTTGGAAGTTATTAAATTTTAGAAGGTTTTAAATAGAAATTTTTTAAATTTTATTCCCGTATAAAAACAAACAAGAAGTATTTAAATATTTATTTAACGAAATTATTCAAGTTTTAAATAATTAAATTTAGAAGTCAGTGAAAGATCAGAAGAATAAAAAATAAATTTTTTGTGATGACACTGAATTAAATAAACGACTTTTTCGACTTTTTTTCTATTTTAAATCGACTTTTTTTGCACCTTAATGTCGATCCGAGGCCTGAAATCATGCGGTTCTATTTATAATTAAAAATCTTTAAAAATTTGATCATTTTTATTTGTATTTTTCAAAAATTCAATTGTTTTTAAAAAATTTTACCAAATTTTAATTGTTTGAAACTATTTCAAAATTGAAAAACTATTATCTTTCAAAAATTATTTAAAAATAACTTAAGAAACAACTATATGGAGAGTTACAAATATTATAAAAAATTGAGTTTTTGTATTTAAAAAATTGAAATCTAGAAGAACTTTTGGAAAATTATTTAAATTAATTGATTCAGAGATGAAGAATGTAGAAAGATGAAAATTGTGGAAAATAATTGAATTCAGGTAGGGTTGTAATTGTAATTTTTAGAAATTAATAAAATTCATAAACTTTGTCAAGGAAAATAATTTTAATGTCAATAAATTGTCAGGGAAATTGATAAACTGAAACTTGTGACCACCCTGAATATTTATCTCTAAAAATTTATTTATGTTCCAAATAATTTTACAATTGAGAAGATATTCACAATTAAATTTTTAAGAAGCAATTCTATTTTAAATCTAATAATTTTTAGAGTGAATCAGAATATTCTTCAAAACCAGGGAAAAAATCAAAATTCAGTCTGGAAATCAGAAAAACGTCAGTTAGAAGCAAAATTAAATTTTTGTGGCAACCCTATAAAAGTTTAAAAAAAAAAATGCAAACTAAAAATAATATTCGCTATTTTTCCTTGTTTTAGACCTCGACAGAGAATTACAAATGGCACGAGCAGTCGATGCTCAACGACTTGAATTGCTTCGACAAAGAAATCCAGATGCCTATAAAGGAGTTCTTTGGTTGAGAGAAAATAGAAACATGTTTTCTGCTCCTGTACATGAGCCAATGTTTCTCAATATCAACGTGAAGAACCCAATGTATTCGAAATATTTAGAAAGTACCATAAACTACAATGACATGATTGCTTTTGTTTGCGAAAATGCCGAGGATATGAACTTACTAATTAATTGCTTGAGAAGTCAACAGAAGTTGGTTGTAAACGTTGTTCATTCCGATCCCAATAGAAGAGTGCGAATGCAGCCAAATATTCCCATTGAAGAAATTAACCAATTTGGTTTTGAACATTATTTGATTTCTCTCGTCGAAGCTCCGCAGACAATTATGAAATATATCGTTCAAAACTTTCACCTCGCTAATATTCCCGTTGGATCGGATATTGTCGAAGATCACGTGGATCGCATTCCGGATTCCTTAGGCTTCTTTTTCAGCAGTGAGAAAAATTTATACTCTCAAATCCTAAAAAAACGTGATTAAAATATTTCTGTACTTAACATTTCTTTTTTTTCAGAATCCAATAATTTTTCCGTAAGTAGATCAAAGTATTCTGGTGAAAAGTCTGTACGTCAAAATACAGTGACGGGTAATGGAATGCTTTCAATTACCATAGACACTGCGAAACTTAATGGGATTCACGACAGGTATGTAATTTTTTTTCAACGAATTTAAAATATCTTAAGATCATAATTTAAAATAATTTAAGAAAATAATTTGCTATTTATAAAAAAAATTATTTTCCTCTTTTAAGAATAAATCAACTGAAATCACAAAGAGAAGAAGTCGGGCAAGAAATTCGTGAATTTGAAACTCAAATTAATCAGGCGAATGTAGAATTGACTGAGTTTCGAAATAGCAGAACGAATTATCAGCAGAAAATTGCTCAAATCGAAACATTACGATCGAAAATTCGACTTGCTGGTGAAAATATAAGAAAATTACAGGAAGAAAGAATAAGTATTGAGGAAATTGAAGCAATGTACAAATCGGAAATTCAAGATGTGATCAAAAATCAAATAGTTCTTTATGGAAAATTGAATACAGTTCTTGAAGATTGTTTTGTTTTTGAAAAAGTAAGCGGACAAGGTAAACTTGAATTGAAAGTAGAGCAGCAAAAATTGAGGCAGTGCAAAAATGATTCTCAAGAATTGCGCGATAAATGTGATAGTGCGGAGAGAATATTTAAGCATCTTGAAGATGAATTGAGACCTCTGAAAAATGAAGTTGAAAATCTTTACAAAGAAGCCTTGGAAAGTACAAATAATATTAGCCCACAAGATAAGCGTTTTAAAACATTTAACACTGCTTTTGAAAAACTTCCAAATTCAATTGATGAAATTGAAGAAGAATTGAGAACTGCAAATGCGAAAGTTTTTTGTATGGGAAAAAACGATGACAGTGATAACGTACGTAGTAAACAATATTTGAAAAAGATATTACTTTTGATATTACTATTTGTGAATAAATAATTTTTGTATTAAAATATTTTTTTTAAATATTTTTTTTAAATATTTTTTTAAATTATTTAAATACTTTTGTTTAACAAAAAAAAACTTTGTTTTAACAGATTCTGAAAGAGTTTGAGAGAATTACCAAAGAAGTGGAGGAGTTGAAAAAGTACTTGGAACAGAAAACGCAAGAATTGCAAACAATAACAAGAGAAACGGAAGAACTTCGAAATCAATGGCTTCCAGTTTTGGAGCGACTTATTGATAGGATAAATAATAACTTCAGTCGTTATTTCTCTGAGATGAAGTGTGCCGGGGAAATTTCTCTCACTCACGATGAGAATATTGTAAGTGTTGATTTTTGTTTCTTGATAAAAATATACTTTTAAAAATTATTATAAAAATAAATTAATTTTAATTTGCAGATGGATTACGATAAATATGGATTAAAAATCAGAGTTAAATTTCGAGATGTGGATAAATTGCAGGAACTTACAAGAACTCATCAGAGTGGTGGTGAAAGAGCCGTAACTACAGCAGTTTACATGATTTCACTGCAAGAGTTATCAACAGTGCCTTTTCGTTGCGTTGATGAAATAAATCAGGTAATTAATATTTTTAAATAATTTTTACAATTTTTTTATAATCTGATTTTGATTGATTGATAATTCTTCTTTTCATTCTTAATTTATATCATAATCGTTGTATTCTCGTTGTTTGTTCGTAGAGTGAAGTCAGTTATTTTTGTTTCTTTTATTTTCTTTATTTTCTACTTTTGTTCTTTTTAAATATTTAAAATTTCAAAATTAATGAAATTTAAAGTTTGAATGATTAAATACCAACAAAAAATATGTAATTTTAAAAAATTGTTTTGAAAAAAAAGATTCTGTCAATTCGAGGAAATTAGTTTTTTAGATTCGTTATGTTTCATTGAAAATAAAATTTTTTTTAGAAAAAAACGTTTTTGATTAAAAAGAAAATTTCTTTGTTTTAAACAAAATTTATTTGAATCCAAAAAATTCGTCCTTAGAATTTTAATGAAATTTTAATATGAACATAGAGTGAGAAGAATGATTCTTTAATTTAAAAGGGAAAATTTCTTTGAAATTTGTAAATTGTTTTTAAATAAAAGAAATTTTCTTTAAATCGAAGAAAAATTAATTTTCAGTAAAAGAGAAACAAATCAAATCATTTCTTTAAATAAACAAAAAATTGTTTCTATGTGTGAAATAATTTAATTCTTGCATAGAATTTATATAAAATTATTGAAAATAATTGAATTCTTCCGAGAAATTTAATTAAAATTGCATAGAAAATAATTGAATTCATCCGAAAAAATTAATTAAAATTGCACAGAAAGTAATTGAATTCTTGTGAATTAATTTATTAAAGTTTTTAGAAATAATTTAATTATTTGGAGAAATTTAATTAAAATTGTCTTGAAAATAATTGAATTCTTGCGAAAAAATGTATTAAAATTTTTAGAAATAATTGAATTCTTTAAAGAAATTTAATTAAAATTGTCTTGAAAATAATTGAATTCCTGACAAGAATTTTATTAAATTGTTAAAAATAATTCAATTTTTTCTAAGAATTTTACTAAAATTTTTTAAATAAATTCAATTGTTTCAAGAAATTTTTGTTTATTTTCTACTGTAAAGAATTAAACTCCTACAAAAAATATTATTATTTATAAAAATAATTGTATTGTTTCTCAGAATTTTATTAAAACTGTTGAAAATGTTTTAAAAATAATTCAATTCTCATGAAGAATTTTATTGAAATGTTACAAAATAATTGAATGATTTAGAGAAATTTTTATATATTAAAAACAATTGAATCTCTGCGAGGAATTTTATTAAAATTTTTTTAAATAATTGAATTTTTTGACAGAATTTTATTAAAATTGTATTGAAAATAAGTGGATTCTTGCGAAAAATTTATTAAACTTTTTAGAAATAATTGAATTCTTTAAAGAAATTTAATTAAAATTGTCTGGAAAATAATTGAATTCTTGCGAGGGATTTTATTAAATTGTTAAAAATAATTGAATTGTTTTGCAGATTTTTATTAAGATTTTTAAAAATAATTAAATTCTCTCTAAGAATTTTATTAAAATTTTTTAAAGAAATTGAATTATTTTCGGAATTTTATTAAAATTGTATTGAAAAGAATTGAACTCCTGCCAAAAATGTTAATATTTATTGTGAAAATAAGAATTGTATTGTTTCTCAGAATTTTATTAAAACTGTTGAAAATAATTACATTCTGTCGAGGAATTTAATTAAAATTGTCTTAAAAATAATGACATTTTACAAATAATTAAATTATTTGGAGAAATTTTTATTTATTGAAAATAATTGAATCCCTGCGAGGAATTTTATTAAAATTTTTAAAAATAATTGAATTGTTCGACATTAATAATAATTAAAATTATATTTTTAGGGTATGGATGCTATCAACGAAAGACGAATTTTCGAGCTGATTGTCAATATTACTGGAAGAAGTAATAGCTCTCAGTACTTTTTACTCACACCAAAGGTAATATTTTAAAATCCAAAAATTAATCCATCATTTGCAAACAAAATAATCACAAATAATTTCTTTTTCAGCTACTACCAAATCTCAAGTATACGGATACAGTGACCGTTCATTGTGTTTATAATGGACAATTTATGATTCCTCACGAAGAATTCAGTGTGGCTGAATTTTGCAATTCACATATCAGAAATTAAGAGAATATAAAGACTATTAATAGCATTGATAAATATTGAAGAGATGGAGATAACAAAGAAGTTAGAATGCATTCTGTTTTAATATTCTAACAAATTTATTTCGAAGGTATGTGATAATAACTTGAGATTTAACTTAAAACTTAAACAGTATTTTAAAGCAAACATTAGCTATGAGAGCTAATTCAAATATTATGTATTAAGAATACTTTAAAAACTAAGAAGACTTTTATCCTACGTGTTAAAATTAAAATATAGATATATTTTTTATATTACTACTAAATAAGCTTCGTAAATTAAAAGAGCTTTAAATTTACTAGAATAACTGTCAAGATTCATATTTAATAATTACTTCGTAAAATATTTTTTATTGTTTCGATAAATATTTGTATTTTCGTTTATATTACCACAATATGTTCAAAAATTTTTTATCGTTTCTTTCCTTTTTTCTTTTTCTTTTGCGCATCTGGCCAGGGAAATCCGCGACAACGTAAAACGTCCATAATATTGTGACAAGTGTAATATGCGTTTTCCATCACTTCCTCATTAAAAATATCCATTGTAAATCTTGCTTTTCCTCCACTTCGTTTACCACCTCGAGATGTTTTCTTCGAGGGTTTGTTCTTCCCACCATTTCCTGTTTTTCCATTTTTGCCATTCGTTTTTCCATTTGCCTTTTTTTTCGTCTTTCCCGGTGCTGGCATTTTAAATTAACAATCTGCGACGATCAAATATTTGTTTATTATTTCAAAAAAAAAAAATATTCGTTACCTTGTTTAGTATTAATGTATTTTTTAAGTGCCAAGTGTATTTATACCTCGTTAATTCGTGTCTAATGTGATTCTCCGTTATAACGAAAAAACGAAATCGTTAGTTTCCATGCAACCGAAATTTAATCGATAAATACTTATTTATTAATAAAAACAAACTGTTTAACTTTATGTTCTAAAGTAATTTAATGTTTATTTAATTTCTAAATAAATTTAGAATATAAATCGAAATGTTTTTGTTTTTCAATTTCTATGAATAAATTAATATCTTTAAAAGAAAATGCCTGTAAAAGTTTATAAGTGATGAGAATAAAATGTTATAATTTTATACATAATAAATTATTCTTTTATAAATAATCTTTAATTTTTCGAAAATATTTTTAATTATTTCCATTAAATATTTTTTTTTAATTATTCTGATTATTAAAATTATTAATTTCAATATTTTAATGTCGTTCCTAGATTAGTTTTTTATTTTTTTATATATTAATTTTTATCTATGTCGTTATCTACTTAATTGTTAGTTTAGTAATTATTGAAATAATAATAATGTACGAAATTTTTAATATTTAAATTAATTAAAAACTATTTATTTTTAATTATTTATTAAAATTTTATGAAAATATTTCCGTGAAGGAACATTTTTTAGTAAATAAATTAATAATAATTAAGAAACTATTTAATAATGTATTTATTACACATTTTTGAAATTAATAAATATATAACAATAGTCGAATTGGAGTTACGAATTCTAGAGTGTACTGTAAATTAACGTAAATTATAAAAATTGAAATGTATGCAAAAGTCATTTTCTCTAATTTTGTAATTTAAAATCGTTCAATGAACAGGTATATAATAAACATATAAATTTATGAGTGCAAGTAATTATGCTATTTTTCTTTAGGAACAAAAAAAAAATTAGGGAAATTCTAATATTATAGACTTTTCTTTTAAAAAGTGAGGTTAGTTTCGTCGTTATACATTCGCGCCATTCGCTCCTCAGTTTTCATTCTATTCTAAGGACTCGTAGAGTTCGGGTCGACATTAAAACTATATATATATATATATTTAATTTTTCTAAAGTATTAATTCATTTTACTAATGAATATCTATGACAAAAGTGATTTTAGAAGGCAGAATTATAAAACAATCGAATGTAAATACATAAAGTGCTTTTTCTCTGCGTGGCTGTGAAGAGAAAAGAAACAAATTACCTCATGGATCACAGATTCTCTGATTTCTCTGAAATTTGTGTAATTTTTCAAAACTCAGAAATTAAAAGGCTTGTTGCACCCCGCCCAGCAATTAACCGGCGTCAATTTCTAAGTTTTTCAATTTTTTTATAATTGAAAATAACATTTTTAAAATAAAAAAACTTGGTGTCAGTATATTCATGTGTGGCTAAATATATAAAAAAAATTCATCCCTGTTGGACTGTACGTACAAAAAGTGAGACACGAGTTTTCCAAAATGTCAACAGCTCTTCTTGCACTTTTCGCCGTGATTCTTTGTATTCTTTTCAGAATTTTAAATGTTAACAGTGCAGCACAAAAACCAGCTTTAATATGTCAAGATCAATCATTTCTCACAACTGTTCTGAAAATTGCTCCAGTAATCACAGAACCGTAAGTATTTTTTTTTTTTGACAGTTTTGAAAATATAATAGTTTCTGGAATTTTTCCAAAACGACCCTATCATTTTAGGTTCTATTTTTTTTTATTGAATTCATTAAATTAATGTGCCCCTATAACATGGAAAAGTAAATCTATCATAATGATTGTAGAAAGTTCGATGAACTTTTGAAAATGATTAATAGATTTCATATATCTTTGTTTCTTTGAAATGTTTGAAAGGTTTTGAAATTAAAAAACAGGAAAAAATCTATTGTACATTATAGAGCTTGTAGGTTAGATTATCTCATTAAAAATACATCCCGAGACTTGTGAGTGGAGGAGAGATCTCTTTATTACGCATAGGATTTTTCATTATTATACATTTTCAACTCTATTTTGCAGTAGGAGAAATACTTTGAATAAACTTATTCTCATTTTAATTGGATTAGAAATATTAAAGAAAAAGTGGCGAATTTCTTTTTTATGACGCAATTGTTTAAATGCGAAAAAAATTACGTTATCGAAGTTTCTGTCAAATAATTTAAGATAATAAAGCTTTATCTATGCATATACACATATTTTCTAGACGTGAATCATTCTATATTTTTCTGACATTTCTCGAAAAATGGATACATTTGTTTTCTTGAATTTGATCTTCGATTCATTAAAATTTATGCATTTTTCTTGAATAACAACTTACAATATTAAATAAATTCTTGTTTACTTTAAGTTAATTGTAATTCAATCAAGTTTTAACATTTGGGATATCAGCTAATTTGGGATCATCCGCATTCCTATTTTAAATCCTCGTATGCAATTTTAAAGAATGAAAAAAAGAATTTATATACACTTTCTAAAAAGATTTTCCAAGCTATTGTAAAACAACATGAAAGTTGCAGTAGGCAAATATTTCGATATAAATTTCACCTATATTGGATGATTTTGTTTTAAATCTTTAATTTCTTAATATATCTTAATTTTTATTCTAAACGAGCTCCAGAGTAGAGTAGATGCAAATTTTCTTTAAAGCGAAATTCACTTACGTAAAACGTTTCTAGAAAAAGATTTTATGAACCTATAAGAATTCCTTTAGATAATTACAAAAATAGATGTATATTTTAATAACCACAACAATATTTGCTCTCCATCCCAATATAATAAGTGTACGTTTTTAAATTTTTTATTCTTGAATATTTGCTTGTAAAAAATTAAATAGGAAAATTACGTTAAAATTTATTTCATGTATTAGTTATTGTATAGCTGTTAATTTGCTTTTTTTTGTTATTGTAATCAATCTTTTATCTTCTTTCACGTTCTTTTTGTGGTCAAATGTCTAGAAGAAATTTGTTAGGTCAGCGGAAATGATTAATTTAATATAATAAAGTATGTATTTATTCTCCCCTTGAATTTTAAAGAATTTTTAACACTAAAAAATCATTTCCTTATGAAGTTTTTGAACGGAATTTTTTTCTATTTAAATATTTTCAAAAAAGTTCTGAATGTTCAAACGAATGAAATTTATTTTTTTCTTCTTGAAATTAAATTTTTACTTATTACAAAAAATTGTAAAAATAATGTACTTAAATTTCTTAATTATTTTAATTTAATTTCTTAATTGTCTTAAATTAATTTTCTTAATTGTACTTAAATTTTAAAAAATACGAAAAGGTTCGAAACTTTAGAAATAAAAGAAATCTGACAATCAGTAATAAAGTTAACGCCAATAAAGCAATTTTAGAAATTGTGCAATAATATTGAATAAAAAAATTATTTTGAATAGATAACAAATTTCCGAGATTTTTGATTCTCCAACTATTTGAACATAAGCAAAGAATTTTGATTATGTACACATAAAATGAATCATTTAATATCTTTAAATATATATAAACATTTATTTTTCTTATAACTTGGGTTTACTTTATGACTCAATAGAGATTAAAAATTAATAATTTTTTCAAGGATACGGTTATTAATTATTAAAAAAATTTCGTTAGAAAAGTAGTTCAAATAAAATTGAACTATTCTGCTGTTTATGTAAAAATTCGTTATATTTATGTTTAAATTTAAATATTATAATAAATGTAAGTTTTTGCTTTTTTTTATTTTTGTTTTCTTTTTGTTCTTCTCTTTTTTAATTTTTATTTAGGTTATAAATTTTACCTAAGGACTTAAATTTTATGCACCTAATAACTCAGCTTCCTTAAATAAAAATAAATCTATTTAAAACTTTCAACTGCGTTAGAAAATATGCCATAGACCGAGTAATAAAGTAAAAGAATGCATCGAAGAGCGGAAGATTATACAAAGTAGTATGACCTGCATAACAATTCGATTAGCAACAATCTCCGATCACATCAAACGAAATTAAGGACACGTCCTTTACTTTCAGTTGCTTTCTTTGTCTTAATTAATACATTTATACAAACTTTTGCAATTTTTTTCTCTCTCCGATTTTTTCATTTGGAATTTTGAATGCTTTTTAAAAGATCAATAAATTGCACTCACGGTTTTATTATTCTAGTACGAGTGATTAAAACTATTTGATAAGAGTTAAATAACTATATTTTAGTTTGCAGGAAATTTATCTTCAATGATATAATTTTCATTTCTACAATAAAAATAGGCGTATTTTTTTTACAGACATTAAAAAGCAATTTCCTTCAAGGATTCGTTATTATTCGCAAAAAGTTTTGCGGATTTCTGCTTAAATAATTTTTAAAAATTGCTGTAAAAAAAAGAAAAGTAATTAAAATTAAAAGTTTAGTTTAGTTTAGTTTGAAAATATTTAAATAGAAAAAATATTCGTTTATTTGCGCGTTGAAATATTTTTTAAAAAATTACTTAGGATAGCAAAATATTATTAATACAGTATATTGAAAAAATGTTAATTTCTCTTCTGCCAATATAATTTCTTCCATAGTTTAAAAATTTATTTTTAAAAAACCGGTTATTAATATTACAAACCTATATTTTATTATCTTCAATAAAAAAAAATTCATGACTCAACTTTTTAAAACGATGACACCGAGTGAAATAGTTCATTTTAGAAAATTTAATCATTTATTAGCAAATCAATAGACTCTTTTGTCCAATTATAGGAAAGAGTAATTTGATAAATTAGTCACATCTGTTCAAGAAAGATAAAAATAGTTTTGTATTTTTCCTTCTAGAAAACTGAAGAAACTAATTCATTGAAGCGTCAATTTATAATTGTATTTAATTTTAGTTGAAGAAAAATAAACTGCCTTGAAATATATTGTTATAAATACTTTTCATCGAAAATCAATTGCTTTTTTAAGGGATTTTTTTTCTTTTTCTAAAGAAATTGAATTTTTATCAGGAAATAATATATATATAAATTGGTGAACGTTATGTTGATAATTATTTCCGGAGTTAAAGATAACAAATTTTAAATAATAAATTTTATTCTACTAAAGTTATGTAATAATTGATTGCTTTGTTTGGATTGTTGGAAATGAAATTTATCTGTTTTATATAAAAAAAAATGTTTTCGATATTTTTTTTTACCAATTATAGAGAATTTTATTTATTGTGCACTGAAGGACGATAAATGGCAAATTTTATAAGAAGTTTTCAATTTATGGAAAGCGAACGAAAATCTTTCTTAAAAAGCGAAAATTTATTAATTTTATAAGAAATTTTTAATTAATTTCAAAAAATTTTTAATATTAGAGTGTTGCATCAATTTTAATTGTCAGATAAAAATTCAGTTTCAATTTCAAATAAGAAAACAATTTCAATTAAAATTTACAATTAAAAATTCAATATCAAAAAATAACAAAATTTCAATTAAAATTTAGATTTTAAAAATTTTCAATTAAAATTCACCATTAAAAATTCAATTTCAAAATTGTCTATTCAAATTTACAATTTCAAAAATTTCAATCAATTTAAATTTTCAATTAATTTAAATTGACAATTAAAACTTCAATTTCAAATATTTAATAATCATCATAAGAATTTCCAAACATTTTTTCAATTTAAATTAAAATGTTTTAAATATTCAATAAATTCCAATTTTCAATAACAAAATATATAATTAGTTCAAATTTTCAACTCAATATTCAATTAAAAATTCAATTTCAATTTTAATGTTAAATAAAAATGTTTGAAATTTTCAATACAAATTTTCAATTTGAAATTTTTAAATCAATTCAAATTTCTAATTAATTTAAATTGTGAATTAAAAATCAATTTCAAATATTTAATAATCATAAGACTTTTCAACCAATTTTTCAATTTAAATTAAAGTGTTATAAATATTCAATAAATTAAAATTTTCAACAACAAAATATTTAATTAATTCAAATTTTTAACTCAATATTCAATTTTAATTCAAGTTTTTAATTAAAAGTTAAATTTCAATTGTAATGTTAAATAAAAATGTTTGAAATTTTTAATACAAATTTTCAATTTAAAAATTTTAAATCAATTCAAATTTCCAATCAATTTAAATTGTCAATTAAAACTTCAATTTCAAATATTTAATAATCATAAGAATTTTCAAACAATTTTTCAATTTAAATTAAAATGTTTTAAATATTCAATAAATTCAAATTTTCAAAAGAAAAATATTTAATTAATTCAAATTTTCAACTCAATATTCAATTTCAATTCCAGTTTTCAATTAAAAGTTCAATTTCAATTTTATTGTTAAATAAAAATGTTTGAAATTTTCAATACAAATTTTTAATTTAAAAATTCCAATTCAAGTCAAATTTTCAATTGAAAATTAAATTTCTATGTCAATAAAAATAAAAATTTTCGAAATTTTCGATTAAAAATTTCAATTTCAATTTCAAATATTTTATCATCATACAAAAGTATATAAAGTGTTTAATTTAAATTTAATTATTCAAAATTTTTGAAATTTGCTATTTAAAAATTTTCTATCAAGGTAAATTTTTGATTCAAAATTCAATTTAAATTTTCAATTTTCAAATATATTTAATCATCATATAAAATTTTTAATTAAAATTAAAATTAAAAAAATTTTTAATTTAAAATTCAAAATTCAATTTAAATTTTCAATCTTCAAATATATTTAATCATCGTATGAAATTTTTAATTTAAAATTAAATTTCAATTATTTTAAAATTTCAAGAATATTTAATCAAAACAAAAAATGTTCAATTAAAATTACAATTTTTTAAATTTTCAAACGTTTTAAATTTTTAATTAAGAATTTAATTTCAGTTTTAATTTTTAAATTTTCAAATATTTAATCATCAAAAGAAATTTTAGAAAATTTTCAATTTAAATTAAAATTTTCATTTTAAACTTTGAGTTCTAATTTAAAAATTTCAATTTTAATTCAATTTCATTATTTCCTATCAAGTCAAGTTTTCAATTTAAAATTCAACTTCAATTTCAAATTTTCAAATATTTAATCATGAAAAAAATTTTTTAAAAATGCCAATTTAACTTTAAATTTCCGATCTAAAATTTTGATTTCAATTTTAAAATTGCAATTTAAATTCAATTACTGTCTATAATAAGAATTTGATTTTGAAAAAGAAATTTCGTTCATTTTGAACCTGAAAATTTTTGAAAGAAGAATTTTTATAAAAGAAATTAAATGAAATGAAATAAAATTTTGCTTTTTGAAGCGAAATTTTTTCTAAATTATCTCTAAATAGTAAAATAAGTCCACAAAATTTAATAACTATTTTCCCTTAGTCTATAATGAATTTAACAAAAACAAGAGGTCTGGTATTATTAAAAATTTTTTTTTTTAATTCCGATAATGAAAGTAGGTTAACCCCGCAAAAATAATCATTAAGATAAAATATTTATAAAAGAATATTAAATTAGAATAAAGTCAATATTTCCGTGAACTAAATTCAAATTAAATATCCATAAAATAAATTTGTTAAATTTTCTAGTAAACAATAACTTGTCCTTTTATATTTGAAAGATAATAAATTAATAATTTATTTCCCACTAATTATATAGTAAAACAATTTTTTTTTTTTTGTATAAATATCGCAGTAAACTAATCAATTTTCTTTTAACATGCAAAACGAGTAAAAGATATTTTTACATTATTAATATATATATGTAAAACTAGTTTTTGATAATACTACATACGTAAAAGTTCGGAATCGATTTCTTTAATGGAACTTGGTGAATTTTCAAGTAGAGACTTAAAAAATGTGAAGGGAGCACGCACACACATGTTTCCTTGTGTAAATTTGTGTGTGAATAAAGTATTATGCCTGCGAATAGAAGTATAAGGAATAGGCAGTCAAGTGTAAGGATTGATCAACTTTACTGACCTAGACCTTGACGAAAACGAGTTTTCTTTGATTATATTCTCTTGCTTACACGAACACGTGGTCTCTTAAAAAAATGCCTTATGAGATATGTACTCGTGAAATTAACCACATATTACACGATTATAACAGGAATGAAAATTAAATTGCGAGAAAAAATTTTTATATACGAAAATTCTCATTTTGTTGCTGTTCAAATTTTGCAATTTAAGGAAATATTGTAGTAATTCGTCAATTTGCCTTTTTAATTGAAAAACTCATTTTTTATTCTGTTGCATATTTTTGAAATTGTTAATTTTCTCATAGCATCTACTCCTCTTGTCGAGAGATTAAATTAAAATTAGAATTACATTACTTATAATGAGGTTGAAGTCCGCAACGTTTCTATGCTCCCATAAAGTTCTGAACATTCAAATGACCGAAATATTTATAATTCTTCTGGAAATTAAACGTTTATTGCAATAATTTGGCCTCAATGTTCAAAACTTTATAATTATAAAGATTCTGAATGCAAAAATTATGTTTTTTTTCGTACAATCAGTAATTTCTGAAAATGTTTTTAGAAAAAAAATAATTTAATTCATTTGAACGTTCAAAATTTGTGGATCATAAACGAAAACGAAAAAATAATGAAACTGTGTTTATTATTTTGATTTCAAATTTTAATTATTTTTAGGTGTAACTGCAAGAAATTAATGTCTTAAAAATTAGAGATGAATTAAGTCGAAAAAAAAATTCTTTTAATTTTTTTTTTATAAAACGTGTTAAAAACGTTGCAGTCTTCAGCATCATCAAATTACTTTAAAATTAAACTACAATGACAGGCATTACAGTTAGTCCCCCTTTTTTATCTAATCCACTTTTTTATTCCCCTAAATTAATCAAATTCACTATAAAACACCTGAAATCATGAATATACTCCCCTTTCCCCCCTTTTTAAAAAATTTATTTAAATATATTTAAAAAATTTCTTTTTAATAATTATTTTTAAAAAAAAACTTACAAACATTGTCATTTTTTTGTAAATTAAAAAATTTTTAATAATCAACAATGTTTTGAACGTCTAAATGCACTAAATTCTTGTTATTAACACTATTTTTCAGAAATTACTGATTAAAATAAAAATTAAAAACTCAAATTTTACCTCTAGAAAAACAATAATTAATTAACATTTACGTAATTAAAATCAGAGAGGTACAAAATTTATTTATCTACATTTGCATACGTTCATAATATTAGGAACATAATCTTTTAATTCTACTAATACAGAAAAAAAATTTCCACTTTTTGCACCAAGTTGAAGTCCACAACGTTGATCAACGTTGTGGACTTCAACTTCGTCTTTTTGCAAACTTTGGAAAAAGTTTAGTTTTTTGAAACTTAAACTTCGTTTTATATTATTTTTTCAGAGTTTTTAAACTTAGAAATTATTATTCATATATTATTTATTTTTATAGAGTAAATTTTCCGGCTTCTGAAGCAAATATTTCTAATTTTTATAAAGAATTGTTATTTCGAAATAGTAAAAGTTCGCAATAAATTTTACTATAATTTTTACTGAAATTTGCTTCAAATATAGTAAAATTTATGGAATTTTAAAACAAAAATTCACTGAAAAAAATAAAATTTCAAAGTGAGAAGAAAATTCCTTATTTTAAGAAAATTACTTATTTTACGTATTTCATTTTTAATTTAAAAGAAGAGGAATCTTGTAAAATTGAAAACGTTTTATTCGGTGTAGTGTTTCAACATAAATGCTAATTCGAAATTTAGAAAAGTTGCAGAGAAAAAATAAAGACAGAAATAATTAACAGAAAAAAATTGAAGTGATTAAAAAAACAGTAATTTAGAGAAAAATTAAAAAAATTATATTTTTAACAAAAATTTTGAACATTTAAATGAACGAAAATTAAATTAAATAAAAAAAGGCTTTCATCCCTGTAATGAAAATAATTTTCGAATAACTCTATTATTTTATGCTTTGTCGTAAAAGTACTCTATAAGTGTAATTGAACATTATGTATTGAAAATTAAATTATATTCTACTTAAAATTATTAGTTGAAATCAAAGCCGACCTGTTTTAATTACCATATGCTATATTTTATAATTTAATTTAATTTTTGTTTTTTATTTTTGCAGCTACAAACCAACCAGATTGTGGGGCTTTAGTGGACACGTGCAAACAATTGTTCATAGCATAATCGGAAGAGTGCGATGTCCGTGGCCTATTGGAGAGCGAGTTTACATTGGTTTGCCAGATGAGACCACTTTAACATATGACCTCTACGAACCTTTAACTACTGGTCATGAAGGTACTGAAAAATGATACGAATCTCAACACTGCGTCGACTTTTTTACTCTCATATTTAGCGAGAAACTAGCGATTTCTTTCCATTTTTTTCCAAAGTGTTTCAATTTTTCCTAAAAGTCCAAGTTTTACATTTTTTTTATACTGAACAGGAGTGCCACAGGTCAGAAAAATCAGGGAATTTTGAGAAAAGTCAAGAGAAATTTTAACAGAAGTATCGGAAAAATATTTAATTTTTAAAATTCATAGAAAAGTTCTTGATTTTTGTGTCTAGCAACATTAGAGATTGAAAAATAAGATTTCATCTTAAATTTTTTTTGCTTGCTTTATAAATTTTTAAACCAGCACAAATTTTCATAGAAAACGTTACATTTTTTCTGGATTAGCTGAATTTTTGAATATTTGACAGAAAACATTTGGAAAAATCGAAATTTTGTAAAATTGAATTGTAAATCATTAGATTTTAGAATTATTTTAGGTGTGAATTTTTTTTCTCCGAATAATTGAATTCTCAAAGAATTTTCTCCAAAATTAATTAAAATAATTAATTTAGTAAGAAATCAATAAAATAAAATAAAGAATTTTAATTAAAAACTCTAGAAAATAATTGAATTGAAATCTTAAAAATTATTTTTGGAAAAGTTTCAGTATTAGCAATAAATTAGCTAAACAGTAGCAATTCTTATGAATTATTTTATTTCGAATGGTTCCAAGTTTGAATCTTTTGCTATTCACTCATTTTTAGAATGAATCAGAATATTCTTTGTAGTCAGGAGAAAAGACAGTATTTTTCTTTTTGGAGTCAGGGAAAAAATAAACTTTTTGTGGCAACTCTCTTAAAATGATGTAAAAGAGATAAGTATAATACCAAAAAAAATCACCGTCTAAAGTTTTGAACGTTCAAACGAAATATTTCAATATTTTTTTAAAATACAAGACTAAAAGGAAAAAAATTATAATCGAAAATTTAGTTACAAATTAATTGTCTAACTATAAAAAATCAAAATTTTATTATAATGAAATTTTGATCAAAGACGTAATAAAAATATCCTCTTTCATTTGAACGTTCGAAACTTTAGGAACATTAAAAAATAATTTTTTTTGTGTCTCATATTTTAGTGAGCAAAAGTTTGCTTTGCTTAAATAAAAAATTGAAAGAGAGAAAATATTTACTAAATGAATTATTTAATATTTTATACAATTCTAAAAATTTATTAATTTGCTGAAAAACAAACTGTTTTATTCTTAATTTTGTTTGAAAAATATTAATTTCTGTAAAATTCGCAATATTATTGTTAACAGTTGTTTTTGCAAAGTTGTAATGAACTCGAATGTTTGGATAATAAAATATTTCTCGTTTCAGATGACGTGACAATTGCAATTTGTCCAGGAATAGGAAATAGTTCGGAAAGTGTCTACATACGAACATTTGTACACTTTGTTCAATGTCACGGTTATAGATGCGCTGTACTTAACCATGTCGGTGCTCTTTCTAGTGTAAAAGTTACTGCACCTAGAATATTTACATACGGTAAATAAAATGTCGCCCTAAATTAAATATAATTAATTAAATAGTATTTAAATTTAACAGCGAAAAAGATTTATTGATTACTAATTAATATTACATTTTTTTTAATATTCAATTAAATAAAAAAATTCGTAAAAGTAAAATGTGAATGGTATTTAAATATTGAATTAAAATAATAAAATTTTTGTCCTTTCAGGTCATACGGATGATTATCACGTAATGCTTCAGAACTTGATAGAAAAACATCCAGCAACACAAATAGTTTGTATAGGTTTTAGTTTAGGTGGAAATTTAGTAACTAAATACATGGGTGAAAGAGGCTCTAATAAAATGTCACATATCATTGGTGGCATTTCTGTTTGTCAGGGTTATAACGCCATTGAGTAAGTAATTACAAATTTTTTAATTAAAAATTTATTGAAATTAAAATCATTTTCAAAAAATTTTATTTAACAAAATAGAAGAAAAATTTAAGCAAAATTGACAATTATTGTAACTAACTGAACATTTCTTTCTTTTTTTGCAGAAGTTCAAAGTTTTTATTAAATTTTATTTAACAAAGAATAGAATAGAAGAAGAATTTAAGTAAAATTGACAATTATTGTAACTAATTGCACGTTTTTTCTTTTTTTTTGCAGAGGTTCAAAGTTTTTATTAAACTGGCAAAATTTTAGACGTTTTTATCTGTATGTCATGACAGAATCTGTTAAAAATATCATACTAAAACATAAACACGTTCTTCTATCCGAAGACGTGAAGCAGAGACATGGTTTAATTGAGAAAGACATCGTTTCAGCCGCAACTTTACCTGAATTGGATGAAGCTTATACAAGAAAGGTTCGTAATTTCTTGCATTCTTTCAAACATAAAAACTATTTCAATAAAATTTGACAAAAACTTTTGATTATCTCAATTTTTAAAATTATTTTCGGAAATTCTAATTTTCTAATTTTTTCTACCTTCAAAAAAATTTTAATTACAATTTTTCAAAAACCTCATTTTTTAGAATTTCTACATTAAATTATTCAAAACTTCAAAAATCTTTTAAAAATGTTGTTCAACAAATATTTAAAAACTTATTTATTTTAATTGAAATTTCAAATAATTTCAATTATTGCGACCTTTGGAAATTTAACTATTTCTAAAAATTAAAATTGCAATTTTCCCAACAATCACTTATTTTTTCGAAGTTCTGAATAAAGTTACTCAAAACTCTAAGAATTTTTAAAGGAAAATAATATATTGATCATATTTTTTTAAATAAACATTTAAATAATATTATACTTTTAAGGCGATCAAAATGTTGAAGAGATATCAATTATTAAAAGTCTAAAATTTAATTATTTCTTAAAATTCCTGATAAAATAATTTCAGTTAAAATTTTTAAAAATAATTGAATATTAAATATTCTAATATTCAATTATTTTTTAAAATTTTAGCTGAAATTTATTTTTAAATAAATATTCTTATTGCAATTCAACGATAATTAAATTATTTAAATACAACAATTTTTGTACGCTGTAATTATTTACAAAATTTTTATTTTCAATTCTTCAAAAAATAGAATAATATTTAGAAATAATTTTCTAAAGTGAAGAATTAAAATTCTTTGAAATGTAAAATTTATTTTATTGAATTTTTGAGAAAATTTCCTATTTTTTCAATTTTTTAAAATTATTTTCGGGAATTTAACAATTTAAAAAATTTTTTATTTACGACTAACATCATTTTTCTGATTTTATAAATAAAATTTTTGAAATTTAATTAATTTTTGTTTAATAAATATTTGAATACTTATTTGTTATTTTTTTGTCTATCAGGAATTAAAATTTAAAAATACTTTCAATGTAAAACGTTTTAAAATTTAATTATTTCTGAAAATTAACTGCAATTTTTCCAATTCTTGAAATATTTTCTCAAATTTTAACTGAAATTCTTTTTCAAATGAATTCTTATTAAACAATTCAACGAGAATTGAATTAATTTAAATACAAAATTTTTTGTAAAATACATATAATTATTTTACAAATTTTTAGTTACAATTCTTCAAAAAATACAATATTTGAAAATAATTTGTTAAATTGAAAAAATAAAATTCTTTGAAATATAAAATTTATTTTGATAAAATTTGAGAAAATTTCCTACTTCAATTTTTTAAAATTATTTTCTTCAACTATTTTCAAAAAAATTTTATTACAATTTTTCATGAGAAAACTCTGAATTTTTATGTCCAGCAACCTTTGAATATGAAATTGAATTTATTTAAAATAATTAAATTTTTTAAGAACAATCAAGAAATTATTAGGTATGGATTTATAAAATATTTTTAATGAATAATTTTATTTTAAAATTCCAAAATTAATTGAAGAAGTTAGTTTTTAATTTCTTTTGTAATAATTGTTTAAAGAATTTGATTTTTTTCCTTTTTAAATATATTTTTAATTATATAATCGTATTTTTTAAGAATTCAGTCTAAAAATTTGGAAAATAATTAAATTTTACAAAAATTTCGATCTGAAGTAAATAATAATAAGGAAAAAAGTTAATATTCATTATAAAATAATTCTTTTTGTATTTCAGTTCTGAAATTTAACTTTTTGATAGCTACTTTTTTTATTGCTTGTCTTCACTCTTAAAGTTACTTTTTGCTACTTTTTTTTTACTTCTTTTTATTTGTGTTTCTTTATAAAATTATTTTGTGTATTAAAAACATTGATTATTATAACTGAATGAATATTTAATTTACAGTATTTTCCATTTTAGTATGAACAAAATATATTTTCTATTTCAATTATTCCAAAATTACTATTTTGGAATAATTGAAATAGAAAATATATTTTTTTCATTTGAACGTTTTTAAACTTTAGGGACATTAACAAACGCGAAGCCTGATTAATTAATATCATTATTGAACTAATCGATTAATTTTTTCCGAAGGTGCACAATTTTAGATCTGTGAAGGATCTCTACAAATGGAGTAGTTCTCAATATTATCTTGACAATATTGCAACACCAATGGTGTTCATTAATGCTGTCGATGATCCAATTGTTCCTGAAATGTTGCTTAATTCCATCAAAGATTTTGCTGGTAAGATATTAATTTTATTATCCACTGTATTAATAATTTATTCTGTTTAAAAATCAAAAAATAATTTATAATTATAAAAATAATTGTAATTTTAAAAATTTCAGCTAGTCACCCAAGTTCCTTGTACGTTGAATTGGCTCACGGTGGTCATCTGGGTTTCTACGAAGGAGGTCTTCTTTATCCAAATCCAATAACCTGGCTGGATCGGACACTTGTTGCTCTTGTAGGGGCTCTGACACTAGCGAATGCCGACAGAGAATTGAAAGCTTCTTAACTGTATAGTTAATATTTATTCAACCAAATTCAATTTTCCTGATTATGGAAAATGTCAGGTAATCTATAATGCTCTAGCGCTTAAGCGACTCGAGTCGAGATTTCTGCAAAAAAAAAAAAAAAAAAAGTGACTGAAACTGAAAAAAGTGCTACGGTTAGTTTTTAGAGTCCAAAAAAAATAGGATAGAGATCTAATTATAAAAAGTAAATTTTTTTACTTTCTCAGGTGCACTTTCATATCCAAAAAAGAAAACAATTTTTAACTGTTCGGTTGTTTGCATTACATTTGCATTACATTTTTTCGGTCTTATAATTAAAGATCTCTAAAATTTGGGGTAGATTTATTTTTTAAAGAAAAAAAAGTATTGCCAAGCGAGAAGCGTATAACTTAGGTCTTGTTGTATTCAACGAATACACAAAATACTTGTGTAATTACACAATATTCTGCTCAATGCAGCACATATTTTTGCAACTATGAACTAAACAATTAAATTTACAGTAAAGTTTTACCGAGTTGTTATCGCGACTCGACATCTGTGGAACGGAATCGTGTCGCTTGAAAAAGAAAGAAAAAATCTTGTTAGGATTTTTGTTCGTGTAGCCATTTTATTTCATAAATGCCATGAAATTATTGAAATTTTTTTTTAAATCGTTAAGTAAAAATGAGTTTATTTTGTTACCAAAAAGATATATAATTTTATCAGTTTGATTTCTGCAAAAAAGAAAAAAAAACAAAGAAATAAATCTATTTTTAAAAATTATTATTTCTACATAGACGAAAGTTAATCTGACTAGGTTTCTACATATAGTGTAGCGACTTAGATATATTGACTTTTCTACAAGAAAAAAAAGTCATGTGATCCTTGTATACTGGTAGAAAGAAGGCGTAGGAATGCTAGTATATTGAGAAAAAAAACGGTGCGTTTATACATATTTTATAATGATAAGACAACTTCCTTTTTGAATAAGAAATACTAATAGTATTTATTTTAATTAGAGTTAACGTATGTGATGATTACAGTTTCTCGCCTCAGCGCTGTTGATGACGCGCAATTTGATTATCAATATTTAAGAAAAACTCGTTAACACTTGGAGATTTTTTTTTTTATTCATCTAGATCGTAAACTCTAGTAAACACAGTATTAAAATCACAAGAGCAATTTAAATAGGGGGCCAAGGGTTTGTAAACCTTTGAACTAAAAAGAAAGAATTTTTAAATTGAGTCAAAAATTATTACTTTCACTTTAATGATCTTAATAATTTGAAATACACCAAAAGCTATTTTACTTTTTTATTATTAATTTTACTGTTATAAGCAATTTTATTTTTCAGGCCTCGGATATGTAGTTCGATTTTTTGGACTTTTTTTACACTAATTTTAAAAAAAATTACTTTTTTGACTTATTTTCAAAAAAAGATTACTTTTTTACTTACTTTCAAAAAAATCGGTTATTTTAATGAAATAAATCTTTTTTCAGTACACTTTTCTTGTATAAAATTTAAAATGCAAATTACTTCCATTCTTATAATGTAAAAAATAACTTTAGTCAAATATTTCAAAATTAATTTTTGATTCATTGAAAATAATTCATTTTTATTTAATTTCATTAAAATTTTTTTATAATTTTTTTAAAAATTATTTATTTTTAATATTATTAATTACATATTTGTAAAAAATTCAAATATCTAGTAAAAATTATTACTTTAAAATGTTTTAAATCTATTTTTTAGAATTATAATTAAAATTTTGGAAAAATTATTTGCAAAAAATTGTACTAAATTACAATTATTGGAAAACTTCCCAATTACGTACAATTGAAAAATTTATGAAATTTTATAAAAAAATTTAGAATTATTATTAAAATTTTGAAGAGAAAAATTATTTTTAATTAAAATTTTGAAAAATATTGAATTGTCTAAAAATTTTTTTAAGAATTTCAATTATTGTTAAAGAACATTGCACTTAAAATTCTTTAAAAACTTTATAATTTTTTAATATATTTTATTAAATTTCTTTTAAAAATTCAATTATTGGCAAAAATGTTTTTTAATTACAATTATTTTTAAAATTTTCAATGAAATTTAATTAAAAAATGTATTCTTATTCAAAAATTATTTAATAATATTTTAAATCGCTAATTTTAAAGAATTTTTTTTAATTTAATTATTTTGAATATTTTTTATATACATTTTTGATAATTTACCTTAATAACTTTAAAAAGAACTTTACATTTATAAAAAATGGAACTTTTGAATTTAAATAATTGAATTCTTAGAAAAATTATTAAACATAATTGATTTAGAAAAGAATTATTGTTAATTTTTTTGGAAAATAATCATTTTTGGAAGGATTTCAATGTTTATTTTTAGAAATAAATAAATTTTAGAATGTTTAAATAATTGAAACTTTAAAATTGTAATTCCCTTGAAAAAATAAATAATAACTTAAATATTTCTATTTAACAAAAATATTTAATTTTTGAAGAATTGAATTTAGAGATCAGTATGAAAAGTCAAGGAAATACAAAATAAAAATTTTTGTGTGAAAAATAAACTAAAATTTTTTTAAATATTCGACTTTTTAAATTTTGTTCAGTCTTTAATCGACTAAAACCACTTTTTTTGCTCCGAGGCCTGATTTTTGAAAATAATTCTTTTGTCACATTCAGATTTAAAATCAGAATGCACTTTTGCTTTTTCGATGATAAGGAATTTTCGTTATTTCGAATTTTTTTCAAGTTTAATTATTTTAAAAACTTTAAGATAAAAATCACTTATGGCATTCTTTCTCAAAATCTAATACTATAAATTGATTTTTAAAAAAAATGTTTTTATCATCAAAAATTTGTGAACTCAAATTTTTTCCATTTTTTTGAATTTTTACTCTCTGGCAATTATTTCTGCTTTTTTTATTCTTGTAATGCTGTTAATTTTTTTTAATCAATTTTTAGTATTAATTTTGGACTAGACTCGTGTATAAAAAAAGTTACAGATTAATTTTTATTATAGTTACGATTAGGAAATTATTTTTTAAAAAAAGATTTATCCTAAGAAAAATTGATTTCTTGCTTCTATAGTATAGTAAATTCTTGACAGTTTTATATTTGAGAAAAAGATTATTGTTAAAATGATGGAAAATTTTAGATTTTTTTCTTCAGTTGTCAAATTGTCACTTGTAGACAACTGGAAAATTTGATCATTTTGACAATGCTCGTTTTCTACTGGAAATCTTATACGATGTTAACAATTTTGGACATTTATATATAGTATATTGTTTTATTTAGAATGAACGAATGTATTTGAATGGCAGTGTTTAAGGCATTTTTTATTTTATTTTCAAATGAAAAATTTTATGCATTTTGTATATGGAGCAAAAAAAACTTCAAACTTTTGTGATTGAAATTCAATTTTTGTGAAATTCGTAATAGTTTATAAATTGGTAAATTTGTAAAGTAATCCAAAGTGTAATCACCTGTTTGTGTAATTACAATTGTATTGCAATTGTGATCAGAAATTTTTGTGAAGATAAACTATATTTTTATTGTATACATAAAATTTTTTGAAAATATTTTATTGGAACAGGCAAAAAGAATTTTTACCGAGTACTCAAATTTTTGAGCAGACATTTATTATTTGCATTTAGGGCCTAAAAATAACAAAACTCGAAATAATTTGAAATTCGAAATTATTTCTTTTTCAAAGTCATCTTTTTGCATGTTTGTCAATATTTCAATGTACAAAGTATTTAGAGAGATATTGTGATTTTATTGTCTAATGAAACGAAAGAATTTTAACGAAAACTGAAAGTAAAAAAAAGTTGAACTAATTTTTATTTGCGTCTATGATTCACTGCCTTACAAAACATACTGGAAAACTAATTATTTTCATAAATTCGTAAATTTATTTTTATCAAATAAATATTTGCATTTATTTTTATAGTCTTATTTTTAATTTCGTAAATTGATAATTAAATAAAATTTAGTTTCATTTATAATCAAATAGATAGAAATTATAATATTTTTAATAAAAATTTTATTTTTCAAAAATTAATAGAAATTAACTGTCTACGATGATAATCGACGAAAAATATTCTGTAATAACCAGTGACATAACAAATTAATTAAACCATGTTCATCACTTTTGAGCAGTGAAGATTTATAATATGTATATGAATTTGTCAAAATTGATTTACAAATTCAGAAATAGTTATTTAGTATCTGTTATAATTTCTGATAAAAAAGTATTAAAAAAAATAAAGTAAGTAAGTAAGTAAATGATGTCCTGAAATTGTTGTTGTTTTCAATGAGCCTGAATTTTCCCTTATTTTTTTCTTCAAACACAAATAGCTTAAATATAAGTGAATAAATAATATTAAAACACGATAATAAATTATGTAATAAACGAAATACTTAATAGAAGCTGACAACTGGTTCAAATTACAACAATTGCCAAGTAACACATTTATTATTTCACCATGCGAATTGTCAAACCAATTCTCGATGATTTATCTCCGTAAATAATCGACAAGTAATGAGTTTAATTTTTCATAACAAATGGAAGGGTTCAATAAACTAATATGCAAATGTAATCTTTAAATAGAACGTTAACGAAGTGATTGATAAAATATAAAGCTAGTATAGTTGTTGGCACATTAGTCAAACTCATGGAATTCAGTATTCATCGAGCATTCAGAGAAGGGACACAACTCTCAGGACCTTAAAACTCATCCACTCTGTTGAGAAAGTGAACATTGAAGTATTTAAAATGGCCTTGAGTCGAATTGCAATTACCCTTTCAATTTTATTAACGTTAAAATGGGTCATTGGCATCCCAGTGATAGTGAATCGAGATATTGACGATTATTGGTCTAAACGAGCTAATTTCATTCGAGAAGAGGAGAGCGTTGCCTTTGGTGGCGATGTACCATTACAGAAAAATGAATTTCTCATGAATTACACTTTAATGTCGGCTAAATTCATGGAAATTGATGAAGGTTCGTTTTTACTAATCTATGAAGTAGATTATTAATTATTATCTTAATAATACTTAATTAAGAAACAAAATTATACTTTTCGCCATTTGATTAAAAGTTCCTTTTTTAAGGGGAAATTAAATTGAAATTAAATTAAAATTAAAGTCAAATTAAAGTAAAATTAAATAAAAAATAATTAAAAATAAAAAAAAATTTGTCTATATATTTGAAAAATTTTTCGTTTTTTTTCAAAATAAAATTGTTTGTAAACAAAAGCGAAAAAAGAAAGGTTTTAATTTCCCATTTGAAAGAATTAACATTTTTTAATATGTAATAATTTACATCAATATTTGATTATGTGATAATTTATCAATCGATTAAATTTCTGAATCATTGTTGACAGAAATAATTACAATTTCCTCATCAAGTGTAGCTATTTATAAATAAATTTTTTTCTTTTTATGATGGACATGTGACAAAATAGAGATAATAATCCGTTCAATTTAAATTTAAATTAACTTCTTCAATTAGAAAATTATATTCCAGTTAAATAATTTTCATTTTTACGATTTTTCCTGCAAAGTTTCACAATTACTAATTAATTTCATATCGTCATGAAAAAAATTTGACAATTAATTTTCTTTCTCCAATTAAAAAAAAAACCAAAACTACAGTTACAGTTGCAATTTTTAGAAATAATCAATTATTTATTTTTGTATTTAAATAATTCATTTCTCGTTGGATTTTTTAATAAGAATTGATTTGAAAAAGAATTTCAGTTAAAAGTTGAGAAAATATTTTAAGAATTGAAAGAATTAAAGTCCTAATTTTAATTAAATTTAAATAGATTTTACATTGAAAATATTTTAAAATTTTAATTTTTGCTGGACAAATAAACAACAAAAAATATTCAAATATTTATTAAACAAAAATTAATAAAATTTGAAAAATTTTACTTAGAAATTCTAAAAAAATAAGGTTTTTAAAAAATCGTAATTAAAAGTTTTTGAAAATACCTAGGTAGTTGAATTCCTGAAAATAATTTTAAAAAATTGAAGAAATTGAAAATTTTCTCAAATTTTATTAAAGTAAATAAAATAAATTTTGTATCTTAAAGAAATTTTCCTTCTCACTTTAAAAAATTATATTTAAATATTATTGTATTTTTTGAAGAATTGTAACTAAAAATTTCGAAAATAATTAAATTTTACAAAAAGTTTTTGTATTTAAATAATTCATTTATCGTTGAATTATAAATAACAATTAATTTTAAAAAAATTTTAATTCAAATTTTGAAAAATATAATAATTGAATATTCGAAGCGTTATAAATAGGAATTATTGAGAAATAATTAAATTTTAAAAGTTTTACAAATTAAAATCTTTTTAACATTTCAATTGCCATAAAAGTATAATAATATTTAAATGTTTATTAGAAAAAAAATTATTATTTTTCCTTCAAAAATGATTAAAGTCTTGAATAATTCAAAAATTCGAAAAAATAATTGACTTTTGGAAAAATCACAGTTGTAATTTTTAGAAATAATTAAATTTCAAAAGGTTTTACAAGGAAATTCTTTGAAATTTCAATTAAAATAAATAACAATAATTTTTCAAAATATTTGTTTATAAAAAATTATTAAAGTTTTGAATAATTTAATATAGAAATTCTAAAAAAATTAAGTTTGTAAAAAATTGTAATTAAAATGTTTTGGAAAATAATTGAATTCTTCGAAAATAATATTAAAAAATTGTAAAAATAGGAAACTTTCTTAAATTTCATGAAAATAAATTTTATATTTCAAAGAATTTTATTTTCTCACTAGAAAAAATTATTCCTAAATATTCTTGTATTTTTTGAAGAATTTTAACTAAAAATTTAATTAACTAGCATACCTAATTAATTTAATTATTAACTAAATAATAATAAAATTATTTTATAAAAATTTTTGTATTTAAATAATTCAATTATCGTTGAGTTCTAATAAAAATTGATTTAAAAAAGAATTTCAGTTGAAATTTCGAAATTTATTTTTATAAAGTGAAATCTTTTTAACATTTTAGAAGTATAGTATTTAAATATTGTTTTAAAAAAATTTTATATAAATTATTTTCCTTTAAAAAATATTATTAGTCTTGAATAATTTTTAATTTTATTCAAAAATTCGAAAAAAATAATAATAAAAAATTAAATTTCAAAAAGTATTGCAATTAAATTTCACATAAAATAAATATCAGTAAGTTTTTACATATTTGTTTAACAAAAATTAATTTTGTTTTTAAATTAAAAAGAATTTTTAATTTTGTGCATTAAAAAGAAATTTTTAATGCAGAAATTATGAAAGAAAAATAAAAGTCTTTTAAAGAATTGGTAACAAAAATCGTTTGAAGATAAATTAATTCCTGAAAAAAAAATTTTTTAATTGAAACAATTAAAATTTTTACCAAATTTTATTAAAATAAATTTTTTATTTGAAAGAATTATTAAATTTCAAAAAGCAATTTTTGATAACTAACAAAAAAGTCCGAAAATTTCACGAGCGCTTAATTATATACAAGTTAATTATTTAATCAATATTTATAATCACAATTTTTCTTCGGGTATCAAATTGAGATAAAAAAAAGTATCAAAAAGTATAAATAAAATAAATAATAATAAAATGTCTCCATTTTTCTTCTTTTTGTCTCAATTTTGATCTCCTTAGAAAAACTGTGAATGAAGAAATTAATTTTCCCTTTTTAGGTTTTGCAGATCAGGGTAAATTCCTTCCAAGATCAAATTTTCTCCGCGTGAAAAATGAAATAGAAAAGTCGAAAGTTTTTCAAATAATAAAAAAAATGCCGAAAGGAGCAATTCTTCATGCGCACGATTTGGGACTTTTATCTCTGAATTATGTATTGACAAACGTCACTTATCGAGACAATCTCTACGCTTGTGAGAAAAATGGTCAACTGAAACTGATGTTCTTTAAACAGCCAAACAAAGATTGTAAATGGAAATTGCTCAGCAAACTAAGGCAAAATTCCACAAAAGCCTCGGAGATAAATAAACGAATTCAACGACAAATGTCAATGGTCACAAAGCATCCCAAATATCCCGATGGCGATAAGGCTTGGATCAAATTCCAAAGTATTTTTGAATTTCTTTTCCCGTTTCTCACATACAAGTACGCTTCCGATAATTTTTCGAAAAAAAACACAAATATTTAGTATTTAATTTATGATCCATAAGTTTTGAACGTTCAAAGGAAGGAAATCATTTTTTATCAAAAATGGAAATTAAAAACTTAAATTTTACATTTAGAAACTTTACAATTAATTAATGAATATAATTTTCTGACTTTATTTTATTTGTAATTAATTTACAATTTTTCCCGGTTTTTTTTTCATAAAATTTAAATTTATTTGATTTCGAACATAAATAAATCTACAAATGGCTATAAAATTTTTTATTTGAGTTTTTATGAAGAATTAAATTCTTTTGACGAGTTTCTTTAAATTTTTTGAAAATAATGTTTTTTTTAATAATTTTAATTCGAAAATTTGGAAATTAATTGAATTAAAAAAAGAATTTTTTAAATTATTTAAAATAATCTTGTCTGTTCATAATTATAGTTCAAAATTATATTAATTTAATTTTATTCAAATTTATTAATACTAATTGAATTTCTGCAAAAAATTTTACTATTTATAAAAGTAATTGAATCCTGCCAAAGAATGTTATTATTTATGAAAACAATTAAATGTTTGCGTAGAATTTTATTAAAATTTTTCAAAATAATTGAATTGTAGGGAACAATTTAAATATTTATAACGATAATTAAAATTTGGAGAAGAATTTAAAAATATTTTTAAAAATAATTGAATTTTTGCGAAGAATTTTATTACTTTTGAGAATAATTGAATTCTTTTTTAGAATTTTATGGAAATCTATTAAAATAATTGAATTCTTGTGAAGAATTTTTTTTAACAATAACATTCAAAAGAATTTAGTAAATCTGAAGAATTTTACTATTTATGGAAATATTTGAATTTTTTAAAGAAGAATGTTTTTACAGTTTCTAGAAATAATTGAATTTTTTTTGACGATTTTTAATAAAATTTTTAAAAATAATTACATTTTTCGAGAATTTTGATTAGAATTGCAATAAAATTAATTGAAATTTTGCAATGACTTTTATTATTTATGAAAATAATTAAATCCCTGTAGAAATCTTATTATTTATGAAAATAATTGAATGATTGCAAAAAAATTTATAAAAAATTTGTAAATAATTTAATTCCTGTGAAATTTTTATTATTTTATTAAAATAATTAATTTTGCCAAAAATCTTATTAAAATTTATGGAAATAATTGAATTCTTGAGAATATTTTTTTTTTTCAGTTTCTAGAAGAAATTTTTTAAAATAAAATTACAATTTTACGTGACTAACTTTCCTTGATTATTTTCGAAAAATGTTAATAAAATTCTTTGAAAGAAGTTAATTATTTTTAATAGAATGTAAAGAAATTTCAATTATTTGTTTATAAAAATTCAATTATCTTGAAACAATAGAATTCAAAAATTAAAAAAAATTTATTTTTCAGAATTTTCAAAAATACTTTACGAAAATTCAATTTTATTAAAAAAATTAAATGTGTACATTTTTTTAAATTAACTAATAAAAATTTTAAATATTAATTTTCGCACTAACAAACATGAATATATTAGAATGTGACTCTTTATAAAATTAAATTATTTATCAATTATTAAATTAAAATACTTTAAAAATTCGATTTGCTAAAAAGTTTTTAGTGAAATTCTTTAACAAATTTAATTATTTTCAATTGAATTTCACAAAATTTCTATTAATTCGATAATTTTTTTTAAATTTATTTACATACTTTATTTGAATCAGTAACTGATTTTTTACTATCAAATTAATTATTTTTAACTAATTCAAATTTAGAGATCAGTATAAATATCTATAAAAATTGAAAAAAGCGATTTTTTAAAAACAAATTAAAATAATAAAATTTTTTTAATTGGGTGAAAAAATTCACAATTCGTTCATTTGAACTTTCAGAACTTTAGGAACATTAATTTTGATTATTGAAGCACTTTTTTGCATTCGACCTAAATAAAAGTTTTTCTTTACCTTCAGACCCGTTTTCGAGGATTATTACTACCATTGTCTTCAGGAAATTTATGACGATAAAGTATTATACTTAGAATTGAGAACAATTCTTCCAGATTTATTCGACTTGGATGGCAGGGTGTATAAAAAGTCAGAAGTTATGCAGATTTTAAAGGATGTTACAGACAGGTTCGTTAAAAATAATTTTAAATAATTTTTTGTTTAAAATATTCGAAGTAATAATTGGAAAAAAAGTAATTTTTAATATTTTTAGTAAAATAATAGTATAATAATTAGTAAAAAAAATTACTAGAAAAATAATTACTAGTAAAATAATTTGTATCATATTACGAGAAAGAATATTCGATGCAGTCATTAAAATCTCTTGACAGGATTTGCAGATCGTTTAATTTACTCATTAAAAATCTATCTATTTTTCCTTCAACTTTTTATAAGTTTAAAATTTTCAACTAAGTTAATGTTCACATTTCGCGAATAAATTATTTTTTGATTTATTATTTTTTACTGAAACTTCAACAGAGTAATGCTAATGCATAAAAAATTGTTAATTAACAAAAATTATAATTATTATTACCAATTATTTATTTTATAATTGTAATTATTTCAATTATCATTATAATCGTGTTTGTAATTGTAATTATACATAAACGTCTTTTTCAGATTTACGGCAACTCATCAAGATTTCATCGGTGCAAAAATAATCTATGCTCCAACGAGACGTGTCGATTTGAATCAATTGAAAGAATACTTGGAAAATGCGAGACAATTGAAAAAAGATTTTCCTTCATTTCTGGCCGGTTTCGATTTAGTCGGACAAGAGGATAAGGGAGGTCTGTTAATTGATTTCGCCGATCAGTTACAAATTCTCGGAAAAGATATTCCATTCTTCTTCCATGCAGGTGAAATAATAATAATTATAATAATTTTATTTAATGAAATAAATTAAATAATTTAAATTTAAATTAAATAAATTTTAAATAATAATTTCAAAAAATATAAAAATAATTTTTGTTAACTTCACAGGTGAAACCGATTGGTATGGACTCAGCACTGATCAGAATCTCATTGACGCAATTTTGTTGAATACTAAAAGAATTGGACATGGGTAATTTTTTTTTAATTTCGACTACTTTTTAATTTCTGAAAAAGATAGTTAAATATGTCCCTGAAGTTAGCGTCGACGCTCAGCGATGAAAAATGTTATTTCAGGTTTTTAGAGAGTAAAATATTATACTAATTTCACACAATTTCACAGGGTTGGCATAAAAATGTAATTTTGTCTTTTCCTGACATTTCCCTGATTTCCAGACAGAATTTTGACTTTTTTCTTGACTCTGAAGAATAATTTTCATTTACTTTAAAAATGATAAGAAGAATTGTTAGCTAAAAGTATGAAAAATTCCGATTTTCAAAGATTTCAATTTGAAACCTTTTTAAAATTCAATTATTTTTAAAAATCCACACTATAATGGTTTTAATATTCAATTATTAACTAAAATTTTAACTGAAATTAATTTTTAAATCAATTTTTACTAAAAAATTCTCCGAGAATTCAATTATTTAAATACAAAAATAAATAATTTATTGAATAATTGAATGTTTCTTAAAATTAAAATCTAATAAAGAATTTTATCAACAAATTTTTAAATAATTGAATTCTTCTGACGAATTTTATAAAAATTTTTAAGAATTATTACAATTTTCAAGGAATTCGATTATAATTGTATGAAAAATAATTGAAAAGCTGCGATGAGTTTTATTATTTATTTATAAAAATAATTGAAATTTTGCCAATAGAATTTAAAAAAAAATTTTGAAAATATTGAATTTTGGAGAAGAATTGTATTATTTTAAAAGATAATTTAAATTTTTAAAAATTTTTTGACATAATAATTGAATTTTTGCGAAGAATTTTAATCTACTTTTGAAAAATAAATAATTAATTGAATAATTGAATGTTTCTGAAAATTGAATTCTCATAAAGAATTTTATGAACAAATTTTTTAAAAATTGAAATCATTCGATGAATTTTAATAAAATTTTTAAAAATAATTTGAATTTTAATAAGTAATTTCAATTTTATTAAAAATAATAATTGAAATTCTGCTATGAATTTTATTATTTATGAAAATAATTGAATTTCTAAAAAAAATTGTATTATTTCTTAATATAATTGAATTATTGCGAAGAAATTTATAAAAAATTTGTAAGTAATTTAATTCCTGTGAAATTTTAATTATTTAAGAAAATAATTAAATGTTTGCGTAGAATTTTATTAAATTTTTTTTTAATTAATTGAATTTTGTCGAAAACTTTTATTGAAATAGTAGATATTAAAAATCACTTAATTGAGTAATATTTTTGAAAATAATTGAAATTTTGCGAAGAATTTTATTAAAATTTTTAAAAATAATTGAATTTCGGAGAAGAATTTTATTATTTATAAAAATAATTGAAATTTGACCAGAATTTTATTAAAATTTTTGAAAATAATTGAATATCGGAGAAGAATTAAATTACTTTTGAAAATAATTTAATTTTTTTTAAGCGTTTCATTAAAATTTTTTAAAATAATTGAATTTCGGAGAAGAATTTTATTATTTATAAAAACAATTGAATTTTTACGAAGAATTTTATTAAAATTAATTTCAAAAGGAAGGAATTCTATTAAAACTGCGTTAAAAATAATCGTATTCTTTTGAAAGAATTCAATTTCAAATTTTCTAAAATAATTGAATTTATTCGAGAAATTTTATTAAAATTTAATTGAAAATAATTGAATTGCTAAAAAGAATTTTATTATTAATGAAAGTAATTGAATCTCTGCAAAAAAATTTTATTAGTTATAAACAAATTAAATTGTTGCGTAGAATATTATTAAAATTTTTTAAAAATAATTGAATTTGTTTGGAAAATTTTATTAAAATAGTAGATATTGAAAATCATTAAATTGAGCAGAATTTTTGAAAATAATTGAATTTCGGAGAAGCTTTTTATCATTTATAAAGAGAATTGAAATTTTGACGATAATTTTTGTAAATTTTTGAACGCATAATTGAATTTCTGCGAAGAATTTTATTAATTTTGAAAATAATTGAATTTCTACAATTATTTGAAACTTCTCCAAAATTCAATTTACTTTAGTGTTTTTAAAAAAAATTCTTCTATAAATTCTATAAATATTCAGCGTCAACGCTAACTTCATGGACCTAATTACGTTTAGTTTGAATTGCTTCCAATTAATTTTGTCTCAATTACTAATTAAATTAGATTTTAAATATTTTGCTATTAAATAATATAAATAAATAATAATAATAATTTGTAGAATAATGAGAAGGTCTAGATTCTGAAAATTATTCTACAAATTAATTAATACAGTCAAAAAACAAAAATCACAAAATAATAATAATAATAATATTAAATAAATATAAAAATATTTGTTATTAAATTAATTGACTCAATTTTTCCGCAGATACGCTTTACTGAAGCATCCAAAAGTAATGGAGTTGGTCAAAGAGAAGAATATCGCAATTGAAATCAACCCAATTTCCAATCAAGTGCTGTCTCTCGTGGGTGACATGAGAAATCATCCTGCGACTTTTCTTTTCGCCGAAAATTATCCAGTGGTGGTGTCTTGCGATGATCCCGGACTTTGGGGAGCCAGGGCATTGAGTTACGATTTTTATGAAGCCTTCATGGGTCTCATGGCAAGATCCTCTGATTTAAGGGCTCTGAAGAAACTCGCCTTAAATTCAATTGCCTTCAGTATGATGACTGACGATGAGAAATCATCGGCTTTTCTCTCCTTCGAAAAACAGTGGCAACAGTTTCTTCAAGTTTCTGAAAATGGACATGTCTATGAATTGTAGTCAATTTTCTATTGTTAATTAATTAAATTAATTAAAATTAATTATTTAATTAAATTAATTAATTATTAAATTAAATTAATTAATTATTAAATTAAATTAATTAATTATTAAATTAAATTAATTGATTATTAAAATTAATTAATTAATTTTAAATAAGTATTATTTTACAATTAGATTTCTTTATCTAAAATATAACAATCCCTTAGGAGATTTTTTTTCTGTGACATATTACAGAAAACAATTTTTTTTTCTGTCAAGAAAATTTTTTTTACAGAAAAAAAAATTGTTTTCTGTAATATGTCAAAGAAAAAAAATTTCTTCAGGGGATGTTAAAGTCACTGCGATTTTTTATTTGGAGCTTTAGGTCAAAATCGCATTTACTTGATGCGAGATTGAACTCCGCAACTTTTTTTAAAAACGAAAAAAACGAGACGATATTTATTATTTTAGCTTCAAATTTAAATTATTTGTTTGCAACTGAAAATTTTACATCGACTTTTTTCCGAAATTCGAAAAATCGAATCGAAAGATTAGAATTAGTAAAAGATTCAGTAGAATTAGTAACAGAGTAATTTAGTAATTATAATTATTATTTTTTGGTAATTTAGTATATTTAGTAATAGTACAATTTTATACTAAAATAAGATTTAGTAAAATTATTTACTGTGAATTTATTCAACCGATAAATTTTGAATCCGAAAAAAAATATTTTTCACTATTGAATTCATTTGTTCTTCATATACAAATATCATGTCAACTTTTAGACAATTTTTAACGATAATAAAATATTTTTACATTTCTCATTTGAAAATATTTATTTAAGAACATAGAGAATCGAAAATCTCTAAATTAATATTTTATTATCAATCAATTATTTTTATTTTTCATAAACTATAAAATAGAAAATAATAAATAGAATGATAAATAGAAAAATTAATGTAACCAACAAATATTGCTAAGAATTCTTGTAATTAGTTTTCAAAACACGTCTCACTTGTAATTAGAAAAAAAGGGTTTCCTTCAATGAATTTTGTATTTATGTTAAATGTCCATAATTAAGACACTTTAAATTAAACACCTTGAATCAAGTAATCTTCTGCAATAATGCTTCTGTTATCGCAATCACCATGTTTAGTGAACAACGTGAAGTATAAACTAAAGTGATTATTTGACAAAAATAACAGGTGAGAATATGTAGTTTTACAAATATTTTTTTAAAAAAATACTAGTATCAGTATTTGTATTTGTATTTAAAATTAAAATTAAAATTAAAATTAAAATTAAAATTTAAATTCTAATTTTAGATTTAAATTTGAAATAGATTTAAATTTAAAATTGTTTTAAATTTATAAAAAATTGTTTCGAATGAATTAAATTTGTATGCGAAGCAATTGAAATGCAAAAGAAAAAATTGCATGTGACGCAAAATTCTTCCCGCGAGGACAGAAAAAATATCAATTAATAAATAATAAATAAATAAAAAAATAATCAATAAAAATTAAAAAATTGTAAATTATGAAAAAAATGTTAAATAAAGATTTTCTTAAAAGTTATTGATTTTTTTATTTTTCTTCTTTCAAAAAGAAGAAAAATGTTAAAATTTTTCTTCTAGTTGAAAAAAGAAAAATTAAAAATTGTTTAAATTCATGTTTTTTCACTTCGATTGTTAATAAATAATTATAAGCATTATAAAATGCGCTTTACACAATTTAAAAATGTGTTTTCATTTAAATGATTATGATAATGAATTGATTAATGAAAGCAAATAATTATAGTCCTTCTAACTCCCGTATATTTTATTTTTATCAAGGTTGTCATCTCAGAATTTTTATATCTTTGCCGTAAGTTGCATTCACACGAAATTAAGTATAAAAAGGAAGTTGAAGCTATAATTCTAGTTGCAACTGAATTCAGTCATCATCAAGTCTTTCAAATGAAAATATAGAAATTTATAGGACGCAAGTGCTCTCTCTCTCTCTCTCTTTCTCTCTTCAGTAAAAATTTATCAATAAAAAACAAAAAAAAAAAAAATGTTAGAAATACGAAAAACGTTTATTTTCATTTTTTCTTTAAACTTGATCATTGTTACTGTACCACGAGAAATTGGAAATTTTCGAAAAAAATTTTCCGAAATACACCCGGCGGAAATTATTGATACGCTTAAACAATCTATTGAGACAATTAAAGAGAAAAGTGGCATCAATGATGATTTTGTTCCAACAGCGAAAAGTGCAATAGGTTTGTATTTATTAAAATTTTCTTAATAATTTAAATAAATAATTAAATATAATTCAATATAATTAAATAAATCCTTTACTATAATTAAATAATTATATTATTATTAAAATTTTTTTTAAATTATAAACAATTTAAATAATTTACTTAATAATTAAAAAAAATTAATAAAAGAGAAAAAATTTGTTACAAATTTATTGTCTCAATTTTGTCTCAATTTTTTTTATCAATAGAAAGTTGACAAAATTAAATTAAATAACAGACTTTAACAGATTTGGAGGACAATAATCTAACTGAAAAACCCGATGAAATCGAAAAGGGTTTGTGAAAATATTTTTCATATTTCTTGTATTTCACTGTTTTTTTAATGAAATTAAAAAAAGCACCGAACACATTTTACTGCGGTTTTATGAAAATAAAACAAGTTTAATTTTCAGTTTCATCAAATGAAGATGTTTCCGATAATGTTGCAAAAACAGAAAAAGGTTTATATAATTTTTTAACCGAAAAAAAAACTTTGCAATTGTATTTAATTTATTTTATTTTCTATTTCCATTTTCAGTTCCTTTAGACAAAGATGAAAATTTAAGTTCCAAGGAATTTGATGAAGGTTTGTTAAATTAAAAATTAAAAGTACAAAAAAAGATTTACAAAGATTTTCCTTTGAAACCTTTTCAAAATTCAATTATTTCTAAAAATTTACACTATAATGCTTTTAATATTCAATTATTATTTAAAATTTTAACTTAAATTTATTTTTAAAACAAATTTTTTTAGAAAATTCTACATTAGAAATTCAATTTTTTAAATTATGGAATTCTATTGTGAATTTTTAGTTAAATAGTAGATATTTAAAGTCATTGGATTGAGGAAAATTGTTTGAAAATAATTGAAATTATGCTAAGAATTTTATTAAAATTTTTGGGAAATAATTGAATTTCGGAGAAGAATTTTATTATTTATAAAAATAATTGAATTTGTGACCAGAATATTATTAAAATTTTTGAAAATAATTGAATTTTTTTTAAGCGTTTCATTAAAATTTTTTTTACAATAATTGAATTTTGGAGGAGAGTTTTATTATTTATTAAAGGTAATTGAAATTTTGACAAGAATTTTATTAAAATTGTATTGAAAATAATAAATTGAATTCCTAAAAAGAATTTTATTATTAATGAAAATAATTGAATCTCTGCAAAAAATGTTATTAATTATAAAAAAATTAAATTGTTGCGTAGAATATTATTAATTTTTTTTAAAAATAATTGAATTAAGGAGAATTTTCTTGAAAATAATTGAGTTTCGGAGAAGATTTTCATTATTTATATAGATAATTAAAATTTTTACGAGAATTTTATTAAAATTCTTGATAATAATTGAATATCAACAAATTTTCAAATAATTCAATTCTTCTGACGAATTTTTTAAGAATTTTTAAAAATTATTACAATTTTTAAGGCAATTTTTTTATAAATAAATTTTTATAAAAAAAGTTGTATTATTTCGGAATATAATTGAATTATTGCCAAAAAATTTGTAAATAATTGAATTCATGTAAAATTTTTATTATTTAAGAAAATAATTAAATGTTTTAGTAGAATTTACAAAAAAAAATATTTTTTAATAATTGAATTTTTTTTTTTAATAGTAGATATTAAGAATCACTGAATTAAGGAATATTTTTGAAAATAATTGAAATTTTGCGAAGAATTTTATTAAAATTTTTAAAAATAATTGAATTTTGGAGAAGAATTTCATTATTTATAAATAAGGCAATTAAAATTTTGACGAGAATTTTATTAAAATTTTTGATAATAATTGAATATCGGAGAAGAATTGAATTACTTTTGAAAATAATTGAATTTTTTTGAAGCGTTTCATTAAAATTTAAAAAAAATAATTGAATTTGTCGGAAAAATTTTATAAACATTAATTTCAAAAGGATTGAATTCAATTAAAATTGTATTGAAAATAATTGAATCTCTGCAAAAAATGTTATTAATTATAAAGAAATTAAATTGTTGCGTAGAATATTATTAAATTTTTTTTAAAATAATTGAATAGAGGAGAATTTTTTTGAAAATAATTGAATTTCGGAAAAACTTTTTATTATTTATAAGAATAATTGAAATTTTGACGAGAACTTTTAAAAATTTTTGAAAATAATTAAATTTCTGTGAAGAATTTTATTAATTTCGAAAATAATTGAATTTCTGCGAAGAATTTTATTAATTCTCAAAATAATTGAATTTGTCCAATCATATGTAACTTTTTCAAAATTTAATTTTTTAAGTATTTTTGACTAAAATTCTTCTATAAATCCATTATTTATATTTTATCTACTAATTTAATAAAAATAAGTGTAAAAAAATATTTACTTATTTTAGAAACTAAAATCGAAGACGAAATTGATGAGGATTCAGAAAATGATGACAATCGTTTGTATAATTTTTTTCCTACCTATTCAATTTTTCAATAAAATTTTAAGAATTTATTTATTTACTCTTGGTAATAAATAAAGTATTTAATTTTTAATTGATATTTATGTAGTATCTACAAAAGATGATGATGATTATGATGAAGATGATGAAGAAGAAGAACCATTACAAAAAGTTGACGATTCTCAAGCAAGTTTGTATTCAAATGCATATTTTTAAATAGAATTTTATTAAAAAGTACAATGTGGTCCAATTATTGTTCTTAATTATATTCTATAATCATCTAAATTTAATTAACACGTAATTTAATTTGATTTAACATAATTTTAATTTAATATATAAGATGTTGTTTTAACATTTTAATTTAATGTTAATCAATTAATTTAATAAAAATAATTTTCAGCTTAATATTGAATCATTAAATTTATTTCAATAATCTGAGAAAAGTGATCGACATTTGGGTACACTTTGTGCCAATAATAATTGGGTCATGGTGTATTATATAATAATTTTTATAGCGTCGTAATGAATACCAAACATTAAAATAATAACAAAGAATGAATAAAATTTTGTTTTCAATGACAAAAAATGAAAGTAAAATAACTGGTGCGTAAAAAAGACGCATTTATCAGTTTATCATTATATCCCTCCCCTCTGCTTAAAAATTTATGAAAAAATTAAAAATTAGAGGACGAAAATTTTTGTAACTATTATATGAATATTGTAATAATGTTTGTGATTACAATCTGTCAATATTTTTATTAGCTTTTAAACTCAATCGCGATAGCTTGATGCAAATGGAAGAAGACATGGCTTTTGGATCAGATGTTATTTTAACTGAAGATGAAAAGAAAGTGAATGATACACTTATGGACGCAAAATTCAAGGAATTTGAAATAGGTATTAATTATTATTATTATTATTTAAAATTTTTATTAACAATTTTTATTATATACTTTTGTGCAAAGTCGCGAAGAAATAAGGAACCTAAAGAAACACAATAAAAAAATTTTTTTTACGTCTAAAGCTGATTAAAAAATTGTTTAAGGTTTCGCCGACGAGGGCAAGTTCCTCCCGAAATCTAATTTCCTTCGAGTGAAGGATGAAATAGAAAAGTCAAAGGTTTTCAAAATGTTGCAAAAAATGCCAAAAGGGTGTCTATTGCACGCACACGATGTTGGCACAGTTTCACAAGAATATGTTTTGCGCAATGTGACATACCGCCCGAATCTTTACGCCTGCCAATCGGATGGAAAATTAAAACTTCGATTTTTCGAAATTCCTGACAGTAAATGCGACTGGAAATTGTTGAGCGAATTGCGTGCGACACCTGAAAGGGAAAAGGAAATTAATCAACGGATTCGTCAACACATGTCCATGATGACTGAAAATCCAGAAGAAGCCTATCCAGACGGGGACAAGGCTTGGATTAAGTTCCAAAGTCTTTTCGAATTCCTCGGCTCTTTTATGAGATATCGGTAAAGTTTCTGCTATTTTACTAATTTTTTCATGAAAGAAACTAAACTATAATAAAAACTTATGCGGATTTCTGCGTCAAGTTTTAGTATTTTTAGATCAAAAGTTGCTACGTTCAAGGTAAAATCTAAAATTTGGTAAAAATATATTCCGAACGTAGTAAAATTGAACTCCGAGAATGACAGAAATGTGCCGAAGTTCAAAACAGTTTAGATATTTTACTTTGTAGATAGTAAAAGTTACTCTAAATTTTTTTGCCCTGAACAATTTGTATTCAAACTAGTTTTTTTTCTACAATGAAGTACTTTTCAATTACAGACCGGTTTATGAAGACTATTACTATCAGTTGATGCAGGAAAATTACGACGACAAAGTATTGTACATTGAACTGAGAGTAAGTTTGCCGAAAATTTACGAATTAAGTGGCAAACTGTACAAACCAATAGAAGTCGCCAAAATCATTAAGGATGTAGTAGACAGGTAGAGTTTAATTTCTAAATTACGCCGTAAATTAAAGATACATTACAATTGTAAAATATTGTAAAAAACCCCCAACTATATAATCTGAATTTTCTGCAGATTTGTTGAAGAACACCCAGATTTTGTAGGAGTTAAAATTATCTACTCCAAACGACGACTCATCACTAATGAAGAATTGCAGAAATATCTGAAGCATTTCGAACAATTGAAAGATGTTTATCCTGATTTTGTAGCAGGATTCGATCTCGTTGGTCAAGAGGATAAGGGACTTCCATTGAAGAATTTCACAAAACAATTGGGATCGTTAAGAAATGAATACCAAACTTTCTTTCACGCAGGTGAGACAAACTTCTTATTTCTTTCATTATAGGTTGTAATTGCAATTAGGATTAAATTCAAACCTTTTTGAAATTAAAGAACTTATAAAAAATTGTTATAAAACATGAAGAAATCGATCACTCTGAGTCGAAGACTCGGAGCAATCGACTTCTTCATGTTTTATATTAATTAAAGATGACCGACTGATAAAATCATTATTTTATATTAAAAAAAGCTATTTGCTTCCTTATGGAGGTATGACTTCCTCGTTAAGGAAGAATATATAGCATTATCAAATTATAGTAAAAGAATACAAGAAGCTCAATAAAAAAGAAAGAATTAAAAATTTTTCACAGGCGAAACCGATTGGAACGGTCTCAGTACAGATGAAAATCTAATAGACGCTGTTTTACTAAATACGAAAAGAATTGGACACGGGTAAGTTTTTAGTCTTTTATTCCGTAAAGTTTTACTAGAAAAAGTGCCGAATTAGTAGAAATTTATGCCGAAGTAGATCCTTCAATAGAAAAAATACCAATCTTTACGATTTTTTCCTCAATTTTAACGATTTTAATCTTCATTTCCAGTTACGCTTTGCCGAAGCATCCAAAAGTGATGGAACTTGTGAAGAAAAAGGACATTGCAATAGAAGTGAATCCAATTTCTAATCAAATTTTGAATCTAGTCGCAGACCTCCGAAATCATCCAGCGAGTATTCTGTTTGCAGAAAACTACCCTGTAATTGTGGCTTCCGATGATCCGGGACTTTGGGACGCAAAGGGTTTGAGTTACGATTTTTACGAAGCCTTCATGGGAATAATGTCGCGAAAAGCCGATTTAAGATCTCTAATTAAACTCGGACATAATTCGATTAGATACAGTGCAATGAATGACGAAGAAAAGGAAAGAGCTTTTAATATTTTCGACAATCAGTGGTCGGAATTTGTTGAGGATTTCGATGAAATGGATTATTAATGTTTGTTAAAATGTTAGAATAAAAAAAAACATTAAAAAAAAACAAAAAAAATAAAAAAAAATAAATAAATAAATAAACATTTTTAAAAAACAATAGGATTTTCAAATTTTATTTATGAATGTTTGGAGAATTTTAAATTCATAGTGAGAATATTGTAAAAAAGTATGTGTGAACGTGTAAACTTAATATCGTTCAATTTTTCTGCCATTAGTTTACTTTACATGAGAAATAATTTCTAAAAAGTTCTATAATCCATAAAATTGGTAGTGAAGTAAAAGTGAGTATTGTTCTTCTATCACACGAGTATATTTAATATTATCAAAGTCGTCATTCGAAATTTTTTACATCTTTACCTCGAATTGTCCTCACGAAAATAAAGACAAAAAGATTGAAGATTCTAGTATAAATAAAATTTAGTCGTTTATTGTACTTTTTCAAAAACGAACACAGTTTTAGAACGGTTTTCTATTAATTTCCACTGTTAAAATGATGGAAAGAAGAGGAATTTTTCTCTTTTCTTTGTGTCTCAATTTGATTATTGTTGCCCCACGAGAAATTGGAGACTTTCGCAAAAATATTTCTGATACACTTTTAACGGAAAATAGTGATTCGGATAAAAAATCTCTCGAATCAATTACAGAAGATGCAACCAGTAGTGATTTACCACCTGGGGCAGAAACTACAATTGGTTCGTATTTTTTTTTACTTTACATTAGAAAATGTGAAAGTGGAAGTTATCAAATTTAAAACAAACGCTTCTATCTTTCCTAAATCTGCTCTTCTTATTTTTGAATCTTAAAATCTTAAAGACTCAATTAAGGAGGAAGATGTCACCAGTGATAATTTACTTCTTACATCAAAAACTGTAATAGGTTCGTATTTTCTTTCTAAATTATACAATGATATACTGATTGTCAATTAGAATTTACTGATTATTTAAATATTTAGAAATATTTAGAACTATTTAGAGTATTTAGATAAATAAAAGTAAAAGTATTTTTTAAATTATCCCTTAAATTATTTTAAAAGACAATTAAAAAAAAGTGAATTATACACTTATGGAAGCGAAATTCAGAGAAATTGAAATAGGTATGAATTATACTTAAAAATTTATCAAAATAAAATAAGTAAATAAAAATTGAACTAATACTTCCTTACAGTGTATATTTAAAGTCAAGTCCAAATCCAGTCCACATAGAACACCTGACACGACTTACACGTACATGACCTTAAATTTAAAAATAGACATTTTTGTAATTAAACAAATCAATTCAAAATTGATTAAAATTAAAAAGAATTCTTTTTTTTAAATTTTAATTTAAAAAGAAATTTTTTTTTTAAATTAAAATTTAAAAAAAAATTATTCAAGGTTTTATAAATGAGGAGCAATTTCTTCCGAGAACGAATTTCCTTCGAGCGAAAGATGAGATAGAAAAGTCAAATGTTTTTAAGATGATAAAAAAAATGCCAAAAGGATGTCTATTGCATGCACATGACGTCGCCACGGTTTCACATGAATTTATCTTGTATAATATTACATACCGTCAAAATTTGTATGCCTGCGACTTGGATGGAAATTTACAACTTTGATTTTTCGAAACTCCAGACGGGAAATGCGACTGGACATTGTTGAGTGAACTGCGTGCCACACCTGAAAGTGAAGAGGAAATTAATCATCGAATTCGTCAACTCTTGTCTATGGTGACTGAAAATCCAGAAGGGGAATATCCTGATAAAAATACAGCTTGGGAGAAATTTCGAACCATATTCGCCGCATTTGAATCTTTTATGAGATATCGGTAATTTTTTGTTTTAATTATAATAACTTCTTTATAAAAAAAAATGTGAATCGCTTCCAAAAGAAGGAATCTAAGAAATACTTCTTCTTAGTACGTTTCTTGGGAGCAAATTTTAAATTCGCTAAAAAAATATTATACAATTAAAAAAAGATTCAATTTAATTAAAAAAAAGTTAAAGTTAAAATAATAATAATAATTTAATTAAAACGAAATTAATTAAAATATTGATAGTTGATTAAATTAATATTTAATGAAGTTTGTTCGATTATATAAGATTTACTTTTCAACCTGTTTTTTACAATCACAAGTGTTTTTAATTATTACAGTCCTGTTTTCGAAGACTATCAATATCAGATACTGAAGGAAAAATTATGATGACAAACTCTTATGCGTTGAACTTAGAACAGGTTTATCAAAAGTTTACGAATTAAGTGGCAAAGTGTATGAGCCAATAGAAATTGTCAAAATTATCAAGGATGTAAATGATAGGTAATTGATTTTCATGTAAAATATTGTATTTTAAACACCTATTTCTTTCTCGATTCAAATTTATAGTTCATTTGAGTGTGTGTGTTTACAGATTTGTAAAAGATGATCCTGATTTTGTTGGAGTTAAAATTATTTACTCTAAAGCACGATTCTTTAGTAATGACAAATTGCAAATGTTTTTGAATAATTTTAAAAAAATGAGAGACACATTTCCAAACTTCATAGTTGGCGATCTCATTGGTCCAGAAGATAAGGGACGTCCTTTAAATGACTACAGGTAACAATTGAGATCATTGAAAAAGGAATATAAAACATTCTTTCATGCAGGTGGGACAATCTTCTTTTTTTTCTTATTACCATGTGTATCAATTATCAGAATATTTCAATAAATCACGGATGCAATGCAAAAACATAGGTACGTTTTGTTCAGAGATACTTTTTTTTTATTTTTAAGACATTTAACGGTGTCTTGAATATTTTCTTAAGCAAAAAAAAACTGGATTTTAGACGTTTAATAAATGTCTTATGCCTTAAAATGAGAAATTTTACTGAAAAAACGTGGATTTGCAACAAAAATAAACCTAAAACTAAAAACAAAATAAACCAGGAGGATTCATTAGAAAAATTGAGAATGAATGGGAAAACCGGGAAAAAATTATTGAACAGTGAATAAATTTTTATTAATGAATGAAATATAGTAATTACCTGATAGAAATAACATTTTGAACTTAAATTATTGTTTATTTTGAAAGATAATATTGTTTGTAATCCTTGTGACTGATTAGTAAAGCGGCCGGTAAAACGAAACATATTTTTAGGTTATAAACATCAAAACAAAGTGTTTTAAACAGCAGTACCAACTTAAAAAAAACGCTATATTTAAAAACTTATGAAATTAATTATTATTTGAATAAATAAGAATCATTGTTTTTTACATAAAAATTATTAAAAGTTCGTTTTAGTTAAAATTTTCTTTTTAGCATTGTTGACATGTTAGGAAAAATAATTAAAATATTAAATTTCTCTGCAAAAGCTACCAACAGAAAAATCCGAAATTATGACCGAGATTACTTGAAGTTTGTCATTTACTCAATTCAGTCTTCTTGATGTTTTGCAAAACCGTTGCAACAAAAATAAGAATCTCTGTTTTTTCGTTTTTTCTAAAATGTGCTGCATTTGTAATAAATAAATTAAAAGTGAATTGAAATAAAGAAAAAATCATGGAAAAATTTTCCCTTTACAGGGGAAACAAATTGGTACGGACACAAAATTGATGAAAATCTAATAGATGCAGTTTTATTAAACACGAAAAGAATTGGCCATGGGTATACGTATATCATTAAATAGTAAAGTTTCTCAAAAAACAAAAAATTGAAAGGAATGCAAGACAAAAAAATTTGTTAAATAATCTTATATGTGCCGTAAGTATTCGAAAACTACAAAATTTGAATTTGACATGCCAAATTTCTAAATTTCAAAATAGGGGAGAAATATATTTTTCAATTTTCCAGTAAGTAAACAAAAGGTAAATAAAAGGGACTATTTTGAAAGTACTAAATTATGATTATACAGTACCATTTTTCATCAATTTGAAATATTTTAGTCAGAAGAAAAAAAATGTATAAATAATAATAAATATTACATATAGATCTTTGCCTCGATCTTGATTAAATTTCTTAATAAAAAAAAAGTTGACGTAAATGTTAATTTTCAGATTTGCTTTACCGAAACATCCAAAAGTGATGGAACTTGTGAAGAAAAAGGACATTGCAATAGAAGTGAATCCAATTGCTAATCAAATTTTGAATCTAGTCGCAGACCTTCGAAATCATCCTGCGAGTATTCTTTTTGCAGAAAATTATCCTGTGGTTGTGTCTTCGGACGATCCAGGACTTTGGGGCGCGAAGGGTTTAAGTTACGATTTTTACGAAGCCTTCATGGGAATAATGTCTCGAAAAGCTGATTTAAGATCTCTAATTAAACTCGGACATAATTCGATTAAATACAGTGCAATGAATGATGAAGAAAAGAAACGAGCTTTTAATATTTTCGACAATCAGTGGTCAGAATTTGTTAGAGATTTCGATGAAAGAGATTATGAATATTATTCAAAATAATTGATATCCGATTAAAGAAAATAACGAAAAAAAACAGATTTTTAAATTTTAACTACTAAATTTTAATTTATGAAATTTTAAATTACTTTACTTATGTGTGAAGAAATTTTTAAAGAATTTTAACAAAGTGTACAATTATTTTTCATGTAATTCACGTGTATTATCTTATATTATCAATGCTGTCATTTCAAGTTTTTAATATCTTTTACCTCGAATAGTATTCACAAGAAATTAAATATATGAAAACTAAAGTTAAATAAAATTTAGTCTTTCATTACATTTTCACAAAAATAGTTATAACTTTATTAGAAATAATTATAGGAAAGGAATTTATTAGAAATAATTTAGTTTTTTTAATTTAGTTAATTTTAAATTATTTTTTATTGGTGAAATGATAAAAAATATAGAAATTTTTCTCTTCACTTTGCTTCTTACTTTGATAATTATTACATTTATTACCTTTACACTAGAAATTGGAGACATTCGAAAAAGCATTTCTGATACTGATCTAACGGAAAATATTAATTCAGTTAATAAATCTCTCCAATTATTTAAAAAAAATATCACGAGTAGTGATTTACCATCTACGGCAGAAAAAAGTAATTGGTTCGTATTTCTTTTACTTTGAATAGAAAATTTTAAACAAAATAGTTTCATCTCTTTTCAAACTGTTCTTCTTTAGTTTTGTAAATTTTACGTACAATTTTATTATAATTCAGCTTTTAAAATCAATCGTAATAATTTAATGCAAATGGAAGAAGATATGGCTTTTGGATCAGGTATTATTTTAGATAATGGTGAAAAGAAGGTAAATGATACACTTATGAAAGCAAAATTCAAAGAAATTGAAATAGGTATTTATTATTCTTATTTTTATTCTTATTATTCTTTTTATTATTATTATTATTATTATTATTATTATCAATATTGTTATTATAATTAAATTGAAATAAATAGAAAAAGTAGATTTTCCCACTAAAACTGCTAAAATTTTTTTAAGGTTTTGCAAACGAGGGAAAGTTTCTCCCAAAATATAATTTCCTTCGAGTGAAAGATGAAATAGAAAAATCGAAGGTTTTTAAAATGATAAGAAAAATGCCGAAAGGATGTCTATTGCACACACACGATTTTGGATCAGTTTCACAAGAATATGTTTTGTACAATGTGACATACCGTCCGAATCTTTACGCCTGCGACTCTGGTGAAAAATTACAACTTCGATTTTTTGAAATTCCTGACAGTAAATGCGAATGGAAATTGTTGAGCGAATTGCGTGCGACACCTGAAAGTGAAAAGGAAATTAATCAACGAATTCGTCAACACATGTCCATGATGACTGAAAATCCAGAAGGAGCCTATCCAGACGGGGACAAGGCTTGGATTAAGTTCGAAAGTCTTTTCGGTTTCCTCGCATCTTTTCTGAGACACCGGTAAAATTTTTTTAATTAATAACTTGTTTCTAAATAAATAAATAAATATAATACTAAAAAAAGGAACGTGACTCGTCGAGAAAAGGGGACTTTTAATTACATTGAAAATAACACAAAACTTTCTTCGGAGCGAGTCTCCTTTCTTTTTTTTCAAATGCTTGCAATTAAAATTGAATGCATTATATTATTTTAGATGAAAATATTTGTTTTTTAACCTTTTTTTGAAACTAAAAAGCTTTATAATTAAAGACCAGTTTATGAGGACCATTATTATCAATTACTGAAGGAGAATTACGAAGACAAAGTTCTCTGTCTTGAATTCAGAGCATGCTTACCAGCACTTTACGAATTAAATGGAAAGGAATATGGACCATTAGAAGTTGCTAAAATTATTAAAGATGTAAGCGATAGGTAAATTTTTCTGTGTGCATAAATTACCATCATCATGATTAAATAAGAAATTTCACAATTTTTTTGTTTTACTTCCAAATAATCGCATATATCCTTGTTTATTTACAGATTTTTAAACGAGCATCCTGATTTTATTGGAGCAAAGATTATTTACTCACAAGCAAGACATGTCACTATGAAAATAATGGAAAAATATTTAAAAACTTTCCAACAGTTGAAAGATACTTATCCAAACTTTGTAGTTGGTTTTGATATTGTTGGTCAGGAAGATAAAGGTCTTCCATTAAAAAATTTTATCAAACAACTTCTAGAATTGAAAAGTGAATATAAAAAATTTATCTTTCATGCAGGTAAAAAAAAATTTTTGGTTTCTTTTTTTTCATTAATATTTATCCGATATTATAAGAAACAATCACTTTTATTTCAGGTGAAACTGACTGGAACGGTCTCAGTACAGACGAAAATCTGATAGATGCCGTTTTATTACGAACGAAAAGAATTGGACACGGGTGAGATAACATTTTTTTTCAAGTTATTTGCAACCAGCTAATTAATTGAATTCATTTAATTTATGAGAATAACTATTGACAATTTGTAAAAAGATAATATTGATAATATTGAAACCAACGTTTCAAATTTAAAACTCTGTTATGTTAGAATCGCTTTAAAATTTTCTAAAATTTCCAGTTTTGCTTTACCGAAGCATCCAAAAGTGATGGAACTAGTAAAGAAACAAGACATTGCGATAGAAGTAAATCCAATTTCCAATCAAGTTTTGAATCTAGTCGCAGACCTCCGAAATCATCCTGCGAATATTTTATTTGCAGAAAATTATCCTGTCGTTGTGTCTTCGGACGATATTGGTCTTTGGGGTGCACACGGTTTGAGTTACGATTTTTACGAAGCCTTCATGGGAATAATGTCGAGGAAAGCTGATTTGAGAGCTTTAATTAAACTCGGACATAATTCGATTAAATACAGTTTGATGAATGATAAAGAAAAAGAAAAAGCTTTTACTATTTTTCACCAGCAATGGTCAGAATTTGTTACAAATTTCGATAAAACAAATTATGAATAGTATTAAAAATAATAGAATCCGATTCAGAAAAATGTCCATGAAAAAGCGCAGAATTTTTAAATTGTAATATAAATAATCTAAATATCTTAATTTGAGATTTGAAAATTTTAAATAAGTATAAAAATTATACGTAACATTAATATCGTTCAATTTTTCTGCCATTAGTTTACTTTACATGAGAAATAATTTCTAAAAAGTTCTATAATCCATAAAATTGGTAGTGAAGTAAAAGTGAGTATTGTTCTTCTATCACACGAGTATATTTAATATTATCAAAGTCGTCATTCGAAATTTTTTACATCTTTACCTCGAATTGTCCTCACGAAAATAAAGACAAAAAGATTGAAGATTCTAGTATAAATAAAATTTAGTCGTTTATTGTACTTTTTCAAAAACGAACACAGTTTTAGAACGGTTTTCTATTAATTTCCACTGTTAAAATGATGGAAAGAAGAGGAATTTTTCTCTTTTCTTTGTGTCTCAATTTGATTATTGTTGCCCCACGAGAAATTGGAGACTTTCGCAAAAATATTTCTGATACACTTTTAACGGAAAATAGTGATTCGGATAAAAAATCTCTAGAATCAATTACAGAAGATGCAACCAGTAGTGATTTACCACCTGGGACAGAAACTACAATTGGTTCGTATTTTTTTTACTTTACATTAGAAAATGTGAAAGTGGAAGTTATCAAATTTAAAACAAACGCTTTTCTTATTCTTAATCTATTGTTCTTGTTTTTTAATCTTAAAATCTTAGTCTCAATTGAAAAGGAAGGTGTCACCAACGATGATTTTTCATTTACAACAGAAACTTTGACTGGTTTGTATTTTTTTATTTCAAAGTTAAAAATTTTTTACTAATTTTGTAAATTCTTGAATTACTAGAAGGAAATGTTGATTTTCTAGACTCTATTATTCTTCTTTTTCAATTCTCTCGATTTAGTTAAAGAGGAAGATGTCACCAGTGATGATTTAATAGTTACAACATTAGGAACTGTATCAGGTATTTTTTTAAAATAATAAAATATACAAATGCGCTACTTTTTAATTTAAATAAAAAAAAATTCTATAAGAAATAAATATTTCACTATAATTCCTTTTTTTCTGTAGAAATTCTTTTTAAAATTTTAAAGCAGTTAAATATAATCTTAACAGATATGAAAGTACATGAATTTTGTAAATAAAAACGAAAACTTTAATCATGGTTTTTAAGTATTGAAAATATTTATTACAATATCGTGCTTATTGATATTCTCTCAGTTTCTAATTTAAATCTCAAATCTTTCTAATTTAGAGAAAAAAAATTCCAATAATAGGAACTGCTTTTTAATTTTAAATTTATTATCTGTTTAAAAATCAAAATCATAATAAATCATAATATAAAAAAATAGAACGTTTAGTACGTTTTAATTATTTATTTATTTACATTTATGTAGATTTACATAATTATATATAATTATATGTATAAAGTATATCAAATTAAAATTTATCAAAATCGGACGTTGTAATTTATAATTTGAATTTTAAATATCTTATTATTCTTTTTAAATATCTTATTAGTTTATACTATGTAATATAGAAATTAATTAATATAGAAATTTTAATTTAATTAATTTAATCATTTTAAATTCTTTGTTGCAATATCTGCAGAAACTACAGACAATGATGAACAATCATCAAAAATAGTAAACAATTCTGAAACAAGTTCGTATAAATACTTTTTTAAACAACTTCAAGAAATGCAAATTATCGAAATATCAAGTCAAATATTTTATTTTAAATTACATTTTTAATAATACAATTTTATTATAATTTAGATTTTAAAGCTAACCGAAGTAATTTGCTACAAATGGAAGAAGATATGGCTTTTGGATCAGATGTTATTTTAGGTGATGAAGAAAAGAAGGTGAATGATACACTTATGGAAGCAAAATTCAAAGAAATCGAAATAGGTATTTATTATTATTTATTTATTTATCATTATTGTTCATGATATTATTATTACTATGACTATTTTTATTAAATTTGAATTGAGAGACAAAGTAGATTTTTCCACTAAAGCTGCTTAAAAATGATTTCAGGTTTCGCAAACGAGGGGAAGTTTCTACCAAAATATAATTTCCTTCGAGTGAAAGATGAAATAGAAAAATCAAAGGTTTTTAAAATGATAAAAAAAATGCCGAAAGGGTGTCTATTGCACGCACATGATGTTGGTACAGTTTCCCAAGAATATGTTTTGCGCAATGTGACATATCGCCCGAATCTTTACGCCTGCGAATCGGATGGAAAATTAAAACTTCGATTTTTCGAAATTCCTGACACGAATTGCAACTGGAAATTGTTAAGCCAATTGCGTGCGACACCTGAAAGTGAAAAGGAAATTAATCAACGGATTCGTCAACACATGTCCATGATGACTGAAAATCCAGAAGAAGCCTATCCAGACGGGGACAAGGCTTGGATTAAGTTCCAAAGTCTTTTCGAATTCCTCGGCTCTTTTATGCGATATCGGTAACATTTGTTTTTTTTTTTTTTTTGAAAAAACTAACTTGTTATAAAGAAAATTAATTTTCAAAATTTTAATTTTACACAATTGAACAGAAACTTTTAATTACGTTGAAAATTTCGAAAATATCACAAAACTTTCTTCGGAGCTCGTCTCATTTCTTTTTTTAGAAATGCTTGCAATTGAAATTGAATGCAATTTTTTAGAAGATAACGATTTGTTTTTAACTTTTTTTTGTAACTAAGAAAAATAAATTAATTTAAATTACAGACCAGTTTATGAAGACTATTATTATCAGTTACTGAAGGAGAATTACGAGGATAAATTTCTATATGTAGAACTACGAGCATCCTTCTCAGCACTTTACGAATTAAACGGAAAAACACATGGACCAATAGAAGTTGCTAAATTCGTTAAAGATGTAGGCGACAGGTAAATTTTCAAGTACAATTTTCACAAACGTATATTAATATAGTCATAGTGATTATAAATTTGAAATTCAATTTTAAAAGAATTGTGTTTACAATTTCCATAAGTAGATGAACTTCAAAAGATATTTATTTGAAATTTTGTACAATTTCAATTTTAAATGAATTTAATTAGACATAGTAAAAAAAAACTTTGATTAAAAAAAATTTTTAAACTAAAATTCTTCTGAAATTAGTTAAATTTTTTAATATATAGGTATTTAATTAATTATTAAAAATAATGGATTTATAGAAGAATTTTAGTTAAAAAAATTAAAACAAATTGAATTTTTAAGTAATTACAAATGATTGCAGAAATCCAATTATTTTAAAAACCTTTGCTATAATTTATTTATTAGAATTTAAGTATTATTTTCCACACATTTTTAATTAAATTTCTTTAAAGAATTAAATTATTTTCAAAAATTTTAATAAATTTCTTTGCGTAACAATTCAATTTTTTCATGAAATAATTTTAATAAAATTCTTCACAGAAATCCAATTATATTTAAAAATTTACAAAAATTCTCGTCAAAATTTCAATTATCTTTATAAATAATAAAATTTTTTTTGCTGAAATTTAATTATTTTCAAAAATTTTAGTAAAATTCTTGGCAGGTTTTCAATTATTTTTTATACAATTTTCATCAAATTTCTCGAAAAATACAATTATTTTTAAAAATTTTATTCAAATTTGTCAAGAGAATTCAATTATGTACCTATTTAATAATTTGTTGATAAAATTCTTTATGAAAATTCAATTTTAAGAAACATTCAATTGTTTAATAAAATATTTATTTTTATAGTTAAATAATTGAATTCTCGTAGAATTTTCTAATAAATATTGATTTAAAAATGAATTTCAAATTAAAATCTTTAAAAATTTGAACATTTCATGCTTTTAATTAAGAATTCTATAGAATTAATTTTTCTTAATAAGTTTAATGGATTTTTTTTAATTATTTGAAGTTTTTAATTTCTAACATAATTAATTGAAGATAATTAATTGAATTGAGTTTAAAAATTTACAAAGAACTTTCTCAAAAATTATTTTTAAAAAATTGAAGAATTTTAGTTGAAAATTCTAGCTCAGCGTGGCAACCCTGAGCTAGAATTTATAGAATTTTTAAAGAATCGCAATAATTGTTGTTTATTTCCTCAGATTTTTAAAAGAGCATCCTGATTTTATTGGCGTTAAAATTATTTACTCGCAACAAAGACATATTACTGTTGAGAAATTGAAAAAGCACTTGAAAAATTTCCAACAATTGAAAGACACTTATCCAAATTTTATAGTTGGTTTTGATCTTGTTGGTCAGGAAAATAAAGGATATCCATTAAAAAATTTTACCAAACAACTTCTAGAATTGAAAAGTGAATATCAAAAGTTTATCTTTCATGCAGGTAAAAAAAAATATTTGGTTTCTTTTTTTTCATTAATATTTATCCGATATTATAAGAAACAATCACTTTTATTTCAGGTGAAACTGACTGGAACGGTCTCAGTACAGACGAAAATCTGATAGATGCCGTTTTATTACGAACGAAAAGAATTGGACACGGGTGAGATAACATTTTTTTTTCAAGTTCTTATTTGCAACCAGCTAATTAATTGAATTAATTTAATTTATGAGAATAACTATTGACAATTTGTAAAAAGATAATATTGATAATATTGAAACCAACGTTTCAAATTTAAAACTCTGTTATGTTAGAATCGCTTTAAAATTTTCTAAAATTTCCAGTTTTGCTTTACCGAAGCATCCGAAAGTGATGGAACTAGTAAAGAAACAAGACATTGCGATAGAAGTAAATCCAATTTCCAATCAAGTTTTGAATCTAGTCGCAGACCTCCGAAATCATCCTGCGAATATTTTATTTGCAGAAAATTATCCTGTCGTTGTGTCTTCGGACGATATTGGTCTTTGGGGTGCACACGGTTTGAGTTACGATTTTTACGAAGCCTTCATGGGAATAATGTCGAGGAAAGCTGATTTGAGAGCTTTAATTAAACTCGGACATAATTCGATTAAATACAGTTTGCTCAATGATAAAGAAAAAGAAAAAGCTTTTACTATTTTTCACCAGCAATGGTCAGAATTTGTTAAAAATTTTACTAAAACGGAATATTAGTATTTTATTAATTAAAAGTAATAAATTCCGCGATTCAAGGCAGTAATTGAGGCTCCGGATCTTAAAAGGGCACTTTCAGCATTGATTTTAAATAGTAAAAGTGCCCTTTTAAGATCCGGACCCTCAATTAAAGAAAATAATAAATAATTTTCGAAGAAAGATACATAAAAGTACTCGCACAATAATTCTACTGTCTGCCTGCAGATTGTCACGAATATTTCGTTACTGAACGTTCAGAACTTGTGGATCATCAAAATATTGTGAAAATACAGTAGTCGGCAAAAATTAATTGCCTTTTTTTGCAAATTGTTTAATAAAAAAAATTGACAATAAATTGTCAACAAAAATAATTCGTATAAAAACGCTGCGAAAAGAATTTTAAATTAACAGAATAAGTTGTTCAACGATTCGAAATACCTTTATTATAAATTCTTTAAATGTAACTTTTTTATGTAATAATATTATTTTTTAAAAATTAATTTACTCTAGAGTATTTACTCTAATTTCTAAAAAATAATATCAACTCAATATTTTTGTCACTAACAAAATTTTTTTTTTATTAAAATAACCGATTACTTATGTCTATTATCGCAAATAAATATTTACTTGAAACAAATAATTTTTATTTAAGTCAATTAAATGGTATTTGCTTTATTTATTTTTTATTGTTTAACTTTAAATATTTAAATTATTGGCTCAAATATAGAATTTTTTTAATTTAAATCAAAATTATTTGATTCAAGTAAATATTTTTTTGATAATAGACAAGTAATTGGTTATTTGAATCAAATTTTTTTTCCACGTATATTTGATTTTTTGGAAAAATAAATTTGCAAATAATTCATAATCCCGTCTAAATGTATGCAAAAGTGTTTTTGTATATTATTACTTATTGTTTAGTGTGTTAAAAAGAAGTTATATTGTTAAACGGAAAAAATTAATTTACACGATTTCTATTATTTATAATCATTTATTGCAAACGATAATTTTATCATTTTATTAGTTTTATTGAACTTTTTTTTTGTCACTTGCAAGAACGTTTATAAAAGAATGACTAATTCCGCACTCTTATCAATAACTTCTATTGTCATTCAAATCTAACGGCAAATACAATCAAAATTGAAACTTTTTATATAAAAAAATATTTCAAATAATCACAATATTTTTAATGTCTTCATCAGCTTTAAATATAGGAACCAATTGAAGAATACAGTCATTTTTAGTATATCGACTTAATATTCAAATTTCTTCCTAAATTTTACTTGAAAATTATTTCAAGTGTTTTATTATTTTCGAAGGAGAATATAATTATTGAAATGAAAGCAGAAAAGATTAATTTTCTTAGTTTGAATTTTATCTTCATTTTTTACACGCCATTAGTTTATGGTCTGCCAGTAAATTTTTCAGGCTACTGGCACGAACGAGCTGAAATCATTCGATTTGAGGAAATTTCTTCCTTTGGATCGGAAATTTTGTTGAATGATGACGAAATGCTCGTGAATCGAATTTTAATGAGGGAAAAATTACATGAGATTGATGAAGGTTTGCATTATTTTTACGTTTGATATAATGTCTTTTCTTTTTCCTTTCTTAAAATATTAAATTATCTATAATATACAATTTTATTTCTCTATTTTTTTATTTATTTTATTTCAATTTTATCTCCCTTTTTTTCTTTTGAATTAAATTAGAAACGAATTGACAATTATAATCAGTTCTTCCAATTGTTAATTGGAAACTATTAAATTCACTTAATTTTTTATTTCTTTTGCAGGTTTTGAAGACGAAGGCAAATTTCTCCCACGATCCAATTTTTTGACAGTGAAGGAAAAAATTGAAAAATCGAAAGTTTTCAAAATAATTCAAAAACTACCGAAAGGAGGACTTTTGCATGCTCACGATGTGGGAACAGTTTCGCAGGAATATATTTTGGAAAAAGTCACATATCTCCCTAATCTTTATGTCTGCGATTCGAAGGGGAAACTGCAACTTCAATTTTTCGACACTCCTGACGAATTTTGCGATTGGAAATTACTCAGCGATGTGAGAAAAGATCCAAAGAGTGAGGAACAAATTAATAATCGAATTTTGCATCAAATGTCAATGATGACAGATAATCCAGCTAAATCCTATCCTAATGGTTACAAAGCGTGGATGAAATTCCAAAATCTCTTCTATTTCCTCGGCTCTTTCATGAGATACAAGTAATTATCGAAATTATAATTACTCAATTTTAGTTTGTTATTCGGTCAGTTTTTCAATTTACATATTTTATTTTTTTATTATTTTACTTATTATTTTTGAATAATTTCATGATCAGAATTTAGAATATTCATTTATCAAGTACATAATTAATTATTATTGTTTATATTTTCAAAAATTTTAATTTCTTCTCAAGAATTCAATTATTTTCATGAATAATAACATTCTTCGGAAGAATTCAATTATTTTTATAAATAATAACATTTTTTGCAAAAATTCTATATTGTTTTCAACAAAATTTTGATAAAATTTCATGAAAAAATTTAATTCTTTGAATTTTTTTTTTAATTTTCAATATTTTTCGAAAAAATTCAAATATTTTCTAAAATTTTAATAAATCCTTCGAAGCAATTCAATTTTTATTTTAATTTTTAATAAAATGTTTCGAAAGAATCCAATCATTTTCTAAAATAAATTTTAGAATTTATAATTTAATAAATTCTTTGAAACAATTCAATTATTTTTATATGGAATAAAATTCATCGCAAGAATTAAATTACTTTTTATAATTATAGAAATTCTTCTCAGGAGTTTACATAATTATTTTCAATAGAATCTTAATAAAATTCAATAATCAAATTAATTATTTTCTATATTTTAATAACATTCTTTGATTGAATTAAATCAAAGGAATTGAATTATGATTTTCAAAAATTTCACTAAAATTCTGCATTAAAATTCAATTATTCTCAAATTTTTTGATAAATTTCTTCTTGAATAAAATTCTTTCCAAAAATTCAATGATTTTCAAATACATTAATTTTAAAATTGAAATTAATTTTTATTATTTATTGATTTTATAGATTTTACTTATTTTCAGACCTGTGTTCGCCGACTATTATTATCAATTATTGAAAGAAAACTATGAAGATAAAGTTTTGTACATCGAATTAAGAGTGAGTTTGCCTAAATTGTACGAATTGAATGGAAAAATTTACACACCAAAGGAAGTGATTACAATTATCAAGAGTGTCGTCGACAGGTGTGTATTATTGAATTATAAAATCATTCTTCTAATTCAATTATTAAGTTCATTAACATTGGATTTTGCAGTAATGTTATTCAAAAATTATATAAAAAATTCCAAATTAGACAATAAATTAATTTTTCGAATTAAAATTATTCAAGATTTTTAATTAATTGAATTTAAAAAGAACTCGAACACAACTTTTACTGATTTAAAGGTTATAATTAATATTTATACTCCGCTAGTTTTATTTTATTTAATTTATTTTTTTTATTTTATTATTATTATTAATACCTAATAATAATTATTATTTTTTAGTTTGATTTTTATTTAATTACATTTTTACAGATTTGTCAGTGAACATCCTGACTTTGTGGGAGTGAAAATAATTTATTCTAAGCAAAGAAAAATGTCGGAGGCTCAAATGGCGGATTTTTTGCGTTACTATAAAGTGATAAAAAGTTTACATCCATCGTTTGTTGCCGGTCTTGATTTGGTTGGACATGAGGATAAGGGAACTTCTTTAAGTACATTTGCAAATCAAATTCTAGAATTAGGGAAAAATGAGGATGTAACTTTTTTTCACGCCGGCGAAACAGATTGGAATGGATTGAGCACTGATGAAAATTTAATTGATGCTGTTTTACTAAATACAAAAAGAATTGGTCATGGGTAAGAAATTACTGATTATTATTATCATGAATTGATCAACATTTTAATTAAATTAAATTAAATTCTTAGAAACTGAATTTAATTATTATAAAAAATTTTAATACAATTCTTTTGATACAATTAAATTATTTCCATAAATAATTAAAGTTCTTCGAAGGAATTTTCAATTATTTTAATATAATTGTATTAACATTTCTCGAAAGTATTTAGTTTTTTAAATCTGAATTCGTAAAAATTTGAAATTTGAATTAATTGAAACAAAAGTGATAAGAAATTTCTAAAAATTAATTTTTTAATGCTACATAGAACGAGAGATTAATTAATTAAAATAAATAAAATCCAGTTTTTCTTAGAAAATAAATACAAAAAAAAATTTGCATTACAGTAAAGTTAGTTTTTCCACAATAATTTCAAAGTATCTTTTTATTTTAGAATGTGGTAATTAAAAGTTTATAAATTAAGTTATAATTTTTAATTCAAAATAATAATTTTCTTAATTAATTTCTAATAATATTGTTTTTTGTTAATAATTAATTTCTATTATTTTTCAGTTTTGCTCTGCCGAAACATCCGAAAGTAATGGAACTCGTAAAAGAAAAGAACATTGCAATAGAAGTGAATCCAATTTCAAATCAAATTTTGAATCTCGTCGCTGACCTAAGAAATCATCCGGCGAGCATTTTATTTGCCGAAAATTTTCCAGTGGTCGTTTGCAGTGACGATCCAGGACTTTGGGGTGCGAAAGGTTTGAGTTATGATTTCTATGAAGCTTTCATGGGTATAATGTCCCGGAAATCAGATCTTAGAGCACTGAAGAAACTTGCTTTAAATTCAATTGAATACAGTGCAATGAATGGAGAAGAAAAATTGAAAGCTCTAATGATTTTTAAAGAACAGTGGAGTCATTTTCTACATGAGATTATTGATGAAAATAACGAAAAAGACGTTCAAGTAAAAATGATCTGATACGAATAATTATTATTTATACTTGCGACAAAAGTCAAGTGTTGACTTTTGTTCAGATAGGTATTTTTCAGGAATTACATTTAATATTTAACAAACATTTTTTCTTTTGTTTACTGTACAGAAAACTGTTTTAATGGAAAAAATAAGAAACTATATTTTAGAGTGTAAATACTTGTAAATACAATTCGATAATTAATAATTATAGAGATTTGTATAAAAATAAATTTGTTTTTTAATTTAATACTGCACTTAAAAAAAATTCGATGGATTATTTACAAAAATTCCAATAAAATTGTTTAAAAAAAAAATTTAATTTTCTATGAATAATTTTAATGAAATTTAATTTAGTAAAATTATTAATTATCACAATTATTAACAAAATCAATTATATTAAAAAAAATTAAAGAAATATTTTTTAAAGAATTCCATCATTGTCAAAACCTTTAACAGTATTTATTCATTTCGAAAGAATTTTATTATTTTCAATATTTTTATAAAATTTCTTTGAATGAATTACTTAAAATATTTTTAAAAAAATGTAACAAAATTCCGAGGAATTTAATTATTTTCTAAAAATTTAATTTTTTTCAGAATTTTCAATTAAAATTGTTAAATAAAACTCCATTATTTCAAAAAGTTCAAAGAAATTCGACAAAAGAATTTAATTAGGGTTTACAGAAATTTTAATAAACTTTCCCAAAAGAATTCAATTATTTTCATAAATAATAAAATTTCCCGAAAGAATTCAATTATTTTTATAAATAATAAAATTCTTCGTAGAAATTAAATTATTTTTAAATTTTTTAATAAAATTTTTGTAATAATTCAATTATTTTCAAAACATTAATTTGAAAATTTGAAAATATTTAAAAAGTTAGGTAACAAAAAAGCAAACAATTATCTTCAATTATTAATTGATTAATTAAGTACAATTAATAAATAATTAATTATTATTAATATAGAAGAAGTTAGTAGAATAATTATTTCAAAGTATGAAAATAAATTTTGAAAATATTAAATATTAAAGTTTTTCCAAACAGTAAAAAGAAAATATTGTTTAAAGGACAAAAAAGAGTTATTTTTAAATTGTAGCAGACTTTTAATGATTTTCTGCTCTATTTACTAAATGTTGATTATTGATTATTAATTTTGATTAATTTTGGAATAAAATTTCTCGTGAAATTAAGTTAGACTTATTAAAATAAAGTGATTTTTGGTTCGTGTAAAAGAAAAACAAGTGAATTATTGTTATGACACAGAAGAATTTTTATTATCATTTTTGATACAAAACCGAAGTCCAAAGGTCAGTCGAAACGTGTGATCACAAGATGGGGGTGTGGATTTGTGCGGTTGTCCTCGATAGCGTGCTGAAAATTTTTTTTTATCGCTTTCGCGATCTTAGCAAGTACCCTGCAGTTCCCAAATTTAATGCTCTGAAACAATTTTATCATTTTATTGTTATTATCATCAGATTTATTTGCCAATTAATTTTTTTTTAGACAATAAACTTTTATGCACTGTTAAAAAATCGAACTAATACAAATTTACACTTTTCGAGATTGAAACTGTTAATTTTAAAAATTTAAATTTTTCCTTATAAAGTTCGGAGTCTGATTTTTAACTATAAAAACGTATCAAAAAGAAATTGTTATCGAAATGAGACAAAAAAGGTCTCAAAACGTTGGTAAAAACTGTAAATTATGTTAAATTAAAATATTTTTTTAAAAATTGAAAGATATTTTTGATTTATTCCTGACGATAACTCACCTTTCTTGTGGTGATATGATGCTGCGTTTTTCTCTTTTTTCTGGTGTTACTCTACTTCCGTCGCTGGATACGAGCCGAGATGGTGTGGCAGATGGGTTTTCTGAAGGTCCGATTGAATCTGACGGCACGTTCGTCAATAATTTTTTTCCCTGCCGATTTTCTTTAGATTTTCTTCTTACATTTAGATCTGATGTTACAACAATTTCGTCAAAGGCCTGACCGACGAGTGCTGAAAGCAAATTAAAAATTTTAATTTTTAATTTTTATTGTTTAACTGAAGAATAATTGAGTATTTTTTCTTTTCTATTAAACTTTAACAAACTGTATATTTTTTTATTAAAACCATTTTTTAATTATTTTGTAGCAAAGAAGGCCAAAGAATCTAGAATAAAATTTATTTAATTCACATAATCGATTACTATCATCAAATAAATATTTACTTGAATTAAGTAATTTTTTCTCAAAACAATTTAAATAATTTTTATTTAATTCAAATAAATAAAATATTGGAACCAAAATTTAAATAATTCTCATTTAATTCAAATAAATCATATTGGAACCAATAGTTTCAAAATATTTTGATCAAATACAATTTAATTGACTCAAATAAAAATTATTTGATTAAAGAAAATGTTTAATTGATAATAGTCATCAAGTAATCGATTTTAGAATCAAATAAATTTTTTTTCAGTGCGCAATTATTTTATTACCTAAAAACGTCTTTGATTCGATAAATTCCTTTGTTTCTAGTTATTATTACCTTTTTTTTAAAGTGAAAATAATTTTCTTAAATATATAATTTTTTATTTAGTTTATAATTATAAAGAAAAATTAAAATACTTGTAATGTAATTAAAAACTATATTTTAAGTAGAATAAAAAAAGATCTGATAATGTCTTATTATAGTCTAAAAGAGATTGCTAATTTTTTAAAATTATTAAGAATAATTAAAATTTTTAATAATAATTATGACAAAAATTTTGAATTTTATTCGCAGAGATTATATAACTAATAAATAATAGTTTGTAATTTGTGTACTCACGTTTTTTTGCTGATGTTTGACCCCGAGTGTTGACTATTAAAGAAACCAAAGTGATCACCAAAAGTGCCAAAACTTTAGCCATTGTGTTACCAAAATTAAATTTCCAAAAGTTTTTGTCCCCTGAAAAAGAAACGAAAAATATGATTAAAATTGATGTTTTTTTCAAAAATATAATTATAATTTTAATCAGTGAAATTTTACTATGAAAATCAATTAAAAACGAGTATAAAATTTCGTAGTCATTTTTTACTAACTGATCAACAATTAAAAATCGATTGATTAAAATCGTGGCAAATTTCACTGATTATTTGAGTACTCTCTAAATCTGAATCAGCGAAATTTCACTGATTCTCAGCGATAAGTATGCCACTATTTTAAAACAGCGTATATGCGCTAATTAATCAGTGAAGTTTCACTGATTATTTAGTGAAATTTCACTAATTCACAGCGCATATACGCTAATTGAAATAGTGGCATACTTATCGCTGATTCAGATTTAGAGAGTAAGAATAAAAAAAATTTAAACTAATTATTATAATTTTGTATAATATATTAACAATACTTCGTAATATAATAATAATATAATAATAGTAACATAATATAATAACAGTAATATAATAGTAGTAATAAAGAAATTAAATAATAAAATTTATTTAGTTAGAGAAAGTACAACGAAACGCTCTGTTTACTCTCTCGAATTGTTTGTCTGGCTGTGTCTGACTAAGATGAATTTTTCTACTGACTGAGTGAACTTGACTCTCGCGTCAACGACTCTACCACTTCGAAAGTATAATAATAAATTAAGTCTAAAATAAATTACACATTTTAATATTACAATTATACTTATAAAAACTTTCGAGGATTGTAAAGAATTTCTTTTTATTGTCACCTATTAATTTTTATAGCAGACTTTACGTTTTAGAAACAAAAGAGGAGAAAAGTTTTCACTTTTTCTCTTCAAGGCATGTCTGACCGAAACGGACGTATCTACTGATCGGACAGAAGTCAAAATAAAGCTTCCAGCTGCGATAAACTTTGTTTTTAAAAATTTTCATTATACTTTTTACAGAATTTATTGATTAAATTTTATACTCTTCTAGTTTTACAAATTAGAAATTTTTATGAAATTTAAAGAAAATAATTTTTATTATTATTATTAACGATAATAATTTATTTTCAATATTATAAATATTAATTTCTACAATTTCAATTATTATTTTAATATTTAGTCATGTAAACTTCAATTATGACAATTTCAATAGATTATTTCTCAATATACATTTGAATTAGAAAACTGTTTATTAATTTCAATTTTAGTGACTGACTTTTTGCTAAATTTTACTAATAAATTGGTAGAAATTACTATTTATTAGTAAAATTAATTGAATTTACTCATTCAAAAGCAAAAAGTCAGTCATTAATTCAAATTAGTAAACATTTTTCCAAATGCAAATTTAGAGATATTTTTTAGTAATTTTTTTATTCATTTAATACAAATAAAATATTAAATAACGAAAAATGATGAAATAAATAAAATACAATTGACAAAAGTTTAATAAACTTATAATAAATAATTACATTTATATAAATAAAATAATTAATTTTTATACATTATTTTAAATTTCTTCGAAAGAAACCAATTATTTTTAATAAATTTGATAAAATTTTTTTTTTATAAGAATTCATCTATTTTAAAAATATTTAATAATTTAATTTAATAAAAAAAAAAGAAAATATTTTGATCGTAAGAGAAATTTTCAGCAAAATTACTTTACAAAAAAAGTATTGTTTACATCACAACTAAAAGGAGTTATTTGTTTTTATAATCGGAGGAGGGGTACTTTCACTTATATTTGCTTTTAAAAAAATAATAAAATAAAGAAGTATCCTTCTCAGGTTACTTTCAAGAAAGGGAAAATTAACCAGAGTGGAAAATATTAAATATCAGAGCAAGAGAAAATTTGCATAACTACAAAAAAACTCTATTAATACAATTTTTAACCTTTTGTTAATTTTTTTCAGTAAAGAATTTTTTACTCTAGAATTTATTTGACTTATAATGTAAATAGATGATAAAATATGTATGTCTTGTTTATTATTGTATAATGTATTTGAATATTATTTCTAAATTTTTTAATTGTTAAAAAAATAAAAAAACGAAAAATAAACATTTTCTCTACAATTATAATTGTTATAATAATTATTATCATTATTATTACTTTTATAATTATTTTTGTACTGTTTTTATTATTATTTTTTGTTATTATTATTATTATTTAGTTAATGTTATTATTGATATTTTTTTTATTTATTTATTGTTATTTCTGTTATTATTATTATTATTATTATTATTATTGTTTTTTAAATGGAACAATTTAATTTACTTTCAATCAAATGGGAATTAATATCTTCCACGTATGTAACAAAGACTCTACTATAATGTTATGCATCTTCAGGAGTCACTGACCCCTCAAGCCGAAAAGCCTGTTCTGATTTCAATCACTTGATGAAATATTCCGATTCATCGAATATCATTATACATTCAAACTAATAAAACAATAACAAGAAAAACAAAGCCATAAAAAAATCATAAATTTTATTCTTTAGAAAAAACTTCGAAAAAAGCTTTCCAAGAAAAATGGAAAATTATGTTAAAAACAAAAAATCTCAATCTAAACGCAGTTTTTTTGTTTAATTAAAAATAAATGAAATTCTTTTTTAAAAAAATGTCACAATTATACAGAGAGTTTTAGTATTAAACTATAATTTAAAAAAATTTTTATTTCTAAAAATTAAAAACTGAAAAGTTTGTATTTAATAATAAAAGATATTAAAATTCTTTTCTGGCTTATAAAGAAGAGTTTACAGCAGAATTGAATTTAAAATTTGAATTAAAAATAATTGATAATTGAAGAATTTGGAAATTAAAATGAGAATGTAAAAACTGAATTTAAAAAGTTAAAATTTGAGACATAGAATTAAAATAAAAATACTTCAATTTTGACGCAAATTAAAAAAAAAAATACTTTTCGAAAAGTCGAAAAAATAAATAAAAATACTTGTCTGCAATGAGTACTCAAAAAAAGTAAAAAAATTCTTTTTGAACTTTAATTATTATTAAACTTAGTATAGAGACTTGTCAAAGATGCACAACAAAGTAAATCGAAAAAATTGTCATATTGAAATTCCACTATAAAAATTGTTATTGAAAATAAATTCAAATTCAAAATTGAGCAAAAAGTTCCAAAGAAAGTTTCGCAAATTGAGACAAAAAACGTAGTAAAAGTGTTGCATCGCAACACTTTTACTTCGGTTTTTTGTCTCCATTTGCAATCAATTTCGAAAAAGTGTGTAATTTAAAAAATTTAATTTTATAAAACGACATTAATGTTTAAAAATTTAAAAAACTAAATTAAAAATAAATAAATACTGAGAAAGGTGTTTGTTTTTATTCTGAAATGTCTTGTGTTGTGTTGTGTGTCAAAATCACGAGAAGGAGCGAACACGGTTTTTCACTTACCGATAATACCCCAAAGATACTTTTCGAGTCGACAACCGCACGAGAAATGTGAGCACAATAGCAAACGAGCCACCAAGAGACCGCGGTTTGCATTTACTGTACCTACTACAGTTTGTTAAAAACAGGAACAAGAAAAGTACACCAGGATTGTGCTTTAAAGCAAAGTTCAGAAACTGTAGGCTGTTCCACCGGACAGACCACTTTCTATTTAATTTTTTTCTTCCTGCGACTGGCTTATACAGACCGGCAGGGACGTATCATCCTCGGTACATTCGAAAAATTAATTATCAAAGTCAACAGTCATCAGTCATCAGTTTTCACTCGACAAGTCATTCTGGAATCATTAATTATACATGTTTAGTATGTTTCTTCAAATTCATCTCGTCGACATTTTTTCTTTCGTATTTAAATATTTTTAATATTTTACAGACTTTTGTTGTTTACCAAAATAAATTTACGAGAGAAAATAAATTTTAATTTTGCATTAAAAGAACTGCAATAAAAATTAAACTGAAGTATAACAATAGAAATTAAACGGGAGTAAAGATAAAAATTAAACGAGATTAAAAATAAAAATTAAACTGAAGTAACAAAAAAATAAATAAAAAAAGAAAAGAAATTTTAATTTTGAATTAAAAGAACTGTAATAAAAATAAAACTGAAGTATAACAATAAAAATTAAACGGGAGAATAAAGATAAAAATTAAACCGAAATAACAATAAAAATAAATAAAAACGAAAATAAATTTTCATTTTGAATTAAAAGAACTGTAATAAAAATTAAACTGAAGTAATAATTAAAATTAAACGGAAGTATACCGATAAAAATTAAATTGAAGTAACACTAAAAATTAACAATTGCAAAAATAGAAAGAAACCTTTAAAAAAAATAAAAAGTTAAAAAAAATAGAAAATTAGAAAAATAAAAAAACAGAAAGTTAAAATTTTTTAAAATTAATAACAAAATAATAAATACCTACATTATTGTAAATAAAGGAACGAAAGGGTTTCGTTTAAAATAGCTACGCAACTGGCAAGATCGCGTGTTCAGATTGCGCGGTCATTGCACGGGCTTTTCGAATCCCGATTTCGCATTTTTCCTTTTTTTTTCTTCTTCTTCTTCTTCTTGTTGTTGTGAATCCCCGAATCCCTCTCCACTTTTCTCCTTCTCTCTTTTCTTGGCCGCATTTTGTCGGTTTTATTTTCAGAACATCTGGTGCCTGGCACGCGGACAAAGGGACGAAGCTCTCAAAAAGTCTTGAAGCTTCCTTGGGGGTGGATTGCATTATCATTTAAACCATATTTATATACCAGTTTGGACATTTTAATCCAAGTTTTTTAAAATCTAAACACACTTTTTTATTTACAAAAAAAAAGAAAAAGAAAACAAACAACAAAATTTCTTGACAAAATTAATTATTAAAGTATAAGGTCTCGTAGACGAATATTTGTAAATTAAGAAATAAAAGTTGGGTTCGTTCGGATTCTGCTTTCGAATTCTGTAACAAAATTGATTTTATATCTTTTTGTATATTTTTTTATTTAGTATTATATTCAGTTTTACTATTCATTTATTTTTATTTATTAATTGCTTCCTCATATAGAGAAAGAATAAATTGTAGATTTTTAATTTTGTTTTTACTTGGAATTTTTTCTATTTTGATTTGAATATTTTTGTTACTCTCTAAAGAAAGGGATCGAAGCAGAAAAATTTTAGATTTATTGACACTTTTTTCTTGATTTAGGACAATTTTGGATTTCTTTTGAATTTCGTTTCGTTTTTATTTACTTTTTTGTTTTAATTACATTTGAAACGCTTTCAATAAGTATTATTGTTGATTTGACAAAATTAAAAAGAAATCCTCAATCAAAGTTCTTACCTCAGCTTTACATTTTTGTCCGAAAATCTCTTGTTTCTAGAAAAAGATTTTTTTGGTCCAACAACACTGTAAAAAAATAAATCTTACTTGTCGTCGGACACTTTTGACCAATACAACAGGAATTATTTTTGACTGAATGTTTTATTGATTTTCTTCTTGATTGTATGATTTCTATTCATAAAATTAAGTTTTACGTTCAACAATAGTCAACTTTTTACTTATTTTGATTTTAAGAAGTAAACAGTGTTGAACTTCGGTTTTTCTGTATTTTTACCTATATTTTTATATTGTTTCATATAGGGTAAGTGCGGGTATAGTCGGACAGTACTAGTAGTCGGACACTTTCGTGTTTTTTGGCAAATAAATAATAATGCATTGTGATAATTACTTTAAAAAGTATACAAAACGAATGTGTGAAGTTTATATTTTATTAAAATAGTGTTATTTTCGAAAATAATTAAACAAGAAATATTTTATTTAATGTTTTAAAAATCATGGTGTCCGACTATAGATACAGCCATTTTCGAGTAGCGCGATGAGTGGCACAAAGTTTTGTTGATAATTAATCATAAATATTAAAACTTATAGGGTTTAAATATTATATTAATAACTTCTAATATGCTTTAATTCCATTTTCCAGTAGATAGCAATTAAAAAATTATCTTTTTCACTTTATAAATTCAAAATATCTGACAGATGTCCGACTATAGAAACAAGGGGAAAAAGTGTCCGACTACTAAAGCATTCGTAATTGTTTATTAAAATGTTTATATTTTATTAAATACTCAACTATTTGTAACAAATTTATATGATTTTTAATCCTGAAGAACTTCTTTAATTAATAATGTGCTTATAAACACAGTAGATATTTGCTATTTCAAGAAAAAAAGCATAATTTAAGATTGTATCCTTAAGTGTCCGACTACTAGTGCATTTACCCTATCAGCGGTTTTTAAAACTTGTTTAAAACTTTAAAACTTAAAATAATTGTACGATGTTGAGAATGTTGACAGATTTTATGAAAACTTATAGGTTATGTTTATTCTGTCGTGTCTGTCGTTCAAAAAATCGGCTTAGTTAACTCAGTTCGTCGCTAGAGGGACATTAACTGAACTGGTTCGGCGAAAGTCTACCTTACCGACAATGTGACTTAATAAGGCTATTCAAGTTGGGTGGGGGAAAATTCAAGATGGATGCTAACTGGTGCACAAACATTGTATAGAAAGTGTATGGGATAGAGTCTAATTTTTTAAATATCTCGCTTAAACGAAATTTTTAACCATAAGTTTATTAGGATTTTATGTTTCATTTTTAAAGAACTATTTTTTGCAATAATAAAAATCGATTTTATTTTTTTATTGATTTTATTATTGCAAAAAATAGTTCTTTAAAAATGAAACATAAAATCCTAATAAACTTATGGTTAAAAATTTCGTTTAAGCGAGATATTTAAAAAATTAGACTCTATCCCATACACTTTCTATACAATGTTGGTGCACCAGTTAGCATCCATCTTGAATTTTCCCCCACCCAACTTGAATAGCCTTATCAAGTTTTTATTTTGTACGACCCTGACAGTTTAGTGTTTACATTGTGTATTTATTGACGTTTCGATAATCGAATTAACCGATCGCTATAATAAAGGTAAAGTTCTCATATAGATAAGTTCTTCTAAAACAAGTTCTTTAAGAACAGAACGAACAGAATAAAAGAAAACGAAAAAAACGGTCTTCGGTTTCAAGTTGAGTCGCAACAATAGTGACTTTTAGGTTAAGTTGGTTGGCGCGTTGTAAACAATAGAATCTATTGTTCCCAAGTTCCAAGTAGACTTGCACTTTATTGTGGAAGTCATGTAGATTTAATTACCATGAGGTAGATGACACGAAGTAGTATGTTTTTTGTCTTTTAATAAAATAACTTTTAACGGTAACAAAACACATGCCCGATGAAATCGACACGAGCACGAAAAGAATCCAATATTTTGCTTTTTAAACCCCACTTCTTTATCTTTTCAAAAATATTTAAATTTTGCTCAAAAGATAATTCGATAAAAGAAAAAAATTGTTCAGAATTACTTAAAAATTTTCCCATGGCATATGTTTGGAGTAAAAATGTTAAGAGAAGAGTGTAATTTATCTCCGCTGAACAATGAGCAGTGCCATCAGGATAACGTTCCAAAGAAGCGGCGCTCCTCTCTGCGTCTCTGCGTTTTCTCTTCGGGCATGAGTTTTGACTTGGAACAAAATGAATATTCTTATTATTACCGAGCTGGAAAAAATTGCTGGTCCATTTGAGCGCGAACAAAACTTTATTACTTCAATAAATCCTTTTTTTTATACAGGTGCTACTATATGGCCGTTGGGAACCGAGAAAAAGGGATTATGCAAATAAAATATGGTTGCATACACATAAATGCTGTTTTGAAAGGTGCGTATATATGCGGCTCGACAATATTCTTCAAGACTAAAATAGAATTTTATGATCGTTTTGACATTTCAATATCACAAAATGAAAAGCCTCCCTCTGTTTACATTTAATTTGAATCGTATATACTTTTTATATATATACATATGCAAATAATACTAATCCGTATAACTTTTCGTAAAAAAAAATAAAGTCTTACTTCGAGACTGCGAGCAGTGCTTTTTTTAATATTTAACTTCTGATTATTATTTTCACAACGTTACTTTGGCTACCCAGGTGCGATTTTTTGGTCGGCCCATAGTTGGGCCAACTTTTACAAAGTCGGTCCAACTTCTCGTGCCAGAGGTTGGGCCAACCATACAGATGATAACGGCGACCGTCTAATGGCGACGATGGTTGGCCCGACAACTCATAAGGAAGTTGGCCCAACTTACAATGCATATGTTGTGCCAACTATACATTTCAATGGTTGGTCCAAAGACTGACGCCAAAGTTGGCACAACTTTAGATGCGTAAGTTGGGCCAACCACAATTTTCAAAGTTTGGCCAACTTCAACAGCCAAAGGTAAAAAATTATTAAAAAACTACATTATTTAAACAATTATCACGTTATTATTAGCGGGAACATCAGATATAACCTTTACCTATTATTATTAAACACAATCTCATACATACATTTTCGAAAATATCTATCGCTCGCTGGGATCAAACCCCTAACCTAACGCACCGAAGACTTATACACTGACCACTACGCTACGCTCACATGGGAGTGCATAACGCAAAATGTATATTTAAGCTGCAACAGTCGGGCCAACCGTGGCCCAGAGTTCGGCCAACCAAGAAAGTTTAAGTCATTTAAACAGCATTTGACAAAGTTTTGCCAACCGTTGGGCCAACCGTGGCCCAGAGTTCGGCCAACCAAGAAAAATCAAGTCAATTAAACTGCGTTTCACAAAGTTTTGCCCACCGTCGGGCCAACCGTGGCCCAAAGTTCGGCCAACCAAAATAATGTAAGTCAATTAAACTGTGTTTCACATAGTTTTGCCAACCGTTGGGCCAACCGTGGCCCAGAGTTCGGCCAACCAAGAAAATTTAAGTCAATTAAACTGCGTTTCTAGAGTTTTGCCAACCGTTGGGCCAACCGTGGCCCAAAGTTCGGCCAACCAAGAAAGTTTAAGTCATTTAAACTGCGTTTCTAGAGTTTTGCCAACCGTTGGGCCAACCAAGAAAGTTTAAGTCATTTAAACTGCGTTTCTAGAGTTTTGCCAACCGTTGGGCCAACCGTGGCCCAGAGTTCGGCCAACCAAGAAAGTTTAAGTCAATTAAACTGCGTTTCACATAGTTTTGCCAACCGTCGGGCCAACCGTGGCCCAGAGTTCGGCCAACCAAAATAATGTAAGTCAATTAAACTGCGTTTCACATAGTTTTGCTAACCGTTGGGCCAACCGTGGCCCAGAGTTCGGCCAACCGAAACTGAAAGTCTTTTAAACTACGTTTGGATAAGTTGTGCCAACCTTTGTCGCCAAAGTTGGCCCGACGGTTGGTTAAACTCTGCATTTAATGGTTGGCTTGCAAAGTCGGGCCAACTGTGGGCACAAGTACTTGCCAAAGTTGGGCAAACTCTGGCAACCAAAACTTTGCTTGCCAAAGTTAGGCCAACCTTGGGCCAACCTTCAAACTCTGGCGGCCAACCTAAATTCGCACCTGGGTACTTTATAATTTTTTTGTTTCAATGAAACAACTTTTCGTTTTTAAAACGATTTAACATTTTGTTAAAACTGAACATAATTATTATTATCATAAAGAACAAAGTTCTTCGCAGGAATTCAATTATTTACAATTTTTTTTTTAAATTCTTTGCAGAAATTAATTTTTAAAAATAACAAAATTTTTAGCAGGAATTAAATTATTTTCAAAAATTATCATCAAATTCTTCCCAAAAATTCTATTATTTTCAAAACTTCTTTAACAAAGTTTTTGACAAAAATTCAATTATCTTTATAAATAACAAAATTCTTCGTAAGAATACAATTATTTTCATAAAGAACAAAATTCTTAGTAGGTATTCAATTATTTAAAATTTTTTTTACAAAATTCATCGAAGAAATTCAATTATTTTTAAAAATTGTAATACAATTCTTGTCAAAAATTCAATTATCATTATAAACTTCTATATTCTTCGTAGAAATTCAATTATTTCCAAAAATAAACAAATTTTTATTAGGAATTCAATTATTTTCAAAAATGTCATAAAATTCTTCGCAGAAATTCAATTATTTTCAGAACTTTCAAATAAAGTTCTTGGAAAGAATTTAATTATCTTTTCATAAATAACAGAATAATTCTTCCTAAAAATTCAATTCTTTTAAAAAATATCAACATTTTTAGCAGGAATTCAGTTATTTTCAAAAATTTTCATAAAATTCTTCAGAATATTTAAAGCATTATAGCTTGAATTTTAAAAAGGTTTGCAAATTAAAATTTTTGGAAAATTCGAATTTTTTATACTTTTAACTAACAAAGCTGTAGAATTAATTATTTTTTTTAAAAAAAGTTTAAGAATTTTTTTTTAAATTATTTGAATTTTTTATTTTCGACAATATTATATTTAATTCAAGAATTTCCGAATAATTAAATAATTTTTAAGAATTTCTACTGTAACTTATTAAAAATTATTTTTAAAATTCCAATTCAATTATTTTACATAGAAATTTTAACTAAAATATTTCTAAAATCCACTTGTTTACAAGATAAATTCATGAAATTTTGAATAATTTGAAAGTTTTTCAATTAAATAATTATATATTTAAAACTATAACTAATTTAAAAAAATGGGATTAAAAATGTTTCAAAATACTTACTTATTCAGAATTTTTAATTAAAATCGATTACAATTCAACTTTTTTAAAACTTTAGTTTGAAAGTTTTTAAAATTCTATCTATAATAATATTAGTAATATTATATATTAATTTAACATTCTAAAATGTAAACTTAAAAAAAATTTATTTGATTCAAATAACCGATTAATTGACTATTATGAATTAAATATTTAATTGAATTACATAATATTTATTGGAGTCAATTAAATAGTTCATTTCATATTTGCTTCAAATACTGAAATTGTTGGTTTAAATACCATTTAATTGACTCCAATAAATATATTATTTGATTCAAGTAAATATTTAATTGATTAGTCAATTAATCGCTAATTGGAATCAATTAAATTGATTTTTCAGTGTATAAATAGTTGTTTATGATTAATTTTAAAAAACGAATTGATATTAATACAAAATACGGTTATTTAAAAATTTATTTTCTAATAAAAGAAATTTTATTTATTTTTATTTTTTTATTTACTTTATTTATTATTTAAAAATTTATTTTTATAAATTTCGTATCATTTTTGTTCTTATTAATTCAAATTTTTACTGATTCAAATTTGTTTTGCGATAATATCTTTATTGAAAAAAAAAATTTATTTAAATTGATTTATTTTTCACTATTTTATATAGAATGTGAAATTTTTTCTAGTTCAAATTTTTTCGACGCATTTAATTAAAATTATATTTTGTTTAATTATTGTTAGAAATAAATAGAATTTAAAATTAAATTTAATATTTTTTTTGAAGTCTGGTTACGTTGGACAACAAAATTCATAATTTTTTTATAAATTCTAGAAATTGAATATTTTTATACTACTTTTGATAAAATTACCAGACAAAATAAAACGATTTTATAGAAGATCATTCAATCTTTTTTAATGAGATATAATTAATAAGTCTTAAAATAAATATTTTTATTTTTTCTCACAAAATAATTAGCGTTTTTAAAAAAAAGTTTCCAAAATCCCGGTCAAGATTTCTCTGTCATTTCTCTGTTTTTCCCGGTCCAAAATAATTGCCTGTCATTTTCCGGTTTTCCCGGTCCAGTGGCCACCGTGATTGTAATAATTGAATTAAAATTATGAAAATAATTTTGAAGAATAAGTTACAGTAACAATATTCTTATAATGTAAAATAAGGATTTTATCACTGGGCCATCTTTAATTATTATAAAACATGAAGATATTGATTTCTCCGAGTCGAAGACTCGGGGTGATCGATATTTTCATGTTTTATAATTATGAAAAATTTAATTTATAGTTTTAAGTAAAATGTTCTCTTATTTGACTCGGATTGGGTTAATTATTTTCATCTGTAATCGGTCCGTAATTTTTAATTTTTTTTCCGTAAAGTCCGTATTTTTAGATACTTCAACTGCGGTTCGAACCCTGATTAGTTCGCCTTTTTCCGATTTTCAAAAAAGAAAAGCAGTTCCAAAAAAAAATTGTGAATTGACGAAAAAAATAGAAAAATTTGCCAGAGCAGGATCTGCTTGTCAGTTTGTATATAGTTTGATATTGAAGCGCACACGTAAATTTAAATTAGGGGTCGTTGAAACCATACTGACAGGCGTTTAGTCAAGTCTGAGGTGCAAATTTTTTTTTTTTTTCAGCGACAGACAGAGAGACGGTTCTCGTCCTGCTCGTAAAACAAACGTGCGAAAACAGTTAAGAGAATGACACATGGCAGATGGTTTCGACAATTTATATGTACGCATTGCGGAGAGAGGAAAATCTCTCGCTTTAGTGAAATGCACACATAGAGGAGAGAGATGGTCCTGTTGTGTACCAGTTAAGACAGTCCACTAGGAGAGGAACATGTAAATAAATGTATGTTTATTTAATCGCATTGGAACCTGACCAAAAAAGGGGTGTCGTAATGTACTTTGTGCCGTTGAGGTGAATGCCTCGAAACGTGTGAAAAGGAAGGGACAAAGGGAGAAAAAAATGTTTTCTTGGTTCTCAGGCGATTTCCAGACGACCGGGCGCAATAGGGCTGAACTTGTTTTAAAGGGCTATACGAAGAGACGCGCCATATTGTCGGCGCTTTATACATGGTGTTCCAACTAAAATCGTAATCGCGGCCATTTATTCTTACTTTTTGGAAAAATTTTTTTTTTCGATTTAAGAAAAAAAATTACCTGGAACTGATAAAGATTTAATTTTTAAGAAAATCTACTGTTATCACAAAATACAATAATATTGGTTATTTAAGAGAAATAGTTGAACAATTATTATTTCTATGTCATTTGAGAACAATCGAATATAGAAAAAAGTAATTCATTTGTTACTAAGGCAAAATATTAATTTCAACTTTTTTAAATAAAAGAAAAGATTTCAGTTTGTGACAAAACGTCAAGTCGTGCAGAAAGCGAAATCGCCTACCCTACGAAATTTATTAATAGAAAATAAACTAATTTCTTTAATTAATTTCAAAGAAATTGTCTCTTGGTTTCAAATCCACTACTTTCGTGGTAAAATTATTTAAACTACTTAACAAAAATTTTTTGCGCTCTTTGCAAAATTTACTTCAAAAATAGTAAAAGTTGCCAAAGCAACTTTTTAATCTATACAAATTAGGAAAGAATTTTAATCATCAATTAATTCACAATAAAAATTCAAATATATTGAAATAAAAAACAAAATTTACTCCAAAAAATAGTAAAAGTTGCCAAAGCAACTTTTACTATTTTTGGAGTAAATTTTGCAACGTTCAAAGTTCATTTTTGTATTAAATTAGTAAAAATTTAGTTTAAATATATACATACAGCAAAATTTACTCCAAAAATAGTAAATTAGTAAAAATTGCAAAAAATGCGCAAAAGTTTTAGATAGTTTTAGTTTTACTTTGTAAATAGTTAAAAGTTATTCTATATTTTTATTATTTTCAAGTTAACAGTTAAATAAAAATTAGGAAAGAATTTTAATCAAGTAATTCCCAATAAAAATAAAATAAATAAAATTAGACAAAAAAGAGACGTAATTTCACTAATTTTGTTTTAATGACAAGTTTATATAACAATAATTTATTTAAACTCGTATTAAACTCATTCGAAAATTTATAAATAAATAAAAATCTGAATCGTGAATTTCAAAAAAGGGTTTAAATCTGAAAATCGTAAAAGTCATTTTCACTATCATTTTTTGAGTGAAAATTATTCTTTTTCAAAGTTGAGCCCTTTGCGAAATAGACGAAAATAATAATAATAATTTATTATTATTGTTCCTAACAAAAAAATTAACAATAAATTAAGTAACTGAAACTAAATTTAATAATTATATTTACAAAATCGGCTGGGAGAAGATAACACTACTTACAGCAATGCTCGACTAGTTTTTTAACAATAAAAGTAAAAAAAAATAAATAATTTTTAGTTTGAGTTATAAAAATTGTTTTAATATTATTTAACAGAATTTATATAAAATTGCGCAGGTATAAATATTATTTTCCGCGGATATTTTCCCCTCTTTCAATAATTTCAAATATAATTAACTTTTCAATAAATGAATAAATAAAAAAAAATGTTAGAAAAAAGTGGGGAAAATAGGACTAAAAAAACTTTGTTTATTTTTTGCCTAAGGCGAAAGGAAGGCAATATTTTGAATTAATTTCTTAGTGAACACCCCTTATGAACTATCTTATTCGAGACTTAAGACCCTCGTCCAGACTGCATTATTATTCGCCTGTTTTGATTTTGGCTCCACCACGGAAGCAAGTTTATACTTGCGCACGTATGTATTGCACGTGCAACCACCGAATTGTCATTAGCCCTTAAAGTGGCCACTCTTCCTCAGCATAAATTAACCCCGTCAAAAACGATTAACTTCTTAATCTTTATAATAGAAAAAATTTATTTTAGAGCATTTTTATATTCTCATTATATGTATTATGTATTTGTAAGGAACCCTCGTCTTGACAATATTCCCATTTTCCATGCATGGGGTATTTTAATTTCTCTTATAAAAATTTGATTTTATTGATAGTCAATAATTTGGGAAATTATTTATTTGTTTTCAATTTTATTTTGACACAAATAAAATGTTTATTTGAACTAAAAAAAATTTTATTTGAACTATAAATAAAATTTTATTTGAACTAAATAAAATTTTATTTGAATCAAATAAAACCAAATAAAACTTATTTTTAATCGAATAAAATTTAATTTGAACCAAGTAAAATTTATTTGAAACAAATAAAAATTTTAGTAGAATAATAGGGCCAAATTAAAATGTGGAATAAGTACTAATCTTAGTTTCGTAGATAAAGTTATTCTTTTAAGTAGATAAAGCTGTATCGGTGAGACAACAATTCTTATTTAAGTAGAGAAAACAGACTTGTCAGACTATAGACAAAAATAATTATCTCAAATTTTTGAACGACATTTATTTAAAAATAACGTTTCAGTAGATTTTTTTAAAACTATTTCAAAATAAAATATAAAGTTTAACTAATTTTTCAGGAATTTTATGACAAACCGGGAATTTTTCCACCAAATTAAAAAAAGTTTTATTATTTTAATTTGTTTTTAAAAAATCGCTTTTTATTTCAATTCTTATAGATATTTATACTGTTCTCTAAATTTGAATTAGTTAAAAATAATTAATTTGATAGTAAAAAATCAGTCACTGATTCAAATATAGTATGTAAATAAATTTTGAAGAAATTATCGATTTAATAGAAATTTTGTGAATTTCATTACAAACTTTTTAACAAATCGAATTTTCAAAGTATTTTAATTTTAATAATTGATAAATAATTGAATTTTATAAAGAGTCACATTCTAATGTATTCATGTTTCTTATAGTGCGAAGAATAATAATTAAAATTTTTATTAGTTAATTTAAAAAAAGATACACACTTAAATTTTTTTAATAAAATTGAATTTCACGCAAAGTTTTTTTGAAAATTCTAAAAAATAAAATTTTTGAAATTTTTCAATTTTATTGTTTCAAGATAATTGAATTTTTATGAAGAAATAATTGAAAATTTTTGAAATTTCTTTAGATTTCAAAAAAAATAATAAAATTCTTTTAAAGAATTTTATTTAAATTTTTCGAAAGTAATCAAGGCAAGTTAGTCACCGTAATTATAATTTTATTTTTTTACATTTCTTCGCAATAGGTATATTTAATTATTTTCATAAATAATAAAACTCATTGCAGAATTCTGAATTTCAATTATTTTTAATACAATTTTAATCGAATTTCCCGAAAAATGTAATAATTCTTAAAAATTTTATTAAAATTCTTCGAAAGAATTAAATTATTTCTAGAAACTGTAAAAAAATTCTTCTCAAAAGAATTCAATTATTTCCATAAATAGCAAAATTCTTCAAATTTACTAAATTCTTTTGAAAATTATTTTTAGAAAAAATTCTTCACAAGAATTCAATTATTTTCATAGATTTACAAAAAATTCTAAAAAAACAATTCAATTATTTTCAAAAGTAATAAAATTCTTCGCAGAAATTCAATTATGTTGAAAAATTGAAAAATATTCTCGTCAAAATTTAAATTATCTTTGGGAGCGTTCATAAATCATGTCACGCAAATTTTCGGGATTTTAGACCCCCCCCCCCTCCCCCTGACACGCAATTTCATGCAATTTCACATGTAAAATTCAATTATTTTCAAAAGTAATAAAATTCATGGCAAAATTTCAATTTTCAAAAATTTTTCTTAATTTACTGATTTTTAATATCTATTCTATTTTTCTAAAACCCAAAAGAATTCAATTATTTCTAGAAACTGTAAAAAAAATTCTTTTCAAGAATTCAATTATTTTCATTAATAGCGAAATTTGTTAGATTTACTAAATTCTTTTGAATATTATTTTTAAATAAAATTCTTCATAAGAATTCAATTATTTTTATAACTAATAATTAAATTTCTCTCCACAATTCAATTATTTTCAAAAAATTTTATAAAATTCTGCGCAAACATTTAATTATTTTCATAAATAATAACATTCTTTGGAAGGATTCAATTACTTTTATAAATAGTAAAATTCTTTGCAGAAATTCAATTAGTATCAATACATTTTAATAAAATTGAATTAATAAAATTTTCCATTATAATTATGAACAGACAAGATTATTTTAAAAAATTGAAAAAATTCTTTGTTTAATTCAATTAGTTTCCAAATTTTGTATTAAAATTATTAAAAAAACATTATTTTCAAAAAATTTAAAGAAACTTGTCAAAAGAATTTAAATATTCATAAAAACTCTAATGAAAAATTTGGAAGCCAATTGTAGATGTATTTATGTTCGAAATCAAATAAATTTAAATTTGATAAAAAAAAACGGGAAAAATTAGAACAAAGTCGGGAAATAACCGGGAATTTTGTTGAACGAAAATAGTAGAGACCCTCTGTTACTCTCATTCTCCTTTCTTTTTTTTTAATTTTCTTCTTTCATATCCAAAGATTTTTGACAATGGGTAAATAATTAGTTTTCTTTTAAGTACTCAATACCGCATATATTAAGTAATGTACATACAAAATGCGATATTTTTTTTGCGATTTTTGTAAAATGAACACTCTTTCACGTGGGAACACTGGAAAAATATCTTCATTGTTTTCGTTTCCTCATAAATGATGCATGGATTTCATAAAGATGAGAGGGTTAAGTCCAAAAAACAGATGTTTTTCTCAGACGAATTCTCACGAAGATGCAGAGGCATTTCTTTCTTTTTTCTTTTCTTCCCTTTTTGTTGAAATTTTATGTTTCCTAATGACGGTTGTTATTCGTATAAACTCTTTAGGATTAGAACGTAAATGCAGTTGTCGACGAAGAAAGAAGGAAAGAAAAAATAAAAATCTTACAAGGCTCGCCAAACCGCATCCTGATCTTTTGGAACGCAAGTTTAGGAATATAATTATTTTATTTATAACTTATTTTCTAATTGGTTTATTAATAATTAATTTATTATTATATTCGAGTCGAACCATTTAGTCTAAAGACGAAACAAAATTCATTTTTTTAAAATTAAAAACATTGATTTGAATTGAAACTAAATTGTTAATTTAGCTTCGATTTATAGCATCAGTCCCTGATATTTAAATTATAATAATAAAATTGTTAATTTAAATAATAAATTTTATTATTTATAAATACGCTTAAAAATAAGAAACAAAGTTTTTTCTCGCATTTGAATTAAAAATAATTGAGATAGACTGAGTTAAAAAAATGGTCTACCACCGGCGCCCGCCTGGGCCAAGTTGAAGCTGAAAGGACCGAAATTAAAACTTGCGCTCTGGGCATTGGCTTGGCTATTCCCTCCGTGGTGCCCTCCACCAAAAAATCCTCCGGATGCTGTTGCAAAGGATCCTCCGTGACCGAATTGTTGGTGAGGGTAATGACCTCCGTACGAAGGGAAATAACCACCTTGCCATCTGCAGAGAATTTTTTCAACAAAAATATATTCATCCTTTTATAAATATCGCGCAGGATATTGATATAATCTTCAGATACTTTTTTACATTAAATTATTATATTCGAAATTAATTTATTTATTCTCTCTGCTATCTCAGTATTTTTCTAAAAATATCGCAAATTGAGATAAAAAAGAAAAAATTGAGACAAAAAACGTATCTTTTTTTTGTCTCAATTTACGATATTCTTAGGAAAATTATTGAGCTTTCGCCCTTTTTTATAATATTAGAAAAATATAATAATAAACAATTTTCATTCTATGGAAACGACCAAACAAACTAACGAAATAATACTAAACAATACTAAACAAAAACAAACAATAATATTGTAGCATATTAATTTTTAGATTTTTTTTACTACAATTATTAGTAACCGCATCTCTATAAATTGAAATTTACAAACTTTAATGCAAACTATAGCAAATGTTACGCGCCAAACATTACATTGAATTTACTATTATTATGCAAATTATAAAATTTTTCATTTTCAAATATGAATTTTTGAATAATTTAGATTCAAACTTTATAAAAATTAATTCATTAACTAATTTACTATATTTAATTATTCTTGTTTATTAATTTCAAACATTTTAATAAAATTCTGAGCAAGAATTCAATTATTTTCATAAATAATAACATTCTTCGTAAGAATTCAATTATTCTGAAAAAAAAATTTAATAAAATTTTACAAACGAATACATTTTTTTGTAAAATTTTAAAAAATCCTTTGAAAAAATTCAATTAATTTTTAAAAAAAGTAAAATCTTTGCAAAAATTTAATTATTTACAAAAAAAAATTTCACAAAAGAATTCAATTTTTTCTTATTTCGTTATAAAATCTTTGCAAAAATTCAATGATTTTTAAAAAAAAATTTAATTATATTTTTTAAAATTTTAATAAATCCTTCGAAACAATTCAATTATTTTTTTAAAATAATAAAATATTTGCAAGAATTCAATTATTTAAAAAAAAATCTCACTAAGGAATTCAATTTTTATTATGTCGTTATAAAATCTTTGTAAAAATTTAATTATTTTCAAAAACATTTCACGAAAGAATTCAATTTTTTTTGTAAATTTTTAATTTTTTTCGAAAAAAATCAATTGTTTTCTAAAACTTTAACAAATTCTTCGAAACGATTCAATTATTTTTTTAAATAGTAAATAATTTGCAAAAATTCAATAATTTTCAAAAAATTTCACGAAAGAATTCAATTTTTTCTTATTTCGTTCTAAAATCTTTGCAAAAATTCAAATATTTTCTAAAATTTTAATAAATCCTGCGAAACAATTCAATTACATTTATAAATAGTAAAATTCCTTGAAAAAATCAATTATCTTCAAAACAATTTCACGAAATAAATATTCAATTTTTTCCTAAAATTTTAATAAATTCTTCGAAAAAATTAAATTATATTTATAAATAGTAAAATTTTTTGCAAAAGTTAAATTATTTTTTATACAGTTTTAATAACATTTCATCAGAGAATTCAATTTTTTTTTCATTTGTAATAATTTTTTTGTCGAATAAATTTAATTATTTTCTAAACGTTTTAATTAAACCTTCAAAACAATTCAATTATATTCATAAATAAATAGGAAAATTGTTTGGAAAAATTCAATTATTTTCAAAAAAAAATCTCAAGAAAGAAAGAAATTTTTTTCTTAATTCGTTATAAAATATTTCAAAAGAATTTTCAAAATTTTAATAATATTCAATAATTAAGTGTTTAATTTCAATTATTAACAAACACGATTTTTTTTAAATCTTAAAAGAAATTGTTCAGAAAATTCATTCAAAATTTTCAATTAAAATTATTCAAAAAAAACTCCATTATTTAGAAAAAATTCAAAGAAATTCTTCAAAAGAATTTAATTATAGTATTTTGAAAAATTTTAATTTAATCCCTCGAAAGGATTCTGTTATTTTCCTAAATAATAAAATTCTTCTAAGAAATTTAATTATTCTCAAATTTCTATAAAATATTCAATTACTTTCAAAGATTTTAATAAAATTCACAAAAGACTTAAATTATTATCAAAAAGTTTAAAATTTAAAATTCTTTGCAAAAATTTGATGATTTTCAAAACATTAATTTTAAAATTGAAAATATTTAAAAAGAAAAATTACTAAAAAAGTTAAGAAACAAAAAAAGCAAATAACTAACTTCATACTTGCGAATAGATAATACCGAACTACAACGATTATTTATTAAAAATACAGAATAAAGATTTTACATATAAAAATGAAATAAATAATTATTAAGGCAAAAATCTTTGAGATTTATTGTCTTTTTTCTGTTTTGTAACTTTGTATTTATTTAAAAAAGAATTATAAGGGAATAAAGTACATAAATACAATGAATAAGAATAAGGTATATGCGGTATTTTTAATAAATATGGTATGTTTATGTCTGTAATTGGAATAATTTAAAAAACGAGAACTCACCCTCCACAACCATGTTTTCTATTGCATCCAAACCCTCCGTGATATTTACGTTTATGTTTGCGTTTATGCAAATGCCGACCCTCTGGGTCATCGGAATAATCTTCAAAAGCATCGTCATTCAATAACCCTCTTTGAGGAGAACGTTGCACTCGTACTGCGTCTCCTAATAATAATAATAACAATATTAATAATATTAACAATAATGTTCTTCTTTTAAAAACATTATATAAAAATTAAAAATATAAAATCACTTTTCATCACTAAAAGAAAAGTTATACCAAATTTGAAATCATTTTTTGCGAAAAATAAGTTCTTTGTATGTATTACAGATGATCCTATCTGTTTCGCATTTAACGAAAGTAAAAAAAACGAGTATGATGCAAAAAAAATATTTTCACACGTGTTGAACGCAAAAGTGGCACAAGCATTTTTACACAACATGGTTTTTTCACTTCCTGGAGAGGGCGATAAATCAGTATCGAGTTTGAAGGGCTCTTATTTTTTCGACGGTATTTTGCACGCACCTGTTATTGCCATCTGCATTATTACCGCACTGATATAAAAAAAAACAATGTGCTCACATACCATTTTGATGAGTCGAATCAAGAACTAAAGATGTAGATTCTGGACCAACAACCACTAATCCAAGTGAATTGACATTATTCGCCGGCTTCCCATGCGAGCTGCTAATTGTAAACAACACATTTATTGTTACTGTAATTAACAAAAAGACCAAAGAACGAATGACCATCTTTAAAGGAGGAAAGTTAAAGACCTGGTAAAACGAGTATTCACGTTTACGTTTGCTTTTATACAAGAGACCCTTTCACCGTTTTTATTCACAATCAACTAAAATTTCGGTTTCATTCGCTTTCATATATATATACAATGGGCATTGGTTTTGGCGAAAACTGAGATGATGATGATGATGATGATGAGTTTTGAACAAGTTGATGACCTTCTGGTCCAAGGTAAATCGGATGTAGTTCAACTTGAATCCTCCGGACAATTGTGTGTTGCGAAAAAAAATTGCAAATGTGGTCATCATCATCTTCCTTTGAAAACAAAATTTTTATTTTACTCGTCAGAATTCAGAAATATTAAGGGAAAAAACGAAAACCAAAAAATGACGATATTTATTATTTTGATTACAAATATTTTATTATTTTTAATAATAAAAAGCGCTCCAGCTTAGATTAACACTAAAAAATATATTTTTTTCATGAACCAAAAACAATTTTTTCCATTGAAAAAAATGTGTCTCCATAGAGACAAATCTAGTTTTTCTTAAATATTTCAAAATTAATTCAATTTTAAAAGAATTGCGTTTACAATTTTCATACATAAATAAATTTCAAAAGATTTTAATTTGAAATTTTGTAAAATTTCAATTTTTAATGAATTAATTAAATAATAAAAATTTCACAGGAATTCTATTATATTTACAAACTCTCTATTAATTTCTTCGCAATAATTCATCACAGAAATTTAATTATTATTATAAAAATCCTTCCTACAATTTATTTACTATTTGAATTTAAGTATTTGTCAATACATTTTTAATTAAGTTTCTTAAAAGAATTAAATTATTTTTAGAAATTTTAATGAAAAGTAATTTGAATAAAATTCTTCGTAGAAATTTAATTAATTTCAATAATTTATCAAAATTCAATTATTTTCAATTAAATATCTACTATTTCAATAAAATTCCACAAAAGAATTCAATTAAATTATAAAAAAAATATTATTAAAATTCGTCTGAAGAATTCAATTAGGTATTTTCAAAAATAATAAAATTCTTTGCAAAAATTCAATTGTGGTTAAAAGTTTCAAAAAAATTATCGTCAAAATTTCAATTATTTTTAAAAACAATTGAAATTTTTCTCCAAAATTCAATTATTTTCAAAAATTTTAATTAAATTCTTGGAAAAATTTCAATTATTTTCAAAAATATTCCTCATTTCAGTCATTTTCAGTATCTAGTATTTTAATAAAATTTCCCAAAAAAATTCAATTATTTATAAAAAAATTTTAATAAAATTGTCACAGGAATTCAATTATTTACAAATTTTTTATTTTCTTCGCAATAATTCAATTATTTTCAAAAATAATACAATTTTTTTTAGAAATTCAATTATTTTCATAAATAATAAAACTCATTGCAAAATTTCAATTATTTTTTATACAATTTTAATTAAATTTCTCGAAAAATGAAAATATTTTAAAAAAATATTAAAATTCGTCTCAAGAATTCAATTATTTTTAAAAGTAATAAAATTCTTCGCAGAAATTCAATAATTGTGGTTAAAAGTTTCAAAAAAATTATTATCAAAATTAAATTATTTTCAAAAATTTTAATAAAATCCTTGGCAAAATTTCAATTATTTTCAAAAATATTTCTCAATTCAATAATTTTCAATATCTACTATTTTAATAAAATTTTTCAAAAACATTCAATTATTTAAAAAAAATTTTAATAAAAATCTCACAGGAAATCAATTATTTAAAAATTTGTTGATAAAATTCTTTGTGAGAATTTAATTTTAAAAAACATTAAATTCTTTAATAAATTATTTATTTGCATTTAAAGTTTTTATTTTATAATATTTGCTTGAAGAATTTCCGAATAATCGATGAAATTTCGTTAAATTGAATTGTAAACAAAAAGATTTGAAAATTTTCAAAGAAATTTTTCAAAAATCCTTAAAAATAATTAATTTAAAGAAGAATTTTAGTTAAAAATAATTGAATTGAAGTGATGAAAGTAATTTTTAAGAAATTAAAGTAAAAATATTGTTATAATATAAAATAATGATTTTATCAGTCGGTCATTTTTAATTATTATAAAACATGAAGATATCGATTGCTCCGAGTCGAAGACTCGGAGTGATCGATTTCTTCATGTTTTATAACAATTTTTTATAAGTTGTTTAATTTCAAAAAGTTTTGAATTTGAATGTTTTGAAAATCTTAATAAAATTGAATTGTTCCAAAAAAAACAAAGACTTTTAATCAGAAATTAATGAAAAATGTTTTCTTCAGGAAGCAATTCTAAAATGTAATTTTAATAAAAAGATTTCTTTTAAGCTATTTTTAATAGAAGTTAAAAATAGCTTAAAATTCGAGTTTAAAAAACAATTTATTTATAAAAACATCTTTTGCAAAGTCAATATATGTGTTAATTACTTTGATGCGAAAATCTCAAGAAATGCGTGGGCGAGAAACGAAGAATGAATGACAATTATTTTTTTTGACTATAAACATATATAATAAGGATATACATATATAATATTGTACACAAAACTTTCTTATTCAAACAGAAGTTCATGCATATTCAATCAGAAGCCAAGGAAGATTTTAAATAGCTGTAATTTTCTTCCTTTTGCTCTTTTTAACTTATGTCACACCTACACTCACATGTACTATACCTATTCTATCCATTTTTATTTTCTTCTTTTTTACTATTTTTATTTTTATTACTATTCCTATTGTTATGTTAATTAAAATTCCATCTATATCCTCAAATTGTGTAATTTATTATAGTAAAAAAATCCTAAACTCAGTAATTGGATTTTTTCTTCTATACTCTGCTCCTTTGAGGAATCACCGGTATTTTACATTTTTCGAAACAGTAAATAATAACCGATACATAAAATAACTTTTATATTTTTTCACAGAAATGTTATTATATAAAAAATTTTTTATCAATGTTCATTTATAATTGTTTATAATGTTCATTTATAATTCTTTGCGGAGAATCTTCATTATGGATCAGTATAATTAATTTTTAGTTTACAATACTTGAGATAGAAATTTATTGAAAAATATTTTTAGAAAACAATTAAAAAATTTTTTTCGGATAAAAATTGCAGATTCTATTCTATAATATAGAAAAAAATAGTTTATAAAAAGTAGACTATTGCAACTGTATGAATGCAGTTGCACAATTCACAAGTTTGGTACATCTAATTTGTGGCGAAAGAAAACAAAAAGAAAGGAAATTCTCTTACGCCTTGAGCACTTTCGTAAACTTGTTAAACAAGATAAAATTACCTAATATATTTCCAACGGGAATTCCCCAATGTTACATATATATGCATATAAAATCATATATATATATATATATATATATATATATGTACAAAGGAAATTAATTTAAACCTCACCTTAAAGCCACTCCCTTTTTTTCTTCAAAACTCATATAGCGCACAATAGTTCACAATACACTTACACCATTGAAATAAAAATATCGTTTACATACAAAAATAAAAGAATCAAAAAATTAAATTTCTAAAATTTTTAAAATTATTAAAAACAATTTAACCATTTACACAAAAAACTAAACTGTTAAAGTCGCTTACGACCCACGTTGTTAAAGCAACATTGAAAACAAAAAAATTGTTGACTTTTTTTTTATTTTTTACGAAATTTTATTATTTATGGTACTTTCTAAAAAAACAAATATCAATTTTCAAGAAAAAAACATAAAACTTGCAAAATTTATTTATTGTTAAATTGACCACCATTCATAATATAAAAGTTTTAAAATAAAAATATCATTTAAAAATATTATTGTTGATATAATTTTTTATACGTTCTACTAAAAAGAAAAGACTATAGTTATTATAAAATAGCGTAATCTTCTATCTTTCAAATATTTTTATTTGAAGGCCAAGTTAGGGTTCAAGTTCGTCCACGAGGCTAGCATCAAATTTTTTTTTTTTATGAACCAAAGACAAAGATTATATCATAATCATATGGCTATATTACTGCGTCGTCATTTTACTCTTAAAATTGAAAACAAATTTCATCAAATTTTCATCGAATTTCTGGGTAAAATATTATTTAACTTTCAAAATTTTAAGAAACTTATTTACACTTATGTAACTTAACAATAATAATGATATTTTTATTTCATACTTAGAATTATGTAGAGAAAGGTTAAAATTTGAAAATAGTTAATATTTGAAATACAAATATTTCAAAATTCGAATTTTCTGAGTGTTATTCTTTTTCAAAAATCGATGAAGCAAATATTTGATTTTGAAAGTTGAAGCATTTTTGTATTTATTGAAGTAAATTTTTTTAAATTCGTGCAATATATTTTGTTCACCGTTTTCTTGAAAGTATTAAATAAACACTAAAGTGTATCAACTTAATAACAAAAATTTATATCAATTTTTAATTTGATCCACATTTTTGGTATCAATTTGTTGCAATTTGATATTGTTCAGTTAACAATGTTTATAAAATATCAAAAAAAAAAAAAAAAAAATAGAAGAAGGAAATAAATGTATAGAGAAAATAAATTCAAAGTCACTCCTGATAGTTGAAAATTATGAAAATTTATTTACTTGTAAGACAATGATACAATGTGAGTGATTGCGCAAGAAATGCATCGAATGATGGACACAGATAAAGAAGCGCAATGATATAGACGGAAATTCCGGAAAAGTATTGTGAATGATGCAGTAATGATTATTAAAAATTGCGCATAACTTAAATTATACAGATTTCTAGTAAATAAATTAATTATATAAAAAAAACAAGTGCTTTATAGAAAAATACACTCGTGACGTCTGGTAATCGAGTCCTACAACTGTTTTTCTCATTAAAATCAGTAAAAATTGGGAAACATTTTTTTTTAAATACACAGTAAATGATTTCCATAAAGAAACACACTCTACTTGTTCCTATTTACAAGACTAAAAATTTCTTTATCGAAATCAACATAATTATATATACAAACATACATTACATCAGACACACACATTTCATTATGTACTCTATGACTCACTTTTCATTTTCACAATTTTTTTTTTAAAGCTAATTATTAATATTTATGTCTATCATTATTTTGTTAGATGTTCATCCCATATCGGTCTTTTTTTCTATTTTGAATAAAAGAAACTGTCTGGCAAAATAGGTAAAGATCGATGTCTGCAGATCATACGGAAAATGGCATTTAGAAGAAATCACAAATCTTTTTCAAGAAAACTTTATCAGTACTTAGAAATGTGTATTGTGTTCCTATGAGGACAAATTAGAAAAAAAATCAGTCAGTGAAAATCAAACCATCTCTCGCGTTTATTGTGGCCGTTGCTGAGGCGGAACTTTTTGATCCAATGTTACCACCAAATCCTCCGGCATTGCTTGAAGCGTCGGCTTTCGCATTTGCATTTGCATTTCCAAAACCGTGAGACGAACCTGCAGCATGTGCATTTGCATTCGCTGATGATTGACCTCCAAGATTGCCGCCTATTGAGAAATTTGAATAATTCGAAAAATTTATTTTCCTGACGCATTTAAAAACATTGTAAGTTGATAATTGCATACGAATTAGCTAATTAATGGTTGATAATGAGAAATGATAAAACCGTTTAACTTAATTAGAGACATTTTACATATTTTGCTATTCAAGAGATTTTCATATTTTCGAATCGAATTGCATTTTTGAAACTTGAATTTTAGGAGATTCTAATTAGGAGTTGCAATCATAAACTACGTAGCTTTTTGTTTTGGAAATTTTAACTCCCTAATTTTGTCACGTAGCCTTTTTTTTCTGGTCGTAGCAAATAGTTTGACCATCTTCTCTCTTGAAGTGCTACGTAGTTTATGGAGGACCCCAAAGTATCCAAAAAGGGATAAATATTGTTTGTGGTTGCGTAAAAGAATTTTTATTTACCTTGATAGGGAGGAATTTCGTTATTGTGAAAACCAGATCCACCAGCATTGGCATTGGCATTCGCATTAGATCCTCCGAATCCTCCGTTTCCACCATATCCACCAGCACCAGAATTAGCATTAGCATTGGAATTAGCATTAGATCCACCGAATCCTCCATTTCCACCATATCCACCAGCATTGGCATTGGCATCAGCTTTAGCATTAGCATTAGAAGAACCGCCTCCAAAAACTTGAATAGGGGAACCTGGTTGATAATAAGCTGACGGATGCCCAGCACCTCCTTGAGCACCTGCTTGAGCATTGGCATCAGCTTTGGCATTAGAGTACGATCCACCGTATCCTCCGGATTGATGACCATAATTTTGTGGTCCATAGTTACCGTAATACCCTTGACCGGCATTTGAATTTCCAGCATTGGCATTGGCGTCAGCATGTGCATTTGAAGAGCCACCGACGTTAATTTCAAGTGGACCTACTCCATGATAACCTGGTTGATGATAAACTCCTCCTGGGAATCCTCCGTGATTATTGGAATTAGCATTCGCATTGGCATTGGCGTTAGCGTTGGCATTTGAACCACCGTATCCTCCGTGACCGTAACCGTGATTGTGTCCTGAGTGACCATGACCGTAGCCTCCTTGTCCGTAACCTCCATGTCCGTATCCTCCATGACCATATCCGCCTTGACCATATCCACCTTGACCGTATCCATGATTGTGTCCTCCGTGACCGTACCCACCTTGACCGTATCCACCACCTAAATGACGAAAATCATAACAAATATTAAAATTTTCGGAAAAGTTCAAAATTTGTTGGCGCATTGAATTCATGAATGGGGGTAGATGGATATTCGAATAAATTAATCTGCACTTTCGCACCGAAATTTCGACAATCGTTTCTGAATTCACAATTATGTGTAAATGATTATGTTCTTTATGATTCTTTTGTCGTCTTCTTTTTAAACTACAAACAAATTACTGACCTTGGTGTTTAGTTGGCTCTTCTTCAATGACAACAATAATAGGTTGAGTCTGTTTTTTTGGAGGTTGTGGGACAAATTGAGGACGTTGATAATTAGTTTGATGATTGTTTGATCCTTGAGGAACCTCTTGTACGACTACAAGAATCGTTTCATCCGGACCTTTATTTCCTCCGTTACCAGTGCCCTTATTAAATGAATGAGCATTCGCATTAGCATTTGCATTTGAATTGCTATTTGGCAGTTGTTGGATAATTAAACCACCGTTTCCAGAATTTTGATAACCCCCAGGTTTAGTATTGTAATTTCCATTTGTATTGGCGTTGGAATTTGTATTGGCATTAGCATTAGCATTTGAATTTGCATGCGAAGATCCTCCATAACCATTTGAATTTGGTAATTGTTGAACAATTAACCCTCCGTTTCCGGAATTATGATAACCACCAGGTTTAGTATTATAATTTCCATTTGTATTGGCGTTGGAATTTGCATTGGCATCAGCATTTGCATTTGAATTGCTATTTGGCAGTTGTTGGATAATTAAACCACCATTTCCAGAATTGTGATAACCGCCAGGTTTCGTATTGGAACTTCCATGTGTATTAGCGTTGGAATTTGCATCTGCATTTGCATTCGAAGATCCTCCATAACCATTTGAATTTGGTAATTGTTCAACAATTAACCCTCCGTTTCCGGAATTATCATAACCCCCTGGTTTCATATTGTAATTTCCATGGGTATTAGCGTTGGAATTTGCATTTGCATTTGCATTTGCATTCGAGGATCCTCCATAACCACCAGATGTGTTCGGATTTGGCAATTGCTGAACTATCAAACCTCCGTTTCCGGAATTATAATCTCCTGGTTTGTTCTGATATCCTGCAAATCACACAATTTTCTCTTGCTATCCGAACTGTTTTTCTTTGAGATTCGGTGTTAATTTCACAACACAAAAGTAGAACATACAGAAGGCATTCAAGATCATAGAAAATCTCTTTTAATAAACAATGTCCTGCATTAATGAAGAAAAAGGCTGTACCGAACAATTTCGTAAAAATTGTACAAAAGTTTGTAGAAATTCACAACATAAAAGTAGAACATACAAAAAGCATTCGAGATCATAGAAAACATTTATGAATAAACAATGTCCATTAATGAAGAATCGAGAAAAATACTGTACCAAACCATTCAACATAAGAATTTGATTAAATTTTATTGGAAAAATTTTGTCTCTGCATTTTTTACAGTACCTAGCTTTCTCCAAAATTAAAATTTTCACAAACAAACAAACATCAATAAACATTTTTTCAAATTTAATACTACAAGAATCAAACACTACCACAGTATATTATGAGATATTACAAAGTGTTGCAGCTGAAATTTACACCAAATAAGATACAATAATCCATTTTTGAATTAATTTTTTTTGCATAACATTTCGAAACAGTTTTGTAACTATTCCAGAAAAAATTTGTAAGTACACATGTGCTAACATAAAAATGACAGTGAAAACGATTGAAATTGTGCAATAACTATTAACCTACAAAGAAATTGCGGTGCGAATGAAGAATTGCAGATTATAGATAACACTGAGGAAGCGATTTTTAATCAACATAAGAAACCAAAGAAATTAAAAAACAAAACAAATGGAAGTATTCTGAATTTATTTTCAAGGTTTCATCAAGGTGTCAGTAATACAATAAAAATAATATATAGTTTTAATATTTAAAAAGGCGGCTCTTGTTTACCTTGAGCTGCAGCATTGGCATTGGCGGAAGCTTGAGCATTGGAGTTACCGCCGGCGTAACCTCCTGGACCACCAAACCCTCCATTTTGAGCATTTGCATTGGAATTTGCATTCGCAACTGCAGAACCACCTCCAGCACCAGCTTGTGCTTTTGCTGAAGATGATGTTAGCGATGTGCTAAATCCAATCGGTCCAAGATTAAAGGATGTTCCCAAGCTCTTCGATTCGGAAGATGCACTCGCACCGGCATCGTTCTTTTTTCCACCGAAAAGTCCAAAATGATCCAAACTTGCGAGCTTCTCTCTAGCACGTTCCCGATGAGAACTCAAAATATCGCCCAAAAGACCTAATTAAAGAGCAATTTTTGTTTTTTAATTTTTATAAAATAGTTTCCTTTCTTACTTTTTTATTTCCTTTTCCCAAAAATTTTACTATTAACTTTATTGCATCAAATTGAGGGTTCCAATCAAAGAACCGATTATAAGTTTTTGAGACTCAAAATTCTCGAACTCTAAATAAAAATAGAATTTAAAATTTCAATTTCTTGAGAACATTTCGTATTTGTTTAAAGATTACCAAATTGTTTCTCAAAAAATTGGGATTAAAAACAGTTTCATTTTTGCCTTACAGGGCAATGATTTTGAGTTTAAAAAAATTATAAACGGTTCTTTGATTGGGACCCTTAATTGCAACGAATTGATACCAAAAATGTGGATCCAAATAAAAAATTTATCTAAATTTTTGGCAACATTTTGATCCACTTTCGTATCAATTTAATACTATCAAGAAAACAGTGTTGTACTCATTTTAACAAGGAGTAAAATTTGAGGTATTAAAAAGTGTTGCAGCTTAAATTTACAACAAAGAAGTTAAAAATAATCCCTTTTTTGAATTAATTTTTTCTGTACGGCAAAACTTGGTCTCTAAATCAAAATCAAATCCTTAGAACTAAAAATAATTCTTCGGTGGATTATGTTAATCCTCCGATGGATTGTTTTGATCCTTGAAATGAATTAAAATATTACAGATTATTTTACCCCATTATTGGGTGTTAAATACACCCTATATTTTTCGCTAAATTTACTAAGTTCTTTAAGAAAAAAACAAAGAGCATTAATTAAAAATTACCATGTGCAAAAGTATGATCCACAAGTAGAAGAGTAAACACTAACACGAACCACTTAACAGATACCATGATTGACACTCAAAAAACTTCTTAACAGATATTAACAGATTTCTTTGTTCTTTTTTCCTTTTTTTGTTATTAATGAGTATTTGTTTTAACGAAGATACAAAACAGACTGAAGCTCAGAGTTTAGTCAAGATCTTTATATACGATTCATGAATGACGCATTCGATGGAAAAGTAATGAACCATTTGGTTCTTTTTTTCTCTGAAATTTTTCAAAATTTTTAAAATTGAAATAATTTTTTTCTCTTTGCTAGCATACCTAGTGGAGTAAATTTTCAACAATCGTAAATAATAATTTACAATTTTTTTTTATTTTCAACGATTTAGTGTTGATTTTTTATTTTGAGAAATTGACAAAACTATTACGAGTCACTTTTGACGGTCACACATATCCCGTTCACTTTATTGATGAAGCACTTCGTATTTTTTCGATCTTGGGGAACCCACCGTGAATATAGTGACTAATTACTGAAAATTAGGCACGTCACGAGTTTCTAAATAAATTGATTAATTTTCCATGAAATCAATTAATATCATTATTCGTGGATTTCGTTTTTTTTTCAAAATATAGTGATTTATTCTTTTAATTATAATATAAAGAAAATTGTACGTAAAAATACGGGTAATTTTATTAATTTGTATAATTTAAGTGAGTTTCATTGTTTACGGTATTTTATTACCAAAAACTTTTTATTATATTTTATATAATATAATATATTATATTATATGTTTTATATAATATAAATAATTACAATTCCTCAATAGCACAAAATAAATTCCAGGAATGTGAATGGAATATTTTTTGCTTTTGAAAAATATAGTGTAAAAAATATTGTTTATTATTAATTATTTATTGTTATATTATAGAATATATACAATTAATCATTAAATTTATTATAATAATATATTGTTTATTAATAATTAATATTAATAATAATATTCATACAGAACGGAATATTCTATTCACATTACTGGAATATTTCATTCCAAAAAGATATTCTATCTTTATTTTAGGAATATTAAAATTGGAATATTTTTCTTAAGAATATTATAATTTAGGAATCTAGAATGTTCTTTTGGAATAATGTGGGAATATTCCATTGGAATTTTATAAAAATATTTTATTATTATTAGTAGTAGTAGTAGTATTTTTTGATATAATAATCAATTTTCTTGGCATTTAAATAAATTATTAATTTATAATATTTTCAACTAGAAAAGTTGGGAATTTGAAAAGTAATATTCCAAAGAAATATTCCTATTTAGATGTGTAATAAAAATTATTATAATATTGAATTATTTATTATTCCTATATAATATTCCAATGTAATATTCCTACTATACTCCAATCACAATAATCAAATGGAATATTCCTACATTACAAAAGAACGTTTTAAATAAAAATTCCGAAGTTCAAACATTTTAATATTCCTATAATATGGATGAAATATTCCAGGAATGTGAATGGAATATTGTGAGCCAATAGTGAATATTATTTATTATTAAATTTTTTATTATATTAATTATTATTAATTTAATAGTTGAAACATTGTACAATATAAAAACATTTTTTAAAAAAAATGAATCCAAAAAAACCAAATAAAATGGGACTTTGTTTTTTATGCGTAAAACAATAATAGGAAATCACTAAAAATAAATATATTCCACACTTTTTTTATTAAATTGTTAAAGATGTTTCAGGGTCATAAATATTTAATTGTTAGATTATTTTTTTTCACTGATTATATTAGTTGTTTTGAAACCAGTTTTTTATTCTCTCAATCAGAAAAGATTTTTAGTATTTTTCTTTTAATCGCACTTTTTTCATAGTATACTTTCGAGATATCAAAAAATATAAATTAAGAAGTCTCGCTAAATTTTGAGATTAATAACTTACTCTTAGAACTGTATAATTTAAAATTTTTTTTACTGTTTGAAATTTATTTAAAATTCAAAGTATACCTGTAAAATAATCTTTAAGAAAAAAAAACTAGTTCCGCAGAGGTATTTTGAAATAAACAATCAATAATATTTCTAAGAATATAAATAACGCAATTGAAGGTAAAAAAATGACGATGAGAGATTCATGATGGATCGTAAAATAATAATGTAACTATATTTAAATAAATATAAAGGAAGAGATTATTTTTCCTAAAATCGTAAAAATAATTAAAAATATATGTTAGATAACTAGGATAAAATTTTGAAAATAATTTTGAAATATAATTTTAAATACTTGTTTTTTTAGAGAAAGTTACGAAAAAGATAATTTTATTTGCCTCTAAAATCAATATAAAAAATTGTTCGATGATTTTTCCTTTCAATTAAAAGATTAAAAGCAAGTTTCCTTTTAAGAGGAACGTCATTTGGTGCAAGCTTTTATTGTTTTGTAATCGTCAGATGTGCTCTGAATTTTATTAAAAGATATGTTTCAATTATAAATTCAGTTAACGTTCGTTTATGAACATATCCTGCTTCTTATTGAAATTTATTTTAAAACAGTTTCAACAAGATAATTAAGATTGTAAATTTGTAACACATTGTTCAAATTGAATAATAAAAAAGTAATTTTATTTTTTCGTTACTAAAAATTTTAATTTAATCCAGATGGTATTTACTAGTGAATTAAGTGTATAAATATTTACACGAATTAAATAATAATTTTTGTTGAATTCAAATATTTCAACAAAAATTAAAATAAATATATTTCAGTCAAATATTTATATAATAATATTTGAACCAATATTTTATTCCTAAAATTTAAATGAAATATTCCAAAAGAATATTCTCAATGTTAGAATCGAATTTTCTAGGAATGTGAATGGAATATTTTATTGGAACATTGGGAATATATCCTTGGAATATTTTATCCACCTTTCAGAAATATTAAAACTTCCGACTTTTGGAATATTCTTTTGAAATAATGTAGGAATATTCCTACATTATTTCAAAGGAATATTCCAAAGGTCGGAAATTTTAATATTTCTAAATGAGAATGCAAAATTAGCACCAAAAAATGTTGTGGTCAGATTTGAATTTTATTTCCTTGAAGCAAAAAAAAAAAAAAATTCTCAAAAGTCGTGTATAAAGGCGGATTGAAAAAAAATCCTTATCCTATCCTTGTAATGCGATAAATAATTAAAATATATGTTTATTCGTAGAAATGACAATTCACTGGTCAATGATAATATAGTGAAACGGATTTATTTCATAATATCACGTCGTTTCATGGTCCTGTACGCGTATTCAGTGGGAATTTACCATTTCCGTTTCGCAGAAAAATTTAATAGAACTCAAAATAGTAATTTATAAATAATTCACACCCGTTAAAGGACAAATGTATTTTTACATTTTTTCATTTCGAAAATTTGTTTTTTTTCTTATTCATCAAAACTCTTAGGAATTCACAAAGTGTCCTGCGCTTGTTCATTTATTACGCTTGCAGAAATAAGATACAGTGAAATAAAATTTATTGGATTCAAATAATAATCGATTACTTGTCTATTATAAAAGTTAATATTTACTTGAATCAAATAATTTTTATTTGAGTCAATTAAATGGTCCAATTCATATTTGCTTTAAATACTGAAATTATTGGTTCAAATACTATTTAATTAATTTAAATGAAAATTATTTGATTCAAGTAAATATTTATATTTGATAATAGACAAGGAATCGGTTATTTGAATGAAATCAATTTTTTTCAGCGTATATTTGTGACTCAGAGCCTACAAAATTTTTTATTTGTTTCAAATAATATTTTATTTGGTCCAAATGAAATTTTTTTGGTTTAAATAATATTTTATTTGATTCAAATGAAATTTTATTTAGTATAATAATATTTTATTTGTTATAATAATATTTTATTTGGTATAATAATATTTTAATTGGTTCAAACGAAATTTTATTGGGTTTAAATACTATTTTATTTGGTTCAAATAAAAATTTTATTTGTGTCGAAAAAATATTTTATTTAAAACAAAATGACCCTGAAGTTAGTGTCGACGCTCAGCGTCAAAAACTATTATTTACTCTCTAAATTTGAATTGGTAAAAATTTTTACCAATTTGACTGACTTTTTGCTTTTGAAATGTACTAAATTTTACTAATAAATAGTAATTTTTACTAATTTATTAGTAAAATTTACTAATTAAAAATCTAAAAATCAGTCACTAATTTTTTATGCTGAGCGTCGACGCTCACTTCAGGGACATTAAAAAAATAAACAATTTAGTAGCTTTTGAAACAAATATACTTTTATTTAACTGAAATTATAATTTGATTTAAATAAAATTTGTCTCATCGTGTAAAATTACTGAAAAATAATTTTTTTTTTATCGAAACATTATTTTTTATACAAAAGGTATTTTGGGTTTTCGAAAATTCAAACTACTGAAGCCCATACTAGCAGATTCGTGTTGAAATTGCAAAATTCTCATTCTCCTGAAAAACGATTCGTTCCGGTTCTTCAAGGTCAGGTTCAATGACTGAGAACAACGGTTCAATGACTGAGAATAGCGTTCTAACAAAGCGAAATAATCAAAAAGAGAAAAAAAAACAATCGAGAAATTATTAGACTTATATATATATGTGCGTCTACATTTACCTGCGCGTTATTCACAAGATTGATTACTTTCGTTAAAACTTTTTATTAAAACTTATTTATTATTTTTTATTATACTTTTATTATCTTTTTTACTATACAATTTTAGTTTTAATAAATACAAAATATATAAACTTTGCACTGAAAAAAAAATTATTCGATTCAAATAACCGATTAATTGACTATTATCAATTAAATATTTTCTTGAATCAAATAATATTTATTGGAGTCAATTAAATGGTATTCGAACCAATAATAATTTTAATATTTGAAGCAAAAATATGAATTGAACCATTCAATTGACTCCAATAAATTTTATTTTATTTAATTAAATATTTAATTGATAATAGTCAATTAATTGGTTATTTGAATCAAATAAATTTTTTTCTCAGTGCCAGTGTATAAACTTCTGGATTTGTTATATAATTTATTCCGTATAAATTAATTTTATGCGTGTACATTCTTTTTTTGGGGGTAATAAATTTATAACTTCTGTCTCAAGAGCAAGTTATACGTGGGAAATACCTTTAATTTTAATCCGGGAATCCCCTGCGGACAGAGCCAATATTCAAGATTGGGAAAATGCATTTATTTCTGAGAAAAGGATTATCTCATTTTACATTTGACCTTTATATTTATTCATATACTACTGTAACAATTAGATCTTAAATAGAAATTTATTTATTCATTCATTCATCACGTTCACACATACATAAGGACGTGATTTTCTGCACGAAATGAATTTTAAATGCTTGTTGAGTAAGCCACAATATGTAAACACTCAGTAAAAAAATGTGTTTGTTTAGAAAAAGTAATACAGTAAGTAACTAGTAAATATTTTTTGTTTTTTCAAATTAATAATTTATTATTTTATAAATAAATATTAAACAATCAAATATTCTTATTTATTTATCTATTTGAATAAATTTATTATTATTATTATTATTTATTATTTTATAAATAAATATTAAGCAATAAAATATTTTTATATTAATTGTTTTGTAATAATTCTATATTATATTTAATATTTCACTATATAAATGATATCAGAAAATTTAAAATATTGTTTATAAAAGTAAACAAATTAATTATTTTATTTTATTTTATTTTATTGACAGGACAATATAGAGACGATTATTTTAAACAATATTTACTCTTATTTAATACAAATTTTACTAATTGTCCTGTAGAAGTTTACTAATTATTAATAGAAATTTACTAAAATTAGTAGTTAAATCTGTTTTATTAAAAGTCTATAGAACAGTATTACTAATTTATGAATGAATTTTTTTATTCTAAAATTATAATTTATAATTATAATTCTAAAAAAATTTCGAATAACATAAAAATTTTTCTACTAAAAGAAGTTAAATTTTAGTAATAATTAGTAATATTTTACTAAACAAAGAGGGGAAATGTCGTCCATGAAAATTACTAACAATTAGTGAAATTTTTAGTACAAAATACAATTCTACTAATTCAGCTTTTAGAGAGTAAATTTATTTATTTGTATTTAATTTTTAAATTTTGATAAAAAATACAATAATTAAAAAACAATGGAAGGATAATTATTTTTTTAATATAATATATACGATTACGTATAAACAATAGTAAATGAAAGTTTAATAATAAAATTTATAAAAACAAATAATTTAAAGTAATTTAATAATAAAATTATTGTAAAATAATAAATATTTTTTTTAAAATAAAATTATTATAAATTTAAAATAATTAATTAAAAAACAATCGTTTATTCTTAATTGAGCCTTTTAATATTTTTTATTCATCAATCTGAATTCTATTTTTACATTAAATGCACGAATTTCGTCCCGAGATGCGATAAACCGGTTATTAAATTCATATATGCATTCCTTTATACAGGAAAAATTTATACATTACCTGCACATGTTATGTACATACAAATACATTATTTATAATGTATATAAATTAAATAATAAAATTTCCTTATTCAATAATTTTCTCATTATTATTATTGAAATGAATAATTAATTTTATCAATTATCAATTACAGAGCAATAAAACACCTGTAAAACATCAAAACAAGCATCAAAACATGACCATTAAAATATTTTTCATAAAATACTATTTTTGGCTGAATATTATTATAATTAGAATCAATAAATAAATTAATTGATAATAATTACTTGTAATGCTCCTGCAAACTGGCAACTTGTTATACACTCCTGTCGTTCAGATGTTCACACTGTCAATAAAGTAGAAATTTTCATTATTGGTAAGTAATGTTTTTTCGTGACAGTGCGGCATTGTTCATGTGTGTGTACCTTTGAAAAACACGTGAAAATAATAACCTCAAAAAATGGGTGTGAAGGAAAATCGGGAAAAATTGAATAATTCAGAAACTGATGATTTAATTTTAAGAAAGAAAGGAGGAGGAAGTATTATAGACCATAGACCACTATTTTCCAGCGATGGAGAGTAAGTATTTTTTATTCAACAAATTTTTATTATTTTCTAACCTAAAAATGTTTGGATCTTCAATTTAGAGCTTTATAGATTTTTGTTTTTTTGTTTCATAAAATAGTTGTTTTTCAAAACACTTTTTGCAAAATTCTGTAATATTCACTTCTGAAGAAATATGTTCTTAAAAGGCAAAATTGAGTAATGTTTACTTCTAAAAAAAAATATGTTTTTTAATTACTTACTTTTCCGTTCAGAATTTTATTCATTATATGGAAGCAAACAATTAGAGCTTACAGTGCTCAGACAGGAGATTTTGTTCGAGAATTCGAACAAGCTGAAGGCAGAATAATTGGAATTGCCTTGCATCCAAACTTTTCTAATACAGTTATCGGTTGTATTAATACAGGACAGTTAATTTTTTGGGATTGTCACAGTGGCTTAATCACGTCAAACTTGGTATGAATTAATTATATTTTCATTTATAGTTTTTAAAAAATCATATATTTAAAAAAATGTGTTTAAATTTTAAATATAAAATAAAATAAATAAATATAATATAATATATATATATATATATATATTTATATATAATATATAATAATAATTTTAAATATTTAATATTTGTTTAATTTTGAATATCAGAAATTGGAATTGGATTCTTCGTCGGACTTGAAAATAAAGTATTTTCATCTTTTACGATACAAAAATCAAAAAGGAAATCCCGTTCATCAGATTCTTGTTAGTTACACTCTTAACAATCCAGATCTTATTTGCTTATCTGTCTATAATTTAAAAGGCAAAACATGCATTGTGTCTAAAACAATAACGTGAGTTTTTATACTTTTATACTTATTATTATATTTTGATATTTTTGTACAGTATTAAAACTGCTTTCATTAGCATAGAATTTAAAAATACAATAAATATTTTAGACGAGAAAGCAACATCTACTACATTGACATTATTGGGAATTACGGAGACAATTTAATTGCTGTAGGTCAACAAAATTCTGTTTTTATTTTGGATCCTGCTCACAATTTATCCATGAAAGTGTAAGTTTCATTAGCAAATTATTATTTTTATTAAATATTTTTTTTAAATTGTGATCCCGTGGTAATTAAATTCACTTCTAATGAATTTTTCCTATTTTTCTGAACAGTACCAAAGTAAATAGAACAATAACGTGCATCGCTGGACATCCAGATGATCAATGCGTTGCAGTTGGAGATTCAAGCGGTCGAGTAGTTCTAATGAAAAATCTACAACAAAAGCCAAGTGAATCCTCCTATCATTGGCATACTCTACCAGTTATTATTATAGCTTTTAGTAAATCCGGTAAATAATTATCATCTTATTAAAAAAAAAAAAAACTATTACTGTATTTTATTGATTTTCGATTCATTTCGAATATTTGTTTATTTATATTTAATTTAATGTTTATAAACTTTTTGCAGGTGGTCACATGTACACTGGAGGTGGAGAATGTGTATTGGTGAAATGGACACTTTCGAATACACAAAATAAGGCTTTTTTGCCCAGATTGCCGGCACCAATCAAGCACATTACAATTGCTCCAGAAAATATTTATATAGCTATTTCTACTTTAGACAATGGTGAATATTTCTTTTTCGAACACTTTTTATAACTAAAGACAGAAACTTTATGCTCAAGAATTTATTATTTTTTTTATTATTTATATTTGCAAATTTTTTGAGAACGTAAATCGTCTTGAATGAAAAGCATAAAGTTCCTGTCCCTTTTTATAACTAATTAATATTTAAAAATTGTTATTTATTCTTTGAAAACCTCTAGGAATTTCGGTTGTTAATCCACAATTGAAACTTACATCCGTGATACAAAGATTTACATGGGGAGTTATGAGTTCATCTAAAAGTTTATTCACCGCTGGTCTTATTGTTGATCCTCGCACTGGAAGTCTGGTCTTAAATAGTCGCACTGGTTTCGTCCAGTTTTACGATATTCATACTAAGAATCTCTTGTATAACGTAAGTTTGTCTTATTCACTACTTACTAAAATCGTAATTAATTCGTCGGCTGAGAATTCTACTGAGTCATGTTCATTTTTTGAAAATTTTTTAACAATTAGTGCTTTTTATTCCACTAGACTTGTTGAATCAAAAGCACTGATTATTAAAGAATTTTCAAAAATGGACATGACTCAATATAATTCTCTGCCTACGAATTGTATATCATTTTTATTCCTAAATATTGTAACATTATTTTTTTCTAATATTATTTTCTTCTTAAATATTCTTTATTCTTTTAATATTTATAAATATTTATAACTAGCTGTCGTACCCGTCTTCGACGGGTTTTAATTTCTACCAATACATTTAACAATGTTTCTACCAATCTAGAAAATCAGAAAAAAGCCGAAAATTTAATTTGACCGGAAAATTAATAATTAGTTACCAATAGCTATTTCAATAGTATAATATTACTATTTAAATAGTTTCCACCTTTTAGCAAAAAATAAAAAATTATCAAAAATTCAAAAAACCCAATTTCTTAAAATTTAACATTTTTTCTTCTCTTTCATATCATTAAGCTTCATTATTTTTGTGCTCTTCAAAAAAAATTTACTTATATAAAAGTCTTCAATGTTTGGTAAAAAATCTAAAATTATAGAAAATTAGCAAAAATTCAAAAAACCGAATTTATTAAAATTCAACATTTTTTCTTCTTTTTTATGGCATTTAGCTTCCTTATTTTTGTGCTCTTTAAAAATACTTTACTTAATTTGTTATCTCTACCCTTTGGTAAAAAATCTAAAATTATGGAAAATTAGCAAAAATTTAAAAAACCGAATTTCTTAAAATTCAACATTTTTTCTTCTTTTTTTATGGCATTTAGCTTCATTATTTTTGTGCTCTTCAAAAATAATTTACTTATTAAAAATTCTCAACCCTTTGGTAAAAAATCTAAAATTATGGAAAATTAGCAAAAATTCAAAAAACCGAATTTCTTAAAATTCAACATTTTTTCTTCTTTTTTTATGGCATTTAGCTTCATTATTTTTGTGCTCTTCAAAAATAATTTACTTATTAAAAATTCTCCACCCTTTGGTAAAAAATCTAAAATTATGGAAAATTAGCAAAAATTCAAAAAACCGAATTTCTTAAAATTCAACATTTTTTCTTCTTTTTTTATGGCATTTAGCTTCATTATTTTTGTGCTCTTCAAAAATAATTTACTTATTAAAAATTCTCCACCCTTTGGTAAAAAATCTAAAATTATGGAAAATTAGCAAAAATTCAAAAAACCGAATTTCTTAAAATTCAACATTTTTTCTTCTTTTTTATGGCATTTAGCTTCATTATTTTTGTGCTCTTCAAAAATAATTTACATATTTAATAGTTTCCACACTTTGGTAAAAAATCTAAAATTATGGAAAATTAGCAAAAATTCAAAAAACCGAATTTCTTAAAATTCAACATTTTTCCTTCTTCTTTATGGCATTTAGCTTTATTATTTTTGTGCTCTTTAAAAATACTTTACTTAATTTGTTATCTCCACCCTTTCGTAAAAAATCTAAAATTATGATAAATTAGCAAAAATTCAAAAATCTGAATTTCTTAAAATTCAACATTTTTCCTTCTCTTATGGCTTTTACCTTCATTATTTTTGTGCTTTTTAAAAATACTTTACTTATTTAATAGTCTCCACCCTTTGGTAAAAAATTTAAAATTATAAAAAATTAGTAAAAATTCAAAAAACCGAATTTCTTAAAATTCAACATTTTTTCTTCTCTTTTATGGCATTTAGCTTCATTATTTTTGTGATCTTCAAAAATAATTTACTGATTTAAAAGTCTCCACCATTTGGTAAAAAATCTAAAATTACGGAAAATTAGCAAAAATTCAAAAAACCGAATTTCTTAAAATTCAACATTTTCCTTCTTCTTTATGGCATTTAGCTTCATTATTTTTGTGCTCTTCCAAAATATTTTACTTATTTAATAGTCTCCATTCTTTGGCAAAAAATCTAAAATTATGGAAAATTATCATAAAATATTTATTATAAAACATCTCCATTTTTAAAGTCTCTGAACTTCTTTCAATTAAAGAATACTGAATGAAATGGATAAATAATTATGAATTGCATTATTTTGACTTTAAAATCTTAATCAGAGACCTTAAAAATACTACTGTATTAAACTTGATAGTAATTAATAACAATTATAATTTTTTCGATTTTTTGATATCGAAAATATTTTTATACTTACATCTTAGTCATATCATTTTTTGTGCAAAATTATGCGAAAATGTGACTAAATAACATGTAATACTCAATTATACAGTGTTTAAAAGCAATTCATTAAACAATGTAAACTTTGTAAACTTGCGATTTTTTTAATTATTTGAAAACTTTTTTATACTTAAATCTTAAAATTATGCTAAAATGTGACTAAATAACATGTAATAGTTAATTATAGATAGTTTAAAAGCAGTTCATTAAAAAATATAAAATTTGGAAATTTGCGATTTTTTGAATTTTTCGAAATCATTTTTATACTTACGTCTTAGTTATAGGACAGTACTTTTTTAAAAATTATGCTAAAATTTGACTAAATAACATGTAATACTCAATTATAGAGAGTTTAAAAGCAAGTTATTAAAAAATATAAAATTTTAAAAATTTCGATTTTTTGAATTTTTAAAAAAAAATTTTATACTTACATCTTAGTTATAGGACATTATTTTTGGCAAAACTATTCTAAAATGTGACTAAATAACATGTTATACTCAATTGAGCCGCCGGAAAGTAAAACCACACATAAAATTTCCACAGGCGTTTCAGTTGGCCCTTGATGGTTGAAAAATCGATGGTCATAAAAAAATTTTTTAAAATCACTTTCTTATTGGAAATTGAATTTCGCATCTTTTTTCTTCTATAAAAAAAATTGATAACTCTTACCATTTTCGAGAAAAATGCAAAAAACTGAATTTTTCGAAAACACATTTTTAATTGAATTTTTCACTTCAACTCGCTCTAAAACATAAAGTTATGAATATTTTTTTAATAATATTTACAGGGAATATAGTTTAACCTATCCTCAAGACAACAAACTTTGTCAGAAAGTAAAATATTTTATGTAAAAAAAGTTATTAATTTTTTTCATACATAGTGTCAAAATAATTATTTTCAATGTTCGAGGGCTTCGTTTATCTGAAAAATTTTTAGTGATCAAAAACTTCCAGTAAAGAAAATGTTCATTAAGGTATAATAAATATTTTTGCCAAATAGTTTTACTCTTGGATTAACAGTTTAGAAAATATTATTAAAAAACTATTTTCTGTCAAACGCGCGCGAGTCAAGAATCTAACGCTGCATAGTGCCACCGACACTGCCGGGCATAAAGACTCAAGGTTGTTAGTGTTTACTATAACAGTGTTTATATCAATAGTGCATTAGTAAATACATTAAATATGTGAAGAAATATTTTATAATATACTTACCTAAAATTTTTTTTTTTTTTTAAATGACTGATGTAAATAATAAATTAGGTATTGGTAGAAAACATGATTTATTATTCACATCAATCATTTTGAAAAAAATAAATTTTTTAGGTAAATATATTATAAAATACTTTTTCACATATTTAATGAATTTACTAATGCACTATTGATATAAACACTGTTATAGTAAACACTAACAACCTTGAGTCTTTATGCCCGGCAGTGTCGGTGGCACTATGACAGAAAATAGTTTTTTAATAATATTTGCTAAACTGTTAATCCAAGAGTAAAACTATTTGTCAAAAATATTTATTATACCTTAATGAACATTTTCTTTACTGGAAGTTTTTGATCACAAAGAATTTTTCAGATAAACGAAGCCCTCGAACATTGAAAATAATTATTTTGACACTATGTATGAAAAAAATTAATAACTTTTTTTACATAAAATATTTTACTTTCTGACAAAGTTTGTTGTCTTGAGGATAGGTTAAACTATATTCCCTGTAAATATTATTAAAAAATATTCATAACTTTATGTTTTAGAGCGAGTTGAAGTGAAAAATTCAATTAAAAATGTGTTTTCGAAAAATTCAGTTTTTTGTATTTTTCTCGAAAATGGTAAGAGTTATCAATTTTTTTTATAGAAGAAAAAAGATGCGAAATTCAATTTCCAATAAGAAAGTGATTTTAAAAAATTTTTTTATGACCATCGATTTTTCAACCATCAAGGGCCAACTGAAACGCCTGTGGAAATTTTATGTGTGGTTTTACTTTCCGGCGGCTCAATTATAGAAAGTTAGAAATTATAGAAAGCATTTTTTAAAAAAATGTAAAATTTGAAGATTTTTGATTTTTGAATTTTTCGAAAAAATTGAATATCTCCCGTTCTAATTAATATTTTTCAAATCTGTAAATTTATAAACCTTCCTTGGCCCAAGGTCTAGCATTCTGCCAAATTTGGTTTCAAATGGTTCAGCAGTTTTTAAGTGATGCGCGAACAAAAATTCTGTGACATACCGACACACATACATACATACATACATACATACATACATACATACATACACGAAATTTTTTATTGGTATATTTGGAATCCTTGATGCCTAAAACGAATAATTATGTGCGAAATTTAAAGTTCTGAGCAATGTACAGACAAAAGTCTGATTTTATATATATAGATAGATAGATAAAATATTCTTTATCTATTAATTTATGTAATAATAAATATTGTATGAATATTTTTATTCCTAAATGTTATTTTTAATAATTACAGGTAAATATAACATCACAAAATTTATTATCCCAAGAAAGAAGTGCAGTGATTGTAAACACTGAAGTGACGAAAATTGCCTTGAATTATGATGGAACCTGGATGGCGACAGTGGAACAACGTGACGACGACGTTTCATACACGGAAGTTAGATTAAAGTTCTGGAACTTTGACGCAAAGAATCAAGTGTAATATTTCTTGGTTATATTTTTATGAGGCAAAAATCAGAAATGTTTCTATAAACGAAAAATAGAACAATTTTTTTTTACAAGTTGATTCAGCTCAAATTTTGAAGTGTTCAAATTTTTAATCGAAATTATCTTTTTCTTAGAGGACAGTTACTTACGAATAATTTGAATTTCAAACAAAAGTAATAAATCTTGTCTTATTTTTCGTTTTTTGCTTTCAAAAACATTGCGTATTTCAGTCTCATATTTTTAGTCATTTGACAAAAATTTTTATTCTAATAACAGTTATTAGAATTTTATTATTATTAATTTATTTAATTTTATTATTTGTTTACAGTTTCGTACTGAATACATCCGTTGAATTCCCACACGAGAATGGAATTAATGCTCTTAAGTTTCAACCTAATACCTCGTTGAACGGATATGACCATTTTGTTGTAACTTCTGGGAAGGACAACAAATTTAAATTGTGGAATCTTGTCGATCCGGAATCTACGTACAGTAAGTGAAAAAATATAGATTTGAAAAATTTTTTCTATTGTAAAAAAAGTAAATAAAGTAAATAAGTGGTAAATAAAGTAAATAAGTAGCAAATAAAAGAAATAGAAAGAAATAAAATAAAAAGTACTAAAATAATAATTGTTAACGTATTTAATTTCAGAACAATCGAAATTCTGGCAATTTTATAGTGTTGGATTTTATCGACAACTTCCATCGACTGATGCAGCATTTTCCATCGATGGATCAATTTTGGGTGTTGGTTTCGAATCGAGTTTGACTTTGTGGGCTCCAGAGTCCATGAATTTAAAGGCCACTCTTTCTCACATTCTTTATCCACAGACAATAACGTAAGATTTGAATAATAAATAAATAACATTTTTTAAAGAGGGTAACGTAAGATTTCGAAAAATTTATTACACAAATAATTTTTTTTAAAGAGAAGAACGTAAGATTTAGAAAAATTTATTGAACAAATAACTTTTTTTTAAAGAGGATTACGTAAGATTTTGAAAAATTTACATATCAAGCAATTAACTTTTTTTTTAAAGAAGATAACGTAAGATTTGAAGAATTTATTAAGCAAAAAAATTTTTTTAAAAAGGATTTCAAAAAAAAATTTGACAAATAAGATTGTAGAGTTAAAATTTAATTAATTATTGCAAAATACAGGCATGTAGAATTTGGTAAACAAGAATCGTGCCATTTAATTGTGACTGGATCAGCGGAACATATAGCTGTTTGGGATATGTTAACGCTTCGCCTCAAGTGGAGCGTGCCCTTGAAACTCTCTACAATAACTGCGGATCCTTATACTACTTATTTTGCAGCTTTTACAACGGAGAATACATGTGAGTATTGCAAATTCAAAACATTCGATAATTAACCCCAAAGAAACTATTTTACTTAAATAAATTATTGCATTTAAGATTAATTTAAATTTAATGTACTTAATTCGAAAAATATGAGTTAAATTTAAATATTAATTGGTAATATTTTAATAGTAATTAGTAACATTTTAAAAGTAATAATATTTTAATAGTAATAGTAATAAATAGAATAATTGAAATTGTAAAATATTCTTTGAAAGATATTTTTCAATAACTTTTTTGACAGTAACTTTAGAAACTAATTTAACAAAGGAGAATTTTAATAATTAATTTTTGTACATTTCGTTTAATATTTTCCATTTTTTGACTTTTAGTGTTTGTATTCACACCAGAAAGTCCAAATTACATTTACAAAAGACCGAATGTAATTGAAAACGATAGTTCAGTACTAGGAGCAACATTTATTCCACTCAATCGAGAAAGGAAAACATCGAAATTGAATCAGTGGCAGAAAAAATCGCAATTGTTCTTTTTGGACTCTAATCAAGTATATTTATATTCTAGATCGTTTTTTTTTATTCATTTATCGTTTTTAAATTTTTTATAAATTTATTGTCTTTTTAAATTTTTTATCAACTTATTGTTTTTTTATGTTTTATTAATTTGTTGTTTTTTAAAATTTTTTATCAACTTGTTTTTTTAAATATTTTATCGACTTAGTGTTTTTTTAAACAGTTTGGCAACTTAATGTTTTTTTTTAATTTTCTATTAATTTATTTTTTCAATAATTAACTAAAAATTAATAAATAAATCATTATTTAAGACACTTGGATAAAGAACCATTTATTGGAATATAAATAATAAAATTTTATTTATTCTAGTATTAAATGTATTTGTATTGTTTTTTGCGTTGACGTTTTTTGTATTTATTATTAACAACTATTTATGAAAACTACTATTTTTCTAACATCTAAACATTTTTTACAGGAACTTTTAACATTGGAATCGCAATCGGAATCTGAAGTTTCTTTGGAAACTTTAACGTTAAATAAAAATCTGCCAGCAACGGCATTCGCTCGAATTTTGGCAGCTGAAAATCCAACGAGTAGAGAAAAAACATTTTCATTTGTACATGAAAATCCCGGTTACTCGGAAAAAACTTTTGGTGAAGAAGTAAGTTTAAAAAATTTTTAAGTATTCACGTTAAGTATTGAGTATTTTAAAGTAGGCGTTAATTTTTTTTATGTTAATACTGTCTTTCGGTATTTTACATTGAATATTGATCTACTATTGATCTATTTTTTTTCTATTTAAAATCTGTCTATTTAGGATCATTTTAATTATCATCATCATAAATAGGGACTTTTTATCTTCAAAAATATAGATTTAATCTGTAAAATAGGATTTAATTTTCTCTACTTTTATCTGAACGAATTTTTCCTTTCTTTTGAATTTTCTTTCACCTATCTTTAAAATCTCTTGGTTTTAAACTATGGTTCGTTAAAACTAATAGTCTACTTATAAAGTATGCACTATTAGTTGAATTCTAAATGGAAGAAATTAAATTCGGTCGGTTTGGATTTTTTTTCTTTTTTGAAAAAATGTGAATGGAAGTTTTGTATAGTTTCTAATTAAGTTAAATTTTAAAATGTGGGATGAAAAGGGTCTTTATACAGTTTTGGTTGTTGTTGACGTAACGTGAAATAAGGATTAATGAGCTTATTCGGTGAATGATAATACTTTGTTTGTCAGTGCTTTCTTGCTAAGCGATAATTTCTGCATCGGCGAACCAAATCAAATTTTCTGTAACGGAGACAGTGCCATTGAGGAATTTGCCTCATGTTCTCGAGTGCCTGCAACATAAATGCAGATTCAATTTAAATGGGTCATTGACACTTGCTTTTAAACTTCTTATCCAGAAAGTTACATCTTCAATATTTACATTTTCAATTTATAGAGAATCACTATAAAGAATTACTATAAAGCATCGTTTTCTACAATGGTCGAGAATTTTTATGGCAAAATTTTTCTTTCTTAATTTTGATAAAATAATTTTTATTCGTTGATTTTATGTACTGTTAAAGTACTTTTCTATTTTTGGTTTCAATTTCAATTTTTTATGCGAATTTGCATATTTTATTTGTCAATATTTTTAGACGTTGTATAATTATAAATTTTTAGGAGATTAGAGATGGCGCTTGGCCTGTATGGACGTGTCCATTGTAGTTCGTGATATTTTTGTGTTCTTTGCATATTTAGATGAGAGAGATTCAAGTAAAAAGTAGGAAAAGGTGTTAATAATTTGTTTTTTGGAAATTTGAGTAATAAAATAGTGAGTGAAAAGAAAGGAGTTAGTGGTGGTAGTGGAAAATTGTACAAATCGAAAAGTGAGGTTAAAATGGCTGACGCAAACGCTGGGGACGCCAAAGAAAAAAAAAGACGTGGGCGACCACGAGGTAGCAAGAATGGAAAGAAAGGTGGAAATAAGGATGGAGATTTAATTAGTTTTGTGCAGTTTGGTGGTAAAGGGACTAATAAAGTAGCTCATTCTCCAATATCTAGCAAAAAGCAGATCACTGAAAATGGTGAAAATGATTTCAGTGAGGAAGATTTGGAGGATGAAGGAAGCGAGAGTGACAGTGCTGATAGTTTGAAGGGTGACTTGACTGGCATAGTTGAAAATAATGTAAATGGTGGTATTGAGGATAAAAGTGATTTAACAGGACAAAGTTTGATGCAAATTGAGGTAGAAAAAGACAATTTATTAAATGCATTGCAACTGAAAGTAAAATTGTTAGAACGTACGCAAAATATTTTAACTGCGGAGAACAGTTCGATGAAAGATGAATGGCAGTGGTCTAGGGAAAAAATTAAAAATTTAGAGGCAAGCTTTGAAAATTTAAAAAAGGAAATGGACCTGGAGAAATCAAATTGGGCATTGGAAAAAGAGGCGTTAAATATAAAAGTGGTGGTGTTGGAAGAAAAATGTGCAGCTTTGGAGAAAGAGTGTGTAGATAAAAATATGAAATTAGCAACGGAAATAAATAATAATAACAGTAACGGTGTATGTAGTAATGATCTTCAGGAAGATTCAACATGGCAAAGAGAAAAAGTGAATAGTGTTAGAAATATAAGGAAAAATTCGCCGGTTATTAAAGAGTCACTATCTAAAGTGGGAGGTACCAGAGCTGAAAAAAGTGGAATATTGGACAGACCAAAAGGAATTGATGAGGAGCATTTAAAATATGAATGGAAGGAGCGTCGTGCTAGAAGGAAAAATATTGTTGTTAGATGCCGTGATCATGAAAAGGTTTTGAGTCAGGACGAGTTAACGCAAATAACGGTCGATAAATTAGGCTTGAATACAAATGAATTTAAGCGTATTTACGGAAGGGAAAATTATATTTGCTTGCAATTTATTAATTTGGAGATAAAGATAAAGGCATTGGAAAAGAAAAAAGAACTACAAGGAACCAATATTTGGATTGATGACGACCACACAAAGAGGGAAATAGAGATTCAAAGATGGATGAGGCAGGTAGCTGAGCAGGAAAGACAAGATGGATACCATTTTAAAGTGGGATATCTAAAGATGATAATGGAAGGAAGAGTGTGGAAATTCAACGAGAGAACGGCTGAAATGCAGGAGTCCTTTCGAGAGCAGGGATACAATTAATTGTAATGAGGATGGAAAAAGTGATGTGTGTAAGATTGTGTTGTGGAATACATATGGGTCAAAGAAATTTAGTGAAATAAAAAGTTTTTTAGTGGATTATGATATAATAATTTTACAGGAAACGTGGTTGGATCAAGGCGGTGCTAAGAAAGCGTTAGGTAAATTAGATTCAAGTTATAAATATTGGGTGAAAAGTGCAACAAGAAAAGTAAATTCTAAGAAGGGTAGGTTATCAGGAGGACAGATTTTTGGAATAAGGAACAGTATGGTACAGGGATGGAATGTGTCAGAATGGGAGTTCGGAATGATTGCAAAATTTAAAGACTCATTATGTATAGTTTCTGTTTACAATAATGTTGGTATGTCTAGCATGGAATGCAAATTTAAAGCTGTATTGGAAGAGGTTATGTCTGACTTCGAAAATGTAATTATTTGTGGAGACATGAATGCAAGGGTGGGAGAAGAGCAAATTTGTAATGAAGGGGGAAATCAAGATTTAAATATAATTCTAAGAAAATCAGAGGACAAAACTGTAAATGATAATGGAAAAAGGTTGATAAAATTAAGTGAAGAGTTGGGGTTAATATTGTTAAATGGTAGATCAAATGGGGATTGGGATGGTAAAATCACATATGTGGGAGGGAATGATATGTATAATGGTTCAGTACTTGATCTAATAATGATGATTGATAGGGAAAATCTACATATAATTAGAAGGCTTGAAATTATACCCAGAACGGAATCTGATCATCTACCTGTCTCCTTACATGTATTCTGGAAAGGAGATAAATTCAACAGGTTTGGAGGTATAGAACAAGAGGGTAGTAAAAGTAATAGAGAAAAAATATTATGGGATAAAAATAAAGTGCAAAGTTTTAGGGAGGCGATTGCAGGGAGTTTACAAGTAATGATTGAGGAAGAAATAGACAGGTTTGATTGGGATATAATTAAGGAATTAATTTGGACATCAGCAAGGGAGGCGGGTTTGACAAAAAAAATGGGAAAGATTAAAGGAAATGATTGTAAGCAAGATCAATATGGAAAATTTTCAGAAGAGTGTAGAGAAATAAAACGGGAGGTATGGAAAAGTTTAAAAGAATGGTTAAAGGATAGGTGTCCAGAAAAGAAAAAAATGTTGATAGAGAGTAGAAATAGACTTAGGAAAATGGTTAAGAGTGAAAGACAGAATTGGATAGAAGAAAAATGGGAGGAAATTAATAAGGCTAGGGATGCTTCGGAATGGTGGGGAGCAATTAATAAGTTTAGAGCAGCAAAAAGACAAAGCATTAAGAGTGATATTACAGATGAGCAATGGGTGGAGCATTTTGAAAGTTTGTTGAAGGAGGGTTTATTGGAGGAGGTATTAATATATGATGGCGACAAACCTTGGGAAAACATTGTAGAATTGGATTTAGCGGTATCGGTTGACGAGAAATTAGATGAGTTGATTAGTATAGAGGAGGTTATTGCGGCGGTAAGTAAGATGAAAAATGGAAAAGCCACTGGAGAGGACGGAATCTCTATAGAATGTTTAAAGGTATTATGCAGCGAAGATGTGGAGATTTTAACAGTGATTTTAAATAAAATTTGTGAAGCGAGAAAATTACCGAATGGGTGGGAAAAGGCTAGGATTGTACCACTATTTAAGGAGGGTGATGTAAACAAAGTAGGTAACTATAGAGGTATATCTTTATTGAATGTTGGATATAAAGTTTTAACGAACATTTTATCGAACAGATTGAATAGTTGGATTGATAAAGAAAAAAAGTTAAAGGAAAGTCAGGCAGGTTTCAGAAGAAATAGAGGGGCTAGAGATCACATTTTCGTTCTCAACTCATTAATAAATAGAAGGTTAATGCAAAAAAAAGGAAAGTTGTATGTTGCATTTATAGACTTTCAGAAGGCATATGATACAGTTAATAGAGATTTAATGTTAAAAAAAATTTGGGATTTAGGAATAAGGGGCAGGATGCATGCAATGATCAGAGAAATTTATAGTGTTACGAAGGCAGAAATTCAAACAGAGGGTAGAATCACTAGAGAATTTGAGGCAGATGTAGGGGTTAGGCAAGGATGTGCATTAAGTTCGGTTTTATTTGATGTTTTTATTGATGACGTAGATGATGAGTGGATAAGAAAGGAGGAGGGAGGGTCAGTGATCGGAAAAGTAAAAATTAGAGTATTGAAATATGCTGATGACATAGCGGTAATAGCGGAGGAGGCAGAACAGTTGAGAAAAATGCTGGAAACTTTAGAAAAATATGTTACAAAGAATGGTTTGACAGTGAATACGAAAAAGACTAAAATTATGGTCTTTAGGAATGGAGGAAAAAGGAAAAAGAATGAAACATGGAGTTTTAAAAAAGAAAACTTGGAGGTAGTGAATGAATTTAAATATCTAGGATATTGGTTTAGTACGAAGAATTCAGAGCAAAAACAAATAAATACAATGGCGGGTAAAGCACAGAAAGCATCAAATGCGACATGGGGTTTGATTAAAAGAACAGGGAGGGACATTGGAAAGGACAGAATTTATTTGATGAATGCTTTGACTAGATCGGTGGCACTATATGGAGTGGAAACGTGGGGTTTTGGTAACTTGAAAAGTATTTGTAAAGTGCAAGGAAGATACTGTAAAATGACGCTTGGAGTAGCAAGGAATACACCAAAATATTTGTGGAGGACAGAGTTAGGAGTGGTAGGAATCGAATATACAGTTAGGGAAAGAGTATTTAGGTATATTAAGGATATAATGAGAATGGATGACGACAGATGGCCTAAAATTTGTTTAAGAGAGGAGATGAGAGCAATTATTAATAAAAAGCCTTCCAAATGGGGAAAAAATATGGAACTTGTAATGGATGAATTGGAAGTTGGAGATGTTTGTAGACTTATCTGGAATGGAGAAGATGAGACGGAGGTGTACAAAAGATTAAAGACTGGTTTAGATAATTGGTGGAATAAGGAATTAGTAAAGGAAAGAGAAGCAATTGTTAATTCAAGTTTTAGTAAATTGTATAAAGAAATGATTCCGGGAGAGAAAGGAGCTGAGTATTGGAGTAAGAGCGTGAGGAATAAGGATTGTAAGGAAATTTGGGCAAGGATGAGATGTGGGAATATTGGAAGAGCGTATAAAAAAGGATATAAAGAATGGAGTTGTAGACTGTGTTCATGGGGGGAGGAAACGTTATGTCATTTGCTTTGTTGTGGAGAGGCATGGAAATTACAGGAGGAAAATGTAAAAAAGTTCATGTTGGAATGGAAGGGAGACAAGCAAGAGGGAGATTTAAGAGAAAAATTGGTAGATGCTCTGAGAGGAGAAATATTAGAAGAGTTGTGTATGTTTATTAAAAAAGTAGAAAATAGATTAAAGGATGGATGTTAATTAAATAAGTTATGTAAATAAGTTTTAGTTGTTAGTTTGTGATGTTCATGTAGCTATTAAGCAAAAGAGTTTTGTTATGGAATTTGTAAAGACTCTTTAAAAGAGTATACAATGAAATAAATTTATTATTATAATTATAAATTTTTATTTTTGTAATTAATAGGTTTTCATTTCTTAGGCATTTCAAATGCTCTTTTAGATATTGAACAGAGTTGTCACAGGTCAGGGAAAAGTCAGGAAAAGTAGAATTAGTCAGGAAGTTTTATTAAAAGTACTGAAAATTTTTTTTTTTTAATTTTAAATTCAAAAATATTATTTTAACAGAATTGTTAATTAAATATATTAAAATTATGATTTTCAAAGATTTTAATTTGAAACCTTTTCAAAATTCAATTATAGCTAAAAATTGAAAGTATTTCAAAATTAAAAAAAAAAAGAATTTAGAATTCATAGGAAAATTCTATTTGAAAAATAATTGAATTTTATAAGAGTTGAGTTTACAATTTTTATAAATAACTAAATTTCAAAAGGTTTCTAATTAAAATCTTTGAAAATCTGAATTTTTAATATATTTAATTACCAATTCTGTTGAATATTTTTTAAAAATTTGAATTTCAATTGTGTGAATTTAAAAAAAATGAATTTTGAAAAGGTTTTAAATAAAAATCTTTGAAAATATGAATTTTTCATACTTTTAACTAACAATTCTTTAGAATTAATTTTTTTGAAAAACTTTAATTAAATTATTATTTTAAATAAAACTATATTGTTGTTTTTAGTAATTTTTACAATTAAATTAAATTACAAAAATTTTTTGAAGATCAAATCAATTTTTGGAGCGATTCAGAAATTTTTTTTTAAAATCAGGGTAAAAATCGAAATTTTGTCTGAAAATCAGGAAAAACTCAAGGAAAGACAAAATTAAATTTTTGTGTCAACCCTGTTAAAGTAATAAATATTTCAGAAATTTTAAAAATTAATTAATTCGAGTTGAAATTTTCCTGAAGTTTTGATCGTCACGTCGGTGAAGTTTATAATTAATTTGTTTACGACTCTTATGATTAACAATTGAAAGAAAAAAAAACATTTTTCTTGACAAAAACAACAAAATGTTTTGTCTGGAAAATTTTCTTTCTCAAAATACGAATCAAAAAGATTATGAAAAAATATTTTATATACAAAGATATTTAGAAATTCGAATAGGAAAATATTTTTTTCCTCATCGTTGATTACGAATGTTGTTAACTTCACCAACGTTTAATTTAAATAAACGACGATTTTTTGATTTCTTCTTTTAATATTCATTTTATTAAAAAATTTCCATTAAAAAAATATTTTATATGCAAGAATATTTAGAAATACGAATAGGAAAATATTTTTTTCTAAATCGTTGATTACGAACGTCGTTAACTTCACCAACGTTTAATTCAAATAAACGACGATTTTTTGATTTCTTCTTTTAATATTCATTTTATTAAAAAATTTCCATTAAAAAAATATTTTATATGCAAGAATATTTAGAAATACGAATAGGAAAATTTTTTTTTTAAATCGTTGATTACGAACGTCGTTAACTTCACCAACGTTTAATTCAAATAAACGACGATTTTTTGATTTCTTCTTTTAATATTCATTTCATTAAAAAATTTCCATTAAAAAAATATTTTATATGCAAAAATATTTAGAAACACGAGTAGGAGAATATTTTTTTCCTAATCGTTGATTACGAACGTCGTTAACTTCACCAACGTTGAAATTCAAATAATCGACGATTTTTTTTGTTTCTTTTTTAAATTTTTATTTTATTAAAAAATTTCTTTTTAAAAAATGAATTCGTAATTAAGCAAAAATGTTGGATTTTAATTATTTTCCACTTTATTTATTTTCTTTTTCAAATATCTAAAGAGGAAAAAAATTGCGTTTATTCTGAAAGTTCAAAACTTCAGAAACATGGAGTTAAAGGTTTCAAAATTTCGATAACTGTATCAACTTTCTGAAAAATCATTCCTAAATGTGACATAAGTCAATAAGTAAGAGTTGAGATAAGAAGTCAATGTTCACATAAAATATCAATCTTGACACTTGATTCTATTCATTCTCGACTGCTAAAAAATTCATGCAAGAGTTAAGTGCTGAATGACAATTTCTGCAAGAGAGTTCATTGTACTGCAAGATAGAAACTCTCTAAGATATTTAAACAAATTTTGATATTTTAATTCTTTTTCATGCACTTTTTATTTATGATGACAATTATCATTATTATTATTATTGTTTACAGAAAAAAAAAATTTGTTTAGAAGCGAACTTTGCTGTGCTCTATTCATTAAAATATTCAGCTTCATAAGACAATTTAACACAATGCTTTCAAGACTAGGCGCAGTTCCGCTGTAGAAACGAATAACACTAGAGCTTGCTTGGTAGTAGAAATAATATTATAAAACGAATGACCCAGTTTGTCGAAGTTAGGTCCGCGTTTCATACCGTGGGTAAGATGTATCATCGTTGATGTATACGTGTTTCCTTATGATGATGATAATAATATTGTTGTTATACGACATGCGGAGATTACTTGTCATTCAAGACTTTTAACGAATTTAATAGAAAATTTCTTTTGGTAGTAACAGAAAACTTACTTCAATTAATTTTTGGGTTGTCCAAAGCCTTTTTTCTTGATTAATATCTACCTATTAATATTTTCATTTTTTAATTTTCTCTTGTATAGACATCAGGACTAAAATTTGTTTTATTTTCTAAAAAGAGTTTCTTAATTTTTTCTATAGTTGCTATTTTTATTATTTATATACTCTATAATTATTCTTCCTCTTTCAGGAAGCAAAAAGCAAATTGTAAATATATTTTTTGAATTTCTTCTAATTTTAGTTTAAGAAATTCTTTTCGGAAAAATACACTAATTTTGCTATAATTTTTCCGGCTTTAGAGGAAATTGAATCAGACTAATTTTTTAAAATTGAGAGTTAATTTTCCACTTAGCTTGGAGTAATGTTTAAAAACTTACCACTTCTGAGTCACCTGGGGGGAATCCCTCAGTTGCAAAGGCAAGGAAGCTGAGAATTATGAAACACACTGCTACTCTCAAAGCGAATAGTCTCATTTTAAAAAACTCTTTTTTTGAAATCAAAATTGGAATTTTTTTATTTTGAATTTTATTTTTCTTGTATTTGTTGTTGTCGAAGGTCGTGAGAGTATGAATATTTAACAGACGGGATTTAAAAAATCGCGCTCTCAGCTTATAATGTTTTTTTTTCTTTTTACTGTATTCTTTAAAGATATGAATTATTAATTGGAAGATTTGATCTTAAACTCAATAATAAATGCTTCAACGTTTGTTGAAGGACTGCATTTGAGGAGTCACGCTATGAACTAATATACTGAATAACGACCACGCTCCCACCCCCGTATTTCCCTTGAATTCCTTTCAGGATATTAAAGTTCTTTTTGCAAAAATTTGAATGAAGAAAAAAGAAACTGTTGATTAAAATTTTTTTTTTGTTACATTTCTTTCATTTCATTTTTGTTCATTTCTTATTTTCTGATAATTTATTATTTTAATTAGGTAATCATTTATACGAAAATTTTTTTCTTGTGGACTAAGGAAATCTTTTTGTTTTTCAGTTTTTCGGGGATGTTCCTTGTCACACTTTACCACCACTGAGGATGATTTTCGAAACTTTTTTCCTTCGAGCTGCTCAAGCTGCTGTTAAATCCGAAGATGAAAACTTATCCAGGTAAGAAAAATTTTAATATTGTGCCTTTTTTAAGGAAAAATTAAATTTTAAAAAAATAATAAAAATACTTTAATACCTTAATTAATAAAAATACTAATTAAAATAATTTTGCAGCCAAAATGGAACGGATGACCTAAAAGATAATTCTGATGATAGCGATGAAGACGAGCCGCTAACAATGAAAAGAGAATTTTCAAAGCACGTGAAAGAAGAGAAAAAAGAAAAGACTATTGTTGAGGAGAATTTGCAATTAATCAGTCAGGACTGGTCAGTTTTGTCTCATATAGTGCCAAGTCGAGAGGATAGTTAGAGAAATTATCATGACGTATTTTTATAATTTAGATTTAACGTTTATATTAAATTTTATTACACCCAAAGGCGTAACTGACATTGATTTCTATTACAGAAATATTTATTAATAATGTATTATAATAAATATTGTTGATTTTTTTATACACTCGAGGAGCAAGTTTTCAAAAACCTGATAAATCCGCGGATATATTTTCTTATTTCGAGAAATTAAAACGAGTTTTCTCACACTAATTTTAATAATTTATTTCCATCACGTTTTGTTTTCAAACGATTTACAGTTTTTGGTACTTTTTTTTAATAAAAAGTCAAAAATTAAGTCGAAAAGTGGACTATTTAAAATTTTTTTCTAAAATCAACAGTAGCAGATCGATTTGTAAGAAAATATTAAATTTTCCTAAGTTTATTTTAATTTTTGAGTCTTAAATTAAAATTAAAATTAAAATTTTTGCTTTTGAAAATTGCTCCTCAACTGTATGATTCAACTTTCGCGCTCAATTTGTGTCTGGTGGGCAAGGTTGGCTAAGGTGAAATTAAAAATTCCCTAGAATTATTACTAGATTCTGGGGATAGTTGATGCGTAAAAGTACCAACGGCTGTAACATGCACGTGTTTGTGTCTTTCAAATAAGTTTAATAAAAATCTCTCAATAAAATAATAATTATAATATTGAGATGTTCAATTTTAATGTTTATAAATAAAAAAAATTTTATTTTAACACCAAGTGGAAATTTTGATTTTTAATAACAGAAATAACCAAGTGAGTGAAACATTTATTTATTCAATATGAGGTTATGTTTTGTAAAACATTGTATTTTGAACTAAATTTTTGGTCAATTTTATAAAAATTTCTCTGAAAATTATATTTTTGTAAATCTTCTATTTTTCTGTTCAAAATTAACAATTCAATAAAGTACTCGAATTATTAAATATTATATCAATTTGATAACTTATTGTCTTAGAGGTTATATTACGAAATGTAAATTCTTATTTACTAATTACTAATTATACTCTATAATTACTCGTTGAAAACGAAGTATTGAAATTAAACGTTAAGTTTACTTGATTTATTTCTTTCTAAAGTAATTACTAATTTAATTTCTATTGTTAGAATGACGACGTCTCTTGCGGAACAATTGAACCGGTTGCGAGCACCTCAAACTACTTTGTTGCTCCAAGACAAGAAAAGGCCTAGTTTGTTATTTGATCCTAAGGATGCTGCTAATCTTGACAGAGAAAATGTCTTAAACATTGGTAAATGTTTATTTATATTTTATATATTATATTACATTTATATTTAAATTTTACTCATTTTTAAACATTAGTTCATGTCTCTTCTAAACGTTCAAATAAACGAAATTTATTTATTCTTTTCGTAAATATAAAATTTTTGCGTCTTTAATTAAAATTAAAATTGCTTCACGTATTTAAAAGCTAAATTATAAAGATTCTAAATGTTTCTTTTGTTTTTGCTTTTCAAGAACGATATTTTTCGCCAATATAAATATTTTCTAAAATTACAATTTTAGAAAATATTTATATTGGCGAAAAATATCGTTCTTTTGAACATTCGGAACATATGGAACATTTCACAATGAAAATATTGAAAAGATTTTTATCCTATAATAATTTGAATTATACATTTAAATCCTAATTTTTGATAATTAAGAAATAAAAATGTTGAATGTTATATTAAAAAAATGTGATCTATTTCAGGTCTAAGTGGATTGAAGGAATTAATTAAACTAAGCAATCTTTTTGAAGAATTCGAAGGAACTTTATTTGCCCAAAGTTCTTTGAATTTAGAGCGTGCTGTTCAAGGCTCTAAGCTCAACAAAAAATTAGATGCGAATATTGAGAAATTTTTGATACTCCTAGCTCCTTACTTTCTATTGGATTATTCTCACAAAGCTTTAGAATGGCTTATTCGCAGATTTCGTATCCACCAGTACAACAGGGATCAATTTCTTTTGTTAATTCTTCCTTACTTCGAGACGCGCATGTTTGCAAGGTAAATTTAAATTTGATTCTTGATATTTTTTTTTTTTTTTTTAATATAATTACCCTGAATTATAAAACTGTTTATCATTTACTATTTTTTAAATAATTTAACACAGTGGTCACAATTTAACCCCTATTTTAAATTTTTTTCACATTTTTTTATCAAATTTAAAAAATTTAATTTAATTTTCGAAAATGTTTGAATAATTAGTAGAAGGGAAAGTAATTTTAATGTCAATAAATTGTCAGGGAAATTGTTAAACTGAAACTTGTGACCACCATGATATATTTTACTTTTTTTATTTTATTTTTATAGATATTTTTTATTTATTTATTTGTGCATTTATTTTTAGAGCATTGCAACTAGTAGAAGTATCAGATCCCACCGATAAATGGCACTGGTTAAAATCAGTTCAAAAAACCAGAGGACCTCTCTCATCATTAGTTTTGATAAATCGCACCACCTCCGATAATGGTTTCTTCAAATTGATTTGTAATCACGTGACAAATGCAACGAAAATTTACGGATCGCAAGCAACGAGTTTAGCAACATTGTACAATTTTTACACATCCACCATGGTCAAGTCAATTAATCGACTGAGCGTTATTTCTGACATTCAAATTAATCACTTACTTCCAGCTCTTCTTACTGGATTGTCGAGTTCTATCCAAGACTTCGCTGCCGGTAGTTACATGATTCTTTTTATTCTCAACACAAAAGTGAAACTCAAAGACGATACGATGGATTATCTTCTATACAAATCTTTTAAACGATCTAATATGCACTATGGAACGTTACTATTTTTAATCTCGCTTTACAATACTTACACCAATCCACTAACGAAGATTTCTGACAAACTAGTCGGGCGTTTGTCAAATTTACCCTGGTTTGTGGAAAATCTAGTTAAAATCAAATCCTCCGGAGTGAAAACATCAAAGTTTGTTGGGGCTTTCTTAGAATGTGCTCTTCGCTCTATTTTGATTAATCCGAGTGAATCGGAGAGTATACAAAAGACGGTGGATGAGATTTTTGAAAAAGTTTCCTTGGACAAGGAAGTGGATATCTTTTTATCGTCTATTTTAAGGAATAAATTGGTGTCTCTAGTGACGACGGAAGAGTCGAAGCAATATTTGAAGAATTTGTATAAATCACTGGAGAAAAGTTATCCTAGTAAATTTGATGGGAATTTGAAGAAGATTATGGATTCTTCCGAGAAGAGCGAAGAGGCGAAGGCGAATTTAAAGTTTCTCATGTCTTGGCACGAGGGTGCTAGGGATTCGGAAGGTTCATTGGAGATTTTGAATAATCTCTCTCACGCGAATCCAGAGCAACGAATTTTGGCGTTGAAAGTAATTTCGAAAAATTCCGTAGTAATCTCGGAAAATTTCAAAGAATCGATTTACGAAACTTTGTTGGATCGGTTCAATGATGATGAGGATAAGGTTATTGGAGCTCTAGTCTCTTTCTCCACGAGGCGATTGAAGGAACTGTTTTCCGTCGATGTTTTGGTCCAGAAGTTGATAGTTCTGGTGTCGACGTGCAGTGCGAAGAGTAGGAAAATTGTAGCCGAACCAGCTTTGAAAATTTTGTTGGAAATTTGTGAGAATGACGACGCGAGTGTGTTTCTAGTGGTGCTGCCGTATATCTTTCCCATTGTTAATGATGACGTTGAGTTTAGTTTACAGATTTTGGATTCGAATTTCGGGAGGAAGAATAAATTCTTCCGGGCATTGAAAAGAGAAGTTGAGGAGGATCTCGAGAAGAGGCAAAGCGAATCTGGGGAGAGTCTTTCGAATTTGGAGCAGATTAGGATCGTGGCTAAGGAGGAGAAGGAATCGACGATGATTGCCGAGTGGTTGGTGTCTATGAGCTTTCACAGTCTGTTAAATAAGGATTTACTGCCACCCACCGATGTAATAATAAATACGATGAGGCAACAAATGTCCGAAGGAAATGCAGCTTTTCTATTCTTTAATATGCTTCTCCTAGGTTCGGTTTGTAGAGTACCGGTGGGTTCCCTCTCGTTTGAAGTTGCCAAAGAAGCCATCGAACTCGTTTCCAAAATGATAAAGAATTACAAAAATGTTCGACTCCTCCCGGATACTTCCCACCTGACAGATCAAAAAATGCCGGAGGCTCTTGCTTTGACAACGAAAGGAATTCTCCCACTGCAGGCTGGAACCTACGTTTTGGAAATGATCCACAGGCGGCTCGATTTCAAACCCGAGATTTTTATGTTCGACTTCGAGAGGGACGAAGACAGAAGTCGGTTGATTGTCAGATTGATTGAAATCTACCTCGAGGGGACGAAGAACAAGAAAACGAAAGCGCATTTCTTGTGGTGTTTGAAAATCTTCTTTCAACGACACTTTGCGGATTTGCAAAATCTGATTCGATTTTTGTCTCAGCTTTTCAATGAACCTGTCAAAACACAAATTTCTTACCACGCTCTCGAGATGACGTTCAAACTTCTAAACGACTGCAAATCTTTCCAATGGGTTTTTAAGGATCAAGTGTTCATCAGCAACTTGTTGATAAGTTTAACATCACGAGTCGATAAGTGCAGAAATATCGCTGTTAATATTCTGAAAAAAGTTTCACAGACCTTCAATCTCTCGGGAGAGGGTTTCTTCCCTTTGTTGCAGGAATTAACATCTCGAAATCATGAAATAGACATTGATTCCGATCAACTTTGTTTAATTCTCTACTTTTTGTTATCGCCAGATCCGGACGTTCGTCACCTACTGAACGATGAAGTAAGGGAAAAATTGCTCGAGACGCAAAAAATGCTTTTCGACATCGTGAAGAGTGATAAAATTCCGATTCATATCACCTCTCAACTGCTTGATGTGCTGGTCAATGTGAATGGTTCGACAATTTTGAAAACTTTGGCTCCGTTAGGATTGAAACTTCTCGAGAAGGCGAAGACACAACCGGATGATAAGTACGTCAGCATCGGCCTAACGAACATTTTGCAAAGAATTAACAGCAGTACGGTGAGTGCTCTCCAGTGTAAAAATGTCTGGAAGCTCTTCGACTTGAGTCTGTCAGACCACACTTCTCAAATTTCCGTGAAAAATTCCATCAAATCGCCTAGTATGATAATTATAAAGCAGATCGACGAGACTTTCTTCGACAACCTCCATACGATCTCTCCTCAATTACAAAAGAATTTATTCTCGAAATTAATCGACGTAATCACGGACTGTGAAGTAAGCACTGTGAGTTCAAAAGCTAGCAGAGCATTCAGGAGAATTCGAATCAACGCTCAATTTATCGTCAACGAGTTGAAGCAAATGACCGAATTGGAAGAATCAAAGAAACTTCAAGGCAGTGCAACGAAAACACGAAGGAAGTTCATGAATGTTTCCCAAAATCCGGAAGTGATCCACACGCATAAATGGAAACGAGGAGTAACTCTACTGGAATTTATCAAAACCGCGAGTAACATTGAAAACGAGGAGATTCTCATTTTACCCCTCTTCGATCTACTTCGCACTTGTCTCAGTTTCGAAATTCAAGATCCTGTTGAATATACAAATCAACTAGTGCTCTCGGCTCTCCATCTCCTCGCCGGGAAATCCCTTCCAATTCAAGGAGCACATTTGCATATCGCCCTGATAGCCCAGTGCATCAGGATTTCACGAAATCCACAGACTCATTATTATGCCCTGTCGCTTTTAGTCGAATTGTTTAAGATAGCCGACACCCAGAGTGCTCTACATAACATTATGCCAATTTTCACATTCATGGGTAGCTCCGTCTTGCGACAGGAGGACTCTTACTCGATTCAAATCACATCGAAGACAATAGAGACAATTATTCCTGTGGTGAATTCCGGTAACGATGAAAATAAAGCCTGTGAAATTCTCCGACTATTCATCACTTCTTTGCCCGATATTCCGGAACATAGAAGAATTCCTATTTTTGTCAAACTTTTGCAATTTATGGAAAATTATATTCATCTTTATTATTTGTTGACGTTCGAGAGTCACGTTTTGTCACAAAGTTACGAATTGCCTGCCCAAAGAATTGGTGCTCAACAAAGAGCACCAGCGCAAAAAATGGAATTCGCTCAACAGATTTCCTTGGAATTCTCACCGCAGACAATGATCAATATCTGCGTGAAATTGGTACAGTTCCTCAAAGGTTTACCCATTGAAATTGATGAGGATCATCAGCGAATAGGAAAAATTCGATTTAAAAGCAATCATATATTTAATGTGGAGAAAAATTCTCCGAAACAATTGAGACACTATAAATACACGATTGTTCAATTTTTGAGTGAACTTCTCTCTCGTACTGAATTTATTAATCGTATCGCGGAATTGGACTTGGAAGCAATGAACGAAATGATGGGGGATTTCGATAAATTAATCGTCGAATTGGTTTTGATGATTCAGAGTGTTTCGAGAAGTGTTGAACTTCATCAAGGGAAACCAAAGGGGAAGTATTGGAAGATATTACTGAGGCATTTGTATGATATTTTGGATTTGGTAAATAGTTTGTTGCCGAATAAGGCTTTCATTGAGAGTATAAAGAGGCTCGTCGGTCATGAACTCTTGAGTGTGAGGAGAAAAGCGTTAGAGTTACTGAATGCGAGACTACAACAGAGGAACTTTGGAGATCAGGATCATGACGATTTGTTGAGTTTAATGGACTCATTTTCGGATATTCTTAAAGGTCCTCATAAGCTGGTGAGTCAGGAGATGGAGATTATTCAACAGACTGCTTTAATTAGCATTAAATTGTTGGCCAAGTTCCTCGCTGCAGAGCATCCGCAAAATTTCAAACCCGTAAGTAATGTTTTCTTTGAAATTTATTACGTATTTTACAGCAAAAATTAAAAACTGTTCTTAAATTTTTTTCTTCTTAGAGTGTTGAATTTTCGTATTTAAATAATTAAATTCTCATAAAACTTTCTGAAAACCATTCAAAATAATTGATTTCGTGAACAATTTTAATTAAAAATTCTGGAAAATAATTGAATTGTTGGAGTTATTGTAAATATTTTTAGAGACAATAAAATTTCAAAATTCTGAACAATTCAATTTATCAAAAAATTTCAATTCAAATTTTTTTGAAATTCAATTAAATTATCAAAGAATTTAATAAAAATTATCAACAATAATTGAATTCAATTCAATTATTAAAGAATCTAATGAAAATTATCAAAATTAATTGGATTCAAATAAATTAAAGAAACACTTTTGGAATTTTGAATTTTTAAAAATTTAATTAATTAAAATTTTTTTGAATAATAGAAATATCATAAAATTAAATTAAAAACAATTCAATTTTAAATTGTATTTTAAGTGAAATTTATTTTATTTTGTTTTTAATAATTCAATTTTTAAAGAATCTAATAAAAATAATATAAAAAATAATTGAATTCAATTCAATATTTAAAGAATCTAATAAAATTTGTCAAAAATAGTTGAATTTAATTCAATTTAGAAATATTTTTAAAAATACAATTGAAAATTTTTTTAATAATCGAAATTTCATAAAATTTATTTAAAAACAATTGAATTTTGAATTGTATTTTTAGTGAAATTTATTTTATATTCAATTTTTAAAGAATCTAATCAAAATTATCAAGAATAAATGAATGGAAAATAATGAAATTTTAAATTACATTATAAGTGGAATTTATTTTATTTTGTTTTTATAATTAAATTCTTAAAGAATCTAATGAAAATTATCAAAAATAATTGAATTTAATTCAATTAAGAAATAGTTTAGGAATTTTGAATTTTAAAAATACAATTGATTGAAAATCTTTTGAATAATCAAAATTTCATAAAATTTAATTGAAAACAATTCAATTTTAAATTGTATTTTAAAAGAATATTTTTAAAGAATCTAATAAAAATTATAAAAAATAATTGAATTTAATTCAATTAAGAAACATTTTTGAAATTTTTAATTTTAAAAATACGAAAATATGAAAATCTTTTGAATAATCGAAATTTCATAAAATTTAATTGAAAACAATTCAATTGTTAATTGTATTTTAAGTGACATTTATTTTATTTTGTTGTTAATAATTCAATTCTTAAAGAATCTAATAAAAATTATAAAAAATAATTTAATTTAATTCAATCTAGAAATATTTTTGAAATTTTGAATTTTTAAAGTTACAATTAATTGAAAATTTTTTAAATATTTATTTAGAGAAATTAAGTATTAATGTTTTGAATAATTTTATAGTTAGAAATCTAGAAAAAAATTAATTTTTGAAAGAATTACAATAAAGTTTTTTAAAAGTAATGTAATTTTAAAAATTAAAAATATATTAGAAATTCTGAAAACTGAGATTTTTGGAAAATTTTAATTGGTTGAAGATTATTTAATTCCCGAATGCAATTATAATTGAAAAATTATCAAAAAATGGTTATTTTCGTCAAATTTTATTGAAATAAATTTTATATTTCCGAGAATTTTATTACCTTTTTTTAAAAATTCAATAAAAATCTAAATAAGTAGAAATAATCGTATTTTTCAAGAAAAATGTGAAATAATTTGAAAAAATGTTTTGGAAATAATTAAATTTGTTTTTTCCTGTTATTTATGACAATATTGTTCACAGATTCTCGAGATGACGATTCTTTTGGTGAAAAATAGAAATGGACCAGTTTTGGGAAGTGCAACAGCATGTATCGGAGAATTATGCAGTTCAATGAGGATTCACGCACTCTATTCTCTCAATAAATTCTTCCCAGCAATATTGACACTGCTCGAGAAGCAAAAGTATCAAGAAGTGCCGGACTTGATAATGATAAGTGTCATTTGTGCCCTGCAGAAAATAGTTGACACGATGGCTAATTTAATTTCGCCCTATTTCGATCAACTACTCTTTGAACTCGCCAGACTCAATTCTCTTTATACCGATTCTGAAAATCCAAAGGTAAGAATTTTATGTAATTCTTAATTTTCTACAATTTCAAACAATTACAATCTTTATAATTCGTAAAAATAGAAAATTAATAAAAGAAAACATAAATTTAATGGATAAAAAAAGGATAAATAACGTTGAAAATAACTCAATTTTAAATCTCCGCAGATAGGAATAGTTGTTTCGAGACTAAAGGCAACTGGAAATAAACTTGCAAGCTCTGTGCCTCTTCGAGTTTTATTGCCGGCCGTAAAAAATACCTACGACGAGCTTTTATCTAAGAAAAAGTACAAATACATTGATCCTCTATTGGGTATTTTGGCCGAATCTTTCACGAACATACAGACTTCCGATTTAAATACCGCCATGCCGAATTTGATAGCATTTTTCTTAAATGCCTTGGAATTCAGAGAGCAAATTGGACAATCCGAAGACATGGAAATTGACGATGACTTTGGCGCTGTCTTGTCGGATATAAAAAGCGTGGAGGAGAGTGCGAGCAAAACTATGGTAGCTTTAATTTTCAAATTAAATGAAGATACGTTTAGGCCTTTTTATTATCGATTGTACGATTGGGCGGCGAGAAATCCACAGCACAAGCATCGGAATATCACTTTCTATAGGTATTGTTGAATTTAATTATTCTTTACTAAAAAAAAAAAAAATTAAAAAAAACGTTTACACCTAGGGAACAATTATTTACTAAAAATTTTAAAGATTACAATTTTTTGTATTCAGCGAAAAACTAACAGTCAGTTTAAAAATTTTTCCTTTATATTAACAGAATTTTTTACGTAAATTTTTAATTAAAATTTTTATTTTGAATATTTAAGATTTAATATTTAACTAGCAAATGATACGCGCGGGACACAGTATTCCATTTCTTATTTTTTTGTAAATTAAAAAATTTTATATTTTCAAGAATAATCATCAATTTTTGAATGATTAGTAAAAATTTAAAGAATTCACTTATTAAGTACATAATATTAAATACTAGCAAAAACTGACGCGCGCGAGCGCGCGTGCATTTTTTTTTCAACGTTTTATTTTAAATAATTAAAACTTTATTTTTTCAGCGAATTTGAACCATTATGATGTCACAATTTTTTAGCAAATGCTGTGAACAAATTGTGACGTCATTATGGTTCAAATGCCATTAAAGAAATTATTGCATCTTCTATTAATTAATATATTTTTGCATTTTCTTTTTTTATATAAATAAATTAAAATTTTTATTTATTAATTGAAAATATCTGTTCGCAGTTTATATTTTTTTTTTGTTTAATATTTTAATAATTTTATGTTTTAATATATATATAAATATATTTTTTCTATTAAAATAGCAATTCTTTAAAATGATTATTATTATTTTTAAGGGTATTTTAATTATTATTATGACGTTATAATGTTTTAAATAAATTTAAAAAATGGAAATGCTGGAAAGAATGAAAAATACATTTTTTTTAGAAATATAAAATTATTCAATTAACATCTTCTATCTTTATATCTTCTCTCTATATTAATATCTTCTTCTTCTATCTTCTTTGATTTAGTTGTAATTTACTTTTTTGTTTCCTATCTTCTTTAATAATTTTATGTTTCAATATTTTTAATTTTAGAGGCATTTCACGTCAGAAATATCACGATTTGCAAAGGGTATGCCGATTTTCGCAAAACTTCGTGGGATTATAGTTCTATATAAGAGACTTCTTTCCCCTAAATTTTTTCAAAAAAAATTCAAAATTGTTGAAGATACGCCATTTTGAATTTTAATATTAATTTTATAAAATTTTGAATATCTCGGAATATTGTTTATGGATTTTTATGAAATTTACACATTTTTCAGGTAAAAGTATGTACTTTAAAATGCAAATAAAGTTAATAAAAAAAAATTAATTTTTAAATAAAAAAATTAAAAAAAATTTTTTTAAACAATTTTTTGTTTATTTACTCCTCTCTGAGAAAAATGTTATTAACATATTTGGATTCCTTATGAATTCACCTTTAATTTCATAAAAAAAAATTGATGGAGACTCAACTGGTTCCGGAGATATTGAATTTTTTGTAAAAAAAAGCGTCGCCGCGCCATAGCACCATACTGCACAAGTCGCGTAGTACGTTACCGCAGTCGTGCATTGCTGCTGTAACTATGACTATTTTTTTACAAAAAATTCAATATCTCTGGAACCAGTTGAGTCTCCATCAATTTTTTTTTATGAAATTAAAGGTGAATTCATAAGGAATCCAAATATGTTAATAACATTTTTCTCAGAGAGGAGTAAATAAACAAAAAATTGTTTTAAAAAATTTTTTTTAATTTTTTATTTAAAAATTAATTTTTTTTTTATTAACTTTATTTGCATTTTAAAGTACATACTTTTACCTGAAAAATGTGTAAATTTCATAAAAATCCATAAACAATATTCCGAGATATTCAAAATTTTATAAAATTAATATTAAAATTCAAAATGGCGTATCTTCAACAATTTTGAATTTTTTTTGAAAAAATTTGGGGGAAAGAAGTCTCTTATATAGAACTATAATCCCACAAACTTTTGCGAAAATCGGCATACCCTTTGCAAATCGTGATATTTCTGACGTGAAATGCCTCTTTAATTAAAATTAATATATTGAATTTCATTTAAATTCTTGCAAAAAATTTGAGAATCATTGAATTTCTTCAAAAAATGTCATTATTTATGAAAATAATTCAATTTTCGCTAAAAATCATTAAATCAATTTTGGAAACCCTAATTAAATTTTTCTGAAGAATTATTTTTTATTTTTTGTTTAATAATTGTGTTTCTTTAATAATTTTAATTGGATATTTTTAAAGTAATTTAAATTTATGAACAATTTTTTTCAAGTTTTTAAAACTAATTTTTAAATTTGTAAATTTAGTTGAAACATCTATTGTTTACATTTATCCCTTGTTTACAATTACCCCAAATGGCCCTAATTGTAAATTGATTGTTTTGTTGATTTTTGAATTTTATTTCGGAATAATTCAATTTTTTATTATGTATTTTTCATGATTTGAAGACTTTATATAGTCTTTAAAAGACTTGATAGTATTTAAATAGTTGAAATGAAAGGCGGTGCCTAAAGTATTTTTTTTAAGTTCATTATTTTTTTTTCTTTTTAGAAAATCTATTTTCTATAATATTGTGTTAAAAAAAACGTTAACATTTTATATTTTATTTGAACAGAAGATAACGATAAGTTTAATTCTTGCAAAAGAAAGCACTTATAAGTTAATTCTACACACAAACACACACAGAAATACGTTTATTTTTTACGTAAGTGCCAATAAATTAATTTCAATTTTTTATTTAAAATGAAATAATTTAATTTTGAATTAATTGTATTTTTGATATTTGAATAATTAATTATTATTTTGAACAATTACATTTTTCAATGATTTCAAAATAATTAAATTTTTATTAAAAACAGAATAATTTATTTTTGAATTAATTAAAATTGTTTGATTTATTTTTGAATAATTAATAATTGACTTTTGAATTATTTAAAATTCAAATATTGTAAAAAATTAATAAAATATTTAAAAAACAATTTATTTTTAACATAATAAAAAAAGTAATTTATTAAAATACTAAATTCAAATAGATTTTGAATTGCAATTATTTTTAAAAATAAATAAATTTTTTGTGTAAAATCATTTTTTTAAAATTAATTAAAATTTGAAACAATTGAATTTTTTTTTTCATTTTTGAAAAATTAATTATTTCGAACAATTTTTTAAACATAAAAGAACCAGGAGCTATTATCACTCATAATAGCAATCAAAAAAAGCACACACTAAAGGGATCGCTCTTCCCAAAAAATTTAGACTCTAGATCCTGCACTGTATAAGTTAATAATTGAAGATTAATTAAATTTTTGAAAAATTAAATATTAAAAAATTAATTATTTTGAATAATTAATATTATTGAACAGTAATTTACGAAAACGACCAATGTAATAAAATTTAGAACGATATTTTTTATTGATTCAGGAAAATTGAATTTTTTAATTAAAATTAATAATCGTTGAAAATTGAAAATAATACAACTTTTATTGACAATTCGATATTTCAGTTTTTTTAGATTTTAAAAATGCATAAAATTTTCAATAATAATAATAAATCAAAATACAATAAATATTATCAATTATAATTATAAATAAAAAAAAAATAATAATAATAATAATAATAAGATATACGAATAAAATTTGTTTTTAAGTTATTTTGAGATTTTTATTTAACAAAATAAAATGAAATAATATAAATGATTTAATTAAGAAGAAAATTTTAATTAATAATTAGAATTTACCAATCTACAGTTTTTTTTCCACTGAAAACGGTAACCTCTCGCCTGATACCAGATATTTTTCCACGATTTTTCAAACACAATAATTCTTGTCACAATTTAACGTTTTTTAAAAACACCCGCACTACCGCATAACATAACATCGGAAATGTCAAAACATCACGAAAAATATAAACAAACAAAAAAATCATGATAATAATTCGCAAATGATAACTAACAACTAACTTCATACTGCGAACGGACAGAATGAAAAACCACAGACTTTAATAAAGTTAATTCTTGTTTATTATTATTCAAAAATTTTAATAAAATTTGTCGCAAGAATTTCATTATTCTCATAAATAATAAAATTCTTTAGAGCAATTCAATTATTTTCAATACAAGTTTAATAAAATTTCTGCAAAGAATACAATTATTTTTAAAAATATTAATTAAATTCGATTATTTTTAAGAATTTTAATATAAATTCAATTATTTTCAAAAACTTTGATGAAATTCTTTTAAAAAAATAATTATTTTCAAAATTTTTAATAAAATTCCTTCAAAAAATTTAATTATTTTCAAAAATTCTGATAAAATTCTTCAAAAAAATTTAATTCTTTTTATGAATTGTAAAATCCTCCACAAGAATTCAATTGTTTTCATAAATAAGAAAATTCTTGGCAAGAATTGAAATATTTTCATAAATAATAAAATGTTTTGGAGGAATTCAATTAAATCAATCTCGAAAGAATACAATTATTTTTAAAAATATAATTTAAATTCAATTATTTTCAATAATTCTGATAAAAAATTCTTCGTAACAAATCAATTATTTTTATAGATTGTTAAATTTTTGGCAAGAATTCAATTATTTTTGTAAACAATAAAATTATTACGAGAAATTAAATTATTTTCAACACAATTTTAATTAAATTTCTAGGAAAAATTCAATTAATAATCAAGATAATTTTAATAAAATTTCTCTAACTTGTTCAATTATTTTTAAAAATTGTAATATCATTTTTCTAAACAATTCAATATTGTTCTCAAAAGTTTTTAATAAAATTCTTTGTTAATTTCAATTATTTTCTAAATTTTCAATTAAAATTACTTTAAAAAATTACATTATTTTTACGAAATTTATTGAAATTCTGTTTTAAAAAAATGTAATTATTTACAAAAAAATCTAATGAAATTGTTTAAAAGAATCAAATGTTCTATGAATTATTTTATTATAATTTAATAGGAAAATCATTAATTACAATTAATAATAAACACAATTATTTTAAAAACTTGAAAGAAATTCTCCATAAAATTCAATTATTTTAAAAATTTTCAGTAAAAATTATTTTCAAGAAAATTGAAATAAATTCTTCAAAACAATTCAGTTATTTTAAAAAATTTTAATAAAAATCTTGTCAAGAATTAAATTATTTTCAAATTGTGAAGAATTTTATTAAAATAAAAATAAAAATTTTATTAAAATTGTATTTAAAAGAATTGAATTCTTGTGAAAAATATACTATTTATTGATATTATTGAATTCTTTCGAAGATTTAAAAATAATTTAATTTTTCCTGAAATTCAATTGAAATTGCACATAAAATAATTTAAATTCATCGAAAATTTCATTTTTTACGAAAATAATTGAATTTTTGAATTGAATTTTATTAAAAGTTTTTTAATTAATTGAACTCATGTGAAAAATAAAATTATTTTTTAAAATAATTGAATTTTTCGTAGAATTTTTACAAGATTTTTAAAAATAATTGAAATTTTCGAAGAAATCAATTAAAATTGTAATGAAAACAAGTGAAATTGTGATAAGAATTTTATTATTTATATAAAAATAAGTAAATTTTTTACAAAGATTTTTATTATTTATAAATTGACTAAAAAATTTTATTACAATAATTGTAATAAAAAAGAATTAAAAAATTACTTTATTATTTACTGTTTTATTATTTCATATTTTATTTTCTTTTTTATTTTATTTTGGTTTTTATTAATGACTTTTAATTACAATTAAAAAATTTAATTCTAGGCTATCAGCGACGATTGCAGATTCTTTAAAATCGCTCTTTGTGCTTTTCGCGGGTCACTTTTTGAAACACGCAGCTTTACTTCTGAGCACGAATAATTTATCGATAAAAGATGAAGTACAGGAATCGACGATTGAAGACGAATCAAGTAGAATTGAACTTATTGAAGTTATTTTATTAACACTTCTCAGAGTCTTCTCATACAATGCTCACGATTTCTTAACTCAGGAAAGATTTAGCATTCTTCTTCAGCCAATAGTTGATCAAATTGAAAATACCCTGGGAACAAAGGAGGAATACGAGAAACGATCTAATGACTTAATTGTTCCATGTGTGGCTTCCTTCGCCGCTGCCACTTCTGATGATTCATTACATAAGCAACTTGTTTATCAAATTCTTCTCAAATCCAGGCACACGAAGGCTTATGTCAGAAATTCTGCTCTTAACTCTATTGTAAGTATATTTTGTTTCATTTTTAATTTTTTTGTTTTTTTTTCTTGTTTAATTGAGCGTTAAAAACTTGAGTACAAAAATAGTATTTTAGTATTTCAATTTTAGTAAATTGAATCTCTTAAATTGTTTTATTTGTTACGAAAATTTGAATTTGCTTTGTAATTCAATTTCTATTTCAGGTGGAAATAGCGCGAAAATTAGGAGAAGAATTTATGCCACTCTTGCCGGAAACAGTACCATTCCTGGCTGAATTATTGGAAGACGAGGACGAAGTCACTGAGAAGAATGCACAGAATGCGGTAAGAACACTCGAAGAAATCCTTGGAGAACCACTTCAAAAATATTTCTGATCCCACAAACAAGCTCTTAAAATTCTTTACAACTTAAGAATTGCGTCAATGTGAACTTAATAATTTAATACCAGGTATTAATTGAAAATTAACATTAAGCGATTATATTTTTAATAGTTAATTGAATATGAAATTCTAAGAGAAAATATCTTCATAATTGTAGAATATATTGATAATGAAATTTGAAATTGTATTTAAGGAAACAAAGAATGTGAGAATAAAATATTACTATTTTACGAAAAAACATTCGTTTATTTGAACTTAAAATTACATTTGGACGAAATATATATATATATATTTATATATTTATATAATTATATATTTATTTATTATACACATAACTTCCTACATTATAATACAACTTTGTAAATAATTAAAAGTACATATTTATAATAATATAACTGTGACATCATTAGTAAAAATTAAACGTAAAATGAGAATGTAACAGATGAAGAGAAATGTTTGCGCAAGAGAGATGACAAAAGGTAGAAAAATAAAAGCAGAGGAATTTTTGAGGGCAGACACGCCATAGGGTATCTGCTCTCTGGCACATGGATGAATTATAATTCAGTTTGTTCATATCGTCCTTATTTTCTTTTTGAGGAAAAACAGAACTCGGAAATGCAATAGTGTGTGCGAGAGCGAGTGAGCCACGCGCCGATAAAATGAGTTCATGAAAAATTAAGAGAAATCGAAGAGTTGATTTCTTATAAACTCTCATGACTCCTCTTTTCTGTTGTTTTTGAGTATAATCTTAGGCCATAATTAGATACTCTCGTTTGTCCTAAACTAATCTTTAGTAGCCTTCCAACTAAACTGGAGGAACTCCTCCATTCGCAGCGTCTAAAGCAACTTCCTCCACGTGACCCTCAGACGGTGCTTTCCTGAAAATTTAAAAAAAGTTTATTATTTATCACCATCGTAAAAATCTATCAAAAAATTTATTTATTTCTTCTTCAAATTTTATTATTATCACTAGCAAATGTTATTTGCGTGGAACGAGATATTCAATTCATTATTATTATGAAAATTACAAAATTTTGCATTTTCAAATATGAATTTTTGAATAATTTCAAATTCAAACTTTAAAAAAATTCAATTATTAACTAATTTACTAATTAATTATTCTTGTTTATTAATTTCAAAAGTTTTAATAAAATTCTTTGTAAGAATTCAATTATTTTCATAAATAATAACAATCTTCGTAAGAATTCAATTATTTTTATAAATAGTAACATTTTTCGCAGAAATACAATTTTTTAGAGAAAAATTTTATAATGTTCTTCTCAAAAATTCAATTATTATCACATTTTTAACTGGAATTCAATTATTTTCAAAAATTTAAAGAAATTCTTCGCAAAAATTCAATTATTTTCATAAACAGTAACATTTTTTGCAATAATCCAATTTTTTCAACAAAATTTTCATAAAATTCTTTGTGAGAATTCAATTATTTTCCCAGATAATAAAGTTCTTCACTTGAATTCAATTATTTTCAAAAAAAATTTCATGAAAGAATTGAATTTTTTTTTTCTTAATTCGTTATAAAATATTAAGAAAAAACTCAATTACATTTATGAATTGTGAAATCCTCCCCAAGAAATCAATTATTTTAATAAATGAGAAAATTCTTCGCAAGAATGAAAATATTTTTATAAATAATAAAATTCTCCAAAGGAATTCAATTATTTTCATAACTAATAAAATGTTTCGGAGGAATTAAATGATTTCCAATACAATTTAAATAAAATTTCTTGAAAGAAAACAGTTATTTTTAAAAATATTATTCAAATTCAATTATTTTCAATAGAATTTTAATAAAATTTCTCGAAATATTAATTAAATTCGATTATTATTTCAAGAATTTTAATATAAATTCAATTATTTTTAACAATTTTGATGAAATTCTTTTTAAAAAAACAATATTTTCAAAATTTTTAATAAAATTACTTAAAAAAAAATTCAATAATTTTCAATACAATTTTTATAAAATTTCTCGAAACAATTCAATTATTTTCATGAATTGTAAAATCCTTCCCAAGAAATCAATTATTTTCATAAATAATAAAATGTTTCGGAGGAATTCAATGATTTCCAATACAATTTTAATAAAATTTCTTGAAAGAATACAATTATTTTTAAAAATATTATTTAAAATTTTTAATTCAATTAATTTCATGAGTGTTAATAAAAATTCAATTATTTTCAACAATTCTGATAAAATATTCTTCGAAACAATTCAATTATTTTTATAAATTGTAAAATTTTTGTCAAGAATTCAATTTTGTTTGTAAATAATAAAATTCTTCTGAGAAATTCAATTATTTTCAATACAATTTTAATTAAATTTCTAGGAAAAAATTTAATTATATTCAAGATAAGTTTAATAAATTTTCTGTAACAGATTCAATTATTTGGAAAAATTGTAATAAAATTTTTCTAAACAATTCAACTGTTCTCAAAAGTTTTTAATAAAATTCTTTACAATTTTCAATTATTTCAAAAATTTTCAATTAAAATTACTTTAAAAAATTACATTCAATTATATTTTATAATTGCATGTATTCATTTATTGTAAAAATTCAATTATTTTCAAAAATATTTCACGAAATAATTCAATTTTTTTCTTAATTCGTTATAAAATTTTTCTAAAAGAATTCAATTATTTTCTACAGTTTGAATAAAATTCAATAATTAAATGGTAAATTTCAATTATTAACAAACACGATTATTTTAACATCTTGAAAAAAATTGTTCATAAAATCTAATTTTTTTAAAATTTTAATTAAAATTATTAAAGAAACTCCATTATTAAGAAAAAGATTCAAAGAAATTCTTCAAAAAGAATTTAATTGGAATTTTCAAAAATTTTAACAAAATTCTTCGCGAGAATTCTATTATTTTCTTAAATAATAAAATTCTTCGAAGGAATTCTATTATTATCAAATTTTTTGATAAAATTCTTTGCAACAATTCGATGATTTTTAATACATTACTTTTAAAATTGAAAATACTCGAAAAGTTAAGAAACAAAAAAGCAACAACGAAATACAACGATTATTAATATAGAAGATAATATTGCATCTGATTTTAATCAAATTTTCTTTTTCTTTAATTCCTCTTACAATAAATTATAAGGATTTTGAATGTTTAATTTCGTTATTATTTTTTATTGTAGCCACCAATTTTTGAAAATAAATATTAGAAAAATATTCCCTTCATTTGAACGTTCTGTCGAATAAATATGTTTCTCACCTTTTTCTGTACTGGAAAATGACATAGACAATGACAGCATTTCCAACGAAAAGCAAGGCAATCAGGACGGTTGGTAAAATGAAATCTGTAACAGAAAATTTGCACAAATTGGTTAAAATAATTTTTCATAACTTCAAAAAATGAATTTCATAAATTCTAATGTAAGTTTTAACTCCAACGACGATATTTTTGTTCCTTCGTTTAATTTGTAGTTTATTACAAAAAAATTTTCTCCTGCCTTTTAAAACAAACTAATTCCGTACTAGGCGAAAATTTTCGATTTACATTTTATTTCTCTTTATTTAGTAAATTTTTTAAATTTACAAAAATTTACAAATTAAAATGAACGAATAAAAATTTCCGTCCATTTTTTAAATTTACTAAAATTTACAAATTAAAATGAACGAATAAAAATTTCCGCCCATTTTTTAAATTTACTAAAATTTACAAATTAAAATGAACGAAAAAAAAATTTCCCTCCATTTGAACATTTAGGAATTTTAGGCACATTTTTCTTTTCATTTCATTGGATTGAGAAATAATTTTTAAGTAACTAAACGACTTCCTGCTCTTTTAATGAGACAAATCTTATTTTTCAACATAAGGTCATTGAAATTTTTATTTTTATAAAAAAAAGAGAAAAAAAATGGAGAATGATCTTTGAATTGGGATCCGCGTGAAACTATTTATAATTCTTTGCTCTATAGTTCCTTAGTCATTATACTTGGTGTCCAAAGTTCAGTATGTCACATTTGTATTCATATATTGTATGAGAAGAGATCGAGATCGCGATCGAGAGAGAAAGACAGAGACAGAGATTTAATTTTAAATTTTATTGAACTTTAACCGAAGGTATTATTGAATACTTTTTTGAATTTTTAATACCTTTTGATACTGTATCCCTTTTGATAAAAATGTATTTTTTAAAATTTTTTTATCATAATTTTAGAAAAAATTTTTTTTTAATTTTTTTTTTTTTTTTTTTTGACAAAAAATTCAATTTGTTTATAAAAATTTAATTATTTTTTATAAAGTTTTAGGAAATTTCAATTATTACAAAAAATTTTAATTAATTGTTTAAAATTCAATTAGCATTGGAAAATAGAAGAATCAGATTATTTTCATATAAATAATAAGTATTACACAGGATTTTCAATTGTTTTCAGTACAATTGTGAATTTTAAATTGTATTTTAACTAAACTTTCTTAAATTTTTTCGAATAATTCAATTCTCAAAGAATCTAAAGAAAATGATAAAAAATAATTCAATTAGAGAAGATTTTGATTTAAAAATTTTCGAACATAATTGAATATTAGAAGAATTGTATTAAGAATGAATAAAATTCTAAAAGTTTTTAAACGGAAATTTTTTAATAATAATTTTAGAAATAATTGAATTTCACAAAATTTGAAATTGAAATCAGAAAAATTTTAATTCTGTGAAATAATGAATAAAAAGTATTTAAATATTTATTTACCAAATTTTTCAAGCTTTGAATAATTGAATTTAGAAATCAGTGAAAAGTCAGGAAAATACAAAATAAAATTTTTGTGACAACACTGAATAAAATAAAAGATTTTTTCGCCTTAAAACAAATCAAAGGCCTAAAATTGTGAATTTTGATTCATTTTTAAAAAACTGTTTCAATTCTTTAAACGTTTTTAAATTTTAATTCCCGTCCCTTAAGAATTAAGAATTAGCTAAATTGGAGCTTAAACCAATTTGTAAAATTAAAAATTATTCTCTGACTTTCAGTGTTTTATTTCATCCATAAATAATGTTTTTATTCTCTGAGAAATAAATTGAAAAAAGTGAAACGAAAATTAAAGAAAAAGAATTAGAAATAATTCGATTTATTATTCAGGGATTTTTCTGGATTCTTTACTTTTTTGAAAGCTTTGGAAAAAAAGTGGTGAAAAATAATAGAATAATTAATTTTTATTCCAATCAGTTTGAATAAAAAATAAAATGTATCAATAATTTCAGTATTTGAAGCAAATATGAATTAAACCATTTAATTGAGTCAAATAAAAATTATTTGATTCGAGTAAATAATGAATTGATTATATTCAAGTAATCAGTTATTTAAATCAAATAAATTTTTTTTTTTAGTGTGTATTGTAAAATAAAAACACTTGATTTATTAAAATCAACAAAAAAAAAACAAAGACTACTTTCACAAGACCGACAAATGTATTCCAAGAGATTTATTATAAAAGAATTTCCACTCATCATTTCTTTTCTTACTCTTTAATTTTTATTTTTGTAATCTATATTTATAGTCAAACAAAAATCTGCAAATTCATGAACCAAGATGTTGAGATAAATCCTAAACGTAAACAAATGTTCTGGTCGTTTCCTCAAATTGCAAATACATCAAGACTCTCTTATGCATATGCATGAATCATTTGTGCAAGGAAATGGATATGTTCTTGATATTCACAAACACGAGCGAGCAACTCACAACACCTAATCCCGATATCTCAGAATGTAGTAAATTCTAGTTGTGAATACGTAATGTTGGAAAATGGTCAGGCATGAATGAAAACGACCAACAATTAACTGGTTAACGCTAGAATTATAATTCTCAAATTATTATACACCGCGAACACAAGATAAATGGTGTTGAATCAAAGTGCATTTGGCAGCTGTTTCGTCAGTTTCGCTCCAATTATTTTCATACATGCGTAAAGATAAAGAGTATGCGTGTTCCGGACAATTGACAAATACGCACACGGTTTTTCTTTTCGTCTCAATATCAAATTGAGACGAAAAAAAAGAGAAAAAAAATTATTGCGATGCAACGATTTGATGCTATTATGGAAAATTGAAATCATTATGGTCTCGATTTGAAATCCTTAGAAAAAGTGTGAATAATAAGGAGAGAGAGAGAGGAAATGGGAATAATTTACTCTTTTCCATTTCTCATGGCGATCAATTCAATATCAATCAAAACTCGGTAGAGAAAAGAAGAAAGGATAGCGTTGGACTTTAAACTTCGTTTCATTTTTTAGTGTTCTTTCCGTTCTTTCTCTAAAGTTTCTTGGAAAGAAATTTTCTCTTTATATATTGAAATGTTTTTCCCTGACTTCCAGACTGAATTTGGAATTTTTCCTTGACCCCTATAAAAAATTCAGAGTTCTATTATAAAAAAGAAAATTTTTAGATTACAAACAATTAATTTCAAACTTTATCGTGCCTTCCTATTTTGAAAGTAAAATAAGTTTTAGTGGCGAACGTTTTCAATTTTCAAAAATTTCAATTATAAATTTTATAAAAATGTAATTATTTTTAACAACATTTTAAGAAATTTCAATTATTTTTAAAAAATCTACAATTACTTGTTTATAAAAAATCAATTACTTTTAATTATATTCTTGAAAAATTCAACTATTTCAAAAAAATCTCCAATTACTTGTTTGTAAACATTAAATTATTTTTAATTAAATTCTTGAAAATTTCAATAATTTCAAAAAATCTCAAATTACTTGTTTATAAAAATTCAATTATTTTTAATAAAATTCATGAAAATTTTAATTAAAAAAAATCCAATTAAGTACTTGGTATTGGTAATAAAAAATTGTTATTACCTATTAAATTCTTGTTAATTTCAATTGTTTTCAATAAAATTTCAGCAAATATCAATTATTTAAAAAATAAAAAACCTCCAATTACTTGATTTTAAAAATTCAATTATTTTTAATAAAATTTAAAATTTTAATAATTGTTTAAAAAAATTCAATTACTTGTTTATATAGACATTAAATTATTTTTAATAAAATTCTACGTAACTTCAATTACTCCAAAATAAATTTGTTAACTAATGAGAAAAATTCCAATTGTTTATAAAAACTCTATTATTTTTAATAAATTTTTACAAAACTTCCATTATTACAAAATATTTCAATTTTTTTATGAAAATTCAATTATCATTAGAAAATAGAACTAAAATATTTTAGAAACCTGATTTTTTAGAACTTTAATTAAAATTTTTCAAATCTTTAAGTTTTTAACAAAAATTGTTTAAAACAAAATTAAAAATTTTAATCTTTTTAAAATTAACTGATTAATAAAAATTTTTATTGTAGCAGATTTTAAAATTCAATTATTTTAAATACAATTTGGAGTCGATTTGAGAAAATTGCAACTATTTTGTTATTTCACTAATAAATTTTTATTTTTAATAATATCTTCAAAACATTGAATTAAAATAATGAAATCAAGTCAAAAAAAATTTAAGAATTCAGGTTTTTTAATTTTTTCAAATATATTTTTGAAGACCTAAAAAACTAGAAATTTTGTACTAATTCTAAAACTTATTTTCAGTACTTTTTTTTACATTTTACTACATTTTTCAGTTTTTAGATAAAATTCCCTAACATTTTCCTGATTTACAGAAAATTTTTTGCTTTCCCCTTTATCAAAATAATTTCAGTTCTTTTAGTAAAATTCAATTTTTTTAAAATAACTTTTTCATATTTTTAAACATTTTTCTTCAAGAAACACAATTACTTTTAAAAATTGTAATAAAATGTTTTAAAACAGAGAGTTTTTTGCAACAATAAAAATTTAACGATTTCTAATAATTGTAACTGGAATTCTTTGAATGTTCAATTATTTTCTAGAATTTTAAACTAAATTTATTCAAAAATATAATACGTTTTTTTTAAATAAGTATATAAATATTAAAAAATATTATAGAATTGAAATTCGCAAAAATTTTAATTTTAAACCTTCTGAAATTTAATTATTTCCAAAAATTGCCACTGTAACTTCTCCAGTATTTAACTTTTAGAATTTTGAACTAAAATTATTTTCCAAATCAATAATTATTTTTATCAAAATGAGTTTAAAAAGTTTTAAAAAAAGTCGAAAGCGTCACACTATCCAAGGCCTATAATTACTGTATTTGGCACGTGCGGAAAACAGAACTAAACAAAAATTCGCTTTAATTATTTTAAATTTCTAGGAAAAAAATAAATTTCAACAAAATTGAGTTTTACCAAAAATGGATTTGAAATTCGTTTCTTTTCAAATTCAGTGAGAAATAATAAAAGTATAAAAATTTAAATTTCTATAGATTTTTCTTTTGTTAGACTATACCGAAGGATAAAATTACAACTCTCTTCGATTAAAAATTAATCTCTAATTTTGAATGCAAAAAAATTTCTTTCCCAAGCAACGGAAAATATTATCAGTATAAAAAAATTAATTTTCATAATTTTTTCTATTTTCAACAAAAATGAATCGCGAACTAGCAACATAACGAGGAGTCTTCTATTTCTACACAATTTTCTCCATTACACTTTGGAATGAATGAAATAATCGGAGAAATGGAAAATAAGTAGAAATTGAGATTGAAAAATTTTCTAATGGAAAGTAGTGAGGAAAACTTTCAGGCATGTACTTTAATATATAATAAATTGAAAATAATGTGACACTGACCTACGATGTAGTCTGGTTCCTTCAACATGTTTTGCGCCGAATCCATAACTGGAGTTGAGAAACCCGCGACTGCGTTTTCGTATCCAACACCACCACTTCTCACCTCTGAACCCAAGTCGTCACCAGATAGACTGGACAAATGATTCTCCTCTGCTTCAGTCTTGAGAATTAATGCTGACGACGCTGTAAACAAAAAGAGAAAGGCGATTAGTGCCATTAATTCTAATTCTTAGGTCTTGCAATTTAATCCGTCGAGCAATAAACCGATAGTACTTTCAGATTGTTTTCTTTTCTCTCTCTCTCTCACTGTCTTCACTGATAGTCGTTTTATAATTATTTCCCAACACCTTTTTTTCCAAAGCTTTCAGAAAAGTAATGAAAATGAAAAAAAAAGAAATAGGACCAGAATAATAAATGAATTTTTTTTTTCTTTTGGCATTTTTTCTAATTCCTTTTTTTTTTTATTTTCGTCTCCCTTTTTTCAATTTATTTCTCAACGAATAAAAATATTATTTATGGATGAAAAAAATTATTAATTTTAATTATTTTCCACCACTTTTTTCCCAAAGCTTTCAAAAAAGCAAAGAAACGAAAAAATACCAGAATAATAAATGGAATTTATTTTTTTAGAATTTTTTCCCCCTTTTTTTAATTTTCCTCTTACTTTTTTCAATTTATTTTTCAGAGAATAAAAACATTGTTTATGGAGAAAGTAAATTAATTATTTTATAATTATATATTTTTGTATTATTTTAATTATTACTTTATTTTCCACCCTTTTCTTTTCAAAGCTTTCAGAAAAGTAAAGAATCCAGAAAAATCCCTGAATAATAAATTGAATTTTTATTATTTTTAGAATTTTTTCTAATTCTTTTTTTTAATTCTCGTTTCATTTTTTTCAATTTATTTCCCAGAGAATAAAACCATTATGAAATAAAACACTGAAAAGCAGAGAATAATTTTTAATTTTACAAATTGGTTTACGCTCCATTCTAGATAATTCTTAAGTCTCTTAATTGCCGTTTCTTAATTCTTAAGGGACGGCAATTAAAATTTGAAAACGTTTAATGAATTAAAACATTTTTTTAAAGAATAAAAATTTACAATTCAAGGTGTCGGATTTTTCACAGGAATTACAATTTTTTAAATTCAATTCTGAATTGAAATTCAATTTACTGAAATTCAATTGTTTCTAAACTTCTTTAATTTAATTCTTTTCTGAAAATTTATAACTGCAATTTTTCAAAATATGATTTTTAAAAAGTTATTTGAAATACTTAAAAAAATGTAGGTATTATTTTCAATAAAATTCAATTTTTAAAGCGAATTTTCATTAATTTTCGTTTAAAAATTTTCATTTAAAGATTTTTCTTGATATTTTTGAAAATTCAATTTTTTTCAAAATTCGCAGTTACAATTCTTCAAATTTGATTTTTAATAATTTCATTTTGAAATAATCTTAAAAGAATAAATTAATTTTAATAAAATTGAATTTTCATGAATTTCCATTTGAAAATTTTCATTTAAAGATGTTTCATTGAAATTTTTGAAGATTCAGTTATTTTCAAAAATTTTAATTTTCAATTGTTCAAAATTTGATTTTCAAAAATTTTAAAGAAATACTTAAATGAATCAATTATATTTTCAATAAAATTGAATTTTCATTGATTTCCATTTGAAAATTTTTATGTAAACATTTTTATTCAAATTTTTGAGAATTAAATTATTTTCTGAAAATTTGCAACTCCAATTTTTCAAAAAAAGATTTTTTAAAAGATATTTGAAATAATTTCAAAAATCCATTATTTTCAATAAAATTCAATTTTTTAAGCGAATTTTCATGCATTTCCGTTTTTAAATTTTCATTTAAAGATTTTTTATTGATATTTTTCAGAATTCAATTCTTTTCAAAATTTGCAGTTACAATTTGTCAAATTTTGATTTTTAAAAACATTATTTTGAAATACTTAAAAGAATCAATTATTTTCAAAATTTTCAATTTTCAATTCTTTAATATTTGATTTTTAAAAAATTTTAATGAAATACTTTTAAAAAATCAATTATTTTCAATCAAATTTTACAAATTTCAATTATTGAAGAACTTTTTAATTATACATTTCGAAAATTTAATAATCTTACAAAAATTATTCGCATAAATATAATTTTTGAAAGATTTGACTTTTGTTACATAAAAATCAAAACAAGTTGCATTTGATATCACAGAGAGTGGTTTTTCTAGCAATATTTTCAAGAAAAGTTGAAAGAATCACATTTTTTTGAAAATAAATCGAAAATTTATTTCGAAATATTTCGGGAAATTTTGATTTTTCGAAATCGAAAAATTTTTGGGAAAATAGTCGAAAAAAGTCATTTTTTTGGAAAATGGTCGAAAAAAGTCGTAAATAGTCGTATTTTTGGAAATAAAGCGAAAAAAGTCTTTTTTTAAAATAGTCGAAAAAAGTCGTAAATACTAATATTCCAAAAAATTATAGGTCCAATGACTGAAATTTCTTAAGCTAATGAAATTATAAAACTGAAATAAAAAAGTCACATGAGTTTTTTTACAATAATTAAATATATCAATCGCGATCTTTCATTATCATTTCTAGTTTTTCTTCTCATTTTATCCTCGATTTCTCATAAAACCATTAATCAATACGTTTGAAGTAATTTTTTTTAAATTTCTCCATTGTCATCTCATTTTCATAATGAAAAAATGAATTAACAATTGTCAATATCTAATTGATTCAAATCTTTTTATAATTACAAAGCAATTTTTTCTTCTACAGTAAATTATGTAAAACATTTCTACCAATAAAATTTCAGATTTCTAATTAAAACAAATTTTCAATAATTTCTTGATCTAATCATAACTTGTTATGCAAAAATAATGATATGAATGAATATGAAGAGTTAATATTCATTCCTCTATTTAAAAAAAGGTACATAATTATTATCAATAACCAAACAGTAATTATTTCTCCTGTCATTCAATTAATTGTCATAAAATTCAAATTTAAAGAAGAAATAAATAAATTTGATTCATTTGATTGAACAGAACTTTAAGGATATGATTTTTTTTTTCCAAATTGAAACAAAAATAAAATTATATTTTAAATTGAAAAATTACAATTGTATATTTTATTTATTTAAATATTTTAATAAATATTTAATACAATAAATAACAGTTATCAGTAATAATAAATTTTCCTACATTTTCCCCTGTGTTTTCCGTATTGTCATTTGAATAAAAGAAAAATATAATTATTTTTACATATCAATTACATTTAAACTAGAATATTTACTGATTAAAAATAGACTGTCATTCATTGCAGAAAGTCGACTTTGGACTCTTACGGGATTTTAAATTATAAAAAGAGACTGACAGACATTTATCTGGCTTCCTTTCTCTTTAAGAATAAGGAATAATGTGACAATTTTTTTTTTTATTTTTCCTTTTTTGAAAGATAACATCATAATAATAATTTTCATGAAAATAAAAGAGAAACAAAAATATCGAGATAAAAATGCGATGATGAGAAAATAAAGGGAAATGTAAAATTATATGTATATATAATAATTATAAAGCAGATGAAAAAAAGGCATGAATAATAAAATAAAATAAAATAGCCATTTAAATAAAGAGTAATTGTAAAAACGAAAGTACTTAAGTATACACGTTAATACGAATTTCAGAATTATACACGATTTCACTAAGTTTACAACAATTTCAAAGTAAATGTTCGAGTTTGCTTTATGTCGACAAAGTTTGCGGGAGCCAATAACTAATAATCAAAAACCACTTAAATGGTTTATGCGGTTACCATATTAAATAATTGCGAAAATTTATATATTATATTTTATGAAAAATTTCTCAAATACCTTTTACAGTTTTACTTTCACAATATAGATGAAAAAATTTAGGTGCAAATTTATTTTTTTCGTGTAGAATAAAAAAAAAAAATATTTTTCGAACCAAAATTTTACAAAATTTTATATGAAAACATTTTTATAAAGATTCTTCATCCGCCATTTCCAGAAAAAAATTTAAGAGAAACAATTTATTATTTTTCTTCTAAAAAATGAAAATTGCTTTTAATTCTTGATCACAAATGTTGAGAACTTCAACTACGTTATTGGAATCAATAATTTTTATCACAATAACTTTGCATAATAACCAAAAAAATTAATTATAAAATAATAGTAATTAAATAAATAATTAAATAAATTAAAAATAATAATAATAATTAAAAAATAATTTAAAAAATAATACTAATTTCAACTCTATTATTAAAATATTGCCGAGTGATAGCTTCAATTATTAATTAATTAATAATAATTATCCTTACTTTCCCTCATCTTATAAAATTTCTAAATTTAAAATTAATTAATTAATTAAAATTTTTATTTTTATTTGAATCAGAAATTTATGAAAATATTTTTAACATAAAATATTTCGTTCATTTAAACGTTAAAAATTTTTGGGTCATGAAAGATTATTGTGAATCATGATCACTTTATTTGACAGAAGACTTTTAATGATTAAATAAAATATGAAAGTAATACTCTTTTCAATTTTTAATTTCGTTCAAAATTAATTTCTATTTGTGAATAAAAAAATTTTTTTTAATTTAATAAAGAAAATTCCCCTATTGAAAAATATTAATTCATTAACTCCCCTCGTATGATGAGTTTTGCTCAAACGGTTCAAGAATTATTTCACCACATCAAATTCATTCGACATTATCCTCACACGATTTAAGAGGAAATTAATGATTTTCACGATAAATTTTTCAATCACGAAATTAAAAGATCTTTTTTTTTTCTTTGCAAATTTAAGATCAAGTTGAATGAAATTTTATAAATGGAATTAAATTTTGAAATTAAATAATTAAATTGGAATTAAATTTGAAAATTGGAGTTTGAAACTAATAATTTTACATTTAATTTGAAATTAAATTTAAAATTTGTAATTCGAAATTAAATTATAAAAATTTGTAAATGGAAATCAAGTTTGAAATTTGAAACTTGAAATTTGAAGTTATATTTAAATCTTCTTTTGAAATTAAATTTGAAACTTGTAATTTAAAATTAAATTTGAAACTTATAATTTGAAATTAAATTTGAAATTAATTATTTTATATTAAATTTTGTACTTCGAATTTAAATTTAATATTTGTATT